GACAGTTGTTGAAGGGACAAAGCGTGCGAGTGACAGGAAGTGGGGTAGCACTTTTGCCTCGCACGCCCTGCGCCGTCGCAACGCTGACTGAAATGGGAGACGCACGGCTGTGGGCTTTTCCCTCTTGGGGAAGACAACTGGTCAGGTCTCTTGGTCTTGGCGGCTGTCAACTACGCCACATAACCACCGGGATAACATGCCTATCATCTTTGACAGAAATCCCACCAGGAGGTGTCCACAGGTTGGTTGAAAGGGCTCTTTCAGACCCTCAAACTCGAATCGGCGTGTAAACAAGAGGCGAACCCGAGGACGAAACTGATGACCTTGAATATGGTTGTGAAGGGGTTATATTTAGAAACACGCGCTGGTAGCTTGTCGTCAAGCGAGCTGCGGCTGTCAAACGTCTCCAACCAAGTCTGAGATTTTAAGCGACAGCCAGTGTTTCTTCGGCTCGCTTGGCATTTCAAGCATGTCAAAGAGGCAACCTCTGCTCCTGATTGACCAACACTTTGCCCCTGGCCAAAAGATGTCAGCTATTTCAAGCCGATCCCAACTCCGAGGGGGCCTTTTCTATCGCAAAGGGCGCCTGTTTTGTTGGTGCGACGGGCACCCTCGCTTGTTGGGATCTTTACCGCCATTTGTGTCAAGAAGACGACTAAGCGGGTTGCGACAGTTGATTGGTGAGATCTCACCAGGTATTGAGCCTATCGGCGCAGGGAGAAGGATAAAGGCACAAGTTCCACACATCATCACCGACGCTGAGAGGGTCGAAACGGTCGCTGAGTGGTTCTCTCCATCAGCCCGTGAGGAGTCCGCACTTCGCCAGAAAGCACCAGGCTCAAAGCAGAAACGCTGGCGTGGGCTGCACGACGCTCTAAAAGAACTGTGATGTGGACGTGATGGGCTCGTGGTGATTGCAGGTGCATGGCATATTCGTGGCGGGCTGACAATCGCTATTTGACAAGCCCTTGTCCATTAATACAGTTGTTATTATTGCAACAGTATCATCCCTTTTGGATGATGAAGGGCGAGAGTAGAGGCACTTGCCGTAATCGGCCAACTTGACCGCTCTCGCCCTTGCGCACTGTCATCAGAGCGAAGGCCAGGATACCGTCATATCTGGTGCGCCGAGGCACGTTGGACGATGTAAGACGTTTGGCATCTGATTTTAATTGAAAAGAGGACCCCGTTCGTCGTGCCCCAGAGTGGATGTGAGGGACAGAGTAACATCCGAGGGGTTTGGAGATGGTTCGAGTGGAGATGGCGTTGCATTTCCCTGCCAAGCTGCCGGGCGGAAATGTAACATGTCTTGCGCGGAATTTGGGGTGATCTGGTTGTGGAAGCAGATTCGAAGGAACCTAGGTGCCGGGAAGCACGTTCGGCTTTGCCATGGAGCCAGACTAGCTCGAGTCTGGACGGTGTGTCAAAGGGGCCAAAAGAGCGTCGATCCACGGCATCGAGCGCTGCTGGGGGCGATCCTGGCATAGAGAGCACCGGTGATATGTCCGAAAGAAGTAGCCTCGCCCTTTTTGCTAATGAAACAGCCCGGGCCTCCGGCCTTACTGACGGAGAGATACCTTGATACCAATTGCTCACGAGGTCATGCCAGATGCTTGTGTGGAGATCTGTTGGCTCAGAACCCTGGCATGGTTTGACATGAGGGACCCCGAATCTGTCGAAAGGGCCCTGCGAGTTATGCAACGCGCAAGAGAAGCGGTAACTGAAAAGAGAAAGAGAAAACGGAGGAGAATCCCAGCCGGCAGGAAGCGAAGCTGTTGTGGTCCTTCGCATCCATGGATGGCAAGATGGCCAGCTCGTAGCCCGACCTATCAGGAGGCGCCCTGCACGATCCCTCTCCGACAAAAGAGGCTCCGAGAGCATGGATTGGGAATCAAAGGAGGGAGAGAAGTGGGAAGAAAAGAGGGTGCTCGAGTCTTAGCGGTCTTGGTGGTGTTGGCCGACGGACTGAACAACGACTGGGCATGACGAGAAGCGAGTCCACTGCCTGCAGAGAGTAGGCTACTTGGCTACCTGCACAGCGGCGCAGCCCCCGCATGTCGTTACTGGCGGATTCGACGCGGCGTATTTGAGGATTGAGACGCAGCTGCAGTTGGTGGCGTGCTCGCGACGTGCGCGTACGACCCGGCGACTTGATTTATTCACAGCAATCATGTTGGTTTGCCGGAGGTTGCATTTCGTAAATTAATTAGCGCAAGAAAAGCCAAAGACACAGCAGCAGCGTGCATCAATAGCGCAACACACGCATCGCGATCCAGAGGGAGTAGAGCAAGTACAAGGAGGATAAAAATAAACCCCGCGGTTCTTGGGTTGAGCCAAGGAGTAATGCGGGAGAGGGTCAGTCCGATGATGTTGGGAATGCGAGCCTGGAATCCCCAGTGCACCAGACCACCTGCAGTTCTTCGTCGTTTGGGCGGGGCCTGGAAGGGAAGGTCACACACACATGCTGCTCTTTCTGCAGGTTAAGCCGTAGTAGCGCTGTAGGGCACCCGCCCATTCCGGACGTGACAGATCTCGCAATTAGGCGATAGGCGACAAACACCGCCTGCGGCAGGGCCCGCCGTCCGCCCATCAATTTCATGGTTCCCTCCTCAACCCGGGCGGCCTTGTGTGGGGAGGGACTGCCCAGGTGGGCTATTTTAGTGACCAAGCGCCCTGAAACCATCCCGTTGAGGTCCCTGAAAACGCCAGGCAAAGCGCTAGAGGATGGGTGGATTTTGGGGGCCGAGACAGGCGCTTTAGCGACGTCAGGTGACTCGCGTACCTGAGCAAAAACGTGCCTGCTGCACGTGGCGCCCTCTGGCCCCCCCAGGCCTGCTGATCTCTGGTGGTTCGCCCTTGGCCCCTTACCCACTTCCCACCATGGCGGCCGCCTTCCAAGAAAAGAAAGACCGCTGGGAGGTTGGTCGGATCTTGAAGGCCGATTCAACCTCCTTCTTCCCCCCCCACATCAACGCCGCCAGCAGATGAGCACAGCAATACGCATTTGCTCATTTCTGTAAAATTCCCTTTCAACAAGTAATTGGATTCAGAATCCTCCAGATCCTCCCCTCTCCTTGCCAGTACAGCTAAGAATATGTCATTCTGCAGCCAGGTAAGCCAATCAGCTCGCTCCTCATGTCTCCACCTTCTCTAACCAGCAGCCAGGGACGAATCAGATCGGCCAGGATAGCCGCTCAGTTCTACGCGCCCGTCTAAGCGCTGGCATCGTCCACGCTTCCGCTCGTCAAACTGCCAGCGGGTGCTCGAGGAAATGCTCGATAGACCTTTAAGCAGCGAGGTCTACCAAGTCGTCACCTTGTGTGCGTCCTTGGCGTGCTATCGTCACATCGGCGGATCTTGGAGAGACGAAGCGCTTCTATTTTCGGGCCATCGTCGGTCTCGAAGCCAGCGCTTGCCTGGCTGATGGGTCTCCGGTCCCCTCTGCGGCGCCGCCCATGATGCAATCCCATCCCACGTCGGCAGCCTCGCAGGCCCTTGACTGGACGAGATGGCTGCCTACGCCGGCCACGCGGGCGAGACGCTCGGTGTGGCCGTCCTGCACGTCATGCCCGAGGACCCAATCGTCGTCCTCGCCCAGGGAGATCTTGACGCCAGCGTCGAAGGCTTGCCGCTGGCTGGGCGCCCGGCGTCTGGGCAGACTACTGCCGGCAGGACCCTCCACGAGCCTCGAGCAAGCAGCCACCGCCCGTGGCCATGGCACCTGCCCACCCGCGGGGGAGGGACAGCGGCTTGCTCATGCACAAGTGCCGTCTGCCATCACATGTCTGCGATTGGTGTACCTGACAGGTTGCCCCCCTCGAGCTGGCGTCATCCGTACCGTCGGGCCGGGCGACAAGAGCACCCCCTTTTCGCGCACGTACAGATGTCGTTGGTGACGCATGCGACTGGCCTTTGATTTAGCCCAGATCTCTTTCCCACCCGTCCGGTGCACCTATTTTGGGCTCTGCCGGGGAACGGACTGTACACCCCCTTTATCAGCAGGCCGGGTCCCCCTCGTTGGTTGCTAAATTAAGGGTCTTGCACGGGAAACAGGAAACCAGGAATAGAGCCGCATGGGCGGCTGCAGCACGGGTAACTTGTTTATCGAAACGTCAGGCCGTGCGCTCCCCTTTGACGCCCGCGCTCCCCACAAACGCTTCGGCGAGTCTACAAGCACAATTTCGTCTGTGTGAAACGAACAAGACTTATTTTGAGATTTCAGATCCATTACACATGCATCGTGGCGACGATCGCAGAACAGCGACGTTTCAAACCATAGGGGAGTGCGCCCATCACTCCCTAGCCAATCTTGAAAGTCCCCTGCTAGTGCAGACTACCGCAGCGGTAAGGGGGGAGCCAGCTTCATTTCCAGCATCATTTCCTGTAGGTTTTGTACCGATACTTGTTGAATGTCGAGGATACTTTGTGTCCTTGCCGGGTCGAGATGACCCGGTCTTTGATATTCTGACAGCACCCAGTGGAGAATGGACATACTTGCGTCATATCGCAAAGGAGTCAACAGATGTGGTGATGGCGCACTCTCGCCTAGAGGGACGTTAATCTTGTCTTTGATTCTATATCGAATAGCTCCCAACGGTGTGTCCCCCCTTGATGAAGCTTTCAGAACATCATACCAGGACGAAATTCTCTCAGACATTGTGCCGACAATGTCAAATCCTCTATAGTATCACGTTGCGTATTTGGATATCTTGAGTAAGCCACAGGTCTGACCAGGAGCTGTAGACCTGCTTGCACGAGGCAATAAGGACAGAACCTCCCACTTCATTCATGTGCCCACGAGCCATGTTGCAGCAGGAAAGAAAGATCAAGGTGGTGAGAGGCAACCTTCACCGCTCGCGAGCTCCTATTATATAGCGCTATAGCCTTGGAAACATGATCTTCGTACACAGAGTTCCACCATGACATGACTCCCATCGCCAGCCAATAGTAGACATTACACCCAGCCAGCAAGCAAGCTCTCCTTCTGGAAGCTCCGGCCCTTACTTCTTCTGCCTCTTGGCGCTCTTGTCGCTCGTGGTGCTCAGCACGCTCGCGCTCCGCTTGTGCGCGCCGCTGCTCCCGGGCCGTCCGCTGCTCCCGGGACGTCCGCTGCTGCCCGGGCGCCCGCTGCTGCCGGGCCTCCTCTCCCTCCCCTCCTTCTCCGGCGCCCCTGCTGCTGCTGATGCCTCCTCCTCCTCCTTGACGACCTTGGCGTCCCCGGACGCCTCCCCGCCGCGGTCGTCATCCCCAGCAGCCTCGCCATCTTTGTCCTCCCCGTTCGTAGCCTGCGCGGCCTCGGCACGAGTCTCCTCCGTGCCGTCCGCGGCGTCCTCCTTCTTCGCCTCGTCTCCGCCCTCCTTGTCCGCCCCGGCAGCACCCTTCTCGCCTCCCTCCACGCCCGCCGCCGCCTTCTTCTCGCCACCACCACCAGCAGCAGCAGCGTCCTCCTTGTCGCCGCCGGCGGGGGGCTCGTCGCCCGCGCCGTCGACCTGGCTCAGCACGGCCTGCGCCTTCCTCCGCTCCGCCGCGCGCGCCTCCTCGATCTTGAGCTCGCCGTCGAGCTTGTCGGCCACCTTGCGCAGGTCGACGAGCGCGATGACGCCGTGGATGAGCTGCTCGAACTGCGCCGTGACGGCCGCCGTCGGCATGACGAGCCGGGGGGGCACGTCGAGCTCGTTGAGCGCGTTGGTGATGCGCAGCTGCTGCTGGCCGCTCTTCTGCGTGAAGAGCTTGTTGACTTTCTCGTAGCGGAACGTGGGGCCCGGGCCCAGCCGGTCGTGGTGCGACACGCCGTAGACCTGCTCCTCCTGCTCCGTGAGCTTGCGGCGCTCGGCGGCGGCCTGGGCTGCGGCGGCGGCGGCGGCACCCTTCTTGGCGTTCTTGCCCGTGATGGGCGTCGCGGCCTCGGTGGTGGGCGTGCCCTTCTCGGTCCCGACGGCCGAGTCGCGGTGCGCGCCTGCTGCTCCCGAGGCGGCGATGCTCTCCCGGCGGTTGGCCGACTCGGCGACGGGTGTGGCCGAACCGGCCTGGCCGTTGGGGCCGGCAGCCGCGCCCGCGGGGCCCGCGGGACTGACGCCGTCGGCGCCCATCAGCGACTTGCGCTTCTTGGACTTGTCGACGTTCATGAGGTTCTGCAGCAGCGTCTGCAGGCCGGCGCTCGACTTGAAGGGGCTGATGTCCGAGTCGGTGTGCGGGTAGTCGAGGCGGGCGTAGAGCTCGTGGCGCTCCTCGTTCATGCGCTCGGAGCGGGCGAGGATGCGCTTGACCTCGAGCAGCAGCGACTCCTCCTCGCGGGCCTCCTCCTTGGAGCGGTTGAGCGTGTTGATGGCAAACTCCTTGCGCTGGCGCTCCTGCTGCGGGTTGAAGTTGGCCATGATGTCGTGGATCTGGTACTCTGCCTGCGTCATGTACTGCACGGGCTTCTGGATGGCTAGCATCTTGGCGGCGATCTCGTAGTACCGGGCCTTCAGGTCCTCCATCGTGCGCGACTTGGACGCCGGGATCATGGCCATGCTCTCCTGATCGCTGCCTTCTGGCAACTGGGGTGCATATTCGTAGCGGTCCCAGATGAGCGGCCACCTTAGGTCGTACGCCCTCACCACGTCCAGGAGGTAGTCTGTCTCCTCCTTGGTCCATTCCTCGCTGGCCAGATTCGAGTTGTACTGGTCGTCGCTGTACTGAGGGACATCGACCCGCACATTGAACTTGGCAAACGCCGAGTCTTCGACCTGGGCCTCTCCACTCGCGGCCTTGCTTTCTGCCTGGGCCTCTTCTGCTGCAGCGGCATCGGATGCACCGTTGTCGTCGCCGGGATGGGGTGCCTCAGTCGCCCTCCTCCAGTGCCGAAGTACGAGGCTGCCGTCGTCTCGCGCCGAGTTGCGGAACGGCTTGAGCTCCCAGTGCGCGGGCTTCCAGTTAGCAAGCCGGCGCTTCTTGAACTGTGACGATACATCCGGGACGATGGCGATGGGGTTGTCGCCTCCCAGGTTCTGGACCTCTCGGGCGAGACCCTTGAGGTTCGGTCGGTTGGCGGCGGTCTTGAGCTTCTTGGCCGGACGGGGCGCGGGGCCATCCTGCGGTAGGTTCAAGACGTCGCGGACGTCGAGCGAGGCCATGATGACGAATTTGGTGTGTTGGTATGCTCAGTGCTGTGCAGGCTAGTTGCTGAAGTTCAAACGATCATGGCGATCCGTATGTGTAGTATCGAATCGGATGAAATGCGATTTCAGAAAAATATCCCGGATACAGCGATAGTAGCGCTCGATTGAGATGGGATGCAGCTAGATGCTCGATTGATGCGAGCCGAGTACGATCGTGGATGCGATGCTGGTTCGCCGGTGTGTTAAGATGTTCTTTCGTCTCGAGATGGGGGACGCGATCTTGAAATTTTGGGAATGTTTGGCTAGATATCAGCGACGACGTCTTTTGGTTGTTCCATCCAAAACTTTTAGCGTGCAGGTGGTCCAAGTTAGGTAGGTGCACGCCTCGACTTTCAGCAGGGCAGGTGGGCTCGAGGAAACACACGTGACAGGGACCGACACGCGAAAACACGCTTTCCCCCATTTCCGCCCCCTGGCCTGGCCATTTTGGCTGCTGGCTGCTGGGTTTATGGCAGGGCAGCGGCTCTCGAGGCACTAGCAGATTTTCGAACGTGGCACCTTTTGGGGCCAAGGCCAGCACGACACTCAACTTTAGGGGCAAGGCTTGTGAATCTCATATCCACCACACACACGACACGACGACAGTTTACGGTCCAACTCGCACGAGTGCCAGTCCCCCAAAGGTCAATACCGACTGAATTCGTGTGAATTGACCTCTTTATTCGCAAATTGGTCCTGGGTTAATCGAAACAAAAGAGCGAGATATACACGAGAAAAAGGACAGACAAACACCCGGCCAAGATGAGAGCGTTCCTCCCCATGCTCGCCCTGAGCACCGTCGCTCAGGCGCTCTACTTTTACATCGACGGCTCCGTGCCCAAGTGCTTCTTCGAGGAGCTGCCCAAGGACACCATGGTCGTCGGCACCTACACGGCCGAGGAGTTCGACGAGCAGCGCGGGGTCTGGTGGAAGCACGACGGCCTGAGCATCTACATCTCCGTCGACGTAAGAAGAGCCAGCGCCTTTCTCCCCCCCTCTCTCTTTCTCTCTCCTCTCTTTGATGATAATACTGACCGTACGCCAATCGCTCCGCCAAAACAGGAAACCTTCGACAACGACCACCGCGTCGTCTCCAACCGCGGCCAGGCCGAGGGCCGCTTCACCTTCACGGCCGCCGACGCGGGCGAGCACAAGCTCTGCTTCACGCCCTCGTCCAACTCGGGCCGCTCCTCGTGGCTCTCCATCAACAACCCCAACGGCGGCGTCCGCTTCACCCTCGACCTCGCCATCGGCGAGACGAGCGCCATCGAGTCGTCCGACAAGTCCAAGATCGAGGACATCGCCGGCCGCATCCGCGACCTCAACGCCCGCCTCAACGACATCCGGAGGGAGCAGGTCTTCCAGAGGGTACGGGTGTCCTTCCCCCCTCCCCCCCGTCTTCGCTCCACTCCCTTCACCTACCATGATAACGTAACTGACTGACACAAAACGCAACAGGAACGCGAGGCCGAGTTCCGCGACCAGTCCGAGTCGACAAACGCCCGCGTCATCCGCTGGATCATCATCCAGCTCGTCATCCTCGGCGGCACCTGCGCCTGGCAGCTCTCCCACCTGCGGTCCTTCTTCATCAAGCAGAAGCTCACGTAAAACAGAGAAAAGAAAGGAGCGCAGGGGAGGCCGAGGGCTGCGTGTGGCGACGGAAGTTGGCTGCATGGATGGACGCCAAAGGCAGAAGCCGCGTGGACATATGGGCTCTTTTCCCGAGCTATTTATATCCCCTAGGGGCTCTTGTTTTGTTTCTAGACTCCGGACGGGCGATATATGGCTTTGATGGGGATGACCAGGATGGAATTCCCCATGTGTCTGTCGTTGGGTTTATGGAAAAAAGGGGGAGGGATGGCAAAAGAGTGAATTCGGAAAGGCGAAAGGGAGCAGGGCTTTTAAGACGACTGTAATAGAGACCCAGCGTCCCTCGAAGCGTCGATGGCACGTCTGTCGACTGGCGTTGGAATGACCACCTACGGCGCATCTTGTAATGAACGATATATATGTGCATCTTCTGAGAGTGTATTTTTATTCCTCTATGTCCCTATCCGTTATTCTCATGTCCATCAAAGTCATAACTTACATGAATCAAGGTTTGCGCATGAATTTCAAAGCTGATTGAACCCTTTTTTCTTTTCTTCGCCTATTTCCATTCTATCCCCAGTCCCTCGACTTGCTTCATCTCTCTCCCGTTGCGGGCAGTGTTCATCGTCAGCAGCAGCGTAAAAAAGGAAAAGGTACCAGGAGCTCAATTCTATATCTCAATGAGCTATGTCGCTTCTCTCAACGGCCCCAGCTGCTGACGGTGTCACTCCTCCGTCCGCAACGCCCCTCTCCTCTAGACCTCCGCACAAGCCGCCCCTTCAAAGCTTCTCGTCTTCTCTCCTCCACTCTGCGACTCCTCATCTAGATCGCCGCCCCCTCCCCTTTCATGATACTGTGTCGCTGCTGGAAACCAGAAAAACTCGACGAGAAAGATTACTAACAAGGAGCTGTGCACAAAGGAAAACAAAAGACATGAATGAGGAGAAAAGCCGGCCAGACCCAATGCAGAATTCCTTTCTTTTTTTGCGCGTAGAACGTTTCGACAAAAAAAAACGGGAGGTGAAAAGTGATGATGCCCAGCCAGCGCCAACGCTGACCGTTTCTCAACAGATAGAATTTATCAAAAACAAGGTCGTCTGGTCTCGTCATTATGGTGGCAATAGAAGAGGTAGTGCGTGCGCTGTCCCGTATCCCAGTTGCCGTTGTCGCCCCGGACCACGATGTAGCAGATCGGTAATTGCGACTCAGGCTCATGTACGGCCAGAAAGAGTGGGTGTTCAGGTGGTATATCTGCATCCCACGTCGCAGCTCTAACAAAAGATGGTCCGTAGACTGGCCAGGCATTGGTGGTCCTGGACAGAAAGTGTGTAGGGCGGGGCGGGGCGGAAAAGGGGTCAGGATGCAATGTGTCGTTAGAAAATGCGTGCTCCTCTCTATATGTCCGAAAAATCAAGTTGCAGGCGTCATCGCCGCCATGTCTAATGCTCCTGGAAACTAATGGCTTTCTCTCCTGAGGTGTGTTAGCCAGAACGGAGAAAATGCTCAGTTTGTGCAGTTCAACATAGACTTACAGAATGACTAGCCACAGCAGAGCACCTTCATGAACTTCTGGAAACCAGTCGGCTGTGGCTCACCCTGGCGGCCGTTAGACGGGGCCTGGGCCTGCATGCCGACCTGCTGGTGCATCGGCCTCTGGGGCAGGTTCTGGCTGCTGTTCTGGAATTGAGCCTGCGTCGAGCCCGTCGGAGTGGCCATGTCCCGGAGACCCCCGACTCCTGAGCCCCTCTGCGCCATGATGGCGCCGGGGGCGTTTTGCCGATCTTTCCGGGGTGTTTGCTTGATCGGTGAAGGAGGCGGGGGTTGCGCGGCGTTTAAACGGTCGGCAGTGAGACGAGATCGAGGGTCCTGGTGAGGCGTCGTTGCCCCCCGCGAGTTGCCGTGCAGCTCCATGTTGGATGCACCGGGTCTCTGGTTTGGGTTGTGAAGCGCGCCGGGACGGTCCCAGTCGTGCTTCTTCTCCTTGCCAACCTTCATCCAGTCGTACTCGCCATCCTCGACACCACCGGCATCTTTGAGGGCCTGGGTGAAGAGCTCACGCAGGTAATCGTAATCGGGTGTGTCCTCGAAGCCCAAGTTCCGGACATACGTCAGGTACTTCTCGAATTGGATGGGGAAGCCTTCACACAGCTCCTTGATGGCTGTCGTCTGCTTCTTTTCGCCAATCTTTTCGTACTTTTGCTTGTTTGTCGCAGCCTTGAGGCCCTGCCACGGCAGCCCACCGCGGAGGAAGTACATGAAGACGTGGCCCAGAGCCTCGAGATCGTCTCGACGTGACTGCTCTCGGCCCAGATGAGTGTTGATACTCATGTACCGCGCCGTACCCGAGAGGGATTTCCGCTCGCGGTAGGGAATGTGCTGCTTCGTCTTGGGGTCTCTGTACTGCTTTGCCATTCCAAAGTCGACGACATGGATCACGTTGGCAGTCTTGGTGCCAGGCCTCCCGATGAGGAAGTTGTCGGGTTTGATATCGCGGTAGATGAGGTTCTTCTCGTGAATAGTTTGCACACGAGACAGCTACAGAGGAAGCATATTAGCCTTTGCAGATCCGGTGTCACCAGACCAAAGACGGCGGTGAGGACATACCATCTGCTTGGCAACCATGACGACGGTCTTGATAGTAAACCGGCGGTTGCAGTGGTCAAAGAGATCCTCAAGGGAAGGGCCTAGGAGATCGATGACCAGGATATTATGGAGACCTTCCTGGCCAAAGTAGTACACGTTGGGAATGCCAGCTATCGGAGCCTCGTCAGTTCCAGTACGCTCATAGAATACTCGACCGCGAATTGACTCACGGCAGCCGACCAGGATCTTGTAGGTCCGGTACTCATCTCGGAGCTGGGGAGCATCGCTCTTCCTCGGTTCCTGCGAGATGGCTAATTAGCGGCACGTTCTCCTGGCGGTCGATGCGTGACACGCCCAGGCATCGCTGAGTGTCAGACGGAGCAGTGATATTGTGGCACCTACAAATTTGATAGCAACCTGCTGGTTGTTGAGCAGGTTGGTGCCCTCAAAAATAACACCGAAGGACCCCTCTCCAATCTTCTTGCCTACTCTGTAGTGCACACCGACGACGTTGGATGACGAAGAAGCCATTGTGACCGAGGTAGTTCAAATCGAGGCGATGGATAAGTACTATTGATGAGCGAGGCGTTTAAGGGTGGTTGGGCAAGGCCGGGAAGCTGTTGAAAAGGAGCTCGGCGATGAGTGGGACGTTGACTTCGGGTGCCAAGCAGTCGTATGCTGATGTGGGTAGGCGGTCAGCGACAGATGCTCAGGGACTCGGCATGCGAGTACTTTCAAGTTTTCACAAAGGCATCAAGTGGAAGGACGGTAGGCTGATAAAGGGATCGGGCCAGTCGACCTGGAAGCAAGTCGTGTCGTGGGAGGGGACGGGGCGGGTGGTGTGTGCTGCTTGTCCACGATGCGGTTGGCAAACTTACTGGACGGAGCCAAGAAAATGTTCGTAGCGTGCGTTGGTTGTGGCGGTGGGTGAGGCTGAGGTTGCACGTCGGTGACGTTCTAGGCAAGAGACATCCGTCAAAGCAACCGCTTCAATTGAATCCGAATGCGTCACGGTCGGCTATTCGTCGTCGACGCTTCTATTGTCGTCGTAGCACACGTCGTGAAGGCCCGATCGGAAAGGGAGTGCGTTGAGGAGGTGGTGGTTTGCCGAGCGAAAAAGGGACCAACGCCTCTGAACCTCGTCACCCTGTCGCTCGAGCGAAAAGGGAGATGGGCAACCCGCAATCGGACAGGGGCCTCGGAAAAGGTCGAGTTTGCCGCGCTGTGGCTCGAGAAAAGGCACACAGGGGGGATTGAAGGGTGGCCTTGGATTGCACACGCCGCAGTTGGAGAGGATGCGGGATCGGGAGGAGGAGGAGGAGGAGGAGGAGGAGGAGGAGGAGAAGGAAAGGCGTGGATGAGGGAAAGAGGATTGGGGAGAGGGAGAAAGGATCGAGAAGAGACTGGCGTGAGAGAATGCGTTGAAGGGGGAGGAAGGGGGCTGCAGGGCACAGGTGCAGGTGCAAGGTGCCTGTACAGGTGGTCTGTGGTGGTGTGGGAATTGGGCCTTTCGTCCACTGAGAAGCGACTCTGCGGGCCCCAAATACTGGGGTTGGTTGGGGAGAAGAGTTTATGGAAGCAACCAGGACTCTGCTAGCTGTTAGGGGCGGCAGCACAGTTGAGATAGCTGGAGGCTTCTCCCCATTTACTGCAGCGCTGGTGCTATCCTTTGGGCGCTTATTAGGGGCCACTAGATCTCCAGTGCTGGCTCTCTGCTCCGTGCAAATTTGCTTGGGAGTCACAGAGTGCGGCAATAATCAGGTGCCTGAGGAGGGTTCACTAACGGCCTTCATGCGTCCATGCCATCCATGCCCTCGCCTGGCCCCGAGGGACTAGGCTCTCGACCAGGCGGCTGCTTGGTCTTGGCATGCTTGACCGAGATTTGGTCTGGCCCGTGCATTTGCTGCTAAACGATGCTCCGTCGAGCAAATCACATCGCGATAAATCAATTACTCGTCCACGCGCGCGGGGGTCTTTGTTGTGCCGTTCCCTCGAAGCAGGGACGCTCATTGATCAGGGACAGGACCTGTAATTTGCGGCGTCACAATCAGGTCTACATCTACATGTCAACTCTGTCTGGTGTTTGCAGGAATCTGTCATCAGAAAACAGAGCTGAAGACGCAGGCGAGTGAGTCGCTGCTTGTCCCCCTCTAGCTAACCCTACGGGCCTTATGATATCCACTACAACGCCTAATTTAGTTGTCGTGTCCATCCTCCGCCTTCTTTTCCCAACTAAAAGGCCCGCCTAAGACTGCGCTAGAACGGCTGGCCGAGGCGAATTGGAACGCTTTAAGCGGATCTGTTCCTCTTTTTTCCTATCCTCTCTCCAGCTGTTGCCCCGACAGCTTCAGCTGCGGAGCACGCCGATTGTCACTACACGAGAGAAGAGAAAGGTTGTGCATTCCTCCAGGAAAGAGGGCGGATGGAGACTATCGGCATGCTTGATCCATTTTATGTTGTCCTGAACTCTTGGAACAGCATGTCCGGCGATACTTCATCCCGCGTCACGAAAACGGATTTGAAGTCTGCGTCCTTGTTGGCCGATGTCCCAAGGGATGAGCATCACGTGGTCGGGTTACCTAAGCGCCAAGATCTCAACAGCCTCCAAACTCACCAACAAAGTAACTGGATTCTCAAGTTGACCAACTCTAGTGATGATCTACGATATTAGCATGTGTTTACAAAATTGGAATAATTCCATAACATAGTAACAGCTCATGATGTGTTTTGCAGTTATACATTATTTTTTCTGACATTCTTATAGTGAAAGATCTTCCAGGTCTCTTCATGATCCTCCCTCATTCGACAAACAATATGCATTTTCAACTTTTGTTTCTCAATTTCTATACAAAATTCGGAGGTCGAAACTCTGTGATTTGCTGGTTCGCGTCTGGATCCTCCTTCTGGACTCAGCCTTTCTATCGAATCCCTTCGTTGTCTCGCTGTGCATCACAAGTTTTTGACATCCCTTCAAGGATTGAGCCGGGACTATCTTTCTAGAGAGCCAACTTGACAAAACGAGGTATTGAAAAATTCCAAGCCAGTGGTTTTTGGAAGAGTCTTATACTCTTGCCCTTATTCGTATTTCAACCCGCCAAGGCTTGCTCATACCCGGCTGAGGAAGCACCGGGTTTGTACCAGTCTCCACATCAACTTCCCCCATATCGCATGAACAGCCAACGACTCGTCTTCCCATCACAGCCAGCTGTTACTCCACATATAGGCCCGCAGGGGACGGATATATTCACTATTACCAGGCCGGAGCTGGGGCGCAAAGTCTGAAGCTCACTTTCCCGACTCATGTTATTCATCTTTTAGTCCCCGATTATCTGTCGCCTAGTCCTTCTTGCAGATTATTATGAGAGACTCAGTAGCAAAATAACCCCCTTCGCAGGCAACATGGCTTCCCAGGCCGAGAAGCCCGTGGTCCTGCGGCTTGGCGAGGATATCAAGTACAATTCCGACTTCTACAATGACGCCTTTACAATGACGTTTGATGCTGCCCCAAACGAGGAGCATTGACAGAGAAGAAGTAAGATAAACACGTGCCCCGTGTGGACTCAAGTCACTTGCATTTCACTCTCTCCGATCCTGACAGAAAACTTACAACAGACATGGCGACTTCTCGGCCATCTTCCGCTCGCACTTTCAGACCGTCGGCGGAATGGGCTAGTGGGACGACAAGCCCATCGACGTGACGCTGACGTGCCACAACGGCGGCGCGGCGCTGACGATGCACATCACCTTCGAGCTCAACGCCATGAGGAACATCTTGCAGGTTGTGGATGCCAACGGGGGATTTGCGGGTGAGCCGATCACGCCGGTCAACAGGAAGGCGTCTGTGATCTGAATCGTCTCAGACACACTGCCCAAAGCGGAAATTTCATATGATGGATCAAGGTATGTGGGGTTCAAAGGCGAAGATCGGAGACTCATTTTGAATGTATGATGGCTCAGTGTGAACGTGGGTATTAACTCTTGAACCCTGAGGCGATGGAAACGTTGTTCGTGTAAACTGTTCAAATAGGATAGGGTTGTTTCTTAGAATCGGACATGCAATGTCAAGATAGAGAATCACTCAAGGGAGGAGACGACCAAGATAACAATAGATACAACCCCCCCTTCGAGAACACTCTGGAGACTACTCCTTGTATTGTATGCAGAGCCAGGATTCGGTTCTGGGTTACGGACAATGAACCGGAGGGAGAGCCAACCCCAGTACTTGTATTTCTCGGCAAACCGAGAACTCGGGAATCTGCGCGGCTTGACCGACGTGAAGTCGGGGAGGGTATGCCCCGTCCCGACAATCTGGCGAGAGTCGTTATTTGTGTCTTAGGAATATACAGGTGCCATCCCGCTGCTTGTACATAAAGGGTCGATAGCAAGACTGGCCTTGATAGGAGGCGGCACTTGAACTGGGCGACAAGACTACCCGATATCAGTGTATCCACCCGCGCCTTCTTAGTGACCCCGCACCTCCTGCTTGTATGACGGCTCTCCTCCGTTCTCTATCACGCGCCATCCAGAGGCCTGCGTCGCTGTTTTTGTGTGATCTTCTAAGATCATAGACCCTTCACCTGGGCACGAATCTCGCCATGTCTTCTACCTCACTTGTGGTCGTCCAGCAAGGGCCTCCACTTCCTTCAGGCACCCCTGAATATGAAGCTTTGCGGACCTTGATACTAGACGAATTCGCTGCGTTTGTGCCCGAAGCGTTGATTTTGCCGCGCCATATCACCGAGAACCCTCCCAAAGATGTCACCGGCATTCCTCGAGAGTGCGGTATTCTGTCTCCCGAGGAGATCGATATCACCGAGAAGTATGATGCTGTTAGTCTAGCATCCGCCATTGCTTCCAAGAAGCTCACAGCAGTCGCCGTGTCCACGGCCTTTGCAAAAAGGGCCATTATAGCGCACCAGCTCACCTGCTGCCTGACGGAATGGTTTATGGACGAGGCCATCGAGCGGGCGAAGCAGCTAGATGACCACCTCGAGAAGACGGGAAAGACTATTGGTCCGCTTCACGGCGTCCCTATCAGTATCAAGCAGCACATCCCGGTCGCCGGGCATTATAATGATGTTGGCTATTTGAGCACGAGAATGGTGGACGACAGGGACAGCTTGATGATTGCAATTTTGCGTAAAGCTGGCGCCGTCTTCTACTGCAAGACAAACCAGCCTCAGTCCATCATGCATCTGGAGAGCACTTCACCTATCGGGCGAGTGCTCAACCCTCACAACATCGGTCTCTCGGCTGGTGGCTCCACAGGTGGCGAAGCGGCCCTCGTTGCTATGCGTGGCTCCATTCTCGGGATTGGGACGGATATTGGAGGCAGTGTCCGCGGCCCGTCGGCGTTCTGTGGCATCTACGGTTTCAAACCGACGTCGTACGTGCTTCCGATGAAAGACTTCCTCAACGGCGGTGCCCTTGCAGAACTCAATATCCTGTGTTCTACTGGGCCCATGTGCACTTCGTTACGGGACATGAATCTCTTCATGTCCGTGATGGCTGCTGCGAAGCCATACATCGAAGACCCGCGGGTCATTCCTTTGCCTTGGGATGTATCGACCTCGACCCAACTCCAAGAGGGTACTGCATCTCTGAAGATCGGGTTCGCGATGAATGACGGGATTATCGAGCCGCAGCCGCCCGCCATCCGAGCCCTGAATTGGGCTCGAGAGCAGCTCGCAAAGTCGTCTGCTTTCCAAATCAAACCATTCGAGCTTTATGGAACGGCAGAGGCTATGAAGGACATCCGGCTCGCCTACTGGCCGGATGGCGGCAATCTGATCAAATCCAAGCTCGCAGCGACGGGCGAACCAATGTTCCCCCTGACCCAATGGATCATCAAGGACGCGGAAGGCGCTGGCCTCACGGCTTCGGGGATTCTTGACCAGCGCCTGCGTCGCGATCAGTTCCGATGCGAGTTCTCTCAGCACTGGGCTGCGCAGGATGTTGACTTGGTCATCTGCCCAGCCTTTGTTGGCCCGGCATGTACACACGAGACTGCTTTCTACTGGAATTACACTGCCCTGTGGAATTATGTCGACTACCCCGGTGTCGTGCTCCCGACTCCGATCAGGGCCCTGGCCAAGGGCCAAGAGGACTACTCTTCAAAGACACCGCTGAGTGACCAATGCAAGCATGTCAGGCAGCTCTGGGAGGAAGTTGACTTTGAAGGTGCTCCTATGAATATCCAGGTCGTTGCACGGAGATACCACGATGCGAGCTTGTTTACGGCTCTGCATCTCATGCAAGATGCACTTCAGATCAAGTAAGCAAGGAAGGGCATATACTTGCTTCTTACGTGGCGTTACGTAACCCGCATGTCGTGGCCAGTGTTATCCAGTGGGAGGCGAATCACTGTCTGCATGTGAAGAGTGAGAACGAGAGAGAGAGTGTGTGTGGTGTATCCAGTTTCGGAGTCAGTTGTCCGTACCTTCGTACAAGAGATAGCTCATGAACTAGTACCAATAAGTCTAGACACCCTCCCCGTCTCGTTCCCCGATCTTGGCTACTCCTCCAATCAAAGCGGGGATCGTCGTCCTCCGTCGATGGCTCCATAGATAGGTAATTCATGGCGACACCCCAGATTCGAAACGAGCCCCCGCTCACGTGCATGGAGCAAGGCCCTTTGGTCCACGCTGCTGTGAGCCCCAGATTCCATCTTTGATATTCGTGCTTGACGAAGTGCTACTGATCAAGTCTCAACCTGGCTCTTTAACCGAATCATGGAGCGACCCGAAGCGACCCACTTACCGGCACCGCCAGTCCGTAGCCGCAACGGGTGCTTCACATGCCGACGCCGCAAGAAGAAGTGCAACGAGGAGAAGCCAGTCTGCATCGGCTGCAAACGCAACAAGCTCGATTGTCACTGGCCGAGTGTGGCCCCTAAGCCTTCGTCGTCTGCCCGAGGGGACCTTCGGAAGCCGACTCCTTCTACCACTGCTAGTTCACGCGGAGACACTCAAACAAGTTCCGCCGGCAGGCGCAGGGAGAGTGCTCCGGCAGCTACGGGTCTGCGATACATCGAACCGCGTATCTCCGGAGTGCCCACGACCCACTCGCCAAGTCAATGGTCAGCACGGCTTCAACAGATCCCCAGTCCGGCCTTCGGGCCTCGGCCGGATCACGAGGCAGCTAGTGCTACCACTGCAACTGCTGTCTCGCTGGAGAACACGGTTGACTTGGTTACTTCACTCCTCGATCCATCTTGTTTCACATTGCCCCTGTCGACTTCAGAGGCCGATCTCGACCTGATCGGCAATGACGGCCTAGACGGAGAGCTACTTGCACCTCCGCCTCTGGCCGCCGGGCTAGATCCATCTACCTCACCCTTCTCTTCATCACCTGATATCCCACTGGCTAGCGCTGATAATATCCAATCCGCTTCCACGGAAGTCATTGCGGCAGAAAATGATCAACTGTTCAGCCTCGATGGCGCTGACTTCGCCGATGATGCCCTTATCACAACAAGCGAGTCTGTGTTCGATTCATCGCTCCTTCCGACACTATTAACTCCTCCCCTCCAGCCGTCTCTCGGTCTTCTACCTGACCAGAGTCACCAATCCATGGAACTGCTGAGCTACTACCTCTCCAAGACCGTCAATAGCATGGGAAACGGCTCGACTGATGTCAATCCATTCGTCACCAAGCTCATACCGCTAGCGTTTTCCAACTCCCTCGTCCTCCAGCTCATCCTGGCCCAGAGCGCCGCTCATCGCCAGGCATGGGCGCACTCAGCGCATACGGACTCGGCCAATGAAGTTGCACATCAGTCCTATTCAAAATCGCTCAGTTCTTTCAGGGGCGTGCTTAGTGACTACGCGAACGGGAGGGAACAGAATGTGTTGGTGGTCACCGTCGGGAGCCTTGTCCTGTGCCTGACAGAGGTTGGTCGGACACTTTGCCAGAGTCTTTATCTCGGATTTCACTAATCAGATACATATCTAGGTTGCTCGAGGTGACGTACACGGCGTCGTCTTTGATCATCTCTCGGCATCCAAGACCCTTCTCAAGGTTCTTCTTTCGCAGCCCTCCTCGTCCTCTCTCCAGGACCTTCCAGACTTCCTCGTCGAATACTACGTGCACATGGCCGCCACCAGCATGATCTCGGTAGACGTCCGATATACACGACAGACCATGATGACGCCCGAGATTGACCAAAAAGTCCTCCAGCTTGTCGAGAACAAGTATATTGGGCAGCTGGGCGGCTGTTGGATCGAGCTCCTTTATCTGATCACGCAGATCTTCGCGCTGGGCCAGAGCATGCTAGGTTCAAGTGGAGGAAGCGAGTCTACCGCAGCGCCATCACCCAGTGACATCATCACCTTTGGCCTCCTGCAGTCACAGATCATGGCGTACTGCCCCGACCCATCCGCTCGTCCCAACTCCCAGCTGGCAGCACTGGTCTTTAAGCAAGCCGTGCTCCTCTACCTGTGGACGCTGATCGGCAATCCCCACCAAGGCGATGCGAACACCGATACGCACAAGGCCCTGATTGATGGCGCTGTCGCGGAAGCTCTACTATCATTACAGCAGCTGCCTGTATCGGATAGAGTCAACACGAGTCTCTGCTGGCCCTTGGCTGTCATCGGCTGCTGCACGTCTAGCGATGCAGTCAAGGAGATCATTCGAGCCCGTCTGCGGGCGATGTCCGAGACCATTGGGCTTGGGAACATGAGAGAAACTCTGGTCTTGCTGGAAACCGTTTGGACGCAGCCACTTGAAGAGACTAGCCCCTGGAACTTGTGCAGAGTCATGGGAGAGTATCAGATGTGGATCTCTTTTGCTTGATTGAAGCTTTGAGCGACGACTAATGACAAGATATTGAACTGCAAAAACATGTGTATTTAGATTTGAACAAGGCTGGAATGGAACCTCAAAAGCACAGTTGAATGTGTACGTTTACAATTGACATATCCCTAGCAGCACTATTCTTGAAAATACAAGATCTTGACTGAAAGAGGGGAAGTATAGCTTATGCTCCATCTAACACCTTCAAAGATGCTCGGAAGACGGAGTCACACATCTCCAACAGATGTCTCCTACTTGTCCTGGAGCACAGTAAGAAGTATGCAACGAATCCGGAACCTGCTCTCGGTGATACAGTGCTCCCAGGCTCAACCTTGAACTCCGCTGCCAGCACGTATGGCTTGACCTCGGGCAGCATCCCAAACACCCGTTCGAAGAAGTCGGGAGGCATGTAGATGCTGTCGCGGTGCATGGGGATCTGGCGATCTCCGCACCAAAACTGATGAGGAGGGCCCGCGAAGGGCTTTGACATGGCTCTGTAGCGCTCGCGGTCCCCGAGAGCTTGTAGGAATTGGAGCGCACACAAATCCACGCCGTACGTATGCAGGGTCGCCCATACTGGGTCAAACCCTGGGGGGCGGGCGTTGACCTCGATCAGAACGACTTCTGGTTGACCTTTCGGGCCTTCAACAGCGGCCAGGTCCTCAATGCCGTCCAGTTCCCGGTAGAACTTGGAGGAGTTCCGCATTCGTGCCTCTACGTGAAGGACGCCAGAGCGAAATCCTAACTTTAAAAGATTCTGATGCAAAGTTGACTGAATTAGCTTGGCTTCCGTGGGGTTGAGACTGGTAGGATGGACCATGAGTGTCTCCGCGAAGTTGGCTTCGAGCGTGGCGTCGACTGCATCGGCAGGGCAGGGGAAGTCGTCCGAGATCTCGCAGAATAAAAGCTCACCATTCCAGAGGACAAAGTTGGCGTCAATCTCTGGGCCATCGACGTACGTCTCAATCTGAACACCATATTTTGTAAGGCCATCGTCGTCCATGTCTTTGATAGCCTGGCGCAATGTCGAGATTTCATGGCATTTTCTGACTCCACGAGATGCGCCGGCCCGGCAAGGCTTCGCGATCAGAGGGTATTCAAGATTGGCCAAGCTTCCAAGGATGACAGGGTCGTCTAGCTGTGCTAGAGAGTCTAATCTGACTGACTGGATGTTGGGATTGTTGACAACCTTGCGCGTCTCGTCCTTGTGGTGTGCTCGAAGAATGGCATCCACGGGCTCAGTTGGGAGGCCCAGCAGCTCCGCTGCTTTTGCAGTAGAGATGACAAATTCATCCGAGAAAGTGACAATACCATCAACTTTTTGCTCTTTGATAGCCTCGGCGATGATCATTGGCAGCTTCGCGTCGCCAGCCGCCACATCAATGGCGATGAAGTCGTGCCGGAGATGGGCATAAGTCTTGCTTTCGAGCCAATGCCCTGGTGCGTCAAGGACTATTACAGCCATTCCAAGGGCATGGGCAGCCTCAAATAGTCCACGAGCACCGTATTGCCCTCTATTCATATCGTATAAACGGCGGCCTCCAACCATGGCCACGGTACGTGGCGTCGGCTGGGTCGGGAGCACCCAGTCGAATGAAAGACGAGTGTCGAGTTCCTTGTTTAACTCTTCTAGTGTTTCAAAGGGAGATGCATCACCAGATTCAGCCACAAGTAGTGCACCGGGTGACAATGACAATAGCGAAGTCAGAGTCGGCTCAGTGTCTTTAGGCTCAACCTCCAAGAGAGACTTGGGAGGTGCAAGGCGGATGACAGACTGGATGGCGATGCAGTGCCTCATTCTTAGCTCGAGGATGTCATCTCTGCAGAGATAGCCGTCTCGAGGAACAAGAATGACCTTGAAAGCTACCTCAAATTTGCATTCGAGACCATTTCGTGTCTGATGGCACGCACGGATGAGAGTTTGCAAGGGCTGTAGTTGTCTGTGTTGGTACCCATTTTTGACAACTTCTGAGTCTAACGGATCAATTTTCAGGAGCAGATCAAGTGATCGAACATATCTCCCCTTTCCGGCTGGCTCACAGAGGCGCCAACGACAAGTTAGCTTTATGGCAACTGCGAGGACTGGAGTTAGCGAAGGGAGTATAGACGGCTGATTCAGCTATAACGTGCAACATGCCTGAGTTGTCTTTGACTTCATCGACATTGATAGAGAAAACTTCAGTCTTTAACGATTCATTCCTTTTATCAATTCTATGTTCCTGAGAGAGGCCCAAGGAGTGCGGGGGCGGAGGGGTAATGGGTTCTGGATCCATCGCAATGAGCTATTGTTGCCTGCAAAGGTGTAAATCTAGATTGGTTGAGAGGTTTGCAAAGAAAATGTAAAGCGTCTATTTATCTCGGTATCGGACTGAATAGGTTCGGCATCGATGTGGTAGCGGGTTATTCAAGAAATCTGACCAGGGTTTTCATTCCGGACTCTGCAACTCCGCCCGGGGTAAGCTGGAACGCCGATGTATGAGAGCCACAACTGGGCTCCACCCAACTCAATCCGAGATCCATTGGCCGAATTGTCGCAGGAGAACTCCATGCACAGTCTCTTCCCGCTCTATCAATGTTGGGGTGAAGACGGTATTTCATTGTGGCTACCACAATTCAGGAAGGTCAGGAACATTCCTCGGTTGCTTTTATAGCCGATTCATATCCATGTCAGGGTGATGAGTAGGAAGTATTTATAGTAAATCAAGATTATCTCAATTACAAGATAACGGCATATTTGTGTTCTAACATGCTACTCATTTCAGGAAGGGCATTCCATCCCGAGAACGATATGGAAACCATCAGAACAGAATCAAAGAGTCGTGATGCAACTGAGAACGGGATTGAAACCTTGCGTCATGTAGCTGACTCGATACCGATTACTGGTTGGATTGCCATCGCAATTAGCGGAGCAGAGAGGCTTTTGTTCTATGCAGTTACGATTCCGTGGCGTAAGTCACACATTGTCCTGTGCCCAAGACGAGGGGCCACCTCTTGACACAGGCATCTTGCAGAGAACTACATACAGAACGGCCGCGACAGTGTCGCCGTCCCAGGCGAGCTGGGACTCGGTCAAGCTATCGCTACCAACCTCTCCAGCGCATTTTATTTCTTCACCTACGTGGCGCCCACACCCTTTGCTATCCTCTCCGATGTTTGGCTGGGACGCTATGTGACTTTATGTATCAGTGTTTTGTAAGTTGATCGAGACTGATCACCTATGATCTCGCTTTCTGTCCTATAACAGCTAATGGCCCCGTTGAACCAGTCTTAGTTTCTGCGGCTGTCTAGTACTCTTCATTACATCCCTCCCAGCTGTGGATAGTGAAACACTCAAGATCGTGGGCTTAGCGATGGCCATGTTTCTCCTCGGACTCGGCACTGGTGGAGTCAAAGCCACGGTCGCCCCATTCATAGGTAATATCTCAAGACACGCCCCGAAAAAGAGTCAAACTCAAGGGCACTACGCTGATCCGTCGTTTTTTCATAGGAGACCAGTACCCTGTGAAATCGCCACAAATCAGTGTCAATAAGAGTGGCAAACCAGTGGTTGTGGACAGAGCGTTGACCTTGCAGTACATCTACAACATTTTCTTCTGGTAAAGCAATGCGATATCGTGGCGCGGAAAGCACACAAGACACTGATATGGCTGCAGGTTCACCAACCTGGGGAGCATGGCTATGATTGCTTCTACATACCTGGAGAGGCAAGTAGGCTTCTGGGCTGCTTACCTCCTACCTCTGTGTTCAACAGCGCTGCTGCTCCCATCCTTGCTTCTCTTCCGCAAGACTTTTGGTAGGTCAAGGATGGAAGACCCATGTTGCACATTGCGTGTCGAGGAACGCATCAGCTTTGCAGTTAAGCTCGCCCCACAAGGGAATGTTCTTCCAAAGGTGGCAAAGGTTATGCTACACTCGGCCCGACATCGTTTCAAATTAGACGCAGCAAGACCCGCCTATCAAGCCCAAGCACACGGAAGGATTGTTGACTGGGACGATGACTTTGTCAGCGAGATGAGGCGAGGGTTGAAAGCTTGCAAAGTTGTGTAAGTCTTGTGTGTTTCTACTTACCAAAACAAAGGGGTGTGACTGTTGTTGACGTCCGGTGGCAGCGTCTGTTTTGTTCCCTTCCATCTCTGCATGAATCAAATCATCAACAATCTCATATCCCAGGCCGGACAGATGCAGTTGGCGGGAATCCCAAATGACACAATCCAAGCCCTTGAGCCCCTTTGCTGCGTCATTCTGGGACCACTGGCGCAAAAGGTCCTCTATCCGACACTGCGAAGCGCCGGGATCCGATTCGGTCCAATCTCGCGCATGACCTGGGCTTTCCTCATCATGGGCGGCGCTATGGCAATGGCGGCGGGTGTACAGCAGGTCATCTACACGAGGGCGCCTTGCTATCAATACCCTCTCCATTGTATGGGCGAGGAGGGAGACACTATTCCCAACGAGATCAGCGTCTGGCTGCAGACGCCCATATACTTCCTCTTGGCGCTTGCTGCGATCCTTGGCCTGGCAACGATGGCCGAGTACACTTACTCCGAAGCACCGACTAATATGCGCAGTTTGGTGCAAGCGATCACTCAGCTCGGCACGGGTGTAGGCTCGGGACTCGGGATGGCGCTCTCACCCATTTCAGTTAGCCCCAAGATCCTATGGTTGTACACGGGCTTGTCCTTTACTATGATCATCATCGCTCCAATTTTCTGGCTTCTATTTAGGAGCTATGACAAAAAGGAGAGCGCATCGACATCTTCTGAGCAAGGGCACTCCTGATATACATCTACTGCTCTTTGGTATTAGTACTTCATGTCATCCGGTTGATTCTCCTAGCTTTGTCACTGCACAAGTCGCTGCACAACAGTACGTCTAGAAGACCATGTAGTCATTCATGGGCCTATCTAGTCATGCCTAAACGCAATCTATAATGGAATCTATTACAACAGGGGAATCTCATATATGCAAGGATCGGGTATGAGAGGCTCCAAGCATCTGCCTCCAAACATCAACTTTTGTGCCTTACGGGCTCCGTAAGAGAGCAAGGCGTTTCCCTAAGTGACTAGGATATCGCTGTAAACCTAGAAGTGCGGGGCGTTCAAGAAAAGACCCATGGTGATACCACCGATGAGACCGGCAATAGGGATGGTCATGATCCAGGAGAACAGCAGGAGACCAACACTGAAAGAATGATTAGCGAGTGAACCAGCGAACTAAGAGCCATGGAACGCTTACCGTTGCCAGTTGACGGCCCTCCAGGTGCCGTTGCACAGACCGACACCAATGGTGGCACCAGTAATGCACATGGAGGTGGAGACGGGAAGCTTGTACTGGGAGAAGATGAGGGTGGTGATGGCGGCACCCATCTCCATGGAAGAACCACGGGACGGCGAGTGGTAGGTCAGCTTGTTACCCATGACTATGTTTCCCAATATTAGTGAATGTTTACGCTGACTTTTTTTTTTTTTTTTTCAAGATGAGCTGGAGCTTACCCTTCATGATGTTGAAACCGTAGGTGATGAAGCCGAAGCAGATGGTCAGAGCCATGACGGCAATCTGCCACAGGGGGACATCCGCGGAGGCGGCGGTGGCGTGGCCGGTGGACCAGGCGGAGTACATGGCGGCCCAGACACCGACGGAGTTGCCGACATCGTTGGCGCCGTGGGCGAAGGAGGCAGTGCAGGCGGTGATGACCTGGATGAAGGAGTACAGGTGCTCGACCTCGTTGGGGTACTTCTCGGCGTGGGCGTAGACGCGGGCCATGCGGCGGCCCTCAGGGGTGCCGAGGATGCCGATCTGGGCGCGGTGGATGTCGTAGTTGACGCCGTAGAGGGCGGCGACGACGATGTAGGCGGGGATGCGGATGATGAGCATCTTGAGGTTGTGCAGCTCGTAGATGGAGCCGGCGCCCATGGGGTTCTCGTGCAGGGTGCGCATGGCCCAGCCGAGGGGGCCGCGGGTCTTGCGGAGGTGGGCGTGGTGGCGCTGGCGGGCCTCCTCCATGAGGACCTTATAGTCGGTAGCGTTGGTGACGGCGTTCTCGGTGTCGCGGCCGGCGGCGGTGCGGGAGACGACGCCGTCCTTGAGGCCCTCGGAGCCGGTCTTCTCGGCAGACTCCTTGACGCCACCGCTGCTGTCGGTGACGGACTGGTCCTCGTCCTCCTCATCGTGCTGGACGACGGCGTAGTCGGGAACCTTGGCGACCTCGGCGTCGGAGGGAGCGGGGCGCTTGAACAGGAGGGGGCCCTGGAAGATGTGGAACCAGCGCAGGGTGTAGTCCTTCTTGACGACCTTGGCGTGGACGAAGGGGACGAAGAAGATGGCGGAGAGGATGGCCAGACCGAAGCCGACGCCGAGGGTGACGGAAACGATGTACCACGCGGGCTTCTTGTTCAGGCCGAGCTGCGGGGACCCCTTGTAGACGATGGACAGGGTGCAGATGGTACCGGCAACGAGGAAGAAGAAGGGCGATGTCCAGACGGCCCAGGGGACGGGGTTCTTGCGCTTGTGGACGACGAGCTTGATCAGCATGAAGATGATGGCACCAAAGCCGGCAGCACAGGCGGGAGCCATGAGCAGACCAGCGAAGATGGCACCGAGACCGTTGCCCTTCTCCCAACCCCACTTGACACCCTTGGCGCCGATGGTGGCGATACCGACACCGGCAATGGAGGAGACGAGGGAGTAGGTCGAGGAGACGTGGGCGGAGTGGCGCGTGCACCACATAACCCAGGAGGCGGCACCGGCGGAGGCGCAGGTGAAGGCCAGCAGCTGGACGGGAGCGTTGTCGTGGAAGGCCGAGATGGGGATGATGCCGTTCTTGATGGTGGCGGCGGTACGGGCACCGACGGAGACGGCGCCGACTACTTCGAAGACTAAACAAAGCAACATGGCCTGGCGGTAGGTGACGGACCGCGAGGAGACCGAGGTGGCCCAGGCGTTGGCAACATCATTGGCACCGTTGTTGTAAGCCTCGAGGAGGGCAAACATGGTGCCAATGACAAAAACGTAGGTGTAAGCTTCCATCACCATCTTGGCGGTTTGTTGTGGGGTTTCTCGGACACTGCTTGGTCAAGACAAGAAGAGGCAGAGAACACCGGCGGTTCCTGAGCTGGTTGGGCGTGAAGGAATGTTCCAAATGTTCGATGGGAAAGGAGAGGATTCTCTCCTTCTTTAAAGGGACGGCCTCGATACAGGACCCATGAGCACGTGTGCATGGCTCTGATCTGAGGGACTCTCAGCTCGCCATCTCTGGGCACGCGGCTCGGTCGCTGAACGGGTGTCCCTCCCTTCCCATTTCCAGGGGTCTGGGTACATTGCGTGAACCCATGGATGAGACCAAAAAAAAAAAGACGACTCGGTCTTCTGGTGATGGGGGCGAGTTGCATCTTGGTATGGAGCCCGGAGTGGGCGCCATGTGTGGGTGTGGCCCGCGGCGAGAGCTGCATGCAAATGCTTGGATTGCTTGAGCTTCACACTTCCACGCAGAGGTCGAGGATCGAGCACGTGGGCTCTGTCGATTTCAATTGTGTCCAGACATAAAAGGGCCAAGAGATGCCCAGACTGTGCCCAGAAACGCCGAGCCTTTTGGACTCTTGGATTATTGCGAGGTAAAGGCTCGAAAAGGGCAGATCCAGCCGGAATGCCAAGCAGGCCAAAAAGCCTTTAGTCGCGACACCATTGGCTGCGGCGGCCGATTGCACCATACATAGCGCGCTCGCTCGAGGCCCTTGACTCGGACCAGGGTCAGAACCCAGCAATCATCGCCGTTCTGCACGTATTCCGCCGCCAAGATTGCTAAGGCAACTCCCTCCCGTACCGACTCGTCCAACGCGAAGACCGACGATGGGCTAGCAATAGCAAAGAAAACGACCAGCGTGAGACAAGAGGAGACAAGCAACGCTCAAGAACGACGGGCCAAGACCGCCTAACCTGGACACCATCCCCGACCCCGGTCGAGAGCGTCCAGCCATGTCAGCCACGACGGCCAGCTACTCTGAAGGCTCTGTTCAGGACCGTGGTCCTGTTTTGTTGCTGTCAAGCGTTTGCCAAGGTTGATCCGGCGCACCACACCAGGATCTCCAGTGTGTCCATGAAGCTCTTTCACCCATCTGGTCATCTCCCTGGGATGGATCCCATGCGTTTAGCCCCCTTCATTGGCTCCATATCCGGCTTTTATCGACAGATACCTGGTGGTGGACTGGCCCCCGATTCGCTCGTTCAAAGACTCACGCCGGCTGGCAATCGAGGAGAAGAGCATGAACATGAGATCCAAATGGAGCAGCCGAACGTGGATAGGGAGATTTGCGTTGCCACATGCGCAAATCTGATATGTAATCTTCTCACTATCGTCCAACAGCTGTGCACGTGTGCACATGTGGTCATTGTGAGGTTGCCTTGATCGCATAGGCCAGCCGACACACGGCCGCATCGGCATTTCCGTCTCGGCGCCCACCTCGAGAGTTTCTAGAAAGCTTCAAAGGAGGATCCCGTCCGTCTTGGAGTCTTGGTATGCTGAATGCTTGGTCCTCTTGGTTCTCTTGTCCATCTCTTGTCCATCTCTTGTCCTCTTGGTTGCCCGTCTTGGTTCTCTTGGTGGTCAGTCTCAAGGGGCTGGGCCTGACCGAGAAGCTGAGAAGAGGCACCGGTGTGTGGCGGCGCATCTATCTTTGAATCTGCTTATCTTGCCAATTCTCAGATCCTTTGGTTCCTGGCGGGTGGCACACGACAAGAAAAAAAAAGTTCGCCCCTAACGAAATATGGTGCTATATCTGGGATCATCACTCCCAGAACTGATACACACACTTCCCCAATGGCTTCTGTTCTAGAAAGGCCTGTGCTCGGCGATCCAGACGCCTCATGCCCCAGTGATCGCCGCAACTTGACGCATCTCGCGTAGCTGATCAGCACTTCCTGGTCTTACATCGGGTGGCGAGGTGTGCAAGCTTTCCAAGGTCGGTTCCTATTTCGTCGAGCGAGCTGCCGTTTGTGTAGATTCCAAATTGGAATCATGACACGTTGCTCACTATTTTCATGATACTTTTATTAGCCACTGACGTACTATCAAGAAGACCATGATGATTTTGCAGACTCAACGGCTAGAGGCAGCAGAATTCTACTCCGATCAATCTCGCCGACACGAACACCGTGACACTCGAAGCATCCAGGGTGGTAGAGGGGGGCGATATTCTGGTACAGCGGCACAACAAGGCCGAGAACACGACAGCAGACATGTGGTCTCGTATTGCCGCGCCGCTCTTCCTCGGCTACAACATACATACACCCTTCTCGGTGACGGCGACGCTCTACCGCTGAGAATATCTCGAGGTTCACTGAGGATGCTCCTTACCCGTTGAATGTTCTTATCAGGTTACTCTGTCGTGTCAGAGCTTCTAGCCTTGACGAGTCCCGCATTCATCAGATTACTGAATTTTTTCTGGATTCAGTTCATCGATCCCGCCATGTGTGAATCTCAAGCTATTGATTCATCAGAGCCAGGACATATCGCGCGGTCTCTGACCAACGTGTCGCGTGCAACAATCTAGAACATGGGCAGACCGAATATGCTCCCAGACACAGTTTACCGTCTTCTGCAACTCATCGTGGGCCGAGCTGAGACCCTGCTGACCCCATTATCAGGCGCCTGGGCATTAATATCACTCTTGCATACATATATGTCCACCCATGAGACGTGCAGGGCTCTCACATGTGGCCTGCAGTAAGACCGGTCGTTGGTTCCGGTCACTAGTTACATACCGAGTGCATGCATATCTAGCCATGTATATACATACATGCGTTGACAAGTTCGGATGAGGCTGAGTTATCTCCACTTAGGTCCAGTCCAGGAGCAGGATGTCAAGGATGATCTCTGGTGCTCCCATCTCCTCTTGTTGTCCTCGTTTGATGCCGGATTGACACATAGTATCTCCACATCTCATGTCAAATTAGGCTTGCCGCTGACGGTCAGGACATCGAGGCAACGAGAAAAACTGTGATGATCCGAGGAGGGGCTGCTGGGTGCAAAATGGCAATTGGTCCGGCAGCCAACCAAAAGTCTCACATCTGGACTTCATACTTCTCCCACGGCGCCCGGCGCCACTGCATGGAATATTCTGTGACACAGTCCATGCATCTCTGGTCGAGAACTCGTCCGTTGTGTGGAGTCGCGGAGGTTGTCTCCTCAAAGCGAAGTTGCCAGTGTGGGGGTTGTTTTGTGAGGAAATGGAGCCCACGTGGGCAATCGATTTGCCCTCAGACGTTTTGACAAGCTTCCCGCCAAGGCTGAGCCAAGGCTCCGCCAAGGCTGCGGGCTCCTCCGCTGAACGCCCTCCGTGTCCATGGCTTGAGGCTGAGCTGAGGGACGAACCCTGCAGAGCTCCAGAAAATTCACGAGAAAGGCGCCTGTGCCGACTGCGCCGTGCTCAAACATTGCCCTTTTTGGGTCCATTTTCGGTCATGCTCGAAATGGCGTCGGTCTCGCGTTTCGTGATGTGTAATTGTGGATGCGTAGCGCGGGATGAGAGCGTGGGAGGAAGGCGTCAAATGGACAGGCGAAGCCCGTGAAATGAGATGTGATCGCGAGTGTCTCAATTGAGATCCAGCAATCCATACCTGCATACCATGTACTCTACCTCGACTGTGGGCGCCGCCCTGCTGCTCGGCCTCGCCGCCATTGCCCGGGCGGACGACAACTTCGGCGGCTACGGCTACTCGAGCAGCGCAGTCAACATCTCAGCCCGCAGCGTTGCGTGGGAGAGGGCGTACAACAGCTCCAACGCCACTGGCACCATCACATTCACCGGCTACGACGTATCTCTGCCCTGGCCCGGCAAGCCACTGGATGGCTGGACCGTCTCCGCGACTGGAGTCGACCTGTCCAAGCTCGACGATGCCCTGAGGGCTGAGGGCAAGCGTCGTGTCATCGGCGACGACGTGCGCATCGTCGCGCCCAGCTCGCTCTACAAGCAGAGCGCTAACTCCAGCGATGCCGGCCGCCCGGTCGTCAACGCCCACGCGGACTGGGTCTTTTGCGCGTGGCCGTGGTATCTGCCGCCCGCCGGCAACAACTCGCTGCAGAACAACCCAGACAACCTGCCGCAAAAGCCCGATGGCTCCTGCGGCCAATGGCTCACAGACTCTTGCATCGCCGCGCTGGAGAACGCGGCCAAGACGGCCTACGAGTTCTCCTCGCTCCAGGGCACCTGGGGCCAGAGGCACAAGTGCAAGAGTTTGGATGTACCCTCGGTCTGCCGTAGCGGTTACATGTCGCGAAGCCAGCCTATCACCGACAGTAAGCTATTCACATGACTAGGTTCAAAACCACTAACCTGCCTTGCGACCGTAACTAACTCGAGGCGTGTAGGATGGGGAGCACCCCTCAAATATCTGAATGGCTCGTCGACGTTTCAAGACGGCTACAGCCTCGACAACCGCTACACACCCGAAGACCAAAAGGCCATGTGGAAGACTATCACCCACAGTTATCGACCCATCCTTACGCTCTTTGGGCGCAGCAACTCGGACCCCAATGCCAAAGTCGAGCCAGGCTTCGCCAAACTGGTGTGCCTCCGGGCACAGGAAAAAGGTGAAGTGAACGAGCCGGCTTCTCAGGGCAACAACGGCAGCAACGGCTCCGGTGGCAAGAATAGTGCGACTGGTGTATCAACCAGTTGGGTATTGCTGCTCACCATGGTGGCCGCTGTCATGGCTTTGCACTAATGAATATAAAGAACACGAAAAGCTGCTGTATTGGAACGATAAAGTTCTTCTATTAGACTTTAGACGTTGGAAATCGCAAGTTTGGTTGTCTATTGACCTCGCACAGTCCTTACTGGTTGCCAGAGGTTGGGTCATGGCCCCCCTTACACGAGAGCGCATGAAGAGAAGGAGGAGAGAATGCTCCAAGTCATGTAATTTTGCTCAGATACATGAAAAAATAACGACAGCCTGAACCTCAGTGAAGAACTTCATGACAGACTGAATTCCTGTCCCTTAGGTACTCAGGTGTACATAGCCACAATCGAATAGAAATCTCACGCATACCCCGAGCAGTCCTTTACCTATTCCCTTCCCGCTGACTAAGGGCAGTTATTCTGTTGTCGTTTCGCGAGCGCCTCATGAATAGGCTCCAATTTCATCGTCGAAAACGACTTTGGATCGACGCGTACCGTGTCGTTGACCAGCAGACTCTCCCGGACCTCTCGTGCATTCGCCTTGGGGTGGCGAAGGGGCGCGCGGACCATGGAAATATCGCAGTTCTCGCTGACCATGTAGAGGTTGAGACCCAAGATCAGGGCTCTGACCTCGTGATCCGCCTGGTCCCAGTCCCATTCGCCCGAAATGACGACGCCGAGATAGTCCAGCAGGATGACGTTGGGGAAGCTGTCTGGGTTCATCTGGGCAGCGCCCTGCCAGAACAGGAAATCGTACAAGTTGCGAAGCGCGAGCTCCTGGAGGCCTAGGTACGTGAGCATGGTGGTGTCGTACGTCCCGATCCATTGCCCGATCAGGAAATCGTCTCCAATTTTGCGGAGGTCGGACCAGGCGTTCACGTTCTTTTCGATGATTGTCTTGCGGTCTGACGAGAAGGGCCACTACATCATGCTTTCGGTTAGCATACAGCTGCGCCGTAAGAGTAGACAGAGTGAATTCAGGTCATCAAGCCACATACCATATCCCATCTGTCCATGAAGTCTGTACCCTTGAAGATACCTTCAGACGGCAATGAGCCTTGTGCCCTTGAGCCATGCACGTCATCTGGATCGAGCATGATGAGCACGCAGCCTTCGCCGTTGTTCTGCTTCATGATGTCCTCCATCTTCATCTGGTTGAATTTGACTTTCTTGCCGTTGACCTTGAGAGAATCCTCAGAGCACCGTCGCTTGATGCCTTTGAGCAAGTCGTAGAATGCCTTCATCTCGGCCTCGTTGAATTCGCGGATCTCGTTTGTCTCACCCCCGCTCTTGGGGTCTTCATCAATTGAGTACATGTACCGAGTCCAGAGGACGATGACCTCGCCAGGATATTCGTCAGTGAATCTGTGAGGAGCTCGTTGTTAGCTTTGTCACTATACCGAGGACGCACCGCCCTAAGATCAGTGGCCGCTTCAGTTTGATTGTTAAGACTTACTTGTTCACCATTTCAACCACTTCAGTCCCCGTAATGCCAGTAGCACCAACGTGAAAGTCGCACGGCCAACACTAGAAATGCGTCAATTTCCGCGGGACTACAACATAACCTGACAATGAATATTGCTTACAGTGTGTGCCGTGTGGAAGTTGTAATCGCCGGCCGAGGGGTCAAAGGGACAGTTGATTATGCGAAGGTCGATCCAGCGGGAGCCTAGACGAAGCTGGTCATAGAGATTATGTGCTTGTGTCTGAGTGTTCATCTTGTCACCTGAGTTACCGTTAATATTAATGAGCACGGATAGGAATGCTGACTACTACTTACCAAGCCACGCGTACTTGCCAATGACACTCATTCCGGCATCGTGAGTACCTGGCATGACCACATGATTGAGGGTCCGGGGCCCGATCACGTCTTTGATCTCCTGCATCCATCCAATAGGTGGCGAATACATCGACGTGTAGTAGGTGCCGTAGTCATCGCTGCCTGTGATGACTAGATTGACCGCTCTTTGGCCTCCTCGCCCCTTGAATTCTCTCAACTGTACCGTGAAGTTAGCTTTTTTGACTGGCACGGTATAACACGGCATGCAAAAGTAATAGGACTTACACCAACACCGAGCCCACCCATGTCGATTCTGGGACGCAGCACCGACGGGGAGTCGGGGATGTGAGTTCGTGCCATGATGACAAATTTCTTGCCAGTCTCTTCGATGTGATAGTACGCCTCGCCGTTGTCGTCAACCGGGTTCGTGCCGCCCTTGGCGCCAAAGTAGTCCATGACATTCTGGCGCACATGGCCCGGAGGGACGTCGCCAAAGTCCATTCTGTCCATCTGGCAAAATTCGGTCCGATCTAACTTGAACGTGTACGGCGTGAGGTTGACGATAGTCACATAGATCTTGGACGAGTCGACAGCATCATCCCAATCTTTAATGGTGAAACCTGGACTGGGATACGATTCTCCTTGCGGTGGTCCCGAAGGCTTCTGAAACGTATTGTCTGCAGGATCGCAAAAGTTCTCATCGGGCTGAGAACCTAGTGATGCTGCGTCAAAGACTGAGATGTGGCTCCACTGGGGGTGGCCAGTCGTTGCCAGATTATCCGTGGAGAGAACGCCTTTACCGTCGGAAACGAGCGAGTACTTTGCGCCTATGGTAATCAAGTGCTGGATCCGCACATTATCGTAGTTGTCCTTCATGAACCAGAGGGCCTTCTGGCACGAGTGCTGGTCGATGCAGTCCTGTGTGTAGGTGGAGAACCAGCTATATGTACCGGCCGCTCCGATCATGATGTTCTCCGACCCGGTGATGACGACGGCCCAGGCAGTATCGCATCCGTCGAAGTCTCCTCCTTTGCAGGAATAGTCCGGATCGCTGGGGTACTTGCCCGCCTTGAAAGGGGCTGGTGCCTTGGGTGTTGGCTGGAAGTATGGGGGCTCTGTCTGCAGCATGCCCGCATAGACATTCTTGGCTTTGTAGAAGTTGTATTGGTACATGACGGCGTGCTCCGATGCAGTTCCATACAGCCATACTGGTCGCTTGCTCTCTATGAGAAGACCACGGGAGACATAGATGGACAGCTGGTCCATATTATTGCTGTCATCATCGCGAAGAGGGTCACTGTCAACTTGATTAGCAGCTGTTCTTATCATCGTCTCTCAGATGCAGGTGGAAAGGAAACGAACTCAATGAGGTGATCGGCGATCCAAAGCCACATGTTGTCGAACAATCCCGACGCCTTTGGGGTTATGTGCATCAGCATGTGAGCAGCTTGGCATTTGGCAGGATTTGTTCCGCCGGTGATGGGCGGGCAGTCGGAAGGGTTTTGGTCGGTGCCAGTTGCACCGCCGACTCGTGCGTGTACGTCTGAAATCATGTATCAGCATGCCCTCCGAATGTAGCAAGAACGAGGAATTCCTACCCCAAAGTGCTGCCGAACCCTGGCGCTCGGCCTGCACATTCCACTCAATGAGGATTGCGCCAGCGGTACCACCCTTGGTGAGCACGATGAAGTCCTGAAGCTCGACATTGCCAATATCGCCGTCCTTTCCGACGCGTAGGACTACCTTTGGATCGCTGAGGGAATGGTCAGTTCTTTGAGCTCAACTAGGGCAGGAATCTATTGCTACTTACTCCGCGTCCGAGAAATAGCTGCCGCGAGCCACGAACGAGGCCCAACATTCGCCAACTACCTTCGCGTTTTTCGGTATGGTAACAGTTCCGGTGAGGATGTATACGCCATTGTCCACAAAGAGAATCTTGCTTCCATCTGCGGCAGCATCAAACGCTCGCTGCACAGCTGCTGTGTCATCAGAGCTGCCATCGCCTAGACCATGTTCTGTCAGCGTGGTTCTATATGCGGTGTAGAAGCCGTTTACCTTTAGCACCATAGTCCTTCACATGAATGAACGCACTTGCATCTCTGTCCTCGTACTGAGGCCTCTTGCGCTCGAAATAGGGGCTCACGGGGAGACCGCCACTGCCCGAAGACACGAGGGATGCCTCACGAGATTTGGAGAGAGAAGTCACCCCATTGGCCCAGGATCTCTCGCCCTTGCTGTATGTTGGTCCCAGGACCCAATGGGTGACGGAGCCAGAGCCCGAGAGCACGGCCGTATTGGAGGACGTCACGACGCGGTTAGTAACCCCGCTGAATGCGCAGTTCTCTATGATCAGGCCAGTTGTGCCTGAGCCAGGCTTGCTCTCGACGCCCCCGATGACAATGGCTTGGCCCACATTTTCAAAGGTCGAGTCTACGAAGGCGACAGAGCCGATTGTGCCTTGACCTCCTTCGCCGAGCAGGCGGAAACCCACTTCACCTCCTGACACTTTAACTGATTTCCAGATCTGGGCATGTCCAAATTAGTCTTCATTCTGACAACAGGATCACGATGGAAAGCCTTACCCATCCCCAATCCCAAATAATCTGGACGGCCGTCTTACAGCCAATGAATGTCATCCTCTGGGCCGTGAACTGCTGGTTGCCACCGTCTATGCCCTTATTAGTCCGATAGCTGGCACGGGCAACCATGTAACCGGAATGCACTCACAAAAGCCAAAGTTGCCTCCACGGAATGTCACGTCTGACATAACACCTCCGCTTCCATTTTCTGAGACTGCAGCAAGGACACGTCAGCCAGTAGTTCTATAGAACTTGGTAATAAAAATAATACGGGGCTTTGGGGGATATCTCAGCTTACACATTCCCTGTTGAGTTGTGCCTGTTTTGGCGACAAGCTCTACATCCTGAAGGCTGGTGGCTTGGGCAACCTGGTAGTGGATGGCGCACACGTATGCGTTCGGGTCGGTCCGCGTGATATCAATGACAAAGTTGCGGATCTGGCTGTAAAATCGGCCGGTATTGACTATCGCAGCACGATCAGTATGAAGCTTTCCCTCATTTGATGTTTCACGTACTGTACCACTGTTTGGCATTCCCGTCTGGTCCAGTTCCTCCATCTGGCACGTACTCGTTTGTCGATAGCACACCAAGGCCAACGAAGCCCGCGGACGCGATGATCTGAGGCCTGTCGTTCTTGTCTCCGATCAACTGCGTCCCGAAGATAACCTGGATGGTGCTTGACACGAGATACCTGCCGGGCGGAAAGTACACAATGGCGTTCTTATTGGTTGCACCATTGCACTTTTCGGCACAGCGATCGCCTTCCATGATAGCCTTACGGATTGCCTCGGTATCATCCTGGAGTACTGTTAGCAGTCGTCGACAAATGCGGCAGCTTTGGTAGTCGTAGGGCTTACAGTCACACCATCACCCTTGGCATTGTACGGCGCAGACTTGACATTGCGAAACACTTTGTAACCGCTGGACCCACCCCAGTCTGAGGGATATGCACCTTTTCGCTCGATATGTTCCATCCAGAACGTTCCGCGCTTCTGTAAAACGTTCTGCCCACCGGTAGCATTTGCTTTTGCATCGGCCTCGGCAACTAAAGCAGCAGCGGCCGCGATCTCGGGAGTGATAGTGAGAAGAGCTGGTACCGGCTCGTCCTCGGCATCACGCTTGACGCGTGAGCTACTCCCTCCAACAGAGGTTTTTGGTGCTAGCTTGTAGATGTTCCGGGCCGGTTTGTCTAAGCGAGCTTTGTTCCGCTTCGAGGACTCCTCGATGGCCGCTTTGACAATCTTACGAGCATTTTCTATATCGGCTGGTGTAGCACCAGCGAGGAGAGGGGCAACAGTGTCATTCCCGCGGTCCTCTTGACGTGTCAGGAGTTCGGGCTTGGAGTCAGAGAAGTGTACGCCATGAATGATGCCTGCGAGAACCTCAGGTAAGGCACAAAGAAACAGGCACACCGAGAGCAGGAGGAACCGCAAGGGCACTGCTTGACTGGGAGGCATTGTGGAAGAGGTGCAATACTGTATGTTCCAGTTCTCGGCCAGGAACTGTTAATGTGAACAACCTCTGTAATCTCTCCTGGCTAGGCCAGGCAGGATGCTACAATTATACCCAAATGCTCAAGTAATCATCTCTCTGAGTCTAGACATCAACGGCAGGTGGTATTTCGCGTTGCTCATTTCCAACACCGCTTGACAGGACCTCTGCCAAGCCCTTCGGTGAGATCTATTGATTGAATCATGGGCTGTTTGACTTCTCTATTGGAGGGATAGTTATGAACCGTAACAAACAATGCATTCAGGTTGAACCCCTGAACTCTCGTCAGCACATTGTAGTATTGTTTCGGCCGACGACGCCCTTTTCGGACCAAAGAAGGCTTGAGCAGCCTTGGCGGATTAAATGGCCTTGGCAATACAACCCAAGCGAATCACGAGGCGCTTACGGGGTGGTCAGATAGACCCAATGCCCTGTGGCAACGTTCGAGCCGTGGTCTCACAAAGATAGGGTAAAAACGTGAGGGCGCTCGCAAAAGGTGACAATATCCGCGCCGTGGTGGCGCAGCAGCGGTTAAATGCACAACGTCGCCAATTTCATTGGTCTTCCACGGTGGTAAAGACTCGCATCTTTTCAATCGCGACTGGATGTCAAGCCTTCGCGTTCATCTCGGACCGTGGAACCTATCTTCCTTCATTACTTGACTAGCATACCGTGCCTTTTCAAAAAAAGAAAACACCTGGGGAAAGGGTGTAGCTTTTCTCGGATGCCAAAACCACACCACGACACCGATAATGAATGCTCCCGTCATCACACCAGCTCCCGGCGCAAACCTGGCAGAGCGACAAGAAAAGCCCCTGGGGTTGCCGACTTTCACGCCTGCAGGGTCCTGCCTTACCGACACATTTGTCAGAACAACAACATGTGACCGTGGATCAGCATGCTCCTACTACCAGCTCGGCAAGCTCGCCCGTGACTCGGCTTGTTTCCCAGATCCTTCACGGCACCCCGCCACACAATGTCCCGTCTCGTACGAAGCTGTGTCGTCGTCCTTGAGCAAAGACCTCGATGGTCAGACTACCGTCAGCCTATTTTGTTGTCCATCGTAAGCCGTTACCCTTAACCCCTCTCTTGCTCTCTCTTTTTTCGTCAACGACCATGTTCTAAAGAAAGTCTTGATGCATCCAGAGGGCACAACTTCGAGTACAGAGATACGAAACCTTTCGGTACGATCACTGCATCTTCCACACCTGGCCCCGCATTCGTCTTCAGCTGCGTTGCCTCCAGCCTGGGGCCGGGTTCCCAGACACAACTGACACTTGCTCCGTCGACAAACGGCCCCACAACGTCGGGGCCCGGGATCTCGACAGTCACATTCAACTACGGCTCCGACTATCTGGTGGCCACGCCAGTGAGTCTCCAGTACGTAGTGAAAGACGGCGGGACTACTTGTGCACCAAATTGCGCAACACCATGGAAGAGTGGTGATCCTTGGCCGGTAAGCACCGGGCCTAGACCGACTGAGACCCCGCCGAGAAGCGGTGACCCAGGGCTGGAAGCCCTGGGCAAGGGCGCGATAGCTGGAATCGTGGTCGGGTCAGTGGTGGGTGCAGTGGTGATTCTGGGACTGTTCTGGTGCTGCTGCCGGAGTTTGGGGCGCGGAGAGGCGCCGAGGAATAATAGAGCGGGTGCACAGACAGGTGGCATACCACTTGGGACTCGCTCGAAGCAATAATGGCTGTTCAAATGTGTCGACCTTATGTGCGGAGGGTTTATAACTCGTTTTGTCTACTGGTCTGGAACACTATCACGTTGTAATATTCTTTCCCATGAGCAAGACGAAATTGAATCGTAAACCAGAACGTTTCAAAGACAATATCATATATCAGAGTCACACACTCAATAATAATATTGAAATCTGGTGGCGGCAATGTTGAAAGATATTTTCTGTCGAGGCTACTTAGTAGCCAGAGCCATATCAACAGTCGACCGAGGTTGCTGATATGTGCGCAATTACCACTGAGCATACGGAACCAGCCAATGCTGGCATTTCCTAGCTCGTAAGCATGGAGGGAAAGGAAAGCTTGAGCGGTTGTCAGCTCAGACAAGTCAGCATCCAAGAGCGAAGCTGGGGCGGGGTTCCGTGGGGCGCGGGCCGGGATCCGTTCCGGAGCTGACGGGCCACATCCGACAAGTTCGGCAGTATTACAGGGTCCCGATAACGACTTCACGATAGTTCTATTACAAACATAAAGTCTTTTGGTGATTAACTCTAACTCTGCAAGACATTCAGAGACAAGAGGGTGGAAATTTCTTCTCCTATTTGCTGTACATAGCTCTCAACCTCAAGCAAGTTCAGTCACCACTCACCACAGCCACCCAGCCATGTCAAATCAGATTGCGTCGCCTGTCGTCGACGCGACGGGCAAGACGCGCCTGCGCGCTGCTCTCGAGAAGGCAAAAAGAGGAGAAGGTCCTTGTGTTGGACAATGGCTCGAGTTCCCAGGCTACACTCTGGCCAGGACGGTGGCGCCGCTGGGTGCAGATGTGAGTGCAGATCATTGATTGTATTCGAGCAATCAACCAGGGAGAACCAGCCCGCAGCTAAATTCCCTATACCGCAGTGGGTTCTCGTCGACACGGAGCACGGCAACATCGACGACCGTGATATGTACCTACAAGTCGGGGCCATCTCGTCATCAGGAGTGTCACCGATCGTCAGGATTGCAGGGTCCGAGCCGTGGATGATCAAGCGGGCGTTGGACTGCGGGGCGCACGCGATCATGGTGCCCATGTGCGAGACTCCGGTTCGTAGCCATCTGTTGGATATGTTGGTCTTGTAACAACTCGCTGACTTGGTGGCTCATCTGGAAAACAGGAACAAGCACAAGCCATTGTCCGCGCGGCCAAGTACCCATCCGCAACATGGTCCCAGGGCATCCGCGGCGCCGGCGGCATGTTTGCCCCGGCCAACTTCAACCAAAACGGGCGCGAGTACCTCCTCAGCGCCAACGACAACGTCATGGTGTGCGTGCAGATCGAGTCGCGGCTCGCCGTCGAGAACGTCGAGGCCATCGCGGCGGTCGAGGGCATCGACATGCTCTTCATCGGGCCCAACGACCTGGCCTCCTCCATGGGCTACGTCGCCTTCGACCACGCCTCCATATCCGAGGTGCAGGAGGCGACGGCGCGCATTCTCAACGCCGGCCTGGACGCGGGCAAGTACGTCGGCCACTTCGCGCTGAGCGCCGAGGTGGCGGCTGCCAAGGTGAAGCAGGGCTTCCACTTTGTCAACTGCGGCGCGGACATCGTGGCGATCACGGCCTGGATGTCGACCGAGATGGGCAAGCTCAAGAGCCTGTTGGCGGAGAGCAAGAAGAGCCAGACTAATGGCACGAAGCCTGACATTGGCTATAGTTGAGCAGTTGCTTAGAACTATAGAATAGACTCTGCGTTTTGACGCTCATTGAAGAGGTTATTAACACGTCACCTTGAAGATAGCCGGTACTTCGCAACTTTGACTCCTACGCCATGGCAACCAAAGCCTGCCAGTGAGGATTGCAAAACGCAGCGTTCAATAGAGACCAACATCAAAGAGCTCTTTCCTCAGAGTCTGGATCGGGAAGCGGACGACTATTGGTTGATTACTGTATGATCATGTATTCTTTTGCTTCGAGTTTGAAACATCCAAAGAGCGCACGAGCCTTAGACTGTTAAATCTCCATCGATAGTTAGTCCGTCGACAGACTCAACAACACCAAAGTCCCCAACATCATCACAGATTCCAATTTGGCCCCCTTTGCTATGTTGAGTGAACTCAGTAGAGATAGCGGAACGGCTTGGCCTTGATGGCGCCACCTTCTTCGATGGGCTTCTCCGAGTGCTCAACGTGGACATGCTCCTCGCGGTCAAGCTTCTTGTTCTGCGCAATGAGGTAGAAGCGCAGCACGAGGGCAAAGAGGCAGGCAAACCCCAGAATGGCAATCTCCGCGCCAAACGACTTGACGTACAGAGGACCGTACTTGGCTGGCCAGATGTACGAGCCAGGGATGCTGCCGATATTGCCCATGGCGTTGACAATGGCAATGGCGGCTGCTTTCTTGGCAGCGGGCTGGGGGAAGGTGTTGGAGATCCAAGCGAGAATGACGAAGCCCGAGGCATATCCGGCTGGAGCCATAGGCATTAGCTTTGAGCAAAAGGGGTAAGATACTTGTCAGGCTTCTTACTAGTCATGAGGAACATGGCAACGTAGCGAGGAGCCACAGTGGTGGTGGTCACCGAGATGATGTACCCAACAATACAAGCGATGGCCGGCCCGATGAAATGGAAATAACGTTCACCAGTGCGATCGGCGTGCCAGGCGTTGGGGAGGGAGACGAGGATGGCCCAGATCCATGGAGGAGCGGTGAGGAGAAGGGTCTTGGTGGAATCGAAGCCAAGTGCCTGGGTGATGGTTGGGAAGAAGAAAGAGAACTAGAGGCACTTATGTTAGGCTATGTCGCTCATCCTGAATCTGATAGCATTTTACTCACACTGAGACCCATGATGGTAGTCAGGTAGGTGATACCAAGAAGCCAGGTCTTGGGATCCTTGACCGCCATGAGAAGTCCCTGCACAGACGAGATTTCATCATTCTCATCAACTGCGTCGCTTCCTGCATCCAGCGCAAGGCGGCCAATGGCGATGCGTTTCTCTTCATCAGAGAGCCAAGAGGTGCTGCTGGGGTAGTTGGGTAGGATAAAGACAGCGACAGCCGCGAAGAAGACGGTGAGGACACCTTCGATGATAAACAGCCACCGCCAGGCCGCGAGGCCGCTCTTACCGCCCATGTTGGATAGGATACCAGCGGCGATGAGACCGCCGAAGGCCTGAGCGGCTAGGTTGCCGGCATTCAGGATCGTGACACGCAGCTGCATCTCCCGGCGAGTGTACCATCGACTGAGGAAGTAGAGCGAGCCAGGGAAGAAGGCGGCCTCGACGCAGCCGAGGAAGAAACGGCAAAGGATGGCACCTGTGGCGTTTTTGACCTCGCCCGTTGCGGCCGAGATGACACCCCAGACGGCGACGCAGGCACAGAGATACCAAGCGGGGCGCTTGACCGAGTTGAGGACCATGTTGGACGGGACCTGCATCGACACATAGCCGACGAGCAGGATGGAGATGCAAGTCTGATACTGCACGTCGGTCAGGCCCAGGTCCTTCTCGAGGCCCTTGAGTCGCGCGTTGGCGAAGTTGTTGCGGTCGATGAAGTTGAGGATGAAGAGCAGGATGAGCGTCGGGAAGATACGCAGATCCAGCTTGCGGACGAGGGCCTTCTCCGCGGCGGGGTCCCAAGACGAGACGACCACCGGGGCGATATCATCTGCCTTCATAGACGCAGTAGTTGCACGCTCTGCTGCCGATATGTCTTTCGCGTCCTCCATTTTGGCTGGCTCCATGGCGAGAATGTGCACTCAAGGGAGAGAGGAAAGGAGATTGGTACGAGAGACAGCGACAAGTCTCGGAAGATTGTGCAAGTCGAATGAATGAAAGGGAAGGGAAAATATGAAGATAAGTTTCAGGAAGGAAGTTGAGCTGAGAGGTCTGGCGACTGGGCAGATGGTGAGAAGTGGTCAGGATGCAGGCAGGGGCCAGCCGTCTGATATAGACAGGATCGACAGTCTTGCACAAGATATGCAAGAGGATATCGTTCACTCTCCGTGCTGCATCTGCAGGGCACACACACTAACTAGTCGTGGTAGGGAGGGATAGTGTCGCAAGTCGAGTTAGTATCCAGACCGCCATCGTCGAGGCTTGGCTCAGCTGCACGCCTCTCAACAGTAATCAGCAGGATCTGCTTGGGTCCAGAATGTGAAATATTGGCCCCCTGATCTGGGGTAGGCGTATCTTCCTGTGGAATCAGTGCTGCTTACCCCATGCCACAGGGCCTGGAACCCCACAGCAATACAGCAATGCAACCAGAATTTGACATGCCAACCATTCTTGCGGGACGTGATGTCCAATCGAACTCTGGGGATAGAGACAATTAGTGGGCGGGCCGGGCTCCAGGCCGACGCCAATCCGCAAACTGCATCGCCTGTTCAGTCGGCCGGGGTGTGATCCCCTCATTAGTCTCCTTTACTGAGGGGCGTGCCGGGCTCCGAGCCGAAACCGCGATCATGGGCTGTGAGGCAGCTTTCGGTTATCTCCAACATTCAGTGCTTTCTCCGCTTCTCTTTTCGGCTGCGATGATGGACTACACCCGACGTCTCTACCCGGAGAGTATCTTATAATTCTAAACCTCGACACAAGCATCAGCCGGCACCGGACCTTGTCGCTACACTCCAACGAGAACGAACAAGCAGCCATGTCTCTCCCAACCTCTAATCGTGCACTGGTGTGGGTGGGCAAGCGCAAGTTGGAGGTCCAGCAGAGACCTGTCGTTGCGCCCGGTGAAGGCGAGGTGCTGGTCAAGATCATGTCGACAGGAATTTGTGGCTCAGACTGCCACAACTGGGAGAGCGACAGTGTGTCGAAACAGCTGGTGCTGGGCCACGAGTCTTCAGGCATTATCGAGCAGGTGGGCAAGAATGTCACGGACCGGTTCGTTGGGCAGCGAGTCGCGGTCGAGCCGGGCAATGCTTGCATGAAGTACGTTTCTCTCCCCGCAGTGTCCACGGTCTCGCTGTATTAGCGACTGACTTTGCCATGACTGTCCGTAACAGCTGCGAGTTTTGCTTGAAGGGGAACCCCAACGTCTGTGCCAACCTTAAATACTGCGGAATGGACCCGACCGACGGTACGATTTGCCAGTATTACACATGTCGCACATCGATGACAGTGCCCATACCGGACAATGTTTCGTGGGAGGAGGCCGGGGCTATCCAGCCTGTGGCCATTGCGGTTCAACTGTCCCGGAGAGCTGCGTTGAATGTTGGCCAGACAATGGCTATCTTGTAGGCATTGTCCACTCTTGAGACTTGAATGAGTTGAGCACTGATCTGTCACCATCATGTAGTGGCTGTGGCCCTCTTGGCCTGCTGGTCCTTGCGGTTGCGAAGTCTCACGGCGTCAAGAAGATTGTCATGTTCGACATTGAGCAGTCACGGACAGAGTTTGCAGAGAAATATGGCGCCGACGTCGGAATCGCAACTCCCAAAAACACGGACCCTTCTGTGGACTCCCTGACATTTGTACAAAACTACGCCAAGGAGGTCATCTCCAAGCACGAACTGGGACACGGATTCGATGTCGTTGTCGAGGCTAGTGGCGCAGACATCTGCAGCCAGATGGGCGTGTTCATGCTGAAGGCGGGCGGTACCATGGTCCAGGCCGGTCTGGGCAAGCCTTTGACTTCGGTCCCCTTCTTCCAGGTTACGGCAAAGGAACTTACCATCAAAGGTCAGTGCTCCTAGTTTACTTGTCTTCCACTCTTCACCTACTGATGCCTCCAAACTAGGCACTGTCCGTTACACACCTGGCTGCTTCGCGGACGCGATCAGCCTCATCTCTAGAAAGCTTGTTGACTTGAAGCCCCTGATCACATCTACATATCCCCTGACTAAGGGAGCCGAGGCGTTTGAGGCACAGCACGCCAGGAAGGATATCAAGATCATTATCATGAACCAAGAATGAAATTCAGTGTTGTAGTATTTAAAAGAGATAGTAGATAGACCCTTCAATGACCGGACGATCGCAAAGTACGGTAATAGATGCTATCTTGAAAATTTCTAGACGACTCACCGACTACCTAGTGTGTCACTCTTGATACCGAGGCCTTGGTACCGCGTCTCGGTCGGTTGAGGACCTCTCATGTGGGGAGGCCCGCACTCTCTTGGACCGATGGCTGGAACCTAGCCGCGACCCCCCTCTCGGCTCGGGGAAAGGACGGCATACAATACCACCAAGTACTGCATACATCTGCTCCATAGGGACTCTTGCTTCTCCAAACCCTTCACCAGATCCGAAACGTGTGCCTTATACCTTGTAAGCACTAACCATCCCGAACCATGACGTTTCCGGTATGTACACTCAAATCGTAAACTTCAAAATCCCATTGTCAAGTTAATCCTGGGACACTTATCCTGATTTTATCAGGTGGTATACGGCGCTGGAACGCTCTGGATGAGAGGTCCAGATGGCGCACTCAATGCCGAGACTGTGAAGGCTTTTCGAACAGCAATCGATCTTGGGTACCGTCAGATTGATGGAGCCCAGAGTAGGTCTCCTTGTACATTTTCGCTTCCCTGATGATTTTTACTAATCACTAGCAGTGTACAACACGGAGCCAGAGCTGGGGGCTGCCATCAAGGAGTCCGGAGTGCCAAGGTCCGAATTTGCCGTAACCACCAAGACCGTGGATATCGACCACGTCGAACAGACCCTGAAAACGAGTCTGTCCAAACTGCAGATGGCCTACGTTGATCTGTATGCCGTGCTGCATTTCCTTGCATCTTTCCAAGGAGCAAAACAGACTGACATTCACTGCATACAGATATCTCATACACACGCCCTTCGTCGCCAAGTCCAAAGAACACCTGCAATCGGCATGGCGCGATATGGAGCGCTGCGTGCAGCGAGGACTGGCAAAGAAGATCGGTGTGTCTAGCTTCACCATCGAGCATGTCGAATGGATCCTCGAGGTCGCTACCATCAAGCCAGCCCTGAATCAGATAGAGATGCACCCCTATGTCCAGCAGCCAGAGCTGATGGCCTACCTGAAACAGCACGGCATTCCCATCCAAGGCTTTGCCGCGCTGACGCCGCTAACCAAGGTCAAGGACGGCCCAGCTGTCAAGCCTTGCAAGGAGCTCGCAGAGAAGTATGGAGTAAGCGAGGCCGCGGTCCTGCTCCGCTGGGTCATTGACCAGGGAGCCTCGGTTGTCACCACCAGTGCGCAATCCGAGAGACTGGCGGGGTATCTAGAGCAAGTTGGCAAATTTCAATTAACGTCTGAAGATGTGCAGAGCATCAGCGAGCCGTCAAAGGGTGAATACTTTAGGGGCTTCTTTGCAGAGGATTTCGAGACTTGGGGCAAGAGAACGAAAGACTAGACATCATAGATGAGCTTGCTACAGCAATGAGGCATTGATGCCATCAATTCTATATTCGTGCGAATTGAGCAAGAGTCTCTTGTCATGATTCCTACTGTTGGCCAGCAAATATCTCGCCTAGTCTTACAAGGTCCTGCCACCTTGAATCGCGCTGCACCTCGACTGTCGCACTTGGTGTAGCCACCTTCATCTCATCTAACGACTTGGTGCCGAAGCTATAGCTTCGGTCATTTTGAACAAAGGCCACAAGGATCTTGATCCATTCATCCATAAGTTCCCGCTCCTTAGGTGTAGGTCCGTGAAGGATAGAGTAACTATTGGAGGCTAATGTCAGCAAACCACATGGCTGGCTATCCTGAGCTGAAGAAACTTACTTCCAGAACGGCTTGTCCATTGCGTGAGCTACTCCGAAAGACATGGGAACCTGCTTTTCGGTGATAAACGAAAGACGATATGCGATTTGATATCGCCATATCCTGTCCAACGGAACTCCCTTTTGACTCAACCCCTGAACTAGGGCTCTTGATGGGGCGCGGACCTGCCCATCCGAAATGATGCGACCAAACAAATCTCTCCAATCCTTCTCACTACTGCCCTCAGCTGGGAGAGCATAGTTCTTGAGGATCCTCTCTGCGGTGGTCTCGCCGTAATAATTAGCGACCTCGATCTTGAGCGAGTCGAATCCAGCATCCGGTGTATTGTAAGTCGCGTATAAGGTCTCTTCGTTGAGCACCTCTCCAATTAATAGACGCATGTCTCTCTGCAGAAACTGATCGGCGAACTGCTGGCTGCGCTGGTACTCCATCATGCCCGGCTCGATAAAGAGCCCATCAGTAACGGGCCGGAAGGTGTGGCGTGTAAGGTGCTTCAGTGCCTCGACTAGTTTCTGATGGCTGACCTGGCGTAGTGCTGCCAGCTTTTCTGCGCCAGTCGCGGTCGCTGAGATTTGGAAATAGTCGCACAGCTCATCAAACTGAGGCTGCGCTTCGGCGAGGGGTCGAGGTTGCGCCGGGATGGCATTGGAGCACATGAAGACACGGTGAAATAGCTGGTCTTGCTTCTGAGCGGCTGGCGACAGGCGAAAATCATGGATAAGCTGCGCGTGAACACCATAGGAGCCGGCACTGCGGCCAGCGAGCGTGATGTTGTCGACATCGCCATTAAAGTAGCCAATGTTGGCTTTCACCCATTCCATTGCCAGCCTCTGATCCCAGAGACCAAAGTTGCCAGCGTACTCGCCATTGCTCTCGGCTGCAAGCTCCTCGCTGGCGAGGAAACCAAAGACGTTCAGGCGGTAGCCAACAGCCACAACAATTGCGTCGAGCTGACCAGTGGAAATCTTCTCGACGGGGCTCATGCTCTCCTCCTGCGACGGAGTGCCCATCTGGAACCACCCACCGTGCAGCCAGATGTACACCGGCCATTTCTTGCCCTTGTCCTCCGGGCGCTCGACTGGTGTCCATATGTTGAGGATCAAGCAGTCTTCGCTGAACGCCTCGTCGTCTATCACATCCTTCTCCACCCCGGAGATGAAGGCGGACTGCGGACAGGGCGCTCGGAATTCAATTGCGTCAAACGGAGCTCCATCCTGACCGGAGTAGGTCCAGGTCTCGGGCAGCGCGCGAGGTTTCTTCCACCGGTACTCTCCTGTCGGCGGCAAGCTATAGGGCACACCGGTATAACGGCGCGCCTTGTCGTCGAACTGAACACCCTTGATCTTGCCCTTTTTGCCCAGATCGAGAACGTGCGGTGCCTCGTGGTAGGCTGAAAGTGTGTTGCCCATGGTGCATGTGTCAAGGTCGATGGTGCCAAGACTTGATACAATCAACCAAAACTACTGAGGAAGGAAAGGTCGCTCTGGAAGCAACGGGCCCAGTTTGGAGATAAGCATTCTAGCGTGGATGGAATGGTGCAAGCGTCGGCCATTTTTCCGAACTGATCTGGCCGACCGAATACGGAGTGAAACTGGTGGGTTCGGTCGGAACACGACCTCACTGAGGAGTCGGGTCACCCAATACGGGCCGAGAACCGTTCCGCCTGTCGTATGCAACACACCATCTCCGCTGTCTCATCGACACTAAAGGGATCCGACATGATGGCTGCAAATGCGGAGAGTCCTTGACGAGACGCGCTTGGCGTGGAGAAGCACACCACGGGCGAACTATAATTTGTATATTGCCCTGATACGATACATTTTATGCGTGAACTGCTCTTCCCTACCAGCACTCACTAGTACTTCCTTTGGCTGCTTCGTCAAACAATATGACCATCACATACCGAGCTGCTCGCCTGTTGACGAGTAGTGATGCCGAGATTATCCAGGACGGTGTAGTTGTAGTTGATGGAGAGCTAATTACAGCAGTTGGCCCATGGTCAACCGTCAGTACCTCCTTGGGAAACTCGCAAGTGAAAGACCTTGGCGACGTGACTTTGATGCCGGGGCTCTTTGACTGCCATGTAAGTCGTCCCGACTAACTCCAGGAATGTTACGCCGTGAGCACCTACTGAAAGTTTTGGCTGACCTCAACAGGTCCACCTCCAGCTGGATCCTACCGGCATGAGCACGACAAAGGTCACCCTGACCGATGAAGAACTGCTCCCTCTCATGGCCAAGCACGCAGCCAAGCTCCTGGACGCCGGCGTGACCACCGCGCGGGATCTCGGATCTCGAGGGCTGACCGTCATCACCATCCGTGATCGCATCGCCCGGCACGAGATACCAGGCCCGCGTATGCAGTGTGCCAACGCGCCACTCACCGTCCCCGGCGGCCACGCTTGCAGCATGGGCGGCGAGTGCCAGGGCGTGGAGCAGTGTAGGCAGCTGGTGCGGCAGCACAAGGCCGAGGGCGCGGATCTGATCAAAGCCATGGCCACGGGCGGCTTCCTCACTCCTGGCACCCATGTATGGGAGGCTCGGTACTCCCAGGAAGAGATGGATGCCATGGCGGACGAGGCGCGCAAGTGCGGTCTCCCCATAACTACGCATGCTATCGGAACAGAGGGCATCGAGAGAGCAGTTGAGGCGAGATTCAACTGCATTGAACACTGCTCTTTTCTGTCTACCAACCGTAGGGCCAAGTTTGAGCCTGAGATAGCAAAGAAGATGGTGGAGTATAATGTGTCTGTCTGTCCGACGGTAAGTTGAGTGTGCCCCGAGACATTCCACCAAGCTCTGTCGTTGATGATCGAACTGCAGATGAACACAGCATGTAGCCACGATAACTACTTCTGTCCCTGGGATGCTAGAGAAGCTGTGATGGAAGTCCTGGGTTCTCTTCGGAAGGCTGGTGTCAACGTCGTCGTCGGCACCGATTCTGGCATTGGACATTGCCATTTCGAGCGGTATGCCGATGGACTCTTCGCCATGGCCGATGCAGGATTCACTACTCGCGAGATCATTGCTGCGGCTACTGAGAAGGCGGCTCGGGTCTGCCGGCTCGAGGGTGTGACCGGCAAGCTTGCAAGAGGCCTTGCGGCTGATCTGGCTGCCTTTGCTGGTAACCCATTGGAGGATATCAAGGCCTTCGAGCACCCACGCTTTGTCATGGCTCGTGGCGAGGAGTATAAGCAACAGCCAATCCCTCCAAGAGAGGACCTGACTGAGATCAAAGACCAGGTCATCAAGATGCTTCGGGATGGCGCCGGCATATAATATTTATAGCACAATGTACCTGATATTGTTCACACTATACTTTACCAAGTCTACGAGCCAGGTGCGGCTACACTTCCCATGACTTCTTCACAACTTCAGCAAACCTCGCAATACCTGTCTTCATTTGATCCTCCTAAAAGCCAAACTGTCAGTACACTGTCAAGTCTTTCTGCATCCCTGTGGGCTTCGACTTACCGTTGCCATTGAGAAACAAAATCGGAAATACGTCATATCAGGCTCGACAACCTGGACCTTTGAGGTAGCCTCTTCGCCACCTTGCCAAGGGTAGTAATATGAACCAGGTGTAAGTAGGATCTGGTAATAAAGTCAGCATTTGTTACGCAACAATTAACGATAGGTAAAGCATACTAGATTCTCGGCGAGTTGTGACCAAAACTCGTTGGCAAACTTTTCCTCGGGCCCAGTCACGCTCTTATCGGACTTGAGCTGTCGGAACCTGGGATTCTGGGCAAGAAGGAACCTGGTCCAGATGAACATGCCGCCGGTAGGGGCTACAAAGTTGAAGATGGGCGTTGAGCCAGAGCCATTGGCGTGTCGAAGGCTAGCCACAATGCCGTCACCCTTGAATCCTGAGACCTGCTCCGCGGGTACAAGGTCAAAGTGTGACGAGAAGGCATCAATCATCCAGTCACGCCGGGTCTGGTACTCAATGCGTAGGCGCTGTTGCCAGGCCAGATAGCCGTCATCCCCCCAAGCCTTGAGCAGCTCGAGAACGAGTGCCTGCGAGAAGCCCGACGGGTCCTGGGTCTCGACCTCAGTGGCTCGCAGCAACCGCTCGGTGAAAATGGGATTGGCTACGAAGTATCCCAACCGCAAACCAGGAGCGAGAGACTTGCTGAAAGATTCTAGGCGGATGACCCGGCCCTGGTAGTCGTATCGTAGCAAAGACGGCGCCAGGGACTCTACAAACTTGTCTGAAGGCAGGATCTCATGATCAGGCTTTGACCCGCCAATCTTGTAGTCGGGATACTGAATAAAGTAGTAAGGGTCATCCTCGACGATGATAACATCTGATCATAAATAGATTAGTGGCGTGCCACGGCACAACCCGACGTATCAGTTGAGACTCACCATGCTTGACACAGGTGTCATAAATGGCCTGTCTCCTCTCGGCGCCCATCGTCAGACCCGTCGGATTGGAGCCGACGCTCACCATGTAGAGAACATGGGGCTTCCTGACGCCGGGATGCGTTTTATCCCAGCAACTCAGAACCTCCTCGAGGGCATCTGCGCGCAACCCCTGGCCGTCCAGGGCCACAGGTGCAGCAAAGTTGCCGTGCGGAATCCAGTGGGCTTGAGATGATGGGTAAGTAAAATTCTCTGTCAGGATATAGTCTCCCTTCTCGACCAGGAGCCCGGCGAGCTTGCTCCAGGCATTGGTGTTACCCGGATGCAGCAGGATCTCAAAGTCGGCATAAGCTGGGCGATGAATCTTGGCGGTGAAGTTGTAGGCCCACTGTCTCAGCTCAGCGTTGCCTTCGCAAGTGCCTAGTTGCAGAGAGTTAGTGGTGACTCCATAGCGCCGGGTTGATACATCTGGGGTGGTAATGACTTGGGACTTACCATATTGTAGAAACTTGGCAAGTGGAGGGGTCGAAGTGCTGTCGATCCGCAGCTTCTTGGTCTCCAAAGCGGGAATGCTGTCTGCCGGAGACAAGGGATCCACCAAAGTAAGGCCAGTCTCTTTAATGGGAAATAGGGATGGGTGAGGCAAGCCTAGACAGTGATATACAACTTAATATCCGTTCTATGCAACCTCAACCTCCGCCAAGTCTGAGATTAAGATCGGGATCTTACCACCAGACAAACTAATCATGCCATCGTAGGCCATGAATTTGATAATATCCTTGAGAGGGCTAGGGTGTCGAGACTTGGATAATGTATTGAGGTGATGTGATAAGTCGATGGCCTTGGGAGGCGTGCCATTGGGATGATTCAGCGCCATTGTGCTGGGGCTGACTGGGAAGCGGAAGCCTGACTGTGCTCGAAGCCGGCAGTTGATCTCTCGCTTACTGTAGCCTCTGCAAAGAATGCTTTGGTTGTTGGGGTTGGTTGGGGGATGTCCTCTGCGTATGCCTGCTCTGACAAACAACAGCCAAGGCCGTCCCACCAATGTCCCAGAGGGAACATCTTATCCCACACGATAGGTGGCACATCCGGGCTCCGTGCCGATTTCGGGCTATCACCGGTTTTGGGCCAGCACCGCTATCTGGAGACCCTCCCAATCAACTTCACCAAATGGAGACGATGGATGAAAACCACGCGGCTAGTCTGGGGTAGGGGAAACTAAACTGCAATACTAGAGGGATTTGGGGCATAAATCAATCGCCGCTGTCCATTTCAATTCGACCTGTCAGCCAATACTTGAACTGGCAGACCGGAAGAGCTCCGACACCACCATGATAAGCGAATTCGGTCTCCAACACATTGGCTCCATCAAAGATGGTCGTCCAAGACCGGGGTAGCGGCACACCTGCCGCGTCGTGGATTAGCACTGAAGATCCCCCTGCAACGCAGAGCAAGACGTGGTTATAAATTTCCGGCCGCCCTCCGGGGACACTATTCACATCGAGCCAAGCTTTGTGGTTGTTTCTTTCTTGGCCATCTGAGTATTAGCTTTCATTGCCGACAATATGGGTTCCACTGATGAAACGAAAGCTGCCGTCCCTCAAGGTGAGGATGGCGTTGCACTTGAGAGCGTCCCGCCCGCGGTCGCCGCTTCTCTTCACGATGGCAAGATGGATCATATCGCAGATGTGGCCGTGGACATGGTTCATGCAGCAGAGGAAGAGTTCACGGATGAGCAATACCGGAAGGTTTTGCGCAAGGTCGACTGGGTTCTCCTGCCGCTCATGTGGGTGAGTTGTCGCTATTGATCCTTGCTTCGAAAGCAGGCTTGTTCTAATCTGTCATCTCTCTCTCTCTCTCTCTCTCAAAGATCTGTTCCGGCGCGCAATATGCAGACAAGGTCTCGGTATCTACTCAGGCTACCTTTGGTTTGATCGCCGATACCCACCTGGTCGGCCAGCAATTCTCATGTATGTGGTGGTCGTAATCCCGATTTCTAATGGATAGACCCAACTAACATGCTGATAGGGCTCACCTCGATCTTCTACATCGCGTTTCTCGTCGCCGAGGCGCCAGGCAATTACATCTTGCAGCGTGTTAGTGTTGGACCGACCATTGCGGTTAGCATGTTTATCTGGGGAATCCTAGTGTTCTGCATTGCCGCTGCCAAGAACTTTGCCAGCCTGATGGTGTTGCGCTTCCTTCAGGGAGCGGCTGAGTGCACGACCTACCCTGCCCTCATCTATATCACGGTAGGCTTGGATATTGACTGATTCCATATGAAGACGATCAAACTGACCGTAAGTAGTCAACTTTCTACACTAGCCAAGAGCACGCCCACAGATCTGTTATCTGGGGCACAGCCAACGCTGGTATGGACATCTTGACCAGCCGTAAGCCCCCCTTCCATCTATTGATTTGTACAAGTTCTCTTCAACTAACGAACTGTGCTTCAGTGATCAACTACGGTATTGGTACACATGCGAAGGAACACCCCAACGGACTGGCCCCATGGAAGGGCATCTCTCTCTTCCTAGGCGCCCTTACTGTCGTCCTGTCCGTCATTACTTACTTCATCTTCGGCACACCCCGTGAAGTACGCTGGCTCACTGCTGAGGAGAAGCGCATCGCCCAAGCACGTATCGTCCGAAACCAGACCGGCACCGATGTCGAGAAGCAGCCCTGGAAGTGGGACCAGGTCGCCACCGCGTTCAAGGACCCGCAGACCTACTTCCTGTTCTTCCTCGTCATCATCAACTCCATTCCCAACGGGGGCACGACATCCTTCGGCAACCTGGTCTACGTCTCCTTCGGCTTCACCCCGCTCGAGACCATCGTCAAGGGCAAGATCCCGCAGCAGTGCCTGTCCATCATCACCTTCATCATCGCCGGCTACATCACCCTCAAGAAGCCGGGAATGCGCTTCTACATCATGATGGCGTCCGTCGTCCCCGCCTTCGCCGGCATGCTGGCCTTGGCCCTTCTCCCTAGGCAGGGCATGCTTTGGACTCGTTGGGGCTGCTACCTGATCACCATCGTCGGCAACGTCGCCGGCCCCATGATCTGGACCTTGGTGCCCTCCAACATCGCAGGCCGGACAAAGAAGTCCGTCACCGGGACCGTGCTCTTCATCGCCTACTGTACAGGCAACTGCATTGGCGCGCAGGTCTTCCAGGCCAAGGATGCTCCTCGATACATCCCGGCCATTATCATCTGCTCCTGCATGTACGGATTAGAATTCGTCGTCATGTTCTTCTGGCGGCTCTATTGTAAGTGTGAACGTCTTGTCACAGACCTTGTGCAACAAATTTGACTGACCGTTTCCCAGACATCTGGCAGAACAAGCGTCGTGCTCGCCTCGTGGCCGACATGGGACTCACCCCTGAGGAGTCGCTTCACCAGGGTGCTCTCAATGCTGAGTCGGACATGACAGACTATGAAAACATTCATTTCCGGTATAGTTATTAGTTGCAGTGGCAAATTGAAGGGTCTAGGAATGATCGGCGGGACATGTTAGGAGTCGTCGCATATCGTGTCAGATATCTGAATTTTGCTTCTTTGAATTAAGGTCCTAGTCACGTTGTCAAGGAACAATCTCAAAGGCTTTAATACTACACTAGAAACCATTCCAAGGAACAAACGATGAGCTGTTACCCCCTAGGTCATTGACGTCAAACCACGGCAACACATCTCCCCACAGGATGTCTTCCATCTGGAAGCCGTTCTCACCATCCATCTCTGCAAAGACACGTTTGTTAGACATGGCTGCAGGTCTCTGATCCGCGGGTGTTACTGTTCCTTGGCCCGAAGTGATGGCTTGCTGCTGTTGTTGGAGCCGACATTCGGCTATCAGATGTTCGATGATGGCCCGACTACGACTAGCCCCTGACCAACGGAACTCGAGATTCTGGAGATACCCGGCGCATTTCTCGGCGTCGTCGATGACTTCTGGCCCCAGGTGCTTGGATGACATACGCAGTCTAAGAAATTGAGGATTAGTAGGGCGATTCTAGAGAGTCAAGAGGTGTTGGCAGATGCACTTACAGAGCAACGCCTGATAGCGTCAAGAAGTGCACACATATGGCGAGATAGTGCGAAGGCGGGACGAGGTCGCGCACGAGCTCGGCGGCATTGATACAGCTCTTCGCTGCGCTCATGCACTGTGCCGTGGCGTCCGCCATCTCTGTGCTGGCGCTGGACTGGCTGCCGCCAAAACGCTTTAGGTAGTAGACAAGATCCCTAGCACATTTCCACCATCAGCAAACGGTTTTCACCGAGGCTTCAAATCAGGGATGGCATTTGCGCTGCTTACCGGTAAAGGTTCAAGAGCGAGCCGGCGTGCATGATGAAAATGATGACGCACATCACGAGGCCCGAGTCTCCCGCGGCAGCGCCGTTGACTTCGTTGGCAGAGAAGCGCACGGTGTCGGGTAGAGTCTCTAGCCACCCTCGGAGGGACTGGTCGAGAGCGCGGACTCGTGTCAGGTACCTCCTCGTCTTCTCTGCGGAGTGGGTCGAGGGACGGCGCAGTCGCAGCGGAGAACCAAGCTGCTGTATCCGGCCGGAGAGCTGGCACAGGCGAGCAAATGCAAGGAACCCTGTCAGCGGCTGTGGCGTGCCTGTGGCCACGAACGCAGCTCGGCCGGAGGAGCAGTGACGCTCGAGGTCCTCGTCGCTGAGATCTAGGGGCAGCTCGCATGAGCAGTCTCTCTCTTGAACGGCCATTGGTCGACCGAGACAGATCGAGACAACGCTATGAGATGGTGTCAGACAACAACAAATAAACAAAAGAGAGATCCGGTGCAGAGGCCTACCGTTCCATGCAGAATATGCTCCACCAAGTGCGGCGCGCAACCTGCTGCCGAAGCCTTTCAGAGGCATCAGATGCGCCACGCTTGGCGCCGGCGGCCTTCATCTAGAGCAGCATCATAGTAAGTATCGGATATCAGGCTGGACATAAGGGAGGACCGGCTCACATATCGGTTGCTAAGATGTAGGCCGATGTCCATCGCGGACCGGACAGCCTGGCCAGCCAAGCTCCAGCTGCGAGTGAGCGTGTTCCAACTCGCCGCGCACATCGCCAGCAGGGCCAGACACTGCACATTCTCCCACGAAGCTTGACCCGGAGAGGCGTAATGAAGGAGCAGTGCCTTTTCATAGTACTCGATACCTGGGAACCCCCGCTCCGAAGTGGAGGGCAGTAGACCGGACGCACACGCGCAGACGGCGAAGAAAACCATCAGGAACTCCTTGTCCTGGCTCGCTGATGGCGTGCTACCTCCCCGTAGCATCCTCGAGTACTTCTCCATGAAATGGGGTTTGAATATGACAGGAAAGGTGTAGTGCAGCTTGTCGAAATACAAACCGACGAGGATGTCAGATACATACTGCGGTGGTCTCGACAGCTGCTCCGGCTTCGGGAGGTATGGTAGTTCGGGCCAGACCCGGCCGCGGATGAACAAGGGCAGTTCGACGTCGGTATTGTGAGTTGTCTCTCCAGTTTCGTGGGCAACGCCTGAAGCGGGCGTATGTGTCTGCGTAAGTGGTGAAACTGCTTTTGCGGCGTCGATGAGCATCTTGTTGGTGGCTCCACCCACAAAGCTTGCGCGATACATCAGTATGGAGTAGCAGTGTTGACATGTAGCTGGAGCAAGAACTCACCGAAGACGACCATAAGAGTCTGTAACGAGAGCACCCGCTTGGTCTTGGGTGTCTTCTTCTTCCTCATCTTCGCCATCTTCCGGGACATCATCCTCTTCTTCGTCCGGAACTACGCACCCGTCCTGCTCACTATAGTCGGAGGGCTCATCGTCGTAAGCCCGAACCGCGGCCGGATCCCGGAAGGCGAGCTGGCCAGTTGCTGGAGTGTCCAGATGGCCATATTGACCATCCTGTAACGGTCCTTGAGGCAAGCCACCGGGAAAAGACCGAAGAACATTGGCGGCCTGAATCAGATCCTCGCTCAGTCTGCCGTCCGGACGCGATGAGGACGAAGCACGGCTTAGAACGTCCGTAGCCTGAGACAGTGTCTTTGCAAGGCCCTCAAGTCGTTGGCAGACGAAGTCCATATGTTGGCACCTCGCTTCAAGCGATGATGCATAGCTACATGATATCGCTGGTTAGGCAAACATATATCCGTATGACCAGGTTAGATAACGATACTGACTATCGGCTGACAGAGGCATGGTCCTTCGCCTCGGGGAAGACACAGCTGTGGCCACGAGAACTACAGTTATGGCATGGGTTCTTGCCATCACACTTGACCTAGGCGGCGTCAGAGACCTGTATCCGCAGACGAAGGCCACGGATGGCGACGATGACACAAACGACACAAACCTTCTTGCGGCGACAGCTCTGGCACGCTTGCCACACACGCCCGGGAGTGCTGCCAGGTGGTGACAGTGGGTCTGGCAGGATGCCCGAATCCTGACCTGCATGCGACGCCATGTGCAAATGTGTGTTGATGGCTGGCGAGGACGAGGTTCCGGCGTTACAGATGGGAACTAACTGAAGACTGCGATTGGGCCCCGCTCACTGTCGTGCCAGTGAATGTTGCATCTGCCCTCTAAAGTATGGCTTCTGGCAATAATGATGGCAAAGACGCTTTCACAATCGCAATCGGGAAGCTCAGAAAGCTTGGTATGTTGCCCTGCGTTATGTCCCAGTGGAACAGCGACCGGGTGTGGGCACTACCGCGACAGAAAACCCTCAAGCTCGCTGTGAGAGCCAGGCACACACACGCTCCCCATCTCCCCATCTCCCCTAGACCACTAACCCAACCGTCTGTCCAGTCACCCTGCCCGTATTCGCGAACCTTGGAAGGCGAAATGTGGACTCAATCTCTCACTGAGCCCAGCGCTAGTCCAAGACCAGCTTAATATACCGGATTAGGAGCCGACGCCCTGGCCGCGGGACTGAGAAGTGTGCCCCGTAGATAAGTCGATAATGACCTGATGGAAACACGCACGCAATGAGAAACGCCGTCCGTGGTAGTGATAGCAATGCGCTGACCTCACCAACCTCCATTCACGCTTCAGCGGACAGGTAACGGTTGCATGCATCTCACGGGTGTTCAGCAAAGCCGGAGGCGAAGAGCCGAGACAGGCACAAATTTCGGAACTGCCCCGGCCGCCTCCACCCCCAGACCCGAGATGATCAGGGACCCTGCATGGAACCAATCTTGCCCAAGCCAAGGCGACTGAAACCATCGTATTGCACCCGAGCAAGTCTATCTTTGTTGACAAAACGCCGAAATGGACGTTGCGGTACGTACATCTCTGTCATCACCAAACCCGGATCCGGATCCGATGGGGCGGCGGGTATGGCACATACGGGTTCGGATAGAGCACTCACCTCCACCAGAAAGCACTACTCCGTACACAGAAAGCAGAGAGATAGCAAAGCTCCCGTTAGAACCGCTTTAGATAGCCTTATCTCTTAAATGTGCTCGTAATGAGAACGGTTCGCAATTGATCTAGATGGAACGCCTCTAGCGTTCTCACTTGCTTTATGAGGCGACGACAACTTCGAAAAGGATTCTATCAGAAGTCTACAGCCATGCCAAGTCAAGCTCCATAAGCCACGAGGATGCACCCCGACTAATGCATGGAGGCGGGCAAAGCTAAGGTACAGCAAAACGGTCTTGCCGGGGCTGAATGTTTCCGGCTGGCCATTCCGGTCTGGCCATGATTGTTCATATTCTAGAATACAATAGCCCACGAATCTATCAGATGTTATGAGTGACTTACAAACAGAGCAACCAATCAAATATTGACTATTCTGTATGACCTGTAAGCATCCGCACCCTTCAAATAATGCATCCCAGTCTCTATAACTGAAAACAGTGGGTGATGTCCATGATTTCCTTCCTTCATATCAGCCGAATTCGCTTTCCGGGTCTCACAGTCCCTTGAAGAGGGTCTATATCTGCCCCAGCTGAGTTTACATACAGCAATCGTCCCATCTTTATCTCGTCGAGCTGGGCTGTTTGATCAAAATGCGGGGGAGCCTGGGTCGGCTTTGGACACTCTGGGGATTTGGTGTCGGAAATGGTCCGGAAAGCCACGGAAAGCCGCCACTGTCGCCGCTAAAATGGCCACGGACGGGCTAAACTCTAGAGAGTAGAAGTCATAGATTCCGGGTGACTACAATGCTCACCCCGCCTGGACCCGCATCCTTCTCTAATCGAGGACCCTTCAAGGTTGTATCCGCCAGGAGATAGCGGGAGGGCCACAGATAGTTAGATGATACGATAAGTGTCTCTGGTCGTTCCATAAGATTCTGATCCCCGCGTATCCTGGATTCTCACGAGCAAACTCTACCACACGCCTAACTGACTGATTTGGAGACTTCTTCGTCCAAGAGAGTTGTTGATACAAGAGAGAATCTCGAATTTTGAGTCCTGGTAAATCCCTTTCGACAAGCGCCCGCCATGTTCGCAGACATCAGCAAGCCGCCCAAGCCACTCCCCTCGGCCACCTTGCAGACTATCCGGCCGGGCATCAGCTTACTGGCTCCTCTGACACGCCGAGGCCATGGCCCTGGTCTGATTGTGCTGTCTGCCGATTCGGACACCCCTGTTCACATCGCCGAAGGCGTTCCCTCGCCACTGATGAAGTGGTCCGAGGAAGGCTATGCCGTTGTCGAGATCCAAAGCCGAGCGCTGGGAGAAGGTGACGCCCTAGCCGATGCTCTGGCGGCGTTGTCAAAGTGTGAACAGTGCCAGCCCAAGGAAAAGGTTGGCCTCGTCTGTACGTTTCTGCCCCCTTCCATGATTACTGTAGCAGTTGCGGAAGATTGACCTCGGCCGTTCATGGCGATTAGCATACGACGCGGGCGTCTGGAACAAGCTTGCAGCTGGTATCGGATCTCACAGCCAGATCGTCGGCGCAGTTGTGTATGGCTCCGCTGCTGAACAGGCGCAGCTCGCCTCTGCGTCCGTTCCGGTTCTGATGCACCTCGGCGGTGCGACAACGGCTGGACCGCCGGAGCGGGGAGACCGCGTGACAAAGTACTCGTACACCCGGCCGGACGGGTTCGCCCTGCCGTTCCAGGAGAACTTCCACTACTCCACTGAAGCCGTGTCGCACACGCGCAGCCTCACGTTCCTCAAGCCCCTGGTCGGCGGCCCTTACTTTGACCTTGAGACCATCTGGGACGAGCACACGTACTACGAGTTCGCCGACAGGTCGGTGGAGCATACCATGAGCACCATGGTCCAGGAACCTTATGTGAACCACGTTCCGACCGTAAGTGCCGCCTCGTTCTGTGAACTTCAACGAAAGTCTTGACTAACGGGAAACTGTTCGTCCTCGTCAGATGACGGGTGGGATTGGACGGGAGAAGCTCACCGAGTTCTATCGGGGACACTTCATCTTCAACAATTCGGCGGATACCGACCTGGAGCTTATCAGCCGAACCATTGGGATCGATCGAGTTATTGATGAGTTCCTCTTCAAGTTCACCCACGACCTCGAGGTTGACTGGATGTATGTCCACCCGCCGGTTTGCTACGTGCTTTGAGGTTTTCCTTTTGATTGCTGACACATATCGACCACAGGCTGCCGGGCATTCCGCCAACAGGACTGAGAGTCGAGGTGCCGTTCACCGCTGTTGTCAACATCCGTGGAGATCGTCTATACCATGAACATATCGGCTGGGACCAGGCCTCCGTTCTGCGGCAACTGGGCCTGTTGCCCGAGTACCTGCCCTTCCCCCACCCAGTCAAAGATGCGGCTGGAAACGCCAGCACAAAGAAGTACGAGTATCGGCTTCCAGTTGCGGGCATCCAGACCGCCAACAAGCTGAGAGAGAGGAACTGGGGCCCGTCCAACGAGATGTTTGCTTACAAGTTGAGAGAGAGCTCTGCCGATCAGGGCTCTGGGAACGGCAGTGCGTGAGGTGATCGAGGAGAACTATTAGTGCTGTTTGGTCAGATTGCTAAAGCTCCAGAATGATATAAAAAATAACGAACAATGAAATGATCAAATTTAGGCCATCTTGTCAGCCCTATTCGAATCGTTCAGCAATACAATCTTGATCAAGACTTGCTTCACGGATCACCAAAGAGTCAGGGCATCTGACCCTAGTCATGTACCAGAGTACTGATATCAGAGAATACTGATCGAGGAGGATAGCTTTGGCATTTAAGCTTATCTGACTGTAATCTAATAGCCTGGCTATTTCCATTTAACAGCAAGATCCTCATATGCAAAACGGCAGTCCGAATTTAGGCACTTATTAGCCCGATAGCCCGGGTTCACGGAGATCATTTGTGGATTTGACTTGTGTCTCTTTGATTTGATGTTCCACTCGACGTTCACTGCACGATTGCCACAGCAGGATTTGCTTCGCAAAAATAAGACAATAGCTCGGAGCCTGTCGACCAACTCCTGCAGCGATACGTCGTACCATCTAGGGAGACGAAGTAAGACAACGGAGATTGCTACACCCTTCTCTGCCACGATGCCACGCTGCAGGGATCAATCCCATTGCTGCTGCCCCGCCGCTCGCTCTCCCAGCTCGTACTCAGCCCTTACCTCGCACAGCAGGGCGCGGGCTGATCCCGACGGCCTAATGCAACGTTAACCCGCATGACCGGCCAATCCTTTGCACGAGATCTGGCACCTACCACCTACTCCGTACAAAGCCGTTGGGGACGCGCCATGTCAAGCCAAGGTAATCTAGAGGAGCTGTAGGAGCTTACCCCAGCTTTGTGCTACCCCTCACGGGAAGGGGCGATGGGGATGGGATGTCTGGAGCTGTAAGCATGTGCCAAGGTTCGATCCTGCTCCTCATAATAAGGGATTGGACCGCCGCCGCTGGGTCGTGTGCCTCACCCGTTGAACTCATTGTCTGAGCCCGCTTATCACCAAGAGCACGAAGGGTTTCCCGTCTCAGTCTCCCCCGGCCATAAGCACATAAGCACCGTGCCTGCTGTTAATGATCAGCACGATGCTCTCCAAACTCACCATCATCCCGGCGCTCGCCGCGCTCGCCACCGCTGCCGCCCTGCCCTCGGTCGACGTCCCGGCCTGCCCCAGCAAGGCCACCGTCTCCTACGACCGCTCCATGCCGGCGCCGAGCAAGCCCTTCCCGCTGACCAAGGTCGACCTCTGCTACGACGACCGCGCCATCCACATCACCTTCAAGGCCTACGACGAGACCAACTTCTTCTTCAACGCGAGCCAGACGACCGACGGCGACATCTGGGCCTACGAGGTCATGGAGGCCTTCATCTACAAGGGCACCGACGACCCGCGCCGGTACTTCGAGTACGAGGTCAGCCCCAACAACGTCACCTTCCAGGCCTTCATCTACAACCCGTCCAAGGTGCGCGCCCCCGGCGCCCGCTTCGACGGCGCCTTCTTCCGCCAGCCCATCGAGGACGGGCTGACGGCGGCGACGACGCTCGACCGGGACTGCCACACGTGGGTCTCGGACGTGCGCATCCCGCTGGGCCTCTTCAACGTGGACGACGGGGCGGCCCGGGGCACGCAGTGGAGGATGAACTTCTTCAGGATCGTCACCTCGCCCGAGATCTTCCCGGACCAGATCCTCGCCGCTTGGAGCCCGACGGACCAGGCAAACTTCCACATGAGCCCCTTCTTTGGCCACGTCAAGTTTGTATGATTTGAGCACGTGGAGAAGAGAAGGAGGAGGAGCACAAACCAGGGAGCCACGTTGCTGTACCGTCTGTTTTGGCATATAACCTTAATTACACATTAATCGAAGTAGCAGCATGCCCACCAGAGCTACAATGAACCTCCATTTACTTGTACACCACTCTGTAAGTCGTGCTGATCAGTTACCATGCCTGTTTGGTCTTGGCAAGCTGGTGTGGATAGAACGGGTATTGCGGGGAAGACGGCCGACGGCGGCGTGCGGAGCTGGGATGTTGACCAAAGAGCTGGTACAAATTACACATCAAGAAGTCCGGGGCCCCAACCTGCAGTCCAGCCCTACGCCTTCAACTTCATGCCACATGTATGTAGATCGATTAACATAGGAGCGCAATGTCCTGCCCTGGAGAGCGCGTGTATCCCCTTCGCAAACCTCCAAACCACAAACTTCCCGTGCCCCGTTTTCACCATAGACTTCGAGCTGGCATTGATCACATCTTCACCACTTACATCGGCATCCAAGTGAGGTCGGATGGGGCTCGTGCCTCTCAAGCTGGGGCAGAAGCTGTCAGAGCGGTGCAAGAATGGCTAGAGGATCCAGACTCTCGCCCCGCGGCCTGGGAATCCTTCGCGCTCATCGACGGCGTAGATCAACCGGGCACATCTGTCTGGGTCTGCTACTTTGACGACGAGTCCCGGTACAACAGTGGCCTAACTCATCTGAACCTGGACAAAATCCACGCCGGTTTGGATGCCCACGGCCGTGCATCCGTCGGCCTCTGGCGAGAGAGCTTCAAGTCCGCCGACGCCCGGCTCGAGACCAACTACAGCGGCACCGACTACCTCCCCGGTCTCTGCAGGCTCCCAGGCACGACCGCCGTCGAGCACGAGCTCGCGACGTACTGGGGCGCAGCGCGCGACCGCATCCCCGACTCTGCCCACGACCTCTTCGAGCAAGCAGACGAGGCCTTGCTAGCAATATTACCCGAGGACATGACACCACGCGGCACGGGGCAGCACCTCAGCGGCACCAACTACGCCAACCTAGTGCACATCAGATCCGGCCAGTTCTGGGAGACCTGCGGCGCAGAGGAGGCGGCGGCGTACGAGCAGAAGCTCGAGCCGGCGCTCCGCGCGGGACTGGCCTACCTGTGGGAGCACGAGCGGGAGACCGGCTCTCGGGCGCTGCGCTACCTCCGCAACCAAGAGATCCGGACGGACTACGGCCGTGGCTGCTGCGGCGGCCAGGAGGAGGCGCGGAAGGAGTCGTGCGGCGCGGGCTTCTTCACCAGCCTCGGCGCGCTCGAGAGGTGGTCCAGGACGCACAGGTCGCACCTGGCCATCTACGGCGGCGCGCTGGCGCACTACAAGGCGTTCCCGGGCGAGAGGCGCAGGCTGCGGACCTGGCACGAGGTCTCTGTCCTGCGGGCAGGCGACGCCAGGTTCGAGTACGTCAACTGCGCTCCGCGGACAGGAGTAATCGGTACTCTGAAGCTTGACATCAAGGACATTCGGTAAATAGGAGGACGGCAGTCTGGAGTAAACTTTGCGTACTTTGCCACGTTCTTTACTACCTGGCCAGCCGTAGTTATTCTATATATCCCGTTCATACCCCGGGCCTGAAGAAAGCATGGGCGTAGATCTCTAGGCATAGTTATCTACCAGACTAAGATAATATGGACGGAGTAGCAACAAAGTACCTGAGTTTCCAAGAAGAGCTCGCGGTGGTATCTCTTGCAACGGATTTCGATAAAGAGCCTTGACTCTCTCCTTGACCGATTTCTGACTTGGAAACAGTGTTCAGGTCCAGTTCAGGAAAGAGGGGGAAACAAACATAAATAGACATGAGAATCACTGTTGCACTATACAAACAAGCTTGCTGATATTCCATCAACCTCAAGCTTTCTCCAGTAAGCACATGCAGGGTGAGGCGAGTCTCGAAAATGTTCTCTTTTGTGAATAATTATTATGCCTTATGCAAGGACTGGCTCCATATGTGGTGCACATCGCGTCCCACGACCCAGTTTCAGAAGCAGGCACCATGAATCAATCCCCTTTTTAGATAACCTCATCGAACACCTGTCCGGTCCCATGTCCATATATACCCTCTTCTAAGAGGAGCAAGCAAAAGGAATCTCGATCTCTCAGCACAAAGCCACTCGTTGGTGCGAATTCAGATCAGTGCCCCATATCTCCCCAACCCCACAATACCACAATACACATACAACATAACCTCGCCCTCTCGAAATCCACCAATTCTTCAGAACATCTCACCTCTTCTTCTTTGCAACATCCTTCTTCGTATAGTTGCTCGTCTCGTCACCGAACAGTTCCGGATCGCCCTTCTCCCCCATCTCCATAAATTCGTCTGGCCTCCTGCCGTCCGCAGGCCGCGCTTCCTTGCCGGCTGCTGAGACTGCGGCATTGGTCTTGCCGGCTGTGGGGTTCTTTTTGTAGATCTTGATCGTCTCCGTCTCACCATTCTTCTCCTTGTCGTTCTTGTTGGCAGCAGGGACATCGACCTTGGTGACCTGTACAGAGTTGATAGACGAGAGCAGGGTGCGCTCGCGGTGGACGCCGCGACGGTTGACGTCCAGGCCAGCAACGCCGCCGACCAAACCGTCCGTGCTGTCGTTGACTCCTGGCTGCTCAGCCGTCATCCAAGGGTGCGAGAGGCATTGATCAATAGTGAAGCGCTTCTCGGGGTCAACCACCAGCATAGAATCGATCAAGTCCACTATGAGTTGCTGTCAGTCATTAAACCGGAAGATTGATGAAAGGACGAAGGCACTCACAGGCCGGATCTCCGACAGAGTCCCAGTACGGTGACGGGTAGTCAAACCGGCCGCTCTTGATCTGCTGTGAGAGAGTGTACGGGAACTCTCTGCTGTACAGCTCATCCGAGAATGGAGGGAATCCACATAGGCAGATGTAAAGAACAACGCCTAAGGACCACACATCGACAGCTTTGGTGTATTTCCTCTGCTTCCCGTCGGCGAGAATCTCGGGAGCCACATAGCTCGGTGTGCCACATAGTGTGGTCGTAAATGATTCTTCGCCGATAATCTTGGCAAGGCCGAAATCTGCCAGCTTGACATGGAGATCTTTGTCAACAAGCAGGATGTTCTCGGGCTTGATGTCGCGATGGACAATGTTGCGTTCGTGCTGGAAGCGATGTTAGCTGGCCATAGATCGATCGCGAGAAGAGAAGAGATGAGACTTGCCAGATACTTGACACCTTGGAAAAGCTGCGTAAACAGCTTACGAGCCTCATGCTCGCTAAGCTTCTGCTTCATGACAATGTAGTTGAACAACTCTCCTTCTTGTGCAAGTTCGAGCACGAGATAGACTGCTTGCTTCTCGTTGAAAGTGTCTTTCAGGCACAGGACGTTAGGATGGCTGACACCCATGAGCACGGCAATCTCCTGCTGCAGGCCGTCCGTCTTGGATCTCTCCTCCATGCCAGGTGTCTTGGTGAAAATCTTGACGGCGTAGCGCTGACCGGTCGACTTTTCGACACACAGGAACACTTCGGCAAAGTGGCCCTTGCCGAGCCGCTCGAGCAGGGTGTACTGCTGCAGAAAGGCGCTGGTGGTGCGACTCTTGGGGTACCTGAAGATGAAGCGCGCCCGGTCGAGCACGGCAATCTCGTCTTGCTCCTTAAGCTCTCTCCGCTGGTTGCGCCCGACAATGCCCTCGTTGACAAATGTGCCATTGCTCGATAGGTCCTCGAGGACGGCGACCGTGTCGGACCCGACGTGCTCGGTAAAGAGAAGACAGTGGCGGTTGGACACGATAGGGTCCTCGACAACAATGTCTGTGCGAGGTCAGAACGCGGTCATCTCGAGCATCACCAGCAGGTATGACGAGGAGCCGGAATTCCCACTTACCACATTCCGGGTGCCGTCCGATCAAATAACCTCCCGATGGCAGACCGGAGATCTTGGTCTTCTCGAAGGAGTCCTCCTCCCGCAGCAGCGCTTTCTTGCCCCTCTTCTGCGATTTCTTGTTCGGTTCAGTGTCGCGAACGGTGTCTGGCAGAGGGCAGACGGCCCTTTTCCTCAGAACGACACAGCGGCCGCCATAGCGGGTGTCGAGTGGAAACAGGTAGCCCCAAACGCCCTCTTTCACCTCATCCTCGACTTCGTCCGACAGTGCAGCATTGGGGTCAACGTATTGCGAAGGGAAGGCTTGTGTGTCTTGCGGGGGTGACGAGAACCCTTGCGACTGTGAAAAGGTTTCATCGCCGTTGCGGTGGATGACCTGGCTGGGTCGACCCTCTGGCGGCGTAGCTGTTGCTTCCTTGTAGCGATTTGACGACTCCTCGGTGGTCAGATGTGTGAGTGGGCTTGGGAGTTGCTGCTTGGTCGAGACAGGCGTCTTCTTGTGGCGATTATCCTCGTCCTCGTCGCGATGGGACAGACGCTCGGAGCGACGGGGCTTCTTGGCGTCCAGCTCTGCGTCGGCCGCGGGGGAGTCCTGAGACGCGGCGCGCAGCGCATTAGCAAAGGATGACTATGACGACAGTACGCCCGCCCCGGATCACGGAGCGACGGCGGCGACAGAAGGACATACCCGGCCTCGCTTGAGATGACTTGGCTCGGGCCGAGGAGCCATGGTGTCTAGGCAGAGAACAGGCAAGGAGGGTATTGACTGAGGCTGGAGATAACCCTTGATTGGTAAGATAGGCAGTGAGGCAACGAACGAAGCGAGAGGCACTGGTCCAGGCACTTAAGGGAATGGCCGGATGATATCACCAGAAAAGGTAGTCAAAGACACAACGAGGTCACAAATGGTATCGGGAGGCAGCCTGGCAACGAAAGTTCAGCACAGGGGCTTGCCAATTGAATCCTCAAGGAGAGACGGATGGAGATGGGATCTGGGATGGAAAAAAAGAGGCGATGACGGGGGTCCAATGCAGCGTGATTGAGAGGATGCAGTAGGCTGACCGCAGCCGAGAGGAGCTCCAGTCGTGTCTGAGGTGGAGCAAGAGCGCAGGAGAGCGAGAGAAGAGAGGAGAGGAGGAGGAGAGTGGAGCTGATTCTGCCTGGAGTTAGTCTTGGTTGGCGGGCAGCGGCGGGCAGCTGAGATCCATAAAAACCAGGATGACGGCTTTTGGCTACCAAGTACAATAACTACGTACCTCATCGAGTGGCTTCCCTGCTCTGCGTCGTCGTCGTGCTCGGCTCTCCCCTCACGCCCCTGCCCTGTCTTTTGTTCTTTTGTCCCGGTGGGCTATGACCAAGGTACCAGGTAAGCTTGCCACCTGCGGGCGGTGGCCGTGACCCCCAACCCTTCGTCATCCGTTTTCCCTCTTGATCAAATGGACAAGGAATGGGCGGATGAGGGTGTCTTGGGACGTGAGACCTGGCGGGGCCCCAGCTGGTTTTCGTGGGCGGGGAGGTAGTGTATCTGAGTGATCGACGGCAGTCATGGTCGACACTGCCAGCCGGTGTGATATTTGATCAAGCTGGAGGCTAGTGAGAGCTGCCTCCAGTGGCCAAAAGCATAATCGGATCGTGGCTTGTTATTCGGCAGTGAAGAAGTGGGCAGGCAACGCTGTAAATGCGCGAATGCGGCAAGCTCCCTCGATGGCTGCTCTCAAGCTTCCCCCTGCCAGGAGCTCTGGGTTCAGACCAAGAGAGGGACAAGCCGCTAAGATTTAGGGCTGATGCCGCTCCGCACCGTACCGATTGGGGGATTTCAGGGGATGTAATATGAGCTCCCTCTTCCGTGCTCTTTTGGCTTTTGGTCTTCTGTACCAGACAACCCAAGCAGCAAATGCATCCATGTGATCTGGGGTTGAGGGTCATGACCGGGAGGGCATCATTTGCATCCCTTGCAGAGGATATTCGGTGACCAAGAAATGGCCCAGCAATTACAGGCACGTGGGCCGATGAATCAGTCAGGCAGGCAGCTCTGGAGACCGACCTTGCCCGATTGACTCCCCGTGCTTCCTTGGTCAGCAGACTCAACTGCCAACCTCGATCATCAACGTCCATCCGTTGGATGAGCCCGAGTCCTGCCATTTGACATCTTCATCTTCTCCAGCTGAGGTGCAACCACCTTACTTGAACTTTTGCCTACCATTTTGGAAATGAAGCAAGGCAAAGACAACGTTCAAGTTGGCGAATAGCCTCCAAGTTGTTAGGCTATTATTACCTACCTACCTAGTACCTAGGAACTTGGCAATGGAAAGGAAACAACCAAATCCTGCTTTTGCCTGCCGCAAGCTTGATAACTTGACCCTGTATCTACAAGTACGTATCCAAGCTTTGCCAAACAAGCTGCTTTCTCTCCATCCATCCCTGCTTCTAGATTGACTGGACGTCAATGTTCTTGGATCCTGCCAGAAAGCACAACTTACTTGCCCACTTGTTCCCTGCCCTGACACTCCAAACGACCCTTTTGATAGACATTCAGTTTCATGACAGCGCCCACCTTGAAGCCCTTCAACTAATACCAGCAGCTGTATACACTTCCCCAATGCGCTACATCACTTGCTGTTCACATTTTGCTGCATTCAGAACCAGAGCAGCTCCCCAGATCGGCTTTGTACCTGGACGTGCCCTGTAAACTGGCCTGTGCTCTGCTGTGGCCTCCGACCCTGAAAATTCATGGTGGGGCTACAAATGACCACCACCAAAGCACCCAAACCACAAATTCTGCCCACACAAACATCTTGACCGCCCTCGCCTAACATTCCTCAAGGGGCCTAGCGTCTTGCTACACGTGATCATCCCACCAAAAAATCACGAAAATGGCTTCGAGGATGGAGGAGAACACTGGTGCAGAGAAAGTGGTGGCAGGCCAGGGCCAGAAACAAGACGACGGTTTTGAAGTCTCTGCTCCAGCCGGATCCGCCCACACCCGCGCCCTCAACACCACCGCTACCACCACCTCCGACGACCCTTTCGTGGTTGACGACGAGCAACAGTCCTCGAGCCATCTCTCTACTCCCCCGACCCCGGCCGAAGAGACCCGCGCCGCTGCCGTAGCTGAACTGCGCCAGTCTGTCTCGTCTTCCGCCTAGCAGAACGAGGACGTTGACCAGATCCAACCTCGTCACCACCGTGTCACCCGGACCCTCGAGCCTCCGACTTTCGCTCTCCGAGCTTCTGACATCCAGTCCGCCGCTTTTCACTCTCCCGGACAAACCACCCAGTCTGACTCGGAAGAGTCTGGCTTTCTCTTCACCCCCGACTCCCACGACCCTTTCTACTACCCGACCGACATCGACGCCGTCATCCGTGCCCTCGAGGATCTTGCCGAGCACCCTCCGTGGCCACGCAACTACAACATGTCGCCCACTACCCCCCGGCCCCAGCTGGTCTTCGTCGACGGCACCCCTGCCGAGCTCGCCCAGGAGCTGGCCGACTACCTCCAGATCGGCGACGAGGTCTCTCCGCTGCTCGCCAAGGACCAACATGAGGAGGCCCTCGCCAAGATCGTTCGCGCCTCGAGCAACCTGAACTCGGCCCCCGAGAAGGACTTCACCGGCGCCTACAACCTTCTCATCCACCTCGTCCTCGAGTCCAAGGAGCCTAAGAAGCACCTGCCAACCATCTGCCAGAACCTGCTCAAGCCCATCACCTCTTCTCCCGTCAACGGCCCCGGCCTGGCCCTCAACGCCCTCCAGGCCATCTTCAACCTTCTCGAGCCCACCAACACCCTGCGCTACAATGTCTTCATGCAGATCCTCAAGTTTGTCAAGGGCCACGGCATGTTCGACACCCTCAAGCCCGCCCTCGCCAACCTGCCCCGATGGTTCCAGAGCTGGGATATGGACGAAGAGGACCAGCGCAAGATGTACGTCGAGATTGCCGATGTCGCGGCCGACGCTGGAGAGGAAGGGTAAGTCTTGCAACACATGTTCATAAGTGCCTCATTTCCGTGACTAATTCCATTTCCTATCGCAGCGAATCATACCAGTACATCCTGAAGGCGCTGAGGACGATCGACGCCAAGGACTCGGAGGAGGTCACTTCGGAGGAGGCCCAGCAGCTCTCCCTCCGCGCTCTGCGCATGGCTCTCCTCTCCCCCACCCAGTACGACTTCCAGGACCTCCGCGTCCTGGCCAGCATCCAGGCGCTGAGCGACTCCCATCCCGTCTACTCTCAGCTCCTCGACATCTTTGCCGAGCAGGACCTTGAGGACTACAACGACTTCACCGAGGAGCACGAGGGTTTCGTCGAGAAGGAGAAGCTCGACCACGAGAAGCTGCAGCGCAAGATGCGCCTGCTCACCTTTGCCTCCCTGGCCGCCAGCACCCCGAGCCGCGAGATCGAGTACGCCAAGATTGCCAAGGCGCTGCAGATTCCCACCGAGGAGATCGAGATGTGGGCCATCGATGTCATCCGTGCCGGCCTCGTCGAGGGCAAGCTGTCCCAGCAGAAGAAGGTGTTCCTCGTCCACCGCACCACCTATCGGGTATTCGGCGAGAAGCAGTGGCGCGAGCTGGGCACGCGCATCGACACGTGGAGGCACAGCCTGCGCAACGTCCTCACCGTCGTCCGGAAACAGCAGGCCGAAATGGTGACCCAGGCCCAGCGGGAGCAGCGCGAGGCTCAGCGCGACCATAACAGGGAGCAGCAGAGGGCGCAGTAAGCGGGGCGCACGGGGGTGAGAAGGACCGATCTGATGATGAGGTTTGAAATGAGGCTTCTTGACATCAGGAAAAGAAAGGAGGGGGAGGGGAAGCGTGGATGGTACTGGCAAATTCATCAAGGAGTTTAATGTGGTTTTTGACAATACGGCCAGTTTCGTTCTAGAGGGTCCTCTTAACCTCCAAAGATGAGGGCAAAAGGACCACCTGCAGGGACCACCTGCATGCATAGCAGACAGGGTGATCAAAAATCGGAATACATTGCATTGAGACAAGAAAAGGGGCGCGGATGCTTTTCTATCAATCTTGATATGCACGGTGCGCAAAGCCATGTATCATGGTACACGGCACTGGATGAGCAGGAGTTCTCTGCGTTGTTGTTTATGCTGCAATGTGGATTGTGTTATTGCATCCAGTGACGCACGGAATACAAAGATTTTTAAGATCTACTTTGTATTGTGTATTATGCTTGCTTGTTGATTGTTCTACCAAGGGTAAAGATGAAGATGAGGATGCGAACCTAAAAGGGGGATATCTATAAGCTTTTTCGTGTGTTGCTGAACCAGGCAGGTATCAAGAATCCAAAATAAAGCAGACTTTCCAAGAAAGATCCGAAACCTAAAAAGCAGTCGCTGTCCGTGTATGTGTGCTCGTGTACGTGTCCAACATCTTCCTCTTCGCCCACGGCGCATTCCGTACGTGTGTAGCGGGAAATCTATATCGTGTCGGGTGTTGTGTCGCCGTCTCTCCTCCCAGGTGCGTACATTGTGTGTATCGTTTCATTTGTCGTCACTTGGTTCTGTCATCCCATCATTCCGTCTCATCAACTCCTGACACCGCCGCTCCCCCTAGGACGCACCCCTTACGCTCCCATGCCCATGCGTCCCGGCCTTGTCCCGGACACTCTCGTGGCTCCTCCGCCTCGCCTCCTCAGCAAGCACGCGATCGCTCCCCTCGCTCTCGCTCTGGCTCTGGCTCTCACTCTGCCCTTCGTCGTCCTCGCCCTCACCACCCTCTCGTGCCTTGCCCGCCTGCTCCTCAGGAGGAACCCACTCCTCCACGCCCTCGCACCCCTTCGGCACGCGGCACCCGCGCCTCGCCTCGCCGCCGGCCGTCCGCCACAGCACCTCCTTGACCTCGACGAAGACGCGGTCGACGGCGTCGACGGCCCATATGACGTCGAGGTGCTCGAACTCGGGGAGGACGCGGCTGTGCACGAGGCGCACGTGCGGCTCGCGGCCCCGCGCGGGGTCGAAGCGCCGCAGCAGGCGCTCGCCGTCGACGAGGTCGTCGCTGCCGCAGACCCAGAGCGCGAAGGGCGGCGCGCGCGCGTCGTACCAGGCCGTGCTGCCGCGGGGCTTGCGGGCGTGGCGCGCGACGGCCGCGCGGTCGGTGGAGCCCGGGTCCGGGTCCGGGTCCAGGTCGGCGCGGAGGCGCGGCAGGCGCAGCGGCAGTCTGTCCTTCTTCTTCTTCTTCTTCTTTTCGGTGTCGCCGCCGTGCAGCTCCTCCTCGTTGTCCTCGCGCTCCTCGGCGCGCCACTCCTCCTTGGTCGCCAGGATGCACTTGTGCTTGGCGAAGCACTCGCGGCCGAGCCACCAGCGCATCGACTCGGCGCTCACGTACACGGGCGCGAACTGGAACATGCGGTCGCGCAGGCCGCGGTCCCAGCGCGCGTCGGACCAGTTGAACAGGAAGGAGAAGACCTTGTAGCCCAACCAGCCGTAGACCCGCGGCGGCAGGAGGCGGTGCATGGTCATCATGAAGGGGATGAACGCGTGGATGCCGAACATGAGGCGGAACATGGCCGGCGTGATGACGCGCATGAACTTGAAGTACATCTTGCCGATCAGGGGCCCCGCGTAGGCGGCGGGCGCCAGGGCGCAGAAGACGGTCAGCTTGTCGCCGAGGTCCGGGCGCTGCTCCTTGGCCAGGGCGACAAAGGTCTGCGTCGTGCCCTGCGAGTGGGCGACGAGGCCGACCTTGGGGAAGCCCGTCTCGCGCAGCACGCGCGACACCAGGGCGGGCAGGTCGAAGACGCCCATCTGGCGGATGTTCCAGCACCACATGCGCGGGTCCGTGTAGCACAGCAGGACGTGCCGCGGGGAGAAGCCGCAGCGGTTGTTGCCGAGCCAGACGTCGTAGCCGGCCTTGCAGAGGTAGAAGGCCAGCGAGTCGTCGTCGTTGACGCAGTAGGCCCCCGCGGACTGCAGCAGGCCGTGCATGAGCAGGACGGGGAACTTGGGCTTCTGCTCCTGCTGCTGCTGTCCCTGGCCGCCTGGCTGTTTCCTCCTGCGCCGGCGCCGGCTCTCGGGAAAGGGAGTGTCGGGCGCGTCGTCGCGGAAGATGTCGGGCCCGCGGTGGGCCCGCTCGGAGGGGGGCAGCTCCTCGTACTCCCTGGGGTCGTAGACGTGCCACAGGTCGATGATGAACCCGTCCTCGGTCTGGACCTGGAACTCCTCGACGTCGAGCCCGACGCGGCGCGCGTAGTAGGCCGGGTCGCACACAATGGCGTCCGGCCCGCCCTCGGTCGGCACGAAGCCGTCGCTGTCGGCGGGCGGCGGGTCCTCGTTGTCCTTCTCCTGCTCGCGACCGCCGCCGCCGCCGCCACCACCGCGGCGGACATTCTCCTGCGACTTGCGGCGCTTGGTCCAGGCGCGGTCGAGCTCGCGGCGCAGGTTCTTGCGGCGGACCTCCTCGTCGTAGAAGGGCCGGGACGCGTCCGGGTTGCGGAAGGTGCAGGTGAGCCAGATGCGCGAGAGGAAAGGGCCGACGCTGGTGAAGAGGGCGCCCAGGACGATGACACCGAGGAAGGCGAGGCTCAGGAAGAAGGAGGCGACGCGGAAGGTGAGGCACTGCAAGTCGCGCATGAGGGAGGGCGGGCCGTAGAGCGGCAGGGGCGGGAAGAGCGGGTTCGTGTGGGAGGGGGGCATGGCGCGGCGCAGGGAGCCCTCGGCCGACTTTTGCACCGACTTGCCGTTTTGCATCGTGGGCACGGGGACGGTCGAGGGTTGCTTTTGCTGGTGCGGCTGCTCGCTGCCACTCGGCTCTCCAGCCGACAGAGGAGACGCCGCCGCGCCGTCATTGACCTTATGGCCTTGTCCGCCGGCGCCGGCGCTGCCGCTGCTGACATTGTTCTCGCTCTCCGTCTGCAGCTCCTCCTTGAGAATGTTCAGCTTGTGCGCCTCGGTCAGGGGCACACCCGGCAGGCGGTGGCCCTCGGCGGTGACGATGACGGGGTCATGGGGCGTGACGAAGCGGGCCTCGAGGGCGATGTCGCTGGTGTTGCCTTCGCCGGGGGGCTGGTAGGAGAGCTTCTGGGACTGCTCGGCAAACTCGACGGCGGAGCGGCCGAGGGAGGAGGCTGTCGAGGAGCGGTTCGGAATGCTATCGTCGCTCGCGTTGGGATTGGGATTGGGAATGGGATTGGGGTCAGACGGGCTGGATGCAACGTCCCGTCTGGGATCATCGTTGGCGACCATGCCTTCTCGGAGAGCTGCGTGCAGAGATATGCATCCACGACAGCGAGGGACCTTCTTTTGGTTTCAGGTATATCTTTCGCAGCGATCAACGAGTGTGTGAACGAGTGGTATCTTGCGCTTGTCAATCACGGGTGGCATCAAGAGCAGGACATTCAATGGCAACCACTGAGAAGCAAAGATTGATACAATATGACTGACAAGGAGAGAGGATGTAGGACGGAAGAGTTCCTGCGGGCGTCAAGTCGAAATGTTACATCGGTGTGGTGTGGTCGATAGATCGCCAGACCAGAACCAGGACACAGCACTCCGCGCCGCCGCCCTGTACCTACGCAGAGAGGCAGACCACATGCAAACACACCACTGCCTTCACTCTGTCTGCAGATCCAAGTTTTGAGTGGAGAGGGGAATTCAATCAAATTACCGGGGGGGGGGAGAAGGTCGGTGACGACGTCACAGCTGAAGAGTTGTGGAGGCGAGCGAGCGGCTAGCAGAAACAGGGCAGTCTTTCCTCAGTAGCGGCCACTAGCGGCCGTCATCCGCCGCCGCCACGCTGGTTTCTCCGAGGCTTAGGTCCCTAGATGACGGCAAGACCTGAAACATTGAACCACTGGCATCCAGTCTGTTTTGACACCGGTGGCGTGGATGCGTGGTGGTGGTGTGCGCCAGAATGCATGTGCAACAGGATCAGGCAGAGGAGGCCGAGAGTCGGGATGGGTGAAAGGGATGGACGTGAAGGTACCCCGCAAGAAGCTGCAGGATCTCCCTAACAGTTGAAAGGTCAGCTGAGGGCAGCACTGCGCGAGGATGGCTGGGGTGTGTTGGGCACAAACTGCCTGTGCTGACTGGCCGTGAGACGAGGGCGGACTTGCGAACTCCTGTTCCGTCAGAGGCCACTAGGGAATTCTCTTTTTGGTCTGGCATGTTCCCTTTCCGCGTCATCTCCTTCAATGGCGGCTCTTTTCACCAATTGCTGCGCGAAATGCAGTGAGTTGTTGCGGCGTGCAGAGGTAGGCCGGTTGTTTTATGCGGACTCATACGTGTTCCATGCAAACTGCCAATTCTGCTGCCAAGTGCTGGAGCCGCTCGCTGCCCGGATCCCGGACTCAACGCAGTCCAGGGTAGTCGTTGTCCCAACCTCCAGCGGCGGGTTACGATGCAGGCTTAAAAGGATGGGTTCTAGCCCGGGCGATGCTGAACCAGAGTACATCCTATATACCGTGGATCGAGAAGTATGACGTTCCGCCTTTGCGAATCCATACATGTACCCTCTCCTAACTCGTCCCTCAGTGCAAGCCTTTCTATCACCTACCTGTCTATCCGACACGTCTCGATCTTGGGGCAGCTCTTCCTTTCATTCAGGAGAATTTGAAAGAATGTCTAGAAAACCACGACGGGCGCTGTGGCGGGCTAGAACCCCGGCGCTTGCCGAAACGTGTGATCGATGTCGAGCCGGGGAACCCATCGGTCAGGCTCGTTGAGCCTGCCTCGGGTCGCCTTGGCATCTACGCAACACTTAGTCACTGTTGGGGCGCGACACAACCGCTACAGACCACAAAGGATACCCTCGCAGAGATGTTGAAATGCATACCGGAAAAGAGGCTTCCTATTGTGTTCGCCCAGGCGATCTCCATAGTGCGCAGACTAGAAATCCGATATCTCTGGATCAACTCTCTCTGTATCATCCAAGGCGACCAGACCGACTGGGAAACCGAGTCAGCCAATATGCATGAATATTACTCCAACGCCTTCCTGAACATTTCTGCTGCGTCGTCTACTGACCATAGCACCCCGTTCTTGACAGACCGGGACCCCATCTGGCACCCCTTTGAGGTCAACACCATCTCGCCACAACGCCTTTATGCGCGACGGGTTCCCAAAACAATAGGCCTATCCGATAAGGGCGGTAAGCTTTTCACAAGAGCTTGGGCATATCAAGAAGCGGCTCTTTCCCCACGCTCTGTTCACTTTGCAAACGACGACCTGGTCTGGGAATGCCGCCACCATGTCAAGGGCCAGCATGCTGAGCCGCGGGGCCTGATGATGAGCGGCGCGGTAGGGAATGCAGCAAAGCTTCCCAGGTGTACGTACGCCCAACTGCCGCTCCCTGGCTCTCATGCCGCCTGTTTCATTTGTACTGACCCCCGCCTTGTCCTGGTAGTATCCGCGATTCACGATGATATCGATCAGACATGGCATGAAATCGTCGAGGGTTACAGCAGTCGTGACCTGACCTTCCCGTTGGATAGACTACCCGCCCTCGCCGGTGTGGCTGCTCTATACTCTCGAGCCACTCAAAGGCGTTATCTCGCCGGCCTGTGGGATGGTCCCTCTCTGCCACGCCATCTGTCTTGGGAAGCCAACTATTACCCACAACTCGACAGAGAATCCCTGCTTCAACCTTCGGTGTACATTGCGCCTTCGTGGTCTTGGGCCTCCATAATGGGACCCGTGCAATGGGCCTTGCCGCGCAGCATCGCTCGCAAATTCAAGTCGTGCGCAACGATTCTAGAAGCTACGTGCGACCTCTCTGGGCTGATGACCTATGGAAGAGTCAGCGGCGGCCGTCTATCTCTCAGAGCACCCGCTATTTGTCGGCGGTTATCCTGCCCAGAACCTCAAGGTCTTCTGGAAGACCTTGACTTTTATACCATAGAAGGCTTCTCGTCTTTCCTCCCTGACTGTCTGTTGGAGACTAACGGCGAAAGCATGCAGCGGGTAGTGTCAGCCGCCTCAATAAACAACCCACAGTACAAAAGCCACGGTGGTAAGGTCTGGTGCGTCCTACTTGGGTACCACGACCTAGGACTGGGAGAAGAGCCGGATGACGATGATTTGCTGCCACGTGCTCTTGTCCTCGGCAAGACTGGAGATGTCTATGTCCGCCTTGGCCTTATTCCAGAGTTGTTGGACGAGCCTAATCCTTTCCTTGACGCTCCAGAAATGGAATTTACTATCATCTGAATGACAGGTACAACAGGTATACACGTTGGTCAAACAAGACTTCAAGTCCGTCTGTCAGGTTGACATTCCTTATGCATAAGTAATTGATTGGAAGGGATGTTACACAAGTTGTGCTCAGCGGTGCTGTGCTCCAGCCAGGCTTCGGCTCATGCTCCCTGATTGTCTCTGTACCACCAGGCTGTGGTGGCAGTTTTACCCGTGGCTCTGGCCCGGGGAGACTGGCCAAGGTTCGGGCTAATGCCGGCCACAAAAGCTAGGACGGCTCCTGATGCCCTCCTCGACCAGAGATGGAGGGTGGCCGTCGTGCCGCAGATGTCGCGCTGGCGGGTGACGCACCACCACCACGTGCGGTAGTGGCGAAACCGGTGCGCGATCATCGAGAGGTAAAAGCGCGGGGGTTGGCTCCAACGAGTCAGCTCGTGCACTATCCTGCTGTGTTTATGGGAAGAGGGCTGCTTCGTCTGGCGAGATGGTCTCCTTAAGACGAAGATAAGAGGTGAAGGATCTCCTTTCTTCTTCGCCTGTGAACCGGCTGTTCGTCGTTGGGACCACCAGCCCATCTCTGCCATCCAGCCTGCCATGTCACTCGATCCAGATGCCACGACCATTCAACCTTCAGGCCTTGGACGGACGCTTCTTGTGATTACACTGATCCTGCCAGTACCGGCAACGATCGTCATCATCCTGAGATGTTGGATTCGGATAAGGCACAAGATATTTGGCGTTGATGATGCTTTGATCTTTGTCGGCTGGGTGAGTCCGGCGAATGTCATGACCCTCTCTCTCTCTGGCAACTAGGCTAACACTGGAATTCTCAGTTGTGCTACATGGGCGTCACTGGTATTGTCATTCGAAGCACATACGCCGGTCTCGGCATAAAAGACGTCAACTTGAATGCCCACCTCCAAAGTGATGGGCGGAAGGTGAGCATGAATCAGGACCATTGTCCAAATGCATTCCAGAGGGAAGAGTCAAGACGGCAAACCCGAACTGATACATCTCCTGTCAACAGTACCTCTGGGCCTTCCAAATGACGTATTGCATCTCTCTACTCTTCATCAAGGGGTCCATCTGCTTTACCCTCCTGCGCATCGCCGTCCTCAAAGTCCACCGCGTCATCATCTGGGCGACTCTGATCTTGACGACCCTCTCCACCGCCGTTGTCATCATCGGCCTCCTCGTCATCTGCCGGCCGATAGCTGCGGCCTGGGGTCACCCGGGGACATGTGCGCCGACCGCGGTCCTCGCCAGCCTCGGCTACCTCGTGTCTAGCGGCGCCATATTGACCGACTGGACGTGTGCGATCCTGCCCGGGTTCATGCTGTACAAGGTGAACATGAAGAGGGCGACGAAAGTATCACTCAGTATTATCCTCGGGCTGGGAGTCTTGTAGGCGAGCCCTCATGTTTTCTTGTCCAGAGGGATATTCTTGAGCTGCGGCTGACTGATGATGGATGAAAACAGGGCCTCGGTGGCTACATGCATCAGATTTCCCTACGTCGTGTACTATACCAGACCGGACGATTACCTGTGTGCGTTTTCCCAACTATGCCTCCCGGCTCTCTTTCTCTCTCTCTCTTCCACTATCACACATGCACACATAAGATGGATTCTTACATAGTAGACCTTTAGACCACTGCGCCAACATCGTATTATGGTCCATGGTCGAGTCAGGGGTCGGGATCGCCGCCTGTTCGCTCCCTGCGCTCAAGCGGCTGCTCAAGAGGCACTTCCAGTTCGACGCCACGGACGACAAGCCTCCAGGACGAGGAACCCCGTTCGACGGCCTGAACAGAGCAACCATCACCACCAACACGACTATAGGCTCACGGCCCGCACGCACGGCCTCGGCACCCTGGGGAGACGGGTTGGGCTGGGAGCATCTCGACGATGTCGAGATGGGCCGGCAGATCTTTATCAAGGTGGATCTGGAGAGGCAGTCGACGGAGCGGCGCACGAGGTCTTGCGGCTCGCGGGGTTCTGGAGAGGAGCTTGTTCCATCTGATGCTGGCCATCGTCGTCATCATCAGGCACAGTGATGGCCGGTGCGTCTCCTTGTGCGAGAGAACACTATGCTCCCGCATTTGCCAACCTCCTTTCGTTCAAGTGAGCCTGCTACATCTTATTGACAAGCATGAGTTCAGAGCAGCGACACTAGGCAGAAAAGCGAAAAGTCTGGTTTTTCATAATAGGGGTCGAGGAAAGACGGAGCTCAACTGAAATGAAACGGTCAACAAGTCCCCGTCAGTCTTCGTGTGGCTAGACTGCTGCTATTTATCGAGATTGATCCTAAGAAAGAACAAAATAATCGAATTTCTAAACCTCTCTTTCAGCGGCTCAGCTAGCTAGGTATCTCTGTGTAGAGGCATCAATCTCTTTCCTATATGTCCACTTCAAGGTGTGACTCCAGATTGGCCGAGAGTAGTAATTTTCCCCAACTGGCGGATGTGGAGGAGGGTTCGTTTTAGCGGGGACAGTAGTGCATCAAATGCGGTGGTGTCGCCGTGGGCGCGTCTTGTGCCGAGGCCAAAAGTCTCACCAGCCGAGAAGCGCAACAACTGGAAGTGAGCCAGCGCACACAAGAGCCCGAGCCAGACTGAGAATCGCAAATTGACCTGCGGAACCTCCCACGACTCTACCGAGGAGATCCATCATTCTCGCCGCAAGCAGAGGAGCACCGCATCCCCTGCATAGACAGACTCTTTCGCTGTTGTTCTGGGGCTTAAGGGCAGGGCATTGGTAAAGACATCCTCGCACGCATCTTCTGCTTCTGCTACCCCTCGTGACGCGGGCCTCGCCGAGAGCTCCAGCGCAAGCTCCTTTCGCATCGCAACTCCAACTATTGCCTTCCACATCGACTCTTCTACTCTGCAGACTGCCCAATCCGCCTAGCCAAATGGATTGAGACCATCGGCAGCTTGTATTTATTACCTAACAGCCTCTAAAGACGACCTGCTCGTTTCGACATCGCAAGCTTTGGTGCCCGGCTAGAGGACAGACCAGTCGCAGCCATGACTTCGCACAGTCTGGTCGACGTCCAACAGAGGAAGCGGAGGAGGAGGAGACGCAGAGAGGACAAGCCCGCCATCACCGCCAGGCTCGTCCTCGACGACCATGTGCGGGGTGACGTCGGCATCCTCTCTGACGACCTCTTTGCCGACCTCTTCCCTCATCTCAAGTCAGACGGTAAGCTCTCCCATCTTACAATCGCGTTGCCTCTCTAGCCACGGGCACTGATACTCGTCGCGGACAGAGGAGCAACCCGAAGACCAGACCCCAACCACTGCCGAGATCTACCACATCGCCGTCGCTCCCTGGCGCCCCGATGCGTCCCCCGCCAATGCCTCGTGGAGCATCGTCCCCGTCGCTCGGTCCTCCGCCCTCGCCCACTCCACCGCCCAGTTCTCCCCGTCCTCCCTGTCTCTGCAGAGCTTCGCCGAGACCCTCCAGCAAGTGGCTCCTTCAAAGCTGTCCAGCCATAGCCGCAGCGGCATCGAGATCCTCGTACTCGACGTCCTCGCCCTGTCCCTCGACACCGTGTTCGTGAGCTTGGAGGGCGAGTTGGCCAAGAGGCTCGAGGACGGCGAAGGCACCTTCTTCCGCGAGCACCCGTCCAGCGCGATCGCTTCCGGCAAAGGAAAGGGCACACCCGAGGAGCGGCTGACCAATGCGCTCCGCAACGCCCTGGGAACCCTCAAGGTGGTCCATACCGGCGACTTGTTCCCTCTGCCTCTGCCGCCGCACCCGGTCACCCATGTACCTCCGAACCCGGGCCGGGTCACGCTCTGCGAGCCCGTTGCGCAGGGAGTGTTGGCACCCCATACCAAGATCATCCTCTCCCGAGGGCGTCTGCACTCCCGACGGTCGAGGGACACCATCTCCATGAATTCCAGCCGGCAGCTCAACGGCGTGGCCGAGGATGACGAGGATACGGCCAACGACCAATTTTACTCGGCTGCTGAAGATCGTGTCAAGACCGAGACCGACATTCAGACGGACGATACCGACTCGATCACCGAGACCGAGACCGAGGAGCACTTGCTGTCCGACGACCCCGACGAGCTCTCCGACGACTCGATAGACGACATGATCTCCCTTCAGACGCCCACACTCCCTACCACCAATGCCAGTGGCGTCTCCACGATGCAGCCGGGTACGCCCATGACCCTCGGCGGTCGTGGCCGAAAGACAAACGGCATCAACACCCCGGGCTCCGTCTTCTCCAACTTCACCGCCACCACGGCGCGACCAGACCGCCCGAGAGGGCGCCTGTTCAAGGCACAAGGCCTGATGGAGCCGATACCGTCCGAGCTGCTCCATCCCAAGCCCACGGCGGTAGACGACGACGAGGCTCGCGTGTACGTGGATATCAGAGACCTGAACAGGATAGGCTGCTTTTCCGGAGACTGGGTGCGCCTCGAGACGGCCGAGGAACCCCCGCTCAATGGCTTCGGGCCCTTTGCGCTCGGCAGCTTCGGAGAGCCGGAGACGGAGGAGCCCCTGTGGCGCCCGGTGCGCGTCTTTGGCCTCCCCGAAGGCTATTCGCACCGGCCCATGACCCGGATCGCAAGCTCGAGACACGGGGGGAGGAAGCTGTCGTTCTTCGAGTCGCAGGTCCGGAGGCCGACGAGCCCCATCGCGTACTGCTCCCCCGTGCTCCTGGCGAACCTCGAAAGCACTCCGTACCTGCGCATCGCCCCGCTCAAGCGTGCCGGGTTCCACGGCAAGGGTCCGCAGGCGAAGCTCATCAGCGCCTCGCAGCCGCCCTTCGCCAAGGAGGTCATCGTGCAGCAGGTCAGGACGCCGCCCGCCGTCGAGAGGGATGTGCAGACCGCCGTCATGGCCGGCCTGAAGTGGCATTTCGAGAAGAAGCTGCGCATCGTCCGGAGGGGCGACCTGATAGCCATCCCCATCGACACCCAGCTCGGCAAGGCGCTGCACGAGGTGTCCGCCCTCGGCGAGAACGTCGCCGTCGACGACCTGGTCTCTCTGACTACTGCGGGACGTCCCAGCGGCGGGGGAAATGTCCGGTATGACGAGGTCGCGTGGTTCAAGATCAGTCACGTCCAGGCGCAGCGCCGGGAGGCTCCAGAAGGCGAAGAGGAGGAGGACATCTGGGGGTCGGCGGCGTGCGTCGAGATCTCCATGGCTCACCTCGAGCAGTCGGGCTCTGTCACGAGCCGGATACCGGGCATCAAGGAGAGCAATTGGCAGTATTACCTGGGGCTCAAGGCGCGGCCCAAGCAGTCCCCCGGCTCCGCGGCGGTGGCGACGTCCGAGCCTGAGCGACGGCCTGTCCCTCCCCTGCAGAGGCGGCTGCGCGAGCTCATGGCTGCCGCTACGAGCAAGCGAGCCATCCACCTCAAACTGCCCCCTGTCGCCATCCTGCTCGTCTCGACGCAGCGCAACATTGGCAAAGCGACTGTGGCCTCGGCCGCCTGTGCGGATATCGGCATCCACGCCTTCACCCTTGATGCCTACGACATTCTCAACGAGGCCGGCGCCGGCGGCAGCGACGTCAAGACGGAAGGCTTCCTCAAGGTCCGCGCCGAGCGGGCGATGAGCTGCGGGCCCGACAGCTGCGCCCTGCTCATCCGGCACATCGAGGCCTTGACGGCAGACCGCATGGTCTCGTCGTTGAAGGAGGTCCTCGCCGACGCCCGGGTCCTGATCGCCACCACTACCGAGGTCGACAAGGTCCCGGATGGCGTCCGGGGACTCTTCACCCACGAGATCGAGATGACCGCTCCCGACGAGGGCGAGCGAGAAGGCATTCTGCGCAGCATCGTCGACGACCGCGGCATCACTCTGGACCCCGAGATCGACCTCAGCACCGTGGCCCTCAAGACCGCCGCCCTCGTCGCCGGCGACCTGGTCGACGTCATCGACCGCGCCCTCGTAGCGCAGCGCTCGCGACTCGAGGCCCTCTCGAAGCGAGCCACGAGCGAGGACAACGCCTTCACCGTCCGCGACATCCAGGTCGCCGGCGGGCCGGCTGCCAACGGCCTCACCAAGGCCGACTTCGAGGTCGCCGTCGAGGCCGCGCGCAAGAACTTTGCCGACGCCATCGGCGCTCCCAAGATCCCCAACGTCACGTGGGACGACGTGGGCGGGCTCAACAACGTCAAGGAGGCCGTGACCGAGACGATCCAGCTGCCGCTCGAGCGGCCCGAGCTCTTCGCCAAGGGCATGAAGAAGCGCTCCGGCATACTCTTCTACGGACCCCCCGGCACGGGCAAGACGCTGCTGGCCAAGGCCATCGCGACCGAGTACAGCCTCAACTTCTTCAGCGTCAAGGGGCCCGAGCTGCTCAACATGTACATCGGCGAGTCCGAGGCCAACGTGCGGCGCGTCTTCCAGCGCGCGCGCGACGCGCGGCCCTGCGTCGTCTTCTTCGACGAGCTCGACTCGGTGGCGCCCAAGCGCGGCAACCAGGGCGACAGCGGCGGCGTCATGGACCGCATCGTGTCGCAGCTGCTGGCCGAGCTGGACGGCATGTCGGGCGGCGACGAGGACTCGGGCGGCGGCGTCTTCGTCATCGGCGCGACGAACCGGCCCGACCTGCTGGACCCGGCGCTGCTGCGGCCCGGACGCTTCGACAAGATGCTGTACCTGGGCGTGTCGGACACGCACGACAAGCAGCTCACTATCATGGAGGCGCTTACTCGAAAGTACGTATACTTACTTCCCTTTCTTGATATGCATTAGTCTAGGTTCAACCTTGCTAACGTTGTTGCCAAAAACAAATAGATTCACCCTCCACCCCTCCCTGTCCCTCCGCTCCGTCGCCGAGAAGCTGCCCTTTACCTACACGGGCGCCGACTTCTACGCCCTCTGCTCCGACGCCATGCTCAAGGCCGTCACGCGGCAGGCCACGGCCGTCGACGCCAAGATCAAGCAGCTCAACGCCGCCCGCCGGGAACAACACCAACATCACCACCACCACCACCACCAATTCGGACACGAGCAGCAGCACGTTTCTGTGCAGGAGATCTCGACGGCCTACTTCTTCGACCACTTCGCCACCGACAAGGACACGGCCGTCATGGTCACGGAGCGCGACTTTGTCGAGGCGCACGCCGAGCTCGTGCCCAGCGTCAGCGCGGGCGAGCTCGCGCACTACGAGAAGGTGCGCGCCACGTTTGAGGGCGGCAAGCAGCAGCAGCAGCAGCAGTCACAGCAGCAGCAGCAGCAGCAGCAGCACGCCGAGCCGGCGGCCGTGCCCATCCGGCCCAGGCCCGGGTCCCGCCCCGGCTCGTCCGCCTCGCGGCCCGGCTCGAGCTCCTCTTCTGCTGCGCGGCGGCCGTCGTCGAGGGGCGGCCACGCGATGGTGAGCGGCGCGAACAAGGGCAAGGGCAAGGCGGTGGCCGTGGCCGTGGCGAGTAGCCGGGCGGCCATGTCGAGCGACGAGGACGATGACGAGAGGGAGGGCGACTCGTTTGTCGGTGTCAATGGGAGGGCGGCGGCGGACAAGGACAAGGGCAAGGGCAAGGCCGTTGCTTCTTCGCCTGCGTTTAGGGAGAGCACTGCTAGTGATGACGAGGGGCTGTATGAGTGAGCTGGGTTCGGTGGCATGTGCAATGGTGTACAGTGGCATTCATATGTAGAACAGCCAGTTTGTATGTATATCGATAGAGTGTGTGTGTCATAAGAGGTTCTCGAACAGCCCTGGGTCTCTTCCGTCATGAGAAGATTCACTTGAGTGTGCGATATAACTTGGAAAATTTATCCATTTGCAATCAATCGTGCAGTCATCAGCATCGCCGTCGCCAATGCATCTAATAGTCTGTCGCTGGCCGTCGCCTTTCAAAACGACTCGCAATCACAGGTAGCGTGTGAGCTGGGATTCATCAGCCAAACCCCGACCTGTCCAGAGGTCCACTCATACAACCTCTCACAGTCCTTCCCTCGACGCACATGGCCGCCGTTCCCGTTTCGATAAACCCCGAGGATGCCCTCTACTTCTTCCCCGCCGTGGTATCTTTCTTCTTCTCGCCCTCTTTGTCCTCCTCCTCTTCCTCCTCATCACTATCCTCCTCCTCCTCTTCTTCCTCCTCCTCCTCCTCGGGCCTCTCCTCAATCGCCTGCGCCTTCTCGATGGCCTGGATCTCCTCCTCGGACACGGACGCGACCCGCGCGCCCTGGTACGTCGTGATGGGCGCGTCGACGTCGGTCGGCTTCCAGCTCGTCGACGTGGGGCTCTGCACCGTGTGCATCGCCGCGCCGCCCCGGCTGCGCGCCGAGGCGCCGTCCCGCCACGTGCCCGTCGTCGGGGACTGCAGGCCCGGCTCGGCGCTGCGGGTCGTCGACAGCGAGGCGGTCGAGACGTCGGCGGCGGCCGGGGGGATGCTGATGCTCTTTACCTGCTTCTTCTCCGGCGTCTTGGGGGCGCCCGCTGACGTCTCCTCCTCCTCTCCTCCGTCGTCCTTCTTGTCTGCCTTGTCCTTGTCCTTGTCCGCGGCGGAGTCGTCGTCTTTGCTCCCGCCCTTGCCGTAGACCTTATCCCGGAGGCTCTGGAGGTGGACCTGCTTGGCCCTGGCGGCGGCCTCCTCGGCGATGCTGCGGATGGGCATCGTCACCTTGGACACGGTGTCGGCGACGGCGGCGGCGGCCGACTTGGGTTGTTGGCCGGTCGAGGAGTCGGCAGTCGACTTGCTCGCGGGCGGCGGCGGCGGTGCGGGAGGTGCGGCGGCGGCGGCTGACGCGGCCGTCGCCGCCGGGATGGCCGGCTTCTTGACGGCCGGGGGAGGGGTCTTGGGCTTCTGGCTGATCGGGGGCTGGGTGAAGTCGTCGTAGTAGATGGTCACATGCTGCTTGAGCTCGCCGTACTCGTTCCAGTCCTCGATCTCGACGAGGTCCTGTATTGTTTGATCGGCCAGTTTAGCACACACATCGGACGCTGGAGGAGAAATAGAAAGAGAAAAGAGGAGGAAAGGTGGGGGGAACATACACCGAGGACCAGGCCCATCTGCACCAGGCCCGGCAGCTTGCGCAGGCGGCCGCCCTCGTCCTTGCCGGCGCGGCGGCCCCAGAGCATGCGGGCCTTCTCGTCGGTGGCGATGTCGATGGCCTTGAAGGGCACGCGGTTGGCGCGCAGGATGGTCTCGAGGCGCGAGGTGGCGGTGACGATGTGGGAGGAGCCGGCGGTGAGCGAGGTGTAGAGGTAGAGGGCCGGGTCGGTCGAGTAGGACGTCCCGGGTTTGGCGGCGGCGGCGGCGTCAGACGGCGGTGCTGCGGCCATGGTTTCCGGTGTGTGTTTCAAGAGGGCTGTGATGTCTGTGTGTGTGTGGGGTCCAGGGTCCTGTCCTAGGAGCTGCTCCTCTAACTTCTTCTCGTCTGGTGTAATAGGGATCAACTCTAGGGGTGCTGGGAAGGAAGTGAGGGCACAGAAAAAGAAAAAGAAGAAATGGTCGACGTTGGGAAAGGCGTGGATGTCAGGGCGGGATGATGGCTGTTCTTTGTTTCAGCCTGCCCAATGCAAGGAGGTCGAGAGTGGGATGTCAGGGGAGCTCCAAGGTCGAGAGCACAGGGACGGGACTTGGCCGGCACGATGATGGATGGAGCGCGGGGTCGGGAACGGATGTCATGTGGCCCAGTGCTGGCAGTTTGGAGGCTAAAGGCACCTAGCGTTTGGGGGTCGGGCTGGGTGGGTGGCGGGGCTTTCCATCGCTGGGGTTGCGTGGGAATGGGCGCCCAAGTCAACTGACGCCGACCTGGAAGATAAGGTTTGGGGCGCTAAAGCAACAGCCTGTGGTTGCATCGACCACTGCCACAGCCCGCCAGCCTCACCTGTCTCAGCTTTGCCGATCTCAAGCCCTCATTGCTCGGGCGTGTTGTTGCGAAGACACAGGTGATAAAAGGTCCATGTAGCTCTGCTGATGCCTATCACGTATTCGTAGGTTTACAATCAGGTAAATATGTAGCTATATGGTGTGACAGCTCTGTAGACAGCAAGGCGTGGCATATGCTCCTACCCACAGCTATCATCATGCTAGTCCAGCAGGAACATACAGAGGGCAGCTTGAATCTGCGGCTATTCTAGCATTCCGAACAAACATCTTCTGTTATAATTGAAGGCTCAAAGGCCTGGAAGCTCCTTGTCTTATGATGGCACTTGTGGAACGGCAATTGATGTCCGGTTTGCTTGACAACTTCGTCCAGCATCGCCAGTCATAAAGACCATGAAGAAAGGCTAAGGAAGGTAAACATGTGCAGGTCTCTTTCTTCGACTTCGGCTTGATTGCTCTTCAGAGAACACAGCAGCGAAGACGAAGTACCTCGCTCTTAGCCTGTCATAAGCATCAAGCCAGCTTTTTCAGTCATATCGACATTGCAGTATTTGCTTGCCTTGGAAGTGCTTGCACAAAGAGGTCCATAGAAGGAAGATATAAATCAACGGCACACCACACATGCCATGGTGTTATTATTCCTGCCGTCGGTTGTAGAGCAAGACACAGCACCATCATCAGTCATAGCCATGTGTCTGACGTTCTACTGCGACAAGGCGAAACCAGGCAAGAAGAACAAGCAGGTCCGCACTTGCAGGAAGCACAAGCAGTGCCATCGGCGCCACCATATCAACGGCGGCTGCCTTGACAGCGACGAGCCCGACCCTCCTCCTTCACCACTTCCGCCCTACCGGTACTACAACTACAGTTACGACCTGTCGTTCTACCCCGGGTACGGCAACTACGCCTACAACGACCTCCCCGCCGCCGGCCGCTTGCCGGCAGACTACTACTCGCAACCGCCCAGAGACTACTACTCGCAGCCGCCCAGAGATCCGTACCTGATGCACACGGCCCTGCCGCCACGAGACATGGCAAGCGACGACGGATTCGTGGACCACGTCTACTACCGGAATCCTCCACCACCTCCTCCTCCCGCAGGCCAAGACGCCGGTGCTAGTGCCGGCCCGAACCGGGCGCCCGCCTCGGGGGACCCGGGCGGCGCCGACGCCACCTACAGCAGGCTGCGCGAGGGCCTCGCCGGCGTATCTCGCCGGCAGGAGGAGCTGGAGGAGAAGATGGAGCGGGCGCGGCGCAGGGAGCGGGAGGCGGCGCGGCGCGAGGAGGCCGAGCGGATCCTGCAGTGCGAGGCCGCGCAGAGGGAAGGGTTCCTCTGGGGGCGGAACTATGAGAGGGAGGTCAACGGCGGCGGCGGCGGCGGCGGCGGTAGATATGGGGGATACGGCAGTTATGGAACTACGGGCTGGGCTCAGGGCTGGTAGAGAGGTGATGAAATGTGCTTCACGAGACGACGGGCCAGTCCGGAGACGGGACCTGACGGCTTGGAGGTGCCTGCCTTCCGGCGTCTGGGTCTTGGCAACGGCCGGTCCTTCGGGGTCCAGGGAGGTTACTTCGGCAGGGCAGGGTCTCCCCCGCCATTTCAGAGTGCTCATTTCAAAAAAGGACAAGAGACGTCGTCAGCGTTGGTCACTCCACTCGTACAAGAGTGTGCGTCTTGGTTGTCTGGCCGGTAATTGGCTGTGGGTCCCTGTTGATCACTTCAATCTCCGGCCTGTGGCCTGGGCAGGCCAGGATGTGGCCCCGACCAACGATGGCCCCGGACCAAATCCAAGACGACGGACTGATGAGAGTCATGGCTGGGCGGCCGGGTCCGGTCATTGCAGGACTGGGTGGCGCTGAGCGGCATGATGCATCGCGGAAGAGGAAGAAGAAAAGAAGGACTGCGGATTGATTGAGGAATGAGTACTGGTGAAACGGGGGACGAGAGAGGTTCGTTCAGCATGCGTGGGAAATTCGTGGACGCGGCACGGGCTGCTGCCGTTTGTTAGTGCTGCGACGGGACGGGGACGGGCCCTGCAAAGCACGAGATTCCCGGAAGGAAAGAAAAGATGGTTATTGAATGTCGTGCGACTGTGGTGCGTGTGCGGTGAAACAGAAGGATACGAGCAGATATTGTCGTGTTTCCTTTCGTGTTCTTTGGCTGTCGTTGAACGGTGAAATGTATCGACCCGAGAGAATGATATGAGTCTTGTTGTGCAGCGTCCGAGCTGATGATGCTGTGTGCTGCGAGACAGACGGCCAGCAAGTCATCTTCATTCGATCTAGCGCTTGCCCACCAATGGAGTGGAGAAGCGACCATCTTAATTAATGCGCTCGTGCTTGGATTCGTTGGGCTCTCCAGTCTCTCTCCAGCCTCTCGATCCAATCGCTGTCACCGATCCGGAACCCCAGGATTTACATGTCTGCCAGCTGATCCGATCGATACTCGAGGCCTTTTTGTGGCCCATCCCGGCTTCATCGTGATACTTGGTGCAGGGAAAGAGACAATATCATCTTGTCTTCCCATACCGCACGCACTCACTGAGCGCCTACGGAGTAGAGACACTTGGTAGGTATCGTGGCATGCGTCCAAGGGCCGGCCTCTGGCGCCGGTGCGCACGAACATGCCTCCAAGCATGCCTCGTGAGTGAACCACTCCAGCCAATCCAGCATACTACCTCGTACGCATCGTGACGCCAGTGCCGTCCCAACCGTAAACAGGGCAGCACAAATGGCCGAAAACGGACTTCGCAGACCAAACCACACCAGGTCAGGCTCCAAAGGGATGATGGGCGACAAGTGCCAGCGCACTACTCCCTACTCCGTACATTGTAGGTCTCCTGCCAAGAATCCACACGTGGTGACGCAAGTGAGGGATGCGATGGCAGGTATTCCCGTTTGACCTCCTGGCTCGGGAGCTCCCATTCACAAAACGAGTCGTACATTCGGAGTGGTCCCCTGACCTCCGGATACACAGGCCAGCACTCTGGCCACACATCGTTGTATCACTGAGGGACATACGTACGGACCATGCTCGCGCCATGTCCTTGTCCTCTGATGAGCGGCTGAATCCCTGTCCCCAGGCTTGCTTGCGTGCGTGTGCTCCAGTCCCCCTCGCCCCTCCTTGCGAAATCTCGCCCGTCCTGAGATTGATTAAACGTGATCTCGCCTCCCTGAAGATTTTTGAGCTCAATTTTTCTCGCCTCCGACAGAGATAAAGGACGACCCTTGCTCGCTGGCGGGATGGGCAAGGCTAGCCAACGGCGTTGGAGCAGGCCCTCGAAACCAGAGGCCAGCGTCTCATGGGCCTCTGGCTCAAGCCGAGCCCTCACTCCTTTCGATTTTTAGATGGGTGTGGGCTCTCTCGGCCCCGTGCCTGGCAGGCTCGCCCAATCAGGAGGGTGCGCTTCTGCAAGGAACCCGGCAAAATGGCGCTGGTTTGCTGTGTTCCTGAGGGCCAGGCCGGCGCTCTTGCTGGCCGCCCCACCACCCAAGAAGCTTGGCTTCTCTGCAGAAAATGGGCATCTCAGATTGATGAGAGCGAGAGAGAGAGACCAGGGTTGTCTCGCCCTCCTTTTCCTGTGAGAGTGGTCGTAGGTTGGTGGTGACTAGTCCGAGGGGTGGTGAGATGGATACTCCGTAGATGCGTGCGAGGCTACCTTGGAAATAGATTGGGTGCATGCGATGTGGTGGTCGGGTATTTGGGTCGTGTTTCCGTGTTTAGAGTCCGGATGGCCATCGCGCCTCTCTCGTGCGCTGCCTTACTGGCGATGTTCTCTTCTCCTGGGTGGATGAATTGATTTGAATTGTACTCCGTACCGTATGTGTGTGTGTGTGTCTCTGTTTGCGCAAGGACGTATCACCACATCAGCCATACCCCTGGCGTTTTAGTTGAGATCGGCGCTCGCGCTATGGCAGGTACCCGGCCTGCTAGGCTCTGGTTGGTGCCGTTTTGGGGCCCATCACGCCCATGTCTGGGGGATCCACCGCCCATCCTTTGGCCAAAATAGCCCCCCCGCCGCCGACCAGGTACGCACACACACGCGCCCACTCTCTGCTCTGCTCTCACCTGCTGTCGGTCTCCCGCTCTTGGAGGACCACCCACTGCCACTGCGGGAAAAGGAGAGCAAGCCACCCAAAAAGGCGCTCCTCTCCACCACACCTGCTCCCCTTTCCCTTCTCTTTTCCTTCCTCACGAGTCTCAACTTCGTGATAACGCTCTTTTTGCACCCGCCGGCATCTTTGCTCGGATTACACTCATTTTACAGTCTCAACGACGCACCACGCTCATTATCTTGTCGATTTCCTGCAAACAGCAAACAAAACCAGCTTTCAAAATCCCTTTTCTTGACGATACCTCGATCCGATCTTGTCTCGTTTTCAAACAGAAGCATCAAAACATCGCATCCCGCCGAATACCACCAACCAAGAAGGCTTTGAAAGTCAGGAAATTCGCAACATATCTCGTTGAAGGACAACTCTCCAAGCACACACACCCTACACTCGAAACCAAAGACACCGCAGAAATGCACGCCTCCAGCTTCCTCGCCATCCTGGCCACCGGCGCCTCCATGGTCGCCGCCCAGACCACTGCCGCCGCCGGCGAGGGCACCACCACCTCCACCTCGACCATGACGCAGACCATCACCATCACCTCGTGCAACCCGGCCGTCACCAACTGCCCCGGCCGCAACACGTCGACCAGCATCCCCGCGACGACCAACAGCACCACCTGGTACCCCATGTCCAACACCACCAGCTCCTGCGGCCCCACGGCCTACCCGAGCAACACCACCTTCTGGATCACCCCCTCCTCCACGCCCTCCAAGACGGCCGTCATCGTCCCGCCCCAGCCCACCACCGTCCCCACGGGCAAGACGACCGCGCCCCCGACCTCGGGCGCCGCCAACCTGTTCATGCAGAGCGGCCTGCTCCTCGGCATCGTCGGCGCTGGTGTCGCGCTCCTCGCATAGAGCTCCTGATCTTCCCCTCTCTCTGGGGGAGGAGACAGGACGCTCCATCGCCAACCCCCCTCCCCCGGTTTTCGCCTGCCCTTTGAGTCTTGCAAAGGGCGTGTGAGGACCGGCCATTCTGACTCGTTTCTGGGGAGGAGCCGCGCAATGATGAGAGACTACGTCCGGTTACGCGAATCCTCAAACATGTATCGGCACCCGTCCTCACAGCATCCAGCATCAAGCTTTTTTTTACATCCATCACGACGATTCACCCGCATCTCGCAACCACCTCTGTTCACGCAGCGACTATTCGTATTTCATTCTGTTTTATACCTTTCACTTCGCAACATACCATTTTTGTGCAGTACTGAGCGATATTTGGATACCCACTTCAGACATCGATCGTGCTACATCTATTTTACTACCTTTCTACCGGGGACGAGCAGCTAGTTTGGAGTTTAGGCAAGCATGTCGGAGCCCTACATTGGCTCTTTTTTTTCCAATGTAGGACCGGCAGAGATGGGTTAGGCGAAGGGAACAACAGCAGCGGCTGGACGCCGCAGCCCGGTGTGATATTGCTCTGGGTGAAGCGACGAGCCGCGTGCTGTATTGTTGGGCAAAAGTGGGAGGGAAGGGGAGTTGGGGAAAGGGTCTGATCCTGCTTCAAAAAGAGAACATCTTGTTGCATATACCTCTAATTTTTGAATCAAGGAAACGCTCTGGACATAGATCGAAGAAACTCCTTTTCTTGACCAACTTCAGACATTCGGCCGTGAACTATTTCTGCAATATGTGACTACTTGCCTGCTTGGTTACTCCCAGCTGGATGGATTCTACGAAACCCGAGCAAAAAACGTCATTTGGCGGAAGTGCTTGCATGAAGCGGCCCTATCACGACGCCTGTATTTGTTGCTTCATCTGCCTTACTTCGAAGCTGAGCTCAGCGCCCGCCCACCTCGCCTAAACTATCCAATTCTTTCCTCTGTCTCTGCTTCTGTTCTGTTTCTACGTGTGTGGCGTTCTCGCCGAGCAACGGGGATTTGTTTTGGAGGGGCCCCATCGTGTTTGGGTGTCCGATGCGAAGGCGCTGGAATGCGCCGCTGGAATGGGGGGCTCGACGTGTACTTCTGGCGATACCTGCGCATTCTTTTCCGGGCACAGTGCCCAGAAAACTCAAAAACTCCCAGGCCTGCGTGCGTGTGTGCCCTCTTTTCCTTTTTTCTTTTATACCGTGCGGTCGCGTCCAGGCCTCGGCAGAGAGAGAAAGAATGGCGGTTGTCCGTGAGACATGGCGCCCCGTTTCCGGGACGGGAGCAGAGATGGATGGATGGCGTCAGCGTCTGTACTTATGTTGAGTGCTTGCAGAACTATGTCTATCCCTGGGCGCCACGGCGTTCCTATGTAAGTGGTGATGAATATACATTCGAGGTTAAGTCGTGGCTTGGACGATCGCGTCCGCAGAGAGTGCTTGCACGGCGCGGCGCGTGTAAGTCGTGATGTGGCTTGCGGCTCCTCAACCCGTGGCGCAGGGGAGACTGGAGTCGTACATTTGATCGGAGATCGTTCTATGACAAGCTTTTCTCCCAGGATTCCAGGACTTACCGGACTTGCCTTGGATGCATGTGTCTAGACAAGTCGGCACAGGTGTGAGTTACGAGTGTGACGTAACTGAGGTTCAACGTAGCCAGCATCACCGTGGCTTCCAGATACACGATAGCACGTCTACGCAGCCAGTCATCTGTCTATGTGCCTTTTCAAATGGCCAAACTTATACTTGCATCGGTGTTCTTCTTGAAATCCATGAAATGAGGAGTCGTGTCGCTTCATCAAATGTAGCAAATTCATCTCTGCAACTCTCCCTCGCAGCCCGCTGGCATCCTCTATTTCGCCGGTTACGTCCATCAATGTGCCTTCTTTGTTTCAGGTAGGTTACCTTTTATGTTAATAACATTCTTAGGGACTTTTCCAAAAAAAATAATAAGGTACCTTGAAGCCAAACTCTTCAACAATCTAAAAGGTGAGTCAGGGTCTGTTCCTTATTGCTTCATTCTCGACGTGTTGGTAACTCTCTTCCGCATGACGCCCACTGGGCCCTTGGTTCTTTGCTCATGCAGCATTGAAGGTTGCTCCTCGCGAACACGCACGGAGCCGAGATCCGCTGGTGGCCACATGCACGCCGTGCGCACACAGTCCAGCTGTCAGCCGGATATATCACGCACAGTTGCTCACGGTCACTTCATACAGGTATTGTCAATGGCCCGTGGGTTATCTCCGGGAAAGACAGTGATTATTTGCAGGGAGCCCTGCTTATGGAAAGCTGTAAAGACAGATGCTGATCCCTCTCATCACTCCTAAAAGCCATCCCCCATACCTGCATTCACCCGACACTTGCCTCCCCAACCCATACACTTTGCCATTGACAATAGGCAAGCCGTCCAAATGGTACATTCCTGTCTTGTCTTCGTTCCGGCAAGAGATTTGTATTGATCCTTCCGAGTGCGACTGGACCACAGTTGATACCCTTGTCGCACGACTCTCCAGCGTAGCTCTCAAGAACATTTCTTAGCTTGGCAATCTGGACAGAGACCATCTGGAGCGTCGGACCGTGCTTTTTTGTCACACCCATGTGTCCATTTATGTGCGCAGGGGCCGTCCGCCATTTCAGACAGTGGTGCGTAAACTGTGAGGCCGAGAGTATGGTGCCTGTTGCGTCGACCCCTGTAGGCTCTGGCTCCTAGCCCTGAGGTGGAGGTAAGGCGGCGTGCTCGACGAGACCGTGGCACACAAGGGTGGCGCTGGTGAGAGTGGCTCATGTTGGTTCTGGTCGTCTTGCTTGTTGGGATGGGTGTCTTTTCAATGGATCTTGTAGTATGTATCTGAAGATGATTGCTGTTGTTCTTGCTTCGCAGAGAATCCGCATTTCAAAGGTTCATCGTCGCTCTTTAAATACTTGCAAAATCCAGTCAGCGCCATGGTCTTGCACTCATGGGCTTAATCACATCTCTGATTCCTTGAGCCGCTCTACCAACCAACATCTCCTGTTTACGATGATGAATCACTCGGGCTCCCCAGTCGATCATGGATGTAGCATCAACTACAGCTCGTTGGTTTGTACATAGAGTCAAAGTACTGCTTCCTGCATCGCATGCTGGAGACTTTGATGCCCATCGCCATGGATGGGTGCCCCCTGTCAAGAGGTCAATACGAGTGTAGAGTCGAGATAATGGCTCGACTGATCCAGGACCTCTACTGCAACCGGCACACCCATAACAGCCCAACAGCATGAGATTAAGGGATCAAATGTACACGAATCAGGTCTGATTAGTGATCTCTGTTGTTTTCTTCATTCAGCAATAACCATCGCTCATCCACTCGTTGCTTGGAGTCAAGGCACAGTTCGCTCGTCCGTCCTCCGGAAAAGTATTATTCACAGAGTTTCGTGGTAGCCTTTCGACCGAAAACGAAAACGAATGATTTTATTCCCACTCCTCTCTGCCACAGTGCCACGACTCATATGGTGTCCGCGGCCTTGGGGCTCTGCTCTGGTAGTGTCACAGACTTGACCACTGACAGAGGTGAGGGAGCTGCAATGTGTCGCGCCAACGAGTAGAAGGGCTTCAGTCTCGCTTACTTCTGCCTTTTTTTTGCGCTCTGCCGCGACTGCCCCAGCCCGACCCTACTGTGCGCCACCTTGCATGCATACACCGCAGACCCAGTGACTTGCGTTGACCACTGAGGCGAGCTTGATGTGCTGTCAAGTCCTCTTCCAGCCTAGCGCCCCTCGACCACTCATCGCCGATACCTAGACAGCAACAAGGGCAGAGATGCCCGATGAGCCAGCCTCGAGATCACTGGCTCGGCCAAGTTCTCACACTGGACCGGGACGGTCACCCTGCACCACAGTCATGCACCAGCAGGGGCCCTGCAGAAGGCCATTACCCAGGCTGGGAGCCTTGCGGGTCCGGTTTCGTCGAGTCCGATTATCTTGCGGAAGGTTCGCTGTCTTTGTTGGCAATTTGCTCACCTCAATCATCACAATCTGGCGTTCACTGCTACGCCGATCATGTTCTAGTAGTGGTTGCTCGTGTCTTTATGGCTGTCTCGTGGGGGCGATGCCACGAGTATCTCACATTCCATTCGCGACTCACCTTCGTCATGGAGGTCATGTCTCCCATCTTCTATCGTCGCCTGTTCTAGCTGCTCGGTGAGCCAAGATACATATGGGTTTTCCCGGTTTATACAGTTGAGAATATTGGAGAACCAAGCGTTGACCGAGTCTCAATATTCCCCGGCATTGAGCTTTGGGCCTGGTAGGATCAGGAGATAGACAGCACAAGCTCAGACAGGCAATGCCGTCAGACTTGTTGGACGTCACATTTGGCAGTCCTATACTCAGATCCCAAACGAGGTGGGATATTGCAGTCGACATTCAAGCACCTATCCCGTATAGGAAGTCGGGCCGAACCAGACTGTCGGGTCCTTGTATGGACGGCACAGCACGAGGCGATCACCGCGCAGAGGCGCAAAAGAAGCCAAAAGGGTCAAATCGGGACATATGGGCGATGCCGAGTGATCTGGCACTTTTGTTTCATTGGTTCCACGCGAGAATCAGCGCAAACAGTCTGCAGCCCAGAGGGGATACTTCTATGGCATGTAGTCAAGAGAGAAGCGGCAACCAACATGCACAGCCATGACTGCAACCCCCCTGCACCAACAACCAGTCAACAGCCGAGGCAGCGGGAGGTCAGCAGCCAACAGACACCGGCATGCAATCCGGGCAAAGATATAATCACAGGTGTGTCATTCCTACCAAGGACAAACGTTCATGACCACTGGAAATGTGTACCCGTAGTGCACTAGCGTTGACAGCCGGGCGGGACAATGACCACCCTGGCACTCCCGTGCGTTGGCACTCACACCATCGGCTGCCTTCTTGAATGGATGATTTGGTTAGGGAAAGACAGCTATGGCGTCCCATGATGCTGTTTCGGCACCGAGAATCGAGCAAGCGATCAGCCTCTATGCAAAAAGTGGCATTGCCCGAACGATCGCCAGAGCAGATAACAGGTTTTTCGACTCCTTGGCTGCAGGAGTCGATGTGATGAATCGACTTTTCTCTTCCCCATTGCGTGTTATTCCCTACAGATCTTCGTGTTCCGATGCTTTTCTCAACATTGATAAGGGCTATTTGCGTGTTTTGTGGCGGCAGCTCTCCGGTTTCTCAAATCCTGGCTGGCGGCGGGATCGCTGGGGAGGAAGGCCAACTCTCCGAGGTCGCACGTCGTTCATATCCATTCAGATGCGGGACTTTTCCGGTACGGAAGTAAAGCCTTGACTCGGAGATGATAGGATCCTTGACTTTGAAGTACCGCATCACGGATATCTTACCACGGCCGGGTTGGCCGTCATTGCGAGCCTACCAGGGACCACATACCTTGAGACCCAGGCCTATTACAACACACAGGCAGGTGGTAGAGGCTTTGCTCTTGGTTAGCAAACATGGAGGACCCGACTGAAAAGAGCATTTGGGAGTAGACAGAGTACTTTTTACCACAAGCGCCATCCACAGTGCAGTGAGAACCGCATCAGTGAACATCTGCGATGCACCCAGTTCTTCCAGGCCGTCTCTTTATTGCGTGTTGAATCGAGTTCATGGTGAAGCTGTCTTCGAACTGGTCTTACAGAGATTTCAGTGGTGTTGCGGTGAGGCGGACACTCATACCTCAGTGCTATCAACCATGGTTCGTTCCGTGCCGGATGACGACGGATCAATCATTGTCAATCGTTGCCGCCTTGTTAGCGTCAGGGACGTTGTGGAATGCTGCGGGGAGGAACGAGCGGCCAGCGCAGGTCCTTGCCCGACTCGGAAAAGCGCACATGGGGTCTTTCCAACCTTATTTTCATGCCTGTACTTTCTTTTTTTTACATACTACCTATATCGACTTGTAAACTCAACGACAAGAAAGCTATCGTGCCTGTCTGGCATGATCGGTTTTATCCGGGAAAAGCCATGCTGCCTGGCAATCGTGGGCGTGTGAGCTGAAGGTCTGGGCCCGGATAACTCGGCAATGTCGTCCAGCGGTGTCAGTGCGGCGCAACCGCCAGCCAGTGTCAGAGAGCAAATCCGGTGCTGAGCACCGCACGCGCGCGAGAATGAACGGATGGACGGATTCACTTGACACGAGAGACATGCTTTGCTTGGCTGCTTTGGGAACCCCTGCTGGACCCCCAATTGAGGCATGGCCCCGTCGAGAATCTGTTCTTTTTCTCGAGCATCTATCTGGCACTCCCTCACCACCCTCTCGACCTGATGGACGAGAGGCAGGGCTTGTCGCACTGGCAGAGCTCTCATCCAATGCACATACCTTCTTTCTCTCACACACATACGGAACACAGAGGAGAGCGTTTCCCCCTTTGCAAAAGACCTCCCCGCCTGCCAAGAAGTCTTGGCACTCTGCCTGGACTCTTTTCCAGCGAAGCAATTCAACCCTTTTGCGTACACACATTCTCGTCCCTGCCCTAACCCGTTTCGGCACCTGCGACTTACCCCGTGTTGCACCTGGTGCTGATGGGCTCAGTGCCAATGAGAATGGGAACGGACGGGGGTTACAGTGGCAGTGGGAGCAGGGTTCAGGGTCACGATGCATGGATGCCAGCTCTCCATTTTTCTGTGCCACTCGCTCTCGCCCAAAGTGGCGGTTGACATTCATTCTGTTCGCGATTCACTTGACTTCTGGCTCAGACGGAGACCAAGACTCGATGAGCGAGCAGTGACAAGCTCCTTGTGTGCTGCCTGACGTCCCATTGAGACTCTACCTACAGAGAATTGGCCATGTCCTGCAGCCCGTAGCCTCGGTCTCTTTCTCGCTTCTTTTCTTTCTTGCGACGCTTTCGCGTGAGTGAGTCGTCCTTCTGCCTGCACGTAAAGCTGAGCTTTTGGTCCACGAGCGTGCGCAACGCTCATCGCAACGAGATGGCGATGCTCCTGGGTGGACAGATTCGTCCTCGAATCTTCCTCCTTGCCATACTACTCGCCTTCTCGGTGGTGTTTCTGATCTGGTCCGCACCTGGCGGATCCGACTACGGCCTCCAGCAGCCGTCAAACGACCCGCCTCCGCCGCCGCCTCCGGCTGAACCACCCAACGAAGCGTCCAACGACGAGTCGAATAATGTGCAGGTCGGTAGCAATGGCGGCGAAGAAGACTCGTACAATGTTCCGATCGAGAGCCGACCCGTCGAAGAGCCCGTATCTCCGACCGAGGTCGCCCAAGCGGGAGCGCCTGTCGCGCAAACCTCCTCTGCCGGATCCGTCGTCCAGGCGGCGATCCCTTCGCCTACAAACAAGTGCATGAAGTTTGAGAGCTGGCTACGGACCAAGCCAGGCCCGCCCTCCGAGGGCAAGCGCAAGTTTCCCTACGTGCGACCGCCTCCCGAGTGCCGCAGCTTCAATCTACCGAGCATGGAGGCCCTGATTACGCGCATGAAGGGTGTGATCAAGGACCCGGACCTGTTCCGCCTCTTCGAGAACAGCTACCCCAACACGCTGGATACAATGGTCAAGTGGAAGGGTTACAGAAACAAGACGAGAGACGACGGCGTGATCCTCCAGGAGCGTACGGACGAAGAACTCACCTACGTCATCACGGGAGACATCGACGCCATGTGGCTGCGCGACTCGGCATCGCAGATTTACTCGTACCGCTCGCTGCTCGAGGCGTCTAACAGCTCGGACTCGCTGGCCAGCCTGTGGCGCGGGCTCATCAACTCGCACTCGCGCTACATCGTCATCTCGCCTTACTGCCACAGCTTCCAGCCGCCCGCCGAGTCGGGCATCGAACCCACGCACAACGGCGCCTTCCACCAGAACAACCCGCAGCCGCCCTACAACCCGGCCAAGGTCTTCGACTGCAAGTGGGAGCTCGACTCGCTCGCCTCCTTCCTGCAGATCTCGACAGCCTACTACGAGCGCACGGGCGACGCCGCCTTCTTCGGCAAGTACGCCTGGATCGACGCGGTGCAGGCCGCCGTCGATGCCGCCGGCGCCATGCGGAAGGGCACCTACGGTGAGGACGGCAAGGTGCAGAGCTCGGCGTGGACATTTACGGGGTGGACAAACCGCGGCAGCGAGACCTTGACCAACGACGGCCTGGGCAACCCGAGCCGCGAGAACGGCATGGTGCGCTCGGCGTTCCGGCCCTCGGACGACGCGACCATCTACCAGTTCCTCGTGCCGGCCAACATGATGTGGGCCAAGTACCTCGAGGAGGCGTCGCACATCATGGACCGGCTGACGGACACGGACCCGCGCGCGGCGAGCCTGACGCGCGTCATGCGCAGCCACGCGCTCGGAATCCGGCGCGGCATCGATGCCGAGGCCGTCGTCAGGCACAAGAAGTTTGGCGAGGTGTACGCCTACGAGGTGGACGGGTTCGGCGGGCAGAACCTCATGGACGACGCGAACCTGCCGTCGCTGCTGGCGAGCCCGCTCTTCAACTACAGCCGGTCGTCGGTGGCCGGGGGCCTGCCGGAGGGCGGGCGCGGCGCCGAGGAGCACGACGAGATCTACCGCAACACGCGGCGGTTCGTGACGAGCGAGGACAACCCCTACTGGGCCAAGGGCCCCGTGCTGTCGGCCGTGGGCGGGCCGCACCTGGGTCCCGGGAAGGGGTGGCCCATGGCTGCTATCGTGGCGGGGATGACGGCGTATGATGTTTCTCGCTCGCCAGAGCGTGGTGGTAGTGATGATGGGAACGGGACTGCCTTGGCGCAAAAGGCGGTGGAGGAGGAGGTCGCGGCGGAGCTGGGACAGGTGCTGGACTCTACGGGGGGATGGGGCGTGATCCACGAGACGGTGAATGCGTTTAGCGCTGACGACTGGACGAGGGCGTGGTTCGGGTGGGCGAATGGGCTGTTTGGGGAGCTGATCCTCAGGATCGAGGAAGAGGAAAAGAAGAAGAAGACGACGACGACGAAGGTTGAGGCGGATGGGCAAGGAGGCGGAGAGGGGCTGCTGGAGAGGAGTTGGCAGTGAGTGAGTGAGATGTGGAAAAACTAATGGTGTGTATGACATGGCATTGGCATGGGATTGGTGTTGTCTAGGCTTTGCATGTGTTTCTCTTTTTAGCGATTTGAGGCTAAAGAGTTTGTACGACAGGTAATGAGACTATTTCGAGAATCAAGCACTGTGTTCGTTCTCAGATGCCTGATGCTACTGCAATCAGAAAGCCACGGAGAGCGTTTCCGCGAAGAGACTGGAGCGATAACAGACGAGAGCGGGTTCTTCCGTGTGCTGCGGCTAGCTGAGAAGCAGTGTGACCTGAGATGCGAAGACTGGAGATGGTTCGGTATGGCTATGCTATTTCTGCTCACGCTGATGTATGGCTTGCCGGTGATTGTTTTGAGCCATGAGCCTTCTTGCTGGCGGAGGGGAGAGACATTACCGCCTGGCTCTAGCCATGAGGCTATGGCGCCACTCGATAACGGCTGCGAAAACGAAGCCGGTGACGCTCAACCTGCTGCAGTGGCTTTCTTCCCGTCCCTTAGTTTAGGGGGCCTGCGAGCCGCATTCAATATGACGGAAGCAAGACAGAGACGGAGTAAGCTGACGGCGGGAAGCAAATTGCTGGTCACAAGGACAACCTTCTTTTGGCCATGATTCCGAGATCAGACATCAGACGGTCATGGCAAAGGCATGGCACTGGGCATCGTGATGAGACTACATGCAGGAAGCAAGAAGAAAGCCAGGGAGAGGAATGCTGCGGTCCAGCCACCACCACAAGCCACACCTTTTTTCTTCCCGCCTCGACCATGAAGCGACTTGCATCATTTTCGTCATACACACATAATTCCCTCGCCCCCTTCTCCTCTGATGTACGAAGCTAGAGACTAAATGTCAGATCTTGTGACAGCTGAAGATTTCATCCGATGCGTGTCTCGCAGAGGCCGAGCTGTGCCAATGCGTTACGCTAGTTCCCCGATTCAGATGTGCTGAGACACCACCAGACCCGCGCGTTTGGAAAAGGTCCCATCGGATAACACTGCTGGCTCTCTACCCGCCTGCGGCATGCTGCTATCACGGCAAAGGACGAAGATAGAAGGAGAGAGTGTTAGATCTTGACTCGAATGTTCCTGGCGCCGGCGCTTGGGCGCAGTAGTGCGGGCGGGCGGCAGGCCTGCACTCCGAGGTGCAAGTCAGATCTTCCGGGTGGTAGCACGAGGGGATGAGGAGGCAAGCGAACACCTTTTTCCCCCTCGTTGTTTTCCTTTTATATCAATCGAGGCAGAGCAAACGCGTAATAAGGAAAGGGGGTAACACAGACGGAGGCGCGATGTTTGCTGTCTCGGTAAGAGGGAGGAATCCCCTCCGTTTGTCTCCGATCAGCTTCATGCAAGGGGTAACTACCGAGTAAGAGTCGAGGAGGTCTTCTTCCCTGCAGAACCGAGTCTGCTGAGGTGGCCGTTGTGATAGAAGCCATCTCCTTCCTGCAAGTGTTCTGTTCTCTTCTGGTCTTCAAGGAGAGAAGAAAAAAAAGCAGAATTGTTTCGTTTCAGGCTTGCACAAGTCTTCCATCCATTCATCCATCCTGAGGTGGTGCATGCAGGAACGGCGTCGTTTCAGGGACCACCTATTAGGGGCGCTTCACAGCGTGCTCAGTCAGTCGGCCTCAGCCTATCAGTGGCCGCGAGCACTGTAGACGGGATCACAGAGGGCGCGTTTAGTGGATCTGTTCAGGGGCAGGCGCGTACTCTTCTTGCGATTAGCCCACTAAGAGAGCGGCCATTTTCTGTCGCGCTAGCCAGGACCGGACGAAAATGCCAGTTAGTGGCCGCGCCGGGCAACGGCACATTCCACGCGCGGGCTTGCAATGATTGGCTGTGCGTCATCGAGAGCGGACTGCGCGCCGGCGTGTGGCATCTCGACTCATGCCAGCACCGCACCACTTGGCCGCGCGACTGCAATCCTGAAACGCACAGTTTTTCTTCTTCTTCTTCTCCTCTGTCTGCGCTTGCACCCTCTTCGGGAATGCCTGGGCAGAAGCCTCGCTGTCAGTGGCTGCGGGCCTTGGCATTTCGCCCGCGCGCGTGCGGGCTTCTTGACTCGACCTCGGCATCACTCCTGTGTTCCACCTGGTTTCTCTTCTCCCTGGTTGCGACGCGTACTCTGCTTAATTGAAAATTCTTTCAGGACAGTAAGGCGTGTCAAGTCTACTTCCTTGTCTACGCGAGACACGCGAGTGGCGAGTGGACTGACAAGAGGTGATGAATACGAGTAGTCAGTTGTCGCTTATTACTAGCAAGAGCGCAGTTGTTCGAGATGCAGTCTCTCCAGCCCCTTGCCTAGCGCTAATAGGCATGCAAACCCCTGTCTCTGGGCTCCAGTCTTTGCCGGCTGCCGATCAGAAGATCTCGACAGCAGCGCGGAGCCGCCACCGAGGCCCCTGTGCTTGGCCTTTTGGACTGCACTTGTTTCTTTTTAGCCCATTTTGTTTGCTGGTCTTTGTCTACCCAGCTCTCTCCCCAACCGCCCAATGTCATGCGGGGGCCACGAAAGACGACGACGACAAAGGCTCGTTCGAGCCAGGGGTCTCGCTCGACACCACCTCGCTCGTCACAAGTACAGATCTCGTGGCTCGTCCGGCCTAGGTACTGCCCGTCTCTCCTGAAGCCACCCAAGCCCTTCCGAGAAACACTTGTCTCTCGTTTCAAGAAGCCATGGCTCCACACCTTCAGCTTACACTCCCAAAGGGAGAGGCAGGCAGAGGCATGTAGCTCGACCGCCCCACGGCTTTTCCTCTCCTGCTTTTCGTCGTCGGCCTTTGTCAAGTGAACCAACCCCTGGCCCACCTCGACTAGTCTTGGTCTCCGTCCACGTTGAGGGAGGAGATGTATGTGAGTGGGTTGCATGTGTGCACCTCGAACCTCTCTAGTCCTTTGAACCCATGCCATGTGCCTTGTCCTCCTCGATACCTATTTAGAAGCTCGGCGTTCCCCCTCATGGCTGGGGAACACCAGCTCTGTCTCGTCGGTTACGTCTTCTCTCCTGTGCTTTGCCTACGCATCACAGCCTTCTTTCCTTTAAGCCTCATTCCAGTCCCCTGCGCAGTCGTCCCTCCTTATGCGGCTGTGACGGAGCGGTTCTATTCTCATCTCACTTAAAAAGGAACTCGACGATCCTTTCTTCTGTTTCTTGTACCCCTTCCTGTTCATTACTGTTCAAAGTTACTTGGCTTCCCTGACCACCGGTCTCTCACTCTCTACCCGATACCACTCCTCGTGTGACGATACCAATCTTGTCGTCGTCCAACGAAGCCTGGTCTCTCTTGTGTCTATTGTCAGGAACAATAGACCCAAAGTCATCTCTTTTTTTGGGAGCGAAGCAGTACAGCCACCCATTCTGTCCAACATCAAAGTCAACAAGTTCTGAGAACGGCTTGATCCATTCATTTCACTATTATAAAGAAGACAAAAAGAACCAGTGTATTGACAGTGACAATCAACAAGCATTGTCCTGGCCACTTGGTACCATACAGACACTACATACAGACTGACAAGACTCACTCGATCGAACTTCGAAAGACAGTCTGTCTGCAGCACACCTCGGACCCGACGACACAATTCCTTGTTTTATCTAGACGAAAGATAAAAGAAGAACAAAAAAGAATGATGCTGCCACGATCCCTACTCATCCTCGGCGCCGCGGCCGCGGCCAGCACGGCCAACGCAGCCTACACGCTGGTCGACAACTACGACCGCAGCAACTTCTTCGACTCGTTCACCTTCTTCACCGACAAGGACCCGACCAACGGCTTCGTCCAGTACACGACGCCGCAGGTGGCCAACAACAGGGGGCTGGCCGGCTACGCGGGCAACCAGATCTACCTGGGCGTCGACCACACGACGCAGAACCCGGCCTCGGGCCGCGCCTCGGTCCGCGTGACCTCCAAGAAGGCCTACACCCGGGGGCTCTTCGTCGCCGACATCACGCACATGCCCGAAGGGTGCGGCGTCTGGCCCGCCTTCTGGACCTTCGGCCCCAACTGGCCCTCGAGCGGCGAGATCGACATCATCGAGGGCGTCAACAGCCAGGCCACCAACTCGCTCACGCTGCACACGGGGCCCGGCTGCTCTGTGACCAACACGGGCTCCCTGGGCAGCACCAAGTTCGTGGCGGGCGGGTCGACCGACTGCGGCCACGCCGGCGGCTTCTCGGGCTGCTCGCAGGCGACGGCCGACAGCCGCACGTACGGCGCCGGGTTCAACGCCGCGGGCGGCGCCGTCGTGGCCATGGAGTGGACGGCCGAGGCCATCCAGATGTGGCAGTTCTCGCGGGGCAGCCCGCAGGCCTCGCAGGCGCTGAGCCCGAACCCGGTCCCCTCGAGCTGGGGCCCGCCCCTGGCGCGGTTCGCCGGCTGCGACTTCGACGCCCACTTCCGCGACCACCAGGTCGTCTTCAACACGGACCTGTGCGGCGACTGGGCGGGCCAGGTCTGGGGCCAGGACGCGACGTGCGGCAAGCTGGCGCCCACGTGCCAGCAGTACGTGGCCAACAACCCGGGGGCCTTTGCCGACGCGTACTGGATGATCAACGCGGTCAAGGTGTTTCAGAGCTCTTGAGTGAGTGCGTTGGGGGGATGGATGTTTGCATGAAGCCCATGATTTCTTTTTTTTTTTTCTATATAAATGCATATGATGAATGGCTGGGCTGGTGTTCTGTTGGTCTGTTCTGTTTGCTTTGCGAGGTTCCAAAGCTGGCCTCTTCCTTCTTGGATTGGCACTCATGGGCGTTCTTTTTTTTGGCTTTGCGGTGGACGAGCATGGCTTGGATTCGTTGGCTCTTTGGTTTGCTCTTGATACCAAACTCGTGCGATCTTCCCAACATTCGGATGCTCAACCCCCATCTTGTTGCATTTTTACACCCAGTCTTCTCATCATAGATTCTATCTTCGCTTGGTACATATACAAATCAGAGTTGAGCATACACACAAGTCTTGCTTTGCCTTTTCTTGCAAAAAAAGAGTAGAAAAGAAAGACCAAATACATACAAGTTTGAAGTTACAGCTTTAGATGCATTGATGCTCTCCTGCGGTGTTACTGAGGGCATGTGGTAGACTGTTGGGAAGAGTTGCGGCTCAGCCGTTGACCTCTTGACCTCGAGAACCATCTGGGGAATTTTCAAGGCATTGAACGAATGCATCCCCTTCTGTTTCTCGTGCGGCACGAGGGTAGATGACCATTTCGTATGTACCCAACGCGCAAGCTGGTCGTGAGGACACACGCCCAGCTCATGCACACCATCGAGCCGCAGCACAGCCTGCTAGCAGCCATACCAGCCAGCAGCTCGCTGGAAAAATGGTAAAAAAAAAAAAAAAAAGCTGCGGCAGGCACAGCTGGGTTGGTCGAGAAAATTCCTTGATCCTTTCTTGGCCAGCATTCCAGTCGGACGAAGGAAAAAACCCTGGGACCCAATTTGGCGCCGCACTATTCCTGCGTGCTCAACCGTGGGCGATCAAGACGCGCTCTTCAACGTCGGGGCAGCGCTAGGCTTGGGTCCGGCTGGGGTCCTTTGCGTCGTCTCGTCCATTTTTAGGTGCCGGTGCCTACATAGGTACCTACATTACTTATTAGGTATCAGTCCCGCGTGCGCGGCCGGCAGGCAGGCTTGGTGGTGTGGGCTGTACAAAGGGTCTCAGCTGGAAGAGACAAGAGACAATTGTTTTGAACGGGAAGGGGTGGCGGGTGGGTTCAGAACAAAGCGGGAAAATGATGAGGAGATCGAAAACAAAAGGCAGGCTCTCGCGCTGAAGGTGGTGTACCGATGTGTGTGTGGCCTTACCATGTGATGTGGTTTCTCGTCGTCTTCCGACAAAGCCAAAAGCGCTTCCTTTTTTGTTATTGTTGTCTTTGTTTCCTTAACACCTTGGTCTGCTCTGGTTCTGACGACAGTACGTCTCCAGACCAGCTGTAATTCGTCGCTCCGTAGAGTCGGCGATGTCATCACTGGCCCGGAGGCATGTAGATCACCGCTGGCATGTGAATCCTGCCTCTCGCCCACCCGAAAGAGCCGCACCGGGATATGCAGATCGATCCAACGCCTTTCGCACCCCGATCTCAAACCACTCCCGATCTCCCGGGACTTAGGGGTAAACACGACAACGTCATCGTCGTCACCCAAGAAGACATCATCTGGGAGCCTTGCGATTTCAGGAACGAGTCAAATTCTCAGCTAGCCTGCCCTCTCACTGGATGCTCTCCAGATGGCAGGCAGTAATAGTAGTATATGTAAAACAACGGTACTCCGTAGAAAATGCATACACTCTGTATGGTAGTCTTTGATGATGCATGAAACAAAAAAAGACGGTGCGCGAATGCACACAAGAAAGAACAAGGGTTGGGTGTGGTCTCAACCATCCCCTTTCTCCTCCTTTCTGGAATCCCTGCTTTTCCTGTGTTCCCAACTCCAGAAAGAGAGGAACGGGCAATAAACAAACACACATACACACACTGGAAAGTGCAGTCGAACAATGAAAGAAAAAAAAAACACCAAATCCTCCTCTTCCACACCAACCCCACACAATACATACACACACATCGATTCGTGCAATCGTCGTTCCGGACAGCGAGAAAGGGGTCGGGGGTGGCCAGAGCCTCCGTTGTTTCGTCGTCTCGTTTTCCCATCCCATCCCGTTCGTTCCATCTTCCCTCCTTTCCTTCAGTCGTGGCTTGTAAAATCGTACAGAAAAAGGGTATAGTGAGAACAGTGGGCAGCTGCTAAGCTCTAGCCAGAGCTGCCATGCCAGCGCGCGCGGCGAGAATCGAAGAAAAAAAAGAATGATGCTTTTTTGTATCCCCGTATGATCGATGTTCGGTGTCTTCCCTCAACTCTGTTTTGGTGGTGCTCTCTTCTTGGTCTTGTCGATTCTCTCCTTCAGAACTTGACCTTCTGGCCCGTGATCTTGAACCAGATCAAGGCCAGAAAGTCCTCCTTGAAGCGCTCCCACCAGGTGCGGTTCAGGTAGTAGCTCAGCTCGCGGTAGCTGTACATCTCGCCCCAGCAGTCGCGGCCCCACTCGCAGCCGGCCATGTTGACGAGGAAGTCGCGGTCGTTCTGGTCGTAGTGGTAGCGCCAGTCCATGCCGTTCTCGGCGCAGGCGCCCGGCGGGAAGCTGTTGATCATGCGCTGCGGCAGGAAGCCCGTGTGCTTGCGGATCCACGGCTGCGCCTTATACAGCTGCTCGAGGGCGTCCTGCTCCTTGTGCGCCCAGTCCATGTGCCTCTGCTCGTAGGCGACCGGGTCCCACCAGACGTCGAGCAGGCGGTCCGTCCACTCGGAGCGGCGCACGAAGAAGGAGCCCAGGTTGAAGCCCGAGCAGTCCTGCGACAGGAGCAGGTTGACGCTGTTGATGTTGCCGTCGCCGACGGGCGACAGCGAGTCGGCGTCGAGGTAGGGGTCGGTGGGTGGGTGGGAGATGTTGAGGGGGTTGTAGACGTTGATGTCGCGGTAGGTGTGGTCCTTGAGATGGTTGAAGAGGTGGCTCTGCAGCGAGGTGTGCGGCTCCATGATGAAGGTGTTGAGGTCCAGCCACCAGAACCTAGCATGGTGGGAAGAAAAGGTTAGTCACTCCAGCTCACAAACTTTTGTTGTAGTAATGGGAGGAGATAATACGCACCACTCGGCCTTGGGATACTTCCTCATGGCATTCCTAATAAAGTCGACCTTCTCCCAGCTCTCGCGCCACTCGTGGGCGTAGCGCTTCTTGGTGCTCATGTCGACAACCTCGAGGTCGTAGCCCCATTCAGCCACATACTTCTTCTTGTTACGCATGCTGTCCCGCTCAATGGCCCACTCGCGAGCTCCCTTCCACTCCATGACACCTCCGCCAATGTTGGCCGCGAGGATGATGACAAACTTCTCGCCGCCGCCCAGTTTCGCCGATCTCCTCCAGTGGTAGACGAGCGCTGTTGTTGAGATATGGTGGTCAGTCACTTTCTGTTGCCAAGAGCACCCGGGGCGAGGGAGGGTCAAGGCCACGCAAGCCATTCAAACCCCCAAGAGGTCTTTTCTGGCCAAGATCTCGCCCGCCAATGCACCGAAACCAGGTCGAAGGGAGGGACTCACGAGAATGGTAAAAGATGTAGATGCACAGGAAGACGATAAAGGCAATCAGCAGCCTCAGCTTCAACTTCCTGCCCATGCGGCCAAAGATGGCCTTGAGGCGGCCCAGCAGCGGCACGTTGTCGAGGTTGTTGGACCACCGACCGCGACCAAGCTTTTCCTTATCGGCATAGGGCGCGTGGTGGATGCTGCCGGCGCTGTTGAACCGCGGTAGGCTGCTCGAGAGCTTGCGCATGTGGCGGGTGAAGAAGCCCTGGTTCTGGGTCGAGAAGGACGGGTAGCCGGTGCTCGAAGAGCTGCCCTGTTTTAACCTCGCCGACTCCCAGACGACCGGACTGCTGCTGCTGCCGGCGCCGTTGGCAGAGCGCGCGGGGCTCGATCGGCCGCTCGAGGTGATGTTGAGTCCTGGGCTGGCCCATCCTCCACCCGGGACGGGGGAAGGGCTTCGTGATAGCGACATTGGGGTGCTGGGTGTGCCTGTTGTGAAGGGTTGAAAGTGAGGTTAGTGTGAGTTCATTTTTGAATGTCCGTGAGGAGTATTCGTGATCGGCAAGAGGAGGGTCTCGGGGAGCTGGCATGTAGCAATTGGACCAGAAAGCCAGAGAAGAAAAATAGTGTCCACGTACCTGGAATGGGCGGCAGACCCGCTTCGCGCACAGCGAGGTACTGCGAGGACGACGAGTCGTGGAGTGTCAAGCCGGCGCCGGCGACTGGAGGTCGGGAGGCGGCACCAGCAGCAGAGGACGATCTTCTCCGATGCTGGGAGCGTGACTGCCGGTCGCTGAAGGAGGAAGATGCGGCTGAGAGTCGTGAGGAAGCCAGGGTCGCAGATGTGTCGTGAATCGTGTCACCAGAATGGCCGCCTCGAAACGCCGGGGGCCACGCTGGAATCACGAAACTAATGATACAAAAGAGGAGGAGGGAGGAAAGGGGGATAGGAGGGGATGCAAGAGATCCAAATGGGAAAGAAAAAAAACTAGAGCGACAAGGCCACGCAGAGAGGAGAGCGGTAGTACCGTCGCAGCAGAGACGAGTCGAGAGTGAGAGACAACAGACAACAAGAGTCAAAAAGTGACGGGTGACTTGTGGTCTGAGACAAGGCCAAGGTGTAAAAAAAGCGTGCAAAAAGTCTAGTGCAGCCGTACTGGCAGGTACCCGGGAGTGGGTGGTGCTGAGGTGGCCCTGATGTGGTGCTGAGAGTGGTGCTGAGCAGCGCTGGAGGTCCACTATCTCGACTGGTATGGGGCCTTGGATGTCTCTGGTGCGTCTGCCGGGACGTGCTAGCTGGCGCTAGGTACTCCCGCGAGGGCACTACAGAGATGGCTTTTGGTGGCTTTCCGGGTTTGCAGGTTTGCTGACCACCAAAGTACCAAGAAACCAAGATGCTTGGGGGGGGGTGTGCTGCTTTTCCAGGCAATACGAGAATTGGAGGAGGGGGGCCGCCGCCAAGCTCGAGTTGACAGGCCAGTGAGACGGAGGTGGAGGGCAGAGGTCTCGTCGTATCTCGTTCACACTCGCTTCACTTCGGTCCGGACAGGGTCAGGCGTGAGGAGGCGGGTGGTCGTAAATGCAACGGCGCAAACTGCCGTGTGCTTATTATCGTGCATGCATGCAACCTGCAGTGGCGTAAGTAGAGTAAGGTATGTGCAGGAGGAAAGAGGAGGAGGACTGCTGTGGGTGAAGTCAATTTGTGTGATAGATAGGTAGGATGGATGGAGTCAAGATCGTCCAAATTGACGCCAAAGGGAATCTTTGATTGCGCTTCCTGAAGACAGGATGCAATCCAAATTGGCTGATGCTTCTGCTGATGCGCTAATGATGATAACTGAGGCTCGAATTTTTCTAGGCGACACAAGGGTCGCGGTTGGGCCAGGGTACCCCTAAATGATTTCGTTATTAGGGGAGGGCAACAAAGCAGATTCGGTACATGCACTCGCATCCATCCCGGATGGCGTCAGGGGGTCGTTAATTCCAATGTCCTTGTGTGTCCATTCTAACAAGTACCTACTCCATACATTCATCTCATCTACTTGTATTCAAAAATGTTGTGATGCTTTTCTTCACAAAAAAGGGGACACGCCCGGCTTGGCACAGGTTTTTGGTCATCATGAAATGGCACACATCGCTCAGCTCCGGGGCACTCTAAGAGCTGAACCAATCTTAAAAGATACCTCTGGCTCGCACCCCTTCCTGGTGGTGGGAGCAGGTACCTGTCCCTATCCTGGGCCCGCCAACCCGCGCCAGCCCGCGCCAACTCTTGAATGGCCCCCCTTTTTAGTGGGCAGGGAGCGTGCGTGTCGGCCGAACCCTTGGAGGCTTCGTTAGCGGATTGGCTACTCCGTAGGTAGCTGGGTCGGGTGCGAGTCGATAAGGAGCCACGGATAAGGCCAAGTGAAAAGCACATCTATCAAATCAATTGGATCAATCATGCAGGAGATCCTCCAGGGCTGGGCTCCATTCGATCTTGGGGGCTCCATCCGGGCGCCAGAGAGGCCAGATAATGGAATCGTCGGACAAATGAGAGTGGAGGCTTTATTGCTTCTGCATTTGATCGCGGCCATGGGGGCCCCTGTTCGACGCCTTTCATCCCATCCGTTCAGACGCTGCATCCTATCACACTGGCGCACCAATAAACAGATTTGCAGTGCAGTTGTCGCCCGGGAATACTCGTCTTGTGTCTCGGTGCGGTCGAGCTGAGGCTGCTGATCACCCACGGCTACTACCGACCGACCTTGTCAGACGGGCTAGACTGGATCTACATCCCCTTATCGCAATCGATTAATCAACCGTGCCATATCTTCTTTTGCCAATGTACGTAAATCCCGAGAGGACATCACGTCCGAAAAAGGAAGCCCATGATCCTCCAACCGCCACGCTCCTGTTTCGTGCTGAGTCAACTCATTTTGCTCAAACACTCATCCCAGCAAAGGTCACACGAGATGGAGATAAGTTTCAATGCAAAACTCCCTGTAACTAACTGTCTACGGGTGGGACGGAAGAGAGGTTCATGACAGTTGAATGACATAGTTTCTTGAAGAGCTAAAAGACTGTGGTGTGTGTATGCATGCTATTGCAAAGAGCGAATGTCTGCAGGCTCCGTCACCCCTGCGTTCAAAGTAGCCAAATTCGATCCGATCCGATCCCGTAGTTTTGTAGGCTTCTTGAATCCTGTTTCCAAGGCTCAAGCTGTCCTGTCTCGTGCTTCTACACCTCAGTCTACAAAGATATCCTCCACGGGGAACTCGACCATCCGCTTGGTGGGCATCTTGAGCGTCTTCCACACCCCGTCCTTGTCCTTCTTCTGCACCTTGGTCACCGCCGCCCACGGGATCAGGTGCTCGACCGCGAACTCCTTCTCGTCCGCGTGCCCGTACTTCTTGCCCGCCGCCTTGTACTCGGCCGCCACGTCGTGGATCTTGCTGCCGATCTTGGTCGAGTCGAGGAAGTAGAGGTACCCCTTGCCCGCGTGCTTCTTGGAGACCTCGATGTCGTCCGACGTCGAGATGAACGGGTCGCGCGACGGGTGCTTCAGCGTGCCCTCCACGGGCTCGAACAGCGTGCCCTCCGGCTTGTCGAAGCCCTTGGCCTTGAAGCCCCCGGCCTCCTTGATGGTCTTGGGCCCGCGCGAGTCCCCGCGGTACAGGGTCTCGGCCACGACGCCGCTCACGAGCGAGGCGACGAGGCCGAAGAAGATGAAGAGAGAAGAGACGTGCATCTTGGATCGACAAGGCTAGTAGACTCGAAGGTTTTGAGCTCAAGAATATAAGTTGTGATAGATGTCAGGGCTGGTGCTGTGTTGCTGATATGAGTTGTTCATCTTGGAGAGGGCAAGAACAGCCTTTTATACACACCACTGCTCTCTCGTCTCGCACATCGTCTTCATTTGGCATCAAGGAAAGCTACACACGCCTCAAGGTCTCTCAGTAATCTCGGAAGTGTGCCTCTAAATTAAGAGACAGCCCAAGGACGACTCCGAGGGTTGGCAGCCAGGAGTGACGATGGTGTAGTTGTCCCCGCCCCCAAGGGAGTGCTCGGAACGAGTATGGAGTGATAAATTCATGTGCAGCCAGTACATGAAGCCTTTCCCGTGTATGGAGATATCCACAAGTAAGCTTACGGCCACAGGCTGATCTCATGAACTTGGACATGGGCCCCCTCGAGTCGAGGCCCCCGAGGCTGTGTTGCATTCCGTGTCAAGGAAAACTCCTTGACGACTCAGTATATGCATTTGCGCGTTCGTACAACGACTTGTAATTACATACGAGTGACCTGTCTATGTTGCCAACGTGACTTGCATTATTTGAGTTCCCAGGTAAAGTCGATGTCGCTAAACAGGTAAACAGTGTACTTGTTCTTTTGCAGCCAGGAACATAAGGAGACAAGAAATCACTGTTGAAGTAATACCACAAGAGCAGACCAGAGTCCATTATCGCCAACTTGCCGCGGAGATGCAATTGAGAGAGAATGTCACCATATGTGTCAGATAGAAACGGACCGACCCCTTTGATGCTGATCTCTCTGCAAAAGGCTTACTGTGCGACCATCTGTCTGGCATATAGTACTATCCCCTCTTGTCTTTGAAAACTGGGGTCGCAGTTGTTGATCAACTCCCCTGAAAAGGATCGATGGGTCGACCAAGACGGTTCGACCCGAGTCAGCAGAGGATCGAATCTCAATGTGGCACAGCCGAGGAGACGGCTCAATATAGAATCATCTCTGCAAGTAAGATGGTACCATGGGCCATTACGCGCGGTATATGCCTGTTGAACGCTTGTGGCTGATGACGGCACGTTACGTCATGGTCTAGAATCACGATGCAATCAAACGCAATATAAACATTCGACACCGACATTCGGATTTTGGCAGCCAACTCAAAGCACAGATCATCACTTCTTTTCATACTGGCTAGTCACCTGATCTTAGATTGTCTCTCGCCGAGTCCAAATCCTATCACTAATTCACTCAAGAGTATGTAACCACTTCGTACCCCTCGTGCCTTCGTGCCGATCTCATCACAATCCATCTAGATCACGTCAACATGACTACCATGCAGGAGCCTGCCACAGCACAGTGGGGCCTGAGTGTCAGCGACGCTGACTTTGCGAAGCTCAAGGCTGGCTTTGAACCCCAGGACCAAGATGACAAATGGCGCGTCTCGGCGAACGAACAGAGCGGCGGAAATATCTCCATCCATCTTGCCAGAAGCGGGACTGACAAGGAACTCTATGTACTTGTCATAAACCCACGCGCCGGAAACAGCAGCAACAGCAGCATCAACCGAGGAGGGGCGAAGGTTGAGGCCATCACCTGGGAACAGAACAAGGGTGGCATTCACATCTCGGAGGAGCAGGCCAAGAAGGAAGTGGTGATCCTGGCCCGACGCATTCTGGAGTGCAGTTTTGAAGCGCTGCCAGAGTATGACGTCTCGGAACTGTGGAATCACCCTGCTGCTCAGCTCGACACAGGCGAGACGAATGGAACTAACGGTGTCAATGGAGGGCATTGAGCTGGGGATGACCTTCACTCGGTCTCAAGCGTTATTGAGCATCTCTTTGATGGACTCTTCAGGAGAAAGACACTTGTGAGATTCTAGCATAAACCCCTTCTGTGTGCCCACAGTACCACCGTGATTATCGATGAGGCAGCCCCAACCTTCTCACATTGGTGCCTGCGCACTGGAGCCACTATGCTTGGAGCCACTATGCTGCATGTCTCGTACAATCTGACGAGCCTTCAGCGCGTATAAAGCTCTAGGAACTTGTCCCCACACCTTCTCATCTGGGGATCTGCAAGAAATTATCCGGAGCGGCTCCAGTCTCTGTAATCACACATCCCCGGACCAATCTGCATGCTAAGCTTTTCAAATCTAAAACCCTTGGATCCGAGATTACAATACAGAGAAGCTCCCTCATAATCTGACCCCAACAGGCCGATCCGTAAGACCACGAACACGCGGCTCGCGGTCTGGCTTGGGCCGATGTGAAACATCTGCTTACTGATCCTCAAGACCAGCCCCCAACTAATGTAACACAGTTTGGATCGACGATATGGGTGAGATGCAATATGTAAAGGCACTGAATGGAAGCGGAATACTAATTGGGAACTATTCTTGGATTCAGCATTGAGAGAGACTTTCCGGAAAGGATGGAAAAAAGAGGATGGCATTACGTGTCTAACATCGAACGAGACAGGTTATTCATCGCCAACCTGCCAATAGCGACCTTTGGCGTGACCAGATCATAGAATAACTGGATCTGAGTTGACAAATGTTAGTTATTCTTGCTCACTCATCAAGATTGATTAAAGCTGCTTGGTACTGCTGAGCTTGAATGAATTGGGCTAAGGAGCACCTCCGAGGCAACAGCAGTCTATTACCACCCCAAACCAAGGAGCGTGCCAAATTGGAGTGACTAGTGTGGCATATGGAATAGCAAGAAGGCTAGTGCTAGAAATATGAGTTCCTATCTTTCGTTGGAGGGAAAGGGTCAAGCCGGAGCCGTCATAGAATAACAGCATACAGACACCAGACTCTCGCCCCTTTGTTCCCAAAGCCAGATCGTGTACCCTGATGATTCTCCTCCAGATCTACTCTGCCTTAACCTTGCCTCGATATAACGCTGGGAGGATTCAAGCAGCGGGCCTCTTGAATGGACAATGCGATGATGTAAGACCGGGCTGACAAATGAGAGCTCCATATCACGCCGTCCAAGGTTGCAATATCCCCACCACTCCGTAATGCAGGAAAGAGACTCTGACAGCGGAGTTCGCATGTTCTCCAGAAGGTCAGAAAGTGATGCAACAGCAAAATGGCAATCAATAAGACCACGTTCGTCATCGTACCGGGCTCCTTCGCCCTGCCAGGCTTCTACGACGACAACGTCGTCGCCCTCCTCCGCGAGCGCGGCTACGACGCCCGCACCATCCCCCTACTATCTGCCGATGACGGCACCCGGCAGCCCCCCGCCACCATGGAGCAGGACGCCGAGCACATCCGAGCCGTAGTGCTGGCTATCCTCGAAGACCCCCAGCACCCGAGCGACGTCGTCATCGCGTCGCACTCGTATAGCGGCATCCCCGTCGGCACCGCGCTAGCCGGCCTCAGTAAAGCCGCCCGCGTTGCCGAGGGCAGGCAGACCGCCGTCGTGGGCGTCGCGGCCATGGCCTCTTTCCTCCCGGCCCTCGGCCAGTCCGCCCGCGACCTCATGGGGTCACAAGCTCCGGAGCCGTACCGCTCCGGCCTGCCGGGGGAGTACTTCCCTCCCGCCCCGCGCGAGATCCTGCTCATGAGCTTCACGGGCGCGAGCCCTTCGGCGGAGCAGGTCGGGGACAGGTATCTGTCCTTCTTTACGCGGCACAGCTCCGACAGCTACGGCGGCAAGCTCGGGTACGAGCCGTGGATGGACATTCCTACCGTGCAAATCATCCCTGGGATGGACGTGGTCATCCCCACGGCGCTCCAGGAGCAGATGCATGAGCGGGCAGTGGGTGCGGGCGGCAAGGTGAAGAGGGTATTTGTGGACGGCGCGGGGCACGCAGTCAATGTGATTCGTCCTGAGGCTGTTGTTGACGAGATGGTTGGGCTGGTGGACAAGAGCGCGTGAAAAGAATGTCTGAAGGATTGGTTTAGGTACGAAGTCAAAGTTGACTGAGGAGCATTTTATGACTTGATGCCAAGTTGGCCATGCCGAGGCACGCACACTCGCCCCTATGATGGGAGCCATGGGATTTCTCATCCAAGGAAATGCAGACGCTGGATCTGGAAATTAAGGATATATGCTCATTGAGAGTTTGATTGAGAGATATATGTGTCTATATGAGCCATATGCCAAGAGATTATACCGGCCCCGTGCATGTGGGCACAAGGTCTGGACACAGCACTTTGATTTCTTCCACCAGAGAGGACATGGCACTCTCGTAGTCCTCCCGAAGATGTGCCACGTCTTCAAGGAATCGTCTCTCTGCACTCGCCCGCAGGTGTTTGGGAACGACTGGCAGCTTGCGGACTCGACCATCGCTCGTGAATACACCCTTTGACACGATGTTGCAGTGGAGCTTGACAAGGTCGTGAGGAATCTCCCTCCGAGGTCTTGAGAAGAAGGACGGTACCAGGAGGTAGTGGGCCTCTAGGTCATTCCTAAGCCTCGCGCTGTGCTTCTTGGCAAGGTCTGACATTGCTGCAGAATGTTGCTTGTAGATGGCGTTTTTGCGCCGCAGAAAATCCCAAGCCAGAATTCTGCCGAATGCTGAGTCGCGAGGTATCGTGTTGGCTGCGGGCTCTGAAAGGGCGCAGTCGTGGTGGTTGGAGGTATTGGCTGAAGTGGCCATGTGCTTCGGGCGCAACGGCAGCGTGAACGTGTTGGCCATGTCGGATGATGTTTGTTGCAGAGCGTGTGATGATAGCTGGCTTCAAGAGCAAGGCGGGAAGCGTGGTGGCGATACGCGTGAAGATTGACGAGCTGACGTGGTTCAGATCGTGAGTGAAGGACTTCCGAGAACAGATGTGTTTTCAGAAGAGAATATTGAGGTAGCAGGGTGCTTGACTGAGTAGGTAGAGTTGTTCGGGTGAAGAATTACCGACACTCGATGGAGGAATGGAGAGGAATTATATAGACATCCATAGACTCCCAAATCACTCCCAAATCACTCCTTACCATACATTCGAGAAGAGTGGTTGAAGAGGCGAGATGCTTTCTCTTTTTTGCCTCATCATTTTCTTAATTATGTTCCAAATCAGTAACTGGCATTATCAAAGGGAAAACACAGAAAAAAAACCACGGTACCGACTGATTCGCGTACATACGACCAACCCAAGAAAAGCAATGATGGTACTGATTGCCACTCGCAAAGTGGACGTTGGACTGACATTACTAGACTACTGATTAAAATCTCTCTGTACTGTGCTACTGATCTTTCCCATTCTCCTCCCATCCCACCCATACTCTCAGTCTGGATCAGATATGCGTCGGATCAAGTGAGATAAGAGTAGGTAGTGTAGATGCCAATTGGACAGTCATTAAAGTCCTGAAAGAACCGAAAGTTGGAATCATTCGTGCTCGTCATCCCAGCCACACAAGTGCCTGCACCGACCCAGCAAGGGCCAATGTCGATGACATAGGCATTGCCGGGCTCCATGTGGACCGGCGGGAAGGGTGGGAACGGCCCCGGCGCGGGCAGGTTGTTCCACGTCGTCTGGGGCCCGGGGCAGCTGCCCGGGTTGAAGCCGGTGAAGAAGAAGCTGCCGCCGCCGCTGTACTCGTACGAGCTGGTGACGAGCTGCTCCTGGCGCGGGAAGAGGAACTCGAGGGTGCAGTTGGCGCCAGCGCGCGAGGCCGGGACGTCAAAGCTGAAGATGGAGGCGACGTCGTTGGGCGTGAAGACGCCAAAGTACTGCGGGCCCCAGGAGCGGTCGGGCTCGGACTTGGAGACCTGCGTGATGTAGTGCGGGAACTCGAACTCGCCGGCGGGGAGGTAGCCCGGGCAGCCTGTCCGCGGATTGATGTCCTGTGGGGTGAGGGCGCGCTTCGAGATAAGCTCACCCGGGAGGGCAGTGGCGACGGCCCCGAGGAGGGTCAATGTAGTGCAGAGCGAGAGATGCATGTTTGCAAAACAGGAGGATAGGTTTAACGAGGGTCGATGGTGCGGTGATGACAATTAGTAGTCTTATCACTGGTGGAACGAATGGCTCTCGAGGAGACCAGGGATAATGCTGGGACAGAAGCTTTGCATAGATCGCCCCCGAACAGCAGGCCTTTTATACACATGCCCATCCTCTTCCCCGCGCGACTCAATGTAGGCTTCTCCATCCATGCCCAATGGCATGATCAGCACCTGGGAGCTCCAAGCTTGCTGCAAGGCAGCCTTGGTCCGGGGAAGTGCATGCGTGTATGCGGCCTGCCAGAGTGTTGACTGTGATGCGACAGGGTGCACTGCAGGGTAAGGATGTGTGTGGCACCGCATCACTGGCCCGAGGGACACAAGGCTGTGTGCAAGTCGAGCGCACGCCTCCGCCCGGGGCGCCACTTTGCAGGCATCCGCGCTCCATAACTTATGACCGTTTGCAAGGATCGAATCCTGGCATGTTGAGGTGATATGACCTCACTGCCCTATCAACAAGGAGCTGTTGCAGACACGCCGATGTCATTGGCTGACGAGATATGCACAAATGCGAGCTTGAGCTGCAGGTTTCGGAGCTGAGACGGCACGGGCATCGAGACCGGCGTAGGGCGTTGATCCACGACTAATAGGGCGTGAGATACAGCCAAAGCTCCAATCAAGATAGGCGTGACTGCATCGGTCTACCAAGAACACATCAGACTTTGGGAAAGCTTGTCAGCAATAGTGTCATGCACGCGTGAACCGACCAACATCGGATGATCAGCTTACTCCGGTGTTCATTGACGGTTCGAACAGCCTACCAAATGCCATGCCTCTACCAGCTGTCGGTTCCACAATTCTTTTCTTGGCCAGTAGCAGCCATCTCCCCAACACCCAGCTCAGATAGGCGGCGCCGTTATGCTGACGCTCGCTGTTCACGCCTGGAGCTCAATATTTACCTCCGACACTTAGCATCAGTTCATTATGGTCCGTCAGAACTTGGATGTTTCTTTCTTTCCCTTCATTCGACGCAGAATTTCATTTCTCTTTGATTCTTATCACGAGAAAATCTATTGTCATTTCCACTATACAGTAAATCCAATCGAGGTTTAGATTGAGAGCTCGGTATTTAGTTACAGAGAACATCGAGAAGAAATAGTCGACGTGTACAAGAAGTTTAATATAAAGAGAAAGTAGTGCGTCTGTCTTCGAATAATACCCATGAAGCTTGACGGTGCTGTTGCTGACGTTGTTCAACCCACAATGCAAGTTTCTAACTCTGCTTGGGATTTTTCGGGCAGCTGGTTCCGACGCAGCAAGTGATAGTGTTGCCCTTGCACAAGCCATTGGCATTGGCGCCATCATCATCGGGGTAGGTGTAGGCGGCATGCTGACAGGGCTTGAAGAATGGGGTTGCAGATCCCTTGATATCGCGGTGGGGGTTCTTGCACGAGCCCTTACCATTGTCGTTGGGACACTTGCTCAGCGACCAGAGGTACTTGTTGCAGCCTGTAACGGTCTTACCATCACAGGTACATGTGATGGGCAGACTAAATCCAGTGCTATCGGAGCATTTTAGTCTCATGACCCAAGTTGTCCGTTCTGCCCGGAGAGAAGTAACTTACACATATGACACGTCGATATCAAACTTGGGGCTGCTACCCTGCTTTACGAACGAACCCTCAATCAGAGACTCGTCCCCCAAGAAGGTGCGGCCACCGCCATTCTCCACAACAGCCAAGTTGCCAGCCCAGCCGACGGGGACGACAAACTGAGACTGGGCACCGTTCTGCATGACGCCCTGACCCTTGTCACCGGAGACGATGTCAGCAAAGCCTTTGTTGAGGGCATGCTTTGTCTGGATGGCTCGGCCAAGCTTGTTGGTGACCTTGATCGTGAACCTTTGGGCAGCAGCAGCGGCATCGGCCGAAGGGGCCTCAGTAACCTCAGGCATGGCGGTCTTCCAATAGTCGGCGACACTGATGGCATTGCCCGGAACTGAGACGGTATCTTCGCCCACATCTCGACCAACCACGGGCGTTGGCTGAGGGAAGGCAGCAACGCTCGAGGCAAGGCTCAAGAGAGCCAGGATACTGATGCGGGAAAGCATTGCGGTAGAGTTCAATTTGGTAAATAGCTTCAATATTATGTGGCAGAATCAAGATAAAGAAGAGTTGTTAACTTGTCCAAGCTTCTGTAGAGATGTGCTAATGGAAAAAGAGTCTCGTCAACCCAGTGGGTGACTTGCGTACTTATATACTTGCAACTGATCATCAGATGCCCGGTCTCAGTCCTTCGAACTCGCCTTCAGCCCTAGCCCGCTGTCACTCCCAGGCATGCGCGTATCATTCGCTTCGAGCGAATATTGCCACCGGATTAAGCGAGGGATGAACATAGCTTGTGTAGCAAGGTTGCGTTGGAAGTTTCCAACATAATCTGACCCTAGCCGAGATGGCTTGACATTTTGGGTACTTGCAGGTGAGAATCAGAGGTGACCTTCCCATCTCGGCGAAGACTGCAAGGCTGGCAACGCCCAGAACCTCACACAGTTCAAGGGCTTGACGCGAGGGCCTGGCGCAGCTATTGTACGTGGGCAGTTCCCAGGCCCGAAAACGCTCGCAGATGCAACGTGCCCTGTGTATAAGCCTTTGCCACGATCCTTCACTGCAACCCTACCCCTGCAGCAGACGCAGGTACAGAACACGCGTTTGCGTCCAGGCCGAACTCTATCCGCACCTAAAAGGACCAGACATCACGACGCTGACAGTCTCACACGACCCTCGTGGCTTTCTTACAGGTTACTAGTGGCTTGATCTCTGGCGTCGGAGTGATCCGAAGCCACCGGATGATCGGCTACGGCCCGATCGGGATGTTCTGGACCTCTCAAAGTCCTTCACATTACCGTTCGGGAGAAGTGAGCCCGGGATAAGCACTCGCGCTTAGCTCATCTCTCCTGATCCATCGGGACGGCAATGCAACCGTGGCGTACTAATTCGCTGACCAGACTGTGTAGCAGCCTGAGCTTGGAGAGTGACACCTTCCAATACTGGGAGCAATTTGTGAGTGGCAAACACACTTCAACTCAAGCCCAGGCACCTTTGGTGAGATCAGGAGATTACTTGACTGAATCTGGATGACTCCTGCCGGATGAAGCAAGGCCAAGGTTTCTATTTTAATCCACAAGATATGCTCTTCTGACCTCAAGTCCGGCGAGACGGCTCGAATCATAATGACTGTAAACTGTTGCAAAAGGAAAAGGAGAAGAGTATATCATAGTGGGATCATAAGCTACCAGCGAGTGTGCCGAAGCCATGTCCAATTCAAGGGGAGAATAGAATTAATTCCAATAACGCCAGAGTACAATCTGTGCTTCAATGGTTCCGAAGCTATAAGTCTGTGTGACAGATAGAGCAGTTTCAGGCCTCATATATGGTATGCTCACTGGGAGACGTGTGTGACGTGGAAATCTATCACGAAGATCTCAGCCACTGCTCCTACCAAGCGCCCGAGATAGAGCTTGACAACGCCTCAACAATGCGCTCTCGTCCCGCCACACGTGCATTCTGGGACCGATAGTCAACTCGGGAGATCTTCTGGAGGCGTGCAAATGTCCCAGGAGAAACAGACACGCGGGTACTGGTAACATGTTGGGATTTCAATGAATTGCATATCCTCAAAGCGTCGAATTTGTCAACAGATGACACTTCAAAACTATGACATACACCGTTCTCAGCACTCCACAGGCTTCAGCCAAATTTTTGAACCTCTCGTAGCATCCTCACAGCCCCGGCTGCTGCACCAGGCGTTGATATTCGCTAGACTCTTTCTTCATTCTGAGCAGTTGCTGCCCCAGCAGCAATGGCGGCGGCAACAGTAGCAGCATTCTGTGGATCCTCATAGAAGTCGTCATAAGCCCAGGTGCTAATAAGCCGCCAAATATCTCGCTCTGCGCTGAGCTCCTCGGGGTATTTCTCTATGCCCGGCTCGGAATTAACAGCGGCGAAGAAGTCCTCATACGCAGGCCAATAGTTGAAGTGCATTTTGGTATATTCCCAGTACTCGGGGTACCAACCCGCAAGCTCCCAGTCGATGATCCCAACTATCCGGCCGTTATGATACTGGATGTTGCGAGGGTTGAGGTCGGCGTGGGTGAATTTGACACTGTATGATGCGGACCTCCCGTGAACTTCCTTCACCACAGGGTCCTTCGTCCAATTCTCGAGCGGCCCTCCAAGACGCAAATAGAAGTGAAAGTCGGCTATCCGGTGAAAAGGACCGAAGGTAACCTGACCGACTCGATAGTCCAGGAGCGGACCCTGCGACACGGATCCAATGAAACCCTTTTCAGGGGGCTTCAGTCTTCGTAGCTGCTGGAGGTAACCGGCAAGCTCCTGACCAAACGCCTGGATTTGCTCAGGGCCCATGTTGGCATACTCAGTGCCGTCTCCAGGGAGCTCTTCCATCACCAGACCAACCGTACCGTCTGGCCGCTCGTACACCTCATAAAGCCGGGGCAGAGGTATGGACGTATTGGCACGCACAAATTCCATCGCCTCGAGCTCATTCCGCCCAGTAGAGATTTTAAGGACCTTGCCAAAGGGAAGGCGGACGATATTGCCCCAACCCGCTCGATTCTTCCCCGGGTAGAGATATTGGCTGGCCCACACCCGCAGGCGAAGCCAGGCAGGGAGCTTCCTTGATTTAAGCACAACGCGTCGGGGACACGTAGTGCCGGGGGTTGCATGTGTTGCCATTGCTTGCGAATCCAGGCTAGGCATTGCGGTAGTAGATCAAGACAAGGTGTGCCGCACAGAAGACCTTCAGGAGACTTGAGTTTGAAAGAGGGAGAAGGTTGGGATGTGTTGGGATGTTGGTGCTTGGACATCCGTAGATGGTACCCCCACTATTATTACAGGCTCCGCATTTCATTGGTTGGTACTTAGTTTGTTTGTCCCTCGGTGCTCGCTGGTACGGTATTAAGTTCCCGGAGTATCTGCACGACTGTGCTCCCTCTTGAAATAAGTAAGCCACCCGGCCTGAGGATGGTGGCAGAAATCCTTGAGATAAATCTGCTACTTCTAGAAATTCCATTGTAAATTGTGTGTACCTGAATACTTACAAACTAGAGCAAGTTTGTGGTCGTCTCACCTGGAGGACCGGGGTGATGGGTTTAGCGAGAGAAGAAAGCACGAATGTTTGTGGACAACATTAGGCCTTTTGGTATGCATGCATCTGTGCCATGCAGGAGTGAATGGGCCTACCGAGATATGAGTTAATGCGGCTGAGCCAACTATTCACCATTATCCTTCCTCAGTAACGTGAATGGAGCCTTCCTTGACAGTTGGAGTGGAAGCTTCCTCTGCTACACTCACTGTGTGGTGCCCTCAGCTGAGGGAAGGCCTAGACAAAGATCCAAAACACCCCGGGGCTCTACTTTTCCTGCTAGACGAAAGACCTGTTTCTTTTAGTCCACGGAACACGCTTGACTTTTGTCTCCCGTGATCAATCACGCAGTTCATCAGATGCTAATATCCCTGGCCCCTGACTTTAACACATCCTCCTGTCTTTCCCCCAAAAGTCGAATTGTTGCTGTAAGTATAGTCATGTGTTTCGACTATTTGTGAGAGCCAAAACTGATGTGTGTCAAGACAAGATGCAACCATGACCGGTAACAAGTTCCGCGTTTACGTCGCTGCCTTCTTTCGTGATGGCATTTCTCACCGACGTGATCTGGAGCCTGTATACGGGCTGGCCATGTATCACTGGGGCATTTGGGTAGAGCCAAAGAATAGCGATGGGGAGGGACGCTTGCACCATGTGGAGGACCATCCGCCGATGAACAGTTCACGGGGGCCAGTTCCCGGAGGGTGGAAATTTGGGTTGCGCCAGAGCAATTCGCAGACCAGTCAACATCTGATCGGGCGTATTATGATCGGAAAGCTCCCGGCCGGCATGGGCTACGATGAAATCGAACATGTTCTAAGTCGTGTCTCGATGCCAATGCGGAGTGGCGACGAAAATTGCATCACGTGGGTGAGAGCAGCAATCCAAGTCCTCCAGAGAGAAGGCCCGGTACCCTGGGCCGAGAGGTTCGATATCATCAAGTTTATGAACGATGCTCACCGAGTTATAAAGCGGTGGCATTCAACCAGGGGCTGGCAGTATTCTGATAACAAGAAGAGCTATGTCGCTCGGGCCTTCCCTTGAGCAATATGAAGACGAGCTTTCGGAACTTGTTCACTATTTGTGTTTCTCTGGTATCCTTGCTCAGCTGGAATCCAAGACATTAGGAGAAACAATGAACTCGTGTACATACCCGCTTCTCCTGATTCAGGGCTTAGCCTATATGGAGCACAGTCACGTTATGCCACCTGTATCTCAGCCTCTTGAGGCCCGGCCTCTTCCCAAGCCTTCTGATGTATCACCGCCACTGTACACCTATCCCCAATCTTGTCTGGATGTCCCATGTCTTGATCAACAACTAGGACATTGACTATACCACTGCCAGCACCCGTTGCAGGATAGACGTCGTCGTCAAACATCCGTATCTCCCCTTCCACACGATTCGGGCCCTTGCGGCGCCAGTAGATGTTCTCATACTCTGAGATCGCGGCCATGACCATCTGGCCCTCGGCCTCGGCGCTCATACCCATGCCCACATAGCCGTAGCCAGCCTGGTCCCACCACAGACCACAGTGCTTCCCGCTGCGGTCGACGATGCGCCGGACGGCTTGGTCTCCTCGCACGTGGATATGCGTCCTCACGCTGAGATACTCCTTGCGCGGCGTGACCTTGAAAGCCGTGAGGGGCACAGTGCGAGCCTTGAAGCGGAGGATGTTCCTGGGTGGGGTCGTGGAGACTGGCTCCGCTGGCCGTACCGGTGGCATGACGACCCAGGACGAGTTGCGGTCGAGGTCAGGGACGATCTTTGCGAGGACTTGCTTCTTTGCTTCCTCTGTTGCAGACATGGCATTAGATGGGCCACCGGTTGTAGTGCCTATGTCGGTAGAGTCGGGCGCAGAGATGACACCTGGAGCAGGTTTCTCAATGTAACCTTTCACCTCAATGACCTGACGGTCGCCTTCGTCCTCGAGCTCAAACAAGCGCACCAGAGGCTTGGGGAAGATGATGTTCCCGTTGGCTTCGTCAAACAAGCGGTACTCGACTGGCCCGTCCCATCCGACCCATGACCAGCTAGGAAAGTTTCTATCGGGTTTGCCAGGCTGAAAGTTCACCATGGTGGGTAGACTGGCTCCGCGGCGCGGGAGTCTACCATTCGGCGTCCACAGAAGTGCGTGACTGAACACAGCAGTCGGAAGCCCATGTAGCGTCGGGCCCTCGAGCAGTTCGCTAAGCACTGCGGACATGCCGGCGAACCCGTTGAGAATGTCAGACTTGAATGAGAACTCCCGCTTGCTGTACGTCTCGAGCAGCGCCTTGTAAGTCTGGAATGCTGACCTCGTGCGTTGCTCTGGTCTCATGCGGTAGACGGCGTCAATGTCAGACAGCGGATTGTCGTGATTGGATTTCTTCATCACATGGTTGTCGTCAAGGGCTACCCTGCCGAGCATGAACGAAGTATACTCTTCATTGGAGCCCCCTTCACAGAGTGTGTCCTGTCCACATTGGAAGTATACAGCACTTGGCGAGAAGTAGATGCAGCGTCGGGACAGGAGGCGCTCTTGCAGGATCCATCCACGTGAATTCCACTTGGAGAGCTCGACTTCCAAGTAAAAAGCGCGCGGTGCTGCAACTAAGCCTAATACTTCTCGATTTGGGTCTTGAGGGTCGTCATCAAGCTCTGTCGACCGCTTCGACACGAGCAGTTGCTCGACGGTTTGAGGGGGCCGAGTCCCTGGATAGACACCAGGCAGACCAGCATTGGCATCGTCCCCACCCAGGGCGACAATGGTGGCAAACGCCCTTCCATACACAATATCCATGCGCGGGATGTCCCGCTGCATCTGGTCCTGGTCATCTTGGACAAGACAGATGGCGTCGACCCAGAGATAACGCTCGCTCAGTGCGGCAACAAACTCAACCGCGTCTCTAATGGTGGCCGGAAGATGTTTTGTGCCCAAGCCCCCGGGCTGCTGCCTTTGCTCAAAATTGGATTTGACCGTCTTGGACATCTCGACCCGGCCCCATACGTAGCTCAGGGCGAAGTACTTCTCATGGGAGGTCGCGCTGACGAGGCAGTCCCGACTCACGTCAATGAAGTTCATTGGTATTGCTGTGTCGGCTCGCACCTCGGACTTTGCTGTATTGCAGAGCGTCCCATGGCTGTGATCGCAGATATGTAACCACGCCTTGATGATTTCAAGGTTAATGCGTTGGTCGTGAGGGTCATGGATCGGGCTTCCATGACCGTTCAGAGCGGCATCAAATGAGGTATACGGGTCGAGGCACCAGCCCTGGCGGAGTGCTGCTTGATACGTCTTGGGTGTGACCAGCCTCAGCTCACCAACTTGTCTCATGCCGTAGTCGATCCTCATTACCTTCTCCCCATTTCTCAATGTCCCACTGGACAGCCGGGTTCCTTGGATTTCCCGATCAATAGCGGCAAGTCTTGGGTGCAGAACCCCAAGCCTAGCCTCGATGATCGACAAAATGGAGCGACACAAGACGCATATGGACTTCCTTTGGGAGAGCTGGAAGTAGTTGCCAAAGGGATAAAGAGAGTCTTTGGCTGTTAGCTCGAACCCGCCTTGGCCTAGTTGAATCGGTTTGGTATGATCGCGGCACATCCGGCACAGCTTCAGATTGGGATGTCGTCCTTGATCACGAGCTTTCTGAATTGCCTGTTTCTCCATCCGAGCTTCCCTGGCTACGGCTTCCTGCGGTGTGACCTTCTCCGTAGGATCGTAGCCGAGGACACTCTCCAGCATGTTGCTGAGATCCATGACGATGTGTTTGGTCTCTGGGTCAATTGCTAGTTTGCGGAGCCCAAGCTCAGTCTTGTACTCTGGAGGACGATACCTCGATGCCTCTGCTTTCTTGGGCTCTGTCTCCGTCCACGCCTTGCGGTTCGCCACCTCGGCGTCGATGTCCGCCTCTGACAGAGTGCGTCCTGCTTGTACAGCCAGCGAGATGACCTGGAGACGCACATCGCGCTTCTCGCAGAGCACAATCATCGCATCTAGGGCAGCGTGCTGGATTATGTACTGCTTGTCGAAGATCTCATAAACGTCCTTTTCGAGAGCTGCTCGCATCGGATTTCCTGCTGCTGCTCCACAGCATGTCCGCAAGTTGTTGATTAGGTCCTGCAGCCATTTCGTGTCGTACTTGGGTTTGGGAGGATTCATGGTTTCGCTCTTGCTGTTGTGTTCCTCAAGCACGGTCCGAGTAAAATCGGCTAGGAAGCGCAAGTCTTCGAGCTTGTGTGTGAGGATGTATCGCTGGCCAAAGATGTTGACCATGACAGACTGGCACTTGAACTTCTCAACAAAGTCTTGAGGCATCATGCTGACGAAAAGCTGGATTTGGCTGACGTATTTTTCCTCCAGAGGGAGCGTTGGAGCGGTAAAGAGATGGTTCTGGAGATGAAGACAGTGGTCTAGCAGGAACTGCCCGCGTGCCGCGTGGCCTCCCGGAATCGCCTTGAACAACGATCCCGAGTAGTTTGCAAGCTCGGTTAGGTCGGCTGTGTCCTTTGTGATGCGATATCTCTGATCATAAAGCTGGATAATCTGCCGGAACAGATCAACCCTAGTCTCGACGGTCGGAGGCAGGGCCTTGACGGCCTCTGTGCAGTGCGATATTGCATCCTGAAGATCCTGCAGTGACTGCGTACGCTTGAACTTGTCCGCAGTGATCATGCCCAGCTGACCCAGCGCGACGCCGTACGGCACCGTTCCCTTGGCCGATAGCGACAGCGATTTCTGCACCAGTGCGATGGCCTCGTCGATGTCCTTAGAGTGTCCGCTGCGACCGTACCTCATGCGCAGGCGCGATGCAAGGTTGTTGAGCGTGATCTCGTAGGGTTCTGAATCCTTCGGCGCCGAGTCCACGATGGTCCTCGCGCAGGCGATAGCGTCGTTCAGGTCCTCCATCTGCTGCAAGAGCGCGTAGCGATGGGACAGGGCAAATCCGTAGTTGGATAGGATCTCAAAGTACACAGAGACTTGCCGGTCAAGAAGACGGGTCGCCTCGGCGACTTCCTTTGCCTGCCGTCCGTATCGCACGGCCTGGTCGAGCGAGCGCTGGACGCTGGTAATCATGTGCTCGGTCATCTTCGCGTAAGACAGCCTGTTGAGGTATTTCGCACGGTCTGGTGAATCCTGAGGGATCCGCCGAAGGATGATCTCGAGGTGCTCAATGGCATCATGGATGAACTGTGGCTGCTGGAGCTGGTTGTAGTGTTGGATGAGGAACTCCGCTGCTTCTTGGCGCATCCTAACTTCCTGGTCTACGGGTATAGTCCCAGAGGCCAAATGCTGTCGTAACATGTTCTGCGTCCTGGTAATATTCGCGAGCGCGTCAGCGCGGGCTCCTGGTGTTCTGTCTGCCATCTTCTATCACAACGAAATGGCGCACATCAGAAGCCGCTGAGAGCGGCGGTAACGCGGGCGGTGAACTCGAGCCGTCGATTGAAGAATAGTGTCATGTTACCAAAAATACAGAGGCCCAGAGTTGAAGACGTAAATTGGAATTTGCGGGTGAAGAATGATCTGCAGATATTAGGTGCTTATCCTTGGGCGGACCAACAACCTCCCGCGGAAAGCAGCCAAACACCTGCTCTGTGCTGAACCTAGGTACACGAGAGCTTGAGTTCTAGAGATGGTTTAGCGTCCGGAAAACAGTCATTGAGGCCTTTGTTCAGCCTTTAGAAATGCCCACCAGTCTGCCGCCAAGTTGCCAACCTCCCACCTTTCAAACGGCTGCAATGATCCTTGTCTACAGGTCTTGGCAGCTGAAATAAAAAGACCCCGCATTCTGAACCCCAGATCAGGTTGCCAATGTGTCTGTCACGATGATTAATGGCCTCGATGCAATTTATCGGCTGACGAAGCTTCCTATACGGCTCAACTTTCGAATGGAAGGAGACCGCGTTTCGGCCCTAAGACATATACAAATCAAATGGGCGTGGAGTCTTGTATGCCGTTCTCTTTTGTGATTTCTCATTGCAATTACAGGCCCCAGACTTGACTTGACACTTCTTCATTCAATGTTGACCTCATAAACCCAACTGGACCAACAGAGTCAACTCCTAAGACTTCAGGCTCATGACACGAGTACCCAGAAAGACATCAATACAAAAAAAGCTTGTGTGAACCTCTCGTTGTCATGATGTGGAATGGTACGAGGGTTGACTATATCAAGGACTGTCGGCTCATATGGAAAGTTTCACATTATGGCAGACTCAAATCTTGGGATCATGAGCAGAGAACTGAGACATAAGCTCTCTTTTTATATCTCATGGGGTGACGTTAGATTTTGGCTTGAAACTAGATGCCGGATCTGTTACATTGGCACCTTGGACCATGAAAGATGCAGTAGAGCAGAGCGCAAGTAGACAGATAGGTTTTGAATACAATACATCCCCAAAACGTGTCCTTGTTGCTGTCACTCTTGAATCCCCTGCTACCAGGAACCAGAATGTTGGATACTGGCTCTTCCAATCCTTATCTTGATCAATTAAATTCTCCTGGCCTTAAATCCTTATATCTTGCTCGGCCTGGCACACAGGAGTTAATGTGACCTCATAAGAATGCGGAGAATGCACTAACTTAGCAGTTCAGAGCGATGGCTATTTCACAAGAAACGTTGTCAGTCACACAGGTTTTACAGTTAACATTCACGTTTTGAGCATCCAACTCACCGTTAGCGAAGAGAGTGTACGTGTCAGCATGGTTCAGGTTCTGAGAGGCCGAAAGAGCCCGGACCGCAGAGTAGCCATAGGCGTTGTAGTCCTGGGTGCCCTTGACCTGGGTCAGATGGGTCGTCTCGTGAAGCGTGGTAGTTGCCTGGTCCTGGGCGTGGCAGGTGCTGGTCAGAGCCGGCAGGCCAGTGTAGTACAGATTGCAGTTGACCATGACGCCCGTCGACGGCTGGGTGTAGGCCAGGACGCGGCTGCCACAGCTGGAGAGTACGTCGGTGCAGTACTGGCGGGCGTTGCCGGAGGTGGTGCTGTCGCACTCTGCCGCGACGCGGTCAAAGACGCCGGCGACGGTGTTGCGGGTCGACGTGGTGCTCGACTTGAAGTACTCGGTCATCTTGGCGGCAGCTCCAGAGCGAGCAGCAGTAGCGGCTCGACGGGCGAGAGACTCACAAGCCGAGATCGCGCTGGTCGTCGCGCTGCGCCGAGTGCCGGTGCAATCGGACTGCACAATCTGGCGCCCACGAAGGAGGGAGCGCTGGTGGATGGCAGAGGCAGCAGCGCCGTCCACCTTCGCGTTGATGGTGTTGCTGGTGAAGGGAATGGCGCCTGCGATCTCGTTGGACTCGGGCAGAGCATACGAGAAGGAACCCGTAGAGGTCAAGGAGAAATCACCACCGGCGCCGAGGTTGTGGGCCTCACCGACATCGAAAGTGGTCTCTATGGTCTGGCCAGCGGCAAGAGCTTCAAAGGCGGTCTCATCCAGGTCTGCCGTCGAGATGCGGAGACGAATACCATCAAAGGGAACGTTCTGGTCTAGTATGTGTCTGGCTTAGCCATGTATCCAGTCACCCAGAGACAGGTGGACTACTCACCAGCCTGGAAGATCTCAGCCTTTTCGACTGGGGCAGAGTCAATCAGCGAGCCGGTCTTGAACAATTTCAGACCGGATTCGCCAGTGTTGGTGATAGTCGCCTTCACAAGGGTGTTGCCAACCATTTCCAGGTTGACTGCCAAGGGGGATGCATCGCGCTCATTGACTGGCATGGAGCTGACAGCAGACGCCAGGAGCATAATGTAAGCTGCGAACGACTTCATCTTGTCTGATGATAACGAGAGTTACAAGGCCAAGTATCCAGGAAAAGACGGAGGTCAACCAAGACTGTGATCGATGAGGCTTGAAGAGCAAAAGGACAGCAGAGCCAATCTCTAGACTGGTAGAAAGTCAGTCAACGGATATTATATAGACGGACCGAGACTATCGATTCTCACCACGGTTCCGTATTCAGTAGCACCTTGCGATGCCCTCACTAGCAGTATATCACCTTCCTCTCTAGTGATGCTACTTCCATGTGCTTGTGGTGGTATCAGTACTAATCGCTGCGGTCCTTCCTCGCGCCACATGTGCAACGATTCCTTTCACCACACCGGTGAACCAATGTTTGTCGGAGTGTTTTGGCCGTAAATCCCGCCGTTTCGATGCACGACGGCAGTAGCGGAAGGTTGGTCTCGTAATATTCGGCTCCTGTCCATCCATGACCTTCCAAGTTGGAATAGGCGCCCCGAAGCGTGGCATGGACCAGGTAACAACCGCTTCTTGGCAATGTCGCGCCTTGCAGTCCCGAGGCTGCCCCTCGGGGCTCTGAGTGGTGGCATTTATTGCCCAACCGCGAGCCTCAAGGCGTCTGCCAAGCCCCAGCAGGAATCAGCTCGAGATGGTGAAATTGTGATGAGTTGCATACACTTTCCTTTTTGGATTTGGTATCAACGGAGCCGATTTCCCCGCTCCTCCCTCCAAGTGCCGGCGAAGATCTTGGCACCAAAGGACAAGGTTGCATTCTGTTTGCCAAGCATGTACTATGCTCAATCGCGTCCGTCTTGGCTTCCATTGTCATGACCTTCTATACATGAAACCACATGTTTGACACCACCTCGCATTGATTGGCAAGGCTTATCTCCGTATCGTCCTGAGGTGGCTTCAGACTCAACCCATGCATTAGCGTTGGGTCGCTGTGCTTTGAGGACGCTCCATGATCTGCATAGAACTCCTGAGAACACTTCGGTCTCCTGAGATAGTCCGCCGCTCACCGGCGCACCTGTCGTGGGGGCCATGCCGACATAACATTGTTGTGGCCATCCTGTTCCTTGTTGTTCAGCTGCGCCTTCATCTACCAAGCTGCCGATCTGAATACCGAATCAGTTAGGAGCCACAGCGTTTCCCACGCTGTGGAAACGCCACGCCCTTCTGGTGGCATCTACAAGTAGTTGCCAAATCACTTTAAATGAAAATACGGGAGTTGAACACTGCCCTGCCGTATCTCTCGGATTATCTGTCATATTGGTTGGATACCTCAATGCCTAGATTGAAAATGATAGCAGCGTACCAGCCAGGTCTCGCTTAGCAGAACATACGTAATCGATTTCAAAAGAGCCTTCTGCCTACGGAGTAGGAAGTTCCACTGCGAATGCACCCATCATAATTCCGGCGTATCTCCATACTCGAGCAAAGGCCCTGGCAACCCACGCTCGCCCACAATATTACATGCATTGATTGCATCTCGCAACTCTCTGACTTCCGCAGTTGATAAGTCAATGTTGAGAGCGGCAACATTCTCTTCCAAGTTCGAAATCTTCTTGGTGCCTGGAATAGGAATGATATTCTCGCTCTGCGCCAACAGCCAGGCCAGAGCCACCTGACCTGGGGTGCAGCCTTTCCGCCCCGCAATAGCGTGGAAACGGTCAACAAGTGGTAGATTATGTGCCATATTCTCTTCTTGGAAGCGTGGCAGTAGATTCCGAGAATCGCCTGGGCCAAAGTCAGATGTTGTGCGGTATTTTCCTGTCAGGAACCCTCGCCCGAGGGGTGAGTAAGCAAAGACAGTGACGCCCAATTCTTGGCATGCGGACAGCATATTAGTACCGACGTCGTTCTCGATGTCGAGTACCCATGGGCTATACTCCATCTGGACAGCATCAATGGGCGTCACCTTGTATGCACGCCGCAGAGACCTAGAGGTGCAGCCTGAGAGCCCGATGGCCTTGATTCTTCCGTCTCTAGGTGCAGCTCGTCAGCATTACCATGCTCATACTGATTATCCTACGATGAGAAACTCACCTCTTAAACTCGGCCAGAACCTCGATGGTCTTCTCGACAGGAACAGAGGAGTCAAGTCGATGAACATAGTAGAGGTCCAGATAGTCAACTCCAAGGCGTTTGAGACTTCTTTCTATGGCCACCCGAGCATACTCTGGCGAGTTATCGACTCCGATGTCGTAACCCGAGTCATTTGGCTTACGCCGGACTTTCAGTCCAAACTTCGAGGCTAGAAAGATGTCGGCCCGGCGCTCTGGGTGCAACTTGAACCACTTCCCCAGAAGGTCTTCGCTGTCCCCGTATTGATCGCTAGTATCCCAGTTTGTGCAGCCTATCTCCCATGCTCTGTCCAGTAGCTTGAAACGCTCTTCGTCGGACCTATTGATAGAGATCAGTATAGGTACATCCTAGAAGCTTTCAGACATACCCGACTGCGCCGTAGGCAGCGCTGAGGCTCATGAGACCCAGCCCAATGGAAGGGACCGCAGGCCCATCTCTACCCAGCTTGCGAGTTGGAAGGTTGTTCGGGGGTGTCATTGCAGTTTGGGGATGCCTTGGAAAAGTAAGGTGAGCATGTATGATATTGACAGATCTTACGAAGACCCTTACATTTTATACAACTTGGGATTTTCTTACACGATGGCGCTCCGGTGGACTTAAGCTGCTAACCCCGTAGTACGGATAACTCGGACTGATGACAGCCACCCTGCTTGAAATTTAACAGACCGGCGTCAGTCGGGATACCCGAAGCCGAATCAATGTTTTTCTAGTGTGGTGCCAGATAATTTCTCATTATTCTTGGCGTGAGTCCGAGGTGTGATAGTACTTGGGGATCATCCAAGGTAGCCTATATCTTTTCGCCGGCAATGGCCAACACGTTGTTATAGTGACCTTAGACATGAAACCCACTAGAAACTTTTGGGCTTAACAGCAGCACAAGAAATCCGAGTTGTGACACAAAGGCTGGAATAATTGAACACTGCGGCATGTGAGACATGCGAAGGATACCGGAATCTGTGAACGAAAATCTTAAATACGTTCCATATTCAGTTGCTATATTATGTAATGATCATCTCACCACCAGGGGCAAGGTTTGCAGTGCAGACTGCTACTCTAAAGATATTGATGTTCCTGGCCAATAGTCCAACTGAACATGATGTGCAATACAGACAAGGAAAAGACCTGGGTAGGGATCCATGGCTAAGAGGATCCACTGTTGTCGGCACATGAGAAGGCAGAGCTAATCTCGCCGTTGGCATATGCATCAATAACTTGCTGGATGACACCATAGGTGCCTCCTACAGTCATGAAAGCCGCAATGGCAATCAAGACCCAGTGCAGATAGTAAATGACCGTCTTTAGGATAGACCCCTTGCGGTAGTCTTGGTGGTCGTAGAGCCAGAGGTAACCGGGCAGCCCCAGTGCGAGGGGAGCAAAGGTCAGGCTTCCAGCTAGAGCCAGGAGGTAGTTGAAGATGGGGATGCCAGATGCCAGAAGGAACGAGACAACACTCATAGTGAGCGTGCAGCCGAACCAGACCGACCAGTGGACGAACGAGTTCTTCTGCAAGTGCTCCGAGTTTCGGAGAATGCGTACGAACATGTACTTTGCGGCGACGTGGATGTAGAGACAAGCACTGACAAGCAGACCTATGAGCCCGATACCGTAGGCGACCTTCTTGATAGTGCCTCCAGCACTACCAAGAGATGGCGAGGCAACCCACTTGCCGCACCAGCGGTACACAACCAGGCTGAAAGAGAGGTAGGAGGCTGTGACGATGCTCATGCAAAGATATACGGCCTTGTTGTAGTCGCGCGGCTTCCTCATCTCCGAGATGACTGGGAGGAATGCCGAAGTTCCAGCGCCAGAGCAGAAGATTGTTGCGGCGGAGGTGATGCCGGCAACAAAGGTTGGGCTACCGATGACATGGTATCCGAGGTCGAAATCTCCGGTCTGAGGTGCGGCAGCTGGCCTATCGCGGGTGGTGACGCCAACACTGTGACTCTGTCAGAACTCCGGTGGTGCGAGTAGTAGTGGTTTATGTTGGACTTACACAACAATGAAGACAGCAATGAAGACCGACAGGAAGCCAATCCATGTCAACCACGCAATCTTTTCAAACTTGCGCACACTAGCGAGAATGAAGACGGTAATCATGGAAACGAGCATAAAATAGTTGGTGCAAATGGCGTGGTTCGAAAGAGCATTGAGTGCCACAGATGCGCCAAACACTCCCGAAGCACCAACGATGGCGAACGTAACCAGGAAGATGATGCCCACAATCTCGCGAGCCCATATGCCTCCGACCTTTTCGGCCATATCAGCAATCGAGTGGCACCCAGCATGAGAGTTGCGAAAGTTGCCCTGAATGATGGCTGTGTATGTGTTCAGGGCTTGCCAGCCCAGGACGTTGATGGCACCAGGGAAAGCTCCAAGGACGTACATGGCCGAGGGAATCGTCAAAACTCCGGTGGCAAAGATGACTGCAATCGGCAAAGTCAACAACAATATTTGTCTAACAGGAAGTAGGGAGAGGCATACCCTTCAAGAAGATCACAGAAGCATGGATCCAACCAACAGTGCGGAACTCGACGCCTCCCTCTCCCGTCTTGAATACTTCGGTAGCATTCTCGGGGTTCTCTATTTTTCCATACCTCTCAGTACTGCTGGTACTGTTGCGGCTAGCCGCAGGGGCGATTTCGTCGCCTGTCTTGGTTGCAAGAGTCATGGCAGCAGTCTCCAATGTGGTTTGCAGGGCCGCGTCTGTTAACAAGAGGAGAGTTGTGGATGACTAAAGGACGACTGATGCCTCTCTGAGGGACAGCAAGAAGCGGAACCATCCACCAATATAAATAGAGTTGATGAAAAGAGAGGGTTCCTGGCTCTGCAGAGGCTCGAGATAAGCCGTCTGGGGTGAAGAGCCTGGTTGATGGACCCCGTGGGGCCGCAGAGTCACTCCATGAGATGGGACGATCGGTGGATCCTTGATGATAACGTTGGGGTAAAAGGTTGTGAGTTGGAGACTTTTACGCACCTGCCCCATAATTCTTGGAGCACCCAACTCACAAATGATAGATAGCGAATAACAAAGTAGTGGGCATCATATGACGGGTGCATTGCCTTGATGCACTAGAGCTTCGTGTGCCCTGAGCTTGACAGTCTCTTGATATGCGGAGGAACAAGGATAGTATGAGACAGGTTGGGTTACATAGTGCTATTTTGAGCATAATAATAACAGTGTGCTTGCGTTATCATTTGGTCCACATGCAGATCTCATTCAAGGCATGTCTTTTATTTATGAAAACTAGACTACTTCTTCAGAATAGCACCAGGTGCAGCAGGCATGATAGCGCCATCGGCAGGCTTATTCTTCGCCTTGAAGTCATCCGCAATCTCTGCCATCGTGACAAACTCCACTCCCTCGTGCTTCATGAAGTGTTCGATCAATCTGTGTTTTGTGTTAGCAATTGAAACTGATGTATAGCATCAAATGGATCCCGGGCTACCTGCCTTTCGTGCATCAGCAGCACATGTGGGCGTCCTGACACGTCAGGGTGAATCGTCATAGGGAAGATGAACTCGTCGTACTCCCGATAGAAGTAGTCAAAGTGATCTCGCCATATATCCTCCACGTCGCGCGCATTCACGAAGCCGTGACTGTTGGGCGCTGCCTTGATGAACATCATTGGAGGCAGATCATCCAAATACCAGTTTGAGGGAATCTCCACAAGACCTGTGTCGATACCCTTCTTCAGCGGATGCATCCAATCCGCTGCTTTCTTGGTGTAGTCGATCTTGGTCCACGACTCTCCCGTGGGCAGATAGTATGCCTGGCAATCGTGGTGGGACATGCTGTGGTCATACTCGATGCCGTAGTCAAGGAGAAGCTGTGCACCCTCCATGCTGGTCTCCCACCACGGTGCGACACTGCCACGTGGTGGCTTGCCGCAGAAGTCGGTGAGCATTTTGTAAGTCTTGTCGAGGACGTCTCGCTGCTGCTCAAGTGTCATATCGGTAGGGTTCTCGTGAGAGTAGCCGTGCAGTCCAATCTCATGGCCTGCGTCCCGGACCATCGCCATCTCTTCCGGGAAGGTTTCCAAACTGTGTCCGGGAATGAACCACGTGGACCTGATCTTGTACTTCTCAAGCAACTTCAACACCCTCCGCACGCCGACTGTCCCGGCGAAGAGACCTTCGAGGAGAATTTAGCATCGCAATTCATCCATTCTAGGGTATGCCGACCTACCTCTACTGATATCATTGGTGGAGTCTTCGCCGCCGTACGAGCCAAGCCATCCAGCGACAGCGTCGACGTCAACACCGTAGCTGATGAGAACACGCTTCTTGCCCATGATGCTGATATCTTTAGGTAGTAACGAAAGTGCGATTGTACAACTCGTCAAATGCAACTGCCGACCGAGGTTTTACCAATTATCTTCAGCAAGCTTCAGACAAGTTGATCGTTTCCTTATCCCTCCATCTTGAACCGGGTTTCGGACGCGCTAGCCCAGGTCCTTACCACTAGTTGGCGGGGAAAAGATAAGGTGTTGGAGTCAGTTAGATAAGATCATCTTTCACTAATTGGAGTCAATTAACAGAAAGTTGGGGTTGACAGTTGAGACAAATGGGTAGCTAACTTATCAATGGTAGTTCCTTAATACGGGCGAGTGTACCCCAGACTGCATGGTGATACGATACGACATGATGCGTGAAACTTTTGGAGATGACTTTGACAAAGACAATCTCGTCGTACATGAGAGCTGCACAGCTCCGTAGTGTAGGCCACGATACCCCTGGCTCCGCCCACCACACAGCACTAATCTTGTATATCTCTGCAGTACAATAAGGCATATGAGCTAGTCACGGTTCCGGTCCCCGAGATACGAGACGATGAATTACTGGTAAGAATTCATGCTGCCGGATTCTGCCATTCGGATCTCCAGGTCTACCATGGACAGTTCAACTCGCGGCTCCCTATCATCCCAGCACACGAACCCGCTGGCGTGATCGTACAAGTCGGACCAAATTGTGGTAGCAACTGGAAGGTCGGCGATCGCGTTGGAGTTCTGAACTTCAAGAAGGCATGTTCACAGTGCAGAGGCTGCATCAAGTGCCAGTCCCGGCACAACGGAGTACTGGATCCTCGGTTTTGTGAACGGAGAGAGATGGCAGGATTCAAGGATGATGGATGCCTGGCTGAGTACATGGTTGCTGATCCGGCGACTACCATTACTTTGCCAAGTAGCGTATCCTTTGACCAGGCAGCGCCTTTGATGTGTGCAGGCGTAAGTTCCAATCTCGAATTGCATTCAATGCCCCATCTCACTCACACTCCCCAAGGCAACAGTTTGGGGTGCCCTTGAAAAGGCCACTAAGGGCCTAGAGCCCGGCGCACCCGTTGCGATTATTGGTATAGGTGGCCTTGGATATCTAGGTCTTCAATTCGCCAAATCTATGGGCTTCCGCACTATTGCCATCGATAATCACCGGGCTGGACATGACCTGGCTAGATCAGTGCTGTCTCCAGAGCTGATGCCAGATCTAGTCGTAGACTCGAGCAACGCCGAGGATGCACTAAAACAGATATTCGAGTTTACGGACATGGATGGGGTCGCTGCTGCAGTTGTATGCACAGACTCGATCGAGGTCACGGCCTGGACTTTGTCACTCTTGCGAATCGAAGGCGTAATGGTAGCGCTCGGGCTACCCTCTGAGAGCTGGCGATTGGACGCAAGCTTATTGGTATTCCGCCAATTGACGGTCATAGGTAGCTACGTTACCAGCGCGGAGAGCACAGCTAGGATGATGGAGGCTGTGGCGAGAAGTGGCATACAATCTCAAGTTACCTGTGTGCCATTTGACGAGTCCCCAAGGCTTGTAGAAAGGTACGAGACTAGAGATTTCAAGGGTCGCCTAGTCGTCAATATCAGCTAGTTTCCCAGTATACTGATAGTGAATATGACCGTGCATTCGTTATCTCTTGCCCGAGCCTGGGGAATGGAGTCCAGGTTCTTCCCCTGATGGGTCCCGACTGAACTGCCGGAGATGTGGAGTTCGTGCCTGAATCCTTGTGGACATCGTGTTGGAGATGTTTGAGTGGGTCGCTTTTGTGACTCCAACTCCAACAACTCTCGCCAGTCGTACTAGTTGGGTTAGTCACCATGACTTCGTGCATTGTTTTTGTTGCCATACAAGGCCTCGGTACTAATAGTGCATTGACTTTACTGCAGAGAGTTCAAATTCTATCTCTTATCAGAATACCCACCGATTACGACTTACAGACATCCCGTTGCAGGCTCCTTATGTGCGGTCAAGATGTCAGTGTTTTTCAAAGAGATCTCGGAGTATGTTGTCTAAAGTGTTCAAAAGTTCATGGACTCTCACTCACGACCGGACAGAAACAATCCTATTAAAGCAGGCGATGCAGAGAAGCTAGTACGGCATCATCTCGGATTCGGTTTACAGCAAATAGAATCACGAGATTTTGATGACTTGCTTGCGGCAGTTCACGATGTGGCAGACCATGTCATGGGTCTACCGGACTACCAGCCTATTCCGGAACTCAAACGCTATCCTCGTCAGGATATTCACCGGCCTACAGCCGATGAACAAGTCTTCGGTAATGCTTGGGCACACAAGTTTCTGATCCGAGGCGATACATCAGACAATGCGCCCCTCAAAGGCAAATCTGTCTGCCTGAAGGATTGTATCGCCGTGGCAGACGTACCACAATTCTACGGGAGCGATGCATTTCCGGCATGGACGCCCATGACGGATGCCGTTATTGTGACGAGACTTCTCGACGCGGGGGCCGATATAGTTGGCACTTCTGTGTGTGAGAACTTTTGCAACTCTACGTCGTCATTCACGAGTGCACAGGGGACGGTGGAAAACCCGCACCGTACCGGCTACTCTGCCGGCGGAAGTACTTCGGGTGGTGCGGTGTTGGTAGCATCTGGGCTCGTGGACTGCGCAATTGGTTCAGACCAAGGCGGGAGCATTCGGGTGCCAGCTTCTCTTTGTGGTTGTACGTGATGAGTTCGCCCCATTGACACCGAGTTTCTGCCGAATTCATCGCTAATGGCATGATAGGTGTTGGGCTCAAGCCAACACATGGCCTAGTTCCTTGGACTGGACTCACCAGCGGAGATGCCGTTGATGATCATGCAGGTCCACTGACTCAGTCAGTTTACGACGCGGCCGTCTGTCTCGACGCAATGGCCGGGTATGATGGAATCGATGACAGATCACTCGGTGCCGGAGAGCCTGGGTCACATCTCTTTGCGGAGTCCCTGAGAGAATCTTCGACAAACCTCACAGGCATCAAGATTGGAATCCTACAGGAAGGTTTTGACAACCCCATTGTCCAAGCCGAAGTACATGAGGTCGTGCTGTCAGCAGCCACCATGTTCGAAAAGCTTGGAGCTTCAATACGCCAGGTATCAGTCCCGTTACATATGGAAGGACCTGCACTGTGGACGATCCAGCAACGCATAGCAGGAGCAATGAATATTCTCGGTCATGCCCATGGGCGGAGGGGTCTATATCTCACCGAGTTTGAGCATGCAAGGCTCCCATGGACGGCAGGCAACTTCCAAAAGCTCTTCGCATCAACAAAGAACACCGTCATTAACGGGATGTATCTTATGGACCACTTTCCAGGACTCTATGGCAAAACGATGAACCTAGTTCGAAGGGCCAGCGACGACTATGAAAAGACCCTACAAGAGTTCGACGCTTTGATCATGCCGACGACACCGGTGGTTGCTCCGAGGCATGGCAATCCGAAGGGGACACCACGGCAGTGCTTCGAACCAAGTATTGGGCTCACTATTAATACTGCTGTTTTCAATGTCACCGGTCACCCGGCTGTGTCAATCCCAGTAGGGTACGCGCCTGCAAAAGATGACGCTTCAGTCCGACTGCCAGTGGGAATGCAGATAGTGGGTGGCCTGAAGCAAGAGAAGACTATTTTGAGAATAGCACATGCATGGGAAACCAGCTTTGACTGGCGGCTCCTGCACTCTTCATCCACAAAAGAAAGCATCAGCGACGTACCGGACCTTGAATCTTGGAGCAAGTTAAATGAGCAGAGAACAATCCCCAGCCCTCTCACCGTAAAGTCATAGTTTGGTAGTCAACAGCTTGGAAGTTTGCAATTAGAACGTTAGATGCCAAAGCTCGCTGTCCTCGGATACTCATACGACCAAGTAGACAGGCTTTTCTCTATTGTCAGGCAAGCCCCATCTGCACTGCAGAGAACAAGTGATTTCACAGACCCCCAATTATCAGCAGCAGTAATAACGAGCCTTGCATAGTTGGGTATCTAATTGATTGTGTATCCTCCATCAACTACCAGGGCATGTCCTTGAATGAAGGACGCCTGGCTAGAGCATAGAAACAGCACACTATCAGCAACTTCCTCCGGCCTCCCCATTCTCTTCATAGGCGCAATGTTGATCGCCGGGCGTAGCCTTTCAGTGACTTCTGCACTGCCCGTCGTCATCGGTGACTCAATCACGCCGGGGCAGACGCAATTGACCCTGATCTGATGTTTCGAATAGTCGATTGCGTCTGAGCGTGTCATATGAATGATGGCTGCTTTTGAGCCACAATATGCAGCTAGATAGATGTATCAATATTAGCACTCAGACGGCCGTCAGGACTACTAGGGGCTCGCTCACCAGCTTCAGGCCGCGCCACGATGCCCAACTGGCTTGCAATGTTCACGACGGCTCCTCGCTGCTCTGGATGCGCAGAAAGCGGCTGTTGATTCAACATGACTTTCAGGGCTGCTCGAGAATAAAGCCACGATCCGCGGTAATTGACACGCGTGATCGTGTCAAAAGTCTCGATGTTCATATCCGCTGATTTGAGCGATGGACCTAGGATTCCGGCACAGTTCACTGCGTAGTCCAAGCGACCGAACTGCCGGGATGCCTCGGTCACGAAAGATTCTACATCCTTCTCGTCCGAGACATCTCCGGAATGCGCGTAAACTTCTGCATCTGGCTTGATTGCTAGAATTGCGTCTCGTGTCTGAAGCAGCGTCTCCCGATTCACATCGGTGATGGCCAAACGTGAACAGCCTTGTTGGGCAAAGGCCCTGGCCACAGCGGCGCCGATGCCTATATCAGAGATTAGCACAGGGAGGCCACCTCCGCTGGCACCTGAAACATATGAACTGGGCTTACCAGTACCGCCAGCACCAGTGATCAAGCTCACGCCGGGAAATCTAGTTAGGATGGACGCCATCCGGAATTGCCTCCCACTTCCGTATTCTGGCCAGAGTTCGATAGATCCAGTACGGCAAGCTGTTTGATTAGTTAGGCTCCTGTGCTCTCAAGCACATCCTTATCCAGTGTGACCTTTTCATCACATCAACCTGCCGTAATCGGCATCGGGGCATCGGACCATCAGTCACTAGTCACGGCTATCTCCACATGTGATCATAACGACTCCAAATTTAGCGCCTTGCTACTGTCTCCACTTGATAACGTCCTCCAAATATCAATTACCGCCTCCAACTCTCTCTTCCTTGACACAAACATCTCCAACTCACTCCCCAGAATGAACCCCGAAGTAGTCGACGGCTCGCGCCCCCGGAGGCGACGCCGGGGCACTCCCCATATTTGCCCCCATTGTACGAGGGTCTTCAAGCGCTCCGAACATCTTGGACGGCATGTTCGAACTCGTTAGTGTTCCCCGCCCTTGGTCTTGCTTGGCCTATCTCTTACGTACTTGGACTGCATGGCAGATACGAAGGAGAAGCCCTTCGTGTGTGTTTGCGGGGCTGCATTCACACGCCGGGATCTCCTGACGAGGCACCACCGCCTCTCATCACACCATGGCCAGGCCGAGGACCAACAGTCCACACCTGATTCTGCCTTAACGGGCCTCCCGGACTCGGAGCCACTGCCCGGCCTGGGACAGACCCATGTGTGGCCAGAACCACAAAATGCTCCTGGCGAAGGGGCTGCTGTGACTAACGGCGAAGGGATGCTGGACGCCGAGACACAGCCATACGCCCAACAGCAGCTCATTGTCCCACAGCCCATGTTTGAGTACTGTACGTGAAATTGTTGCTCTGGATTGTGAGCCCGCTTGTTAAGTTGACCTTGTAGGCAATGAACTCAACGACAACTTTCATCAATTTTGGGAGTTTGCAGGGTTTCTCGACGGGATTGGACTCCCAGCCGAATGGAGCCCATATCTGCAAGGCCCAGACTTCACAGAGCAAGAGGCAAGCGATACTGCTTCTGCAAATGTCGGCTCCAATGGCACTCGCCCTGGCACTCCATTCAACTCATGGCTACCTTCAGCCCCTGTTGGCGATAAGCCTCCCGGGAACACGTATGATCAAGGTAGATACTAGCTGCATGGCATCTTCTATGTCTACTTGCTGACATTCCCATCTCTCCCAATAGATGGACCGCACGCGACCCGCGAAGCCACGCCTCCCTTGTTCAAAATCACGGACGACCAGCGATCGCGCCTCCATCAGTCCTTAGAGAGCTATCGGAGTCTACTTGATCCCGACTTCCGCCTGCCTTCGCGTCATGCGTTGACGCGCTACATCACCAGCTACTTCGAGGGCTTCCACTCTCACATGGTCTTCATGCATGTGCAAACGTGGCCCGTGTTCGACAGCCCGCTCGAGCTCGTCTTGTCTGTGGCTACCATTGGGGCCCAGTATTGTTTCGAGCACCGCAATGCAGAACGCCTGTTCCATGCAGGCAAGGCCATACTGTTTGAGAGGTTACGGCAAGAAGCTGGCCGTTTTGGACCCAAGACGGCCAGTCATCTAAGCCTCCAGGGCAGGTCACCCAGCCGGCGTGCCTACGATGACACCGTGGAAAGTCGGGCTATTTGCGGAACGTGGGAGCCGATTGATACCGTCCGTGCCCTTCTGAATCTCATGGCTTATGCGACTTGGGAGATGAAGCAATATCTTGTACAGGAAGCGTTTGCCTTACAAAGTCTGCTGATCCAAGTCCTTCGCGATATCGGCTTGGAAGAGTCTAAAGATTGCGAAGTCGACTTTGACTCCGAACAAACGCCCTTACACACTCGATGGATAGCTTGGGTCCATCAAGAGTCTGTTAGGAGGGCGAAGCTCATCGTCTTCTCGTTTACGCACACGCATAGCATTGCTTACAATGTCTATCCACCTCTGAGGAGTAATGAGATCCACCTCCGGCTACCGTGCCACACGAAAGAATGGCGAGCGCCCACTGCACAGGCATGGCAAGCTGCCCGTCGCGAAACGAAGAAACAGCAACTGTTGTTTCAGGAAGCACTATCACGTCTCTTGCGCGATGGAAACTGCTCACTAGATCCTGTGCCTTCACCCATGGGTAATTACATACTGCTTCACGGTCTTCTACAGCGAATATACATCGTGCGGGACTTGTCACTGCCTATCATGGATCAGTGCGCCTCTCTGCCACCGGAGGAGTTGCAGAAGCTTGAGTAAGTCCCCTTTCGTGAGACTCCTTCCTCGTAGCCACCGACCGTGTAACTGAACGTCTTTCTTGCTATAGCCGAGGCCTCCGGTCCTGGACGACGAGTTGGCAACAAGCCCCCGAATCAAGTCTTGACCCAAACAACGACAATGGCCCCATTCCCTTCACTTCCAGCTCGCTTCTTGGACTGGCGTATGTCCGCATATACCTCAATATCGGACCACATCGCCAACTCGAGTCCAGGGATCCGGACACGATATCCAAGGCACTGATCCGCTGCCCCGATGTGGAACGAAGTGATGGTGTAATCTCGGCCCTTCTGTACGCGGCACATGCGCTGAGTATACCGGTGAGACTCGGCGTAGACCGCGTGGCACGTAGTCAGGCGTTCTTCTGGAGCGTACGTCACTCACTCTCTGGCCTTGAATGTGCCGTGCTTCTGAGTAAGTGGTTGGCATCTCTGCATCGTTCTATGGATACCGTCGCTCTTAATGGTTAGTTGCGTCTATGAAAACTCCTGTCGAATCTTTCAAGTGAGACCTGACATCTGTCACAGCAGGTGAAGACCGCATGCTTCATTGGGTCCGCTGCATTGTCGAAGAGGCACTCTCGGTTATGGACTTTGAGGACGAAGAGACCGAGCAGAGCTTGGACCCCAAAGGCCTTAGTCTTGCTGTGCTCAAGATCTGGCCGCACTTCTTCAAAAGCAACACACAGTGGCGATTTATCAACGTCATGGGAGCAAGCTTGGAGCAATACCGTGATCTTCTAATCCAGGAATATGAACGACAGGTATAGTGCTGGCGAGAAAAACAACCTCAACTTCTGAACAGCTCCTTCAATACTTTTACGATTATCATGTGTGCATTGCAAGGAGTTGGAAACTGCTTTGAATCAGGTTGGCGTTGTGTGTCCTTTTCATGGACTCCATTATGGTGGAGTAAATTGGGATTGCCGATTTGAAGACCCGGATATAACAGGATCTCAAGCATTGAAGATTCGGGATGACCAATCAAAATGGAACTTTAACAGGAGGAGGCGGGCTGGCCCCTTCATAAAGACACCTCAGGCGCATATTGGAGTTACTTCGTCGACCTGCCCCGCAATGAGCCCGTTCTCCATCTGTTAGGAGCCCAGATATGTGTGATTATAAGTCCCAATTAAGTGTGCCCACGTATAATTGGGGTACATGTTGATCAAGCGTGGAAATCTGACATCCTAAAGAAGTGGAATGAGACGATGCACTACATAAAGCTCATAATTCTAGCCCAATACGTGTAAAAAGGTCCTTGAGATCAAGCCAAACTTTCCGTCAAGCTGCTTGAAGCATATTTCCGAAATTAATACGTCGACAGGATGAGCAGCACTAAGCTCTTTCAACCAGTCCAGCTCGGGCGGCTAACTCTGCAACATCGAGTAGTCATGGCACCATTGACTCGCTTCAGAGCCGATGAGGATCATGTACAATTGCCGAAATCTCTCGTTTACTACACCCAAAGAGCCAGCACGCCGGGCACGCTCATCATTGCCGAAGCAACCTACCCCTCACCGAAACATACTGGCGGAGAACACTCGCCAGGTCTTTGGTCCCAAGCGCAGATTGAAGCATGGCGAAAAGTTACTGAGGCCATTCACGCCAAAGGTAGTTTCATCTACTGCCAACTGTGTGCTCCTGGGCGGGCTGGCTCCAAGAACGGATACTCTCCATACAGCCCCAGTCCCATCCCCATGACCCCGGGAGGCCCGGTCCCTCAAGAGATGTCGGAGGACGACATTATTGAGTGCATCCAGGCCTTCAAAGTCGCGGCTGAGAATGCAATTGCCGCCGGTTTCGATGGCATTGAGTTGCATGGAGCGAACGGCTATCTGATCGACCAGTTCACCCAAGATATTTGCAATGTCACGACTGACAAGTGGGGTGGCTCCGTTGAGAACCGTGCTCGGTTCCTTCTTGAGATCACCAAAGCATGCGTGGACACTATCGGAAGCGACAGGGTGGCTGTAAGGCTGAGCCCGTGGTCAACCTTTCAGGGCATGAAGATGGATACGGCGCTTGCGACTGAACAGTTCTCGTACGTTATTCAAAAGCTCAAAGATATTCAACTGTCCTATCTCCACCTTATCGAATCTCGAGTGATCAACAGCATCGACACCGAAAAGGTTGAGGGACTAGAGTTTGCATTTGATATCTGGAAGAATCAGTCACCAGTCGTTGTTGCGGGTGGGTTCGACAGAGACTCTGCTATGAAGGCAGTGGATCACGAGTACAAGGAAACGAACACTCTGGTGGCATTTGGGCGGTTCTTTGTGTCGACACCTGATCTCGTCTTCCGAATTCTCCACGGACTCGAGCCCAACCCTTACGATCGGTCAACGTTCTACACGCCAGTCCAAAGCAAAGGTTACATCGACTATCCTTTCAGTGAAGAATATCTGAAAAGTGAGGAGTATCGGGCCACAAGCATGCTTAACTAATTATCGATATAATATTATGCTGTTGCCGTGAGTTTATATTATATGTACATGGGCCTTTCGATTCAATGCGCCAGATGCACTCGCGAGAGTCAAGAACATGAAGCTCACCTTAGCATTGCAAACTTGCTTAGCAAATAGAGGCATTTGGCAATTTTTAGAATTAAGCTTCCTGGACTGTTACATCTGCGGCTCAGTTGTCGATCCTGACCGGTGAACTCCCGAGTTTGGGTCGCACCACCTAAGAACGGTAGCCACGGAAGCTCCCAGTACTGATGTATGCAAGATATATTACCGGGAACATCAGATTATTAACACGGCACTTCGCACGAATGAGAACGTTCGTCATGTGTTCAAGTTGCCAGGGCTGAGATATCCCTGTCGATCATTCCTTCTATTCAGGCTAATATGCAGTTCGGGAATTTCCTCAACAGAGGATGCGGGGATTATTCCAGGTACGTCGACCTCAAATCAAGTGCATCCCACGCGGGTCGAGCTGACGGCAATGTCGTCATACCAAAAGGTGTTGGAGTCCCCGCCGTAGGATTCCCAGCCAAAGTAAATGGCCGTGACCTTGGGCTTGATGCTGCTCCTCTGCCACTGGGCTGCATTGGGGTTGGCGGTACCCGCCTTGCTGGTGAGGCCAGCAATGGCATCCCCATTCAGCCATGTCTCGACCGTGCCGTCTGGGCCCAGATGGTACTCGAAGCATTGCCACGATCCGGTGGGAAGGGCCTTGGAAGAGGCAATACCTTGCGGAGACAGGTCGGGAAGAGTTGCATCATCCGACTCGCGGTTGTACATCAGAATCCTGCTTTGGCCACCGATTCTGAGGTGCTTCTTGCTTCCCTGCGCAGAGTCGGGCATAGTGATGAAAGAGACGTGAGAGTCTGTGAGGGCCCTCGACGCCTTCCTGCTTCATGTTCAATATCCGACCGATGCTGTTCTTCGTAGAGGTGACGGAACTTACACCCAAGCCCTTACATAGACGTCACCGCTGGGCACTTTGGTCGTGCCAAAGAAGACGTGTCCGCAGTAGCCTCCGGCTCCATCAACCCTCATCGAGTTCTTGCCGCTGTGTGCAGTGGAGCTGTCTAGGGTGACCTTGCCGCCCTGGTTGCAGTCGGGAGCGTAGGTGGGCCAGGCCGTCTGGTCCCATCCTTTCTCAAAATCATCGGCGACTTGCGCGACCGAGAACGGCGCGAGAGCGAGAGCAAACAAGGCCAATTGACACAGCATTTTGTCGAAGATGAGTTGATTTGAGTCTCGGCGAACTAAGCGAAGACGAGGAAACGGAGCGAGAGCGTGATCAGAAGCATTTATATCCGGGACACTGTAGCCGCCCGGCGATTCTTCCTCCGCAATTGCTGGGTTAGTAATTGCGTGGTTGTATCCCGTGTTTCGGAAGCGCCGTGGATCGTCCCGTACCAACCACACCTGCTTGCGAGAAACGAAATTTCGGGTGGTATGCACTCAAGGTGCATTGCTTTGAATCGCTTGAGTTAGAAGGGCAACTTCGTCTACTTGAGACAAAATTGAAGTCGTTAGAGGGCCTCTCTGGCCATGAGTGCCCCGCAACTCCGCATCACATTGACTCAACAAAAAGTCAAGATGCATGTGGTGAGAAACTACATGCCAAAATAATGGGAGATTTGATCAGTAAGTCATCTGAGTGTTGAATTTTTAACAAGCTCAATGCCCCCAGGAAGGAGACTGTACACCTACAATTTGAACATTTAGTTGAAGATCTATATGATCCGAAGCCTTATTGCATCACTAGTCGCTCCCTCAGAAGCCGTGCTGAAATACAAGGTCTCTCTACTCTACAGTCGGTAGTAGGAGGCTTTTTTGTCAAGTTGTATAACGTATTCTTGATCCTTGCAACTCTTCAGCAACACCTGACACTTGGAAAATTTGTACTTATCTATCACAAGATATGGCCAATCTGGCTGACGCCTCACACAAGCGACCGAGGTGTAGTCTTCCACACAGCTATACCAACGGCATAATCTACTCGTAATTCACGCAGAGTCCAATGATCCTACGCATTTCCATTCAATGCTACGGCGAATAGTTGTTACCTAGATAGCTGACATATAAAACTTGAAAGCGGGGTCGGGTTTGAGAATTACTAATCAATTGCGTGATCTTTATGAAAGCTTTTGGGCCTTGTTTCCTTGGCCGACTTGACTTCGCTGGACCTGTCTGATGCACCACCACGATATTTCACACTCATCGTCTCCAAGATGACCACAGGAATCTTCAAATATCTTGACCCAGCGACAATTGTCGAGCACGAACAAGTATGGGGCAAAGTCGACACTGACGTCACTTCCTATGCGCGTCTCGAGAAGACCCTCCCTGTCGCCAACATCCGCGATACTCCTGATGCCTTTGGCACCGATGTGTCCGGTTTTGCCGTTTTCAACTCTCCGACGAAGGGAAAGTTATTCCACGACGACCAGGTGGTAAGGCGGGACTATTATGACGAGGTTGAGGCACTCCTCCGTGAAAAGATTCCTGGAGTCAAGAAGGTTGTTATCTTCGACCACACAATCCGGCGGAATGACCCCGGCTCTGCACGACAGCCTGTCCAACAGGTCCATGTGGATCAGACCCCGAAAGCTGCTGAGAGCCGCGTAAGAAGACATGTTCCCGCCTCGGAGGTGGATGATCTTCTACAGCGCCGCTACCAGCTCATTAATGTCTGGAGGCCGATTTCACACCCTGCGACCGACTTTCCTCTGGCTGTGGTGGACTGGCGATCGACGTCTCCACGTGATCTGGTAGAGGTGAAGCTCTTATATCCAATTAGAGACAGAGACCAAGACGACGATGACCGCGGGAAGGAAGTGCTACCAGACCCCGCCAAGGCAAGGACAACTGAAGGCTACGAGGTAAAAGGTCTGTATTCTTTGGTACAATGAAGGCCCTTGACACAAGTCCAGAAGCTGATAGGGACTCATAGGAGAGACGTATGGCATTCTTCACAACGACAGCCATAGGCTCTACTACGTCAAGGACATGACCCCGGATGAAGTCATGTTCATCAAGTGCTTCGACTCGATGAGCGAAGGACAGCCACGGGGCAAACCTGGAATAGCCGCCCTGACACCCCACACCGCTTTTGTTGATCCCCAGACACCAGAGGGAACACCGGCACGACAAAGTATTGAAGTACGATGCCTCGTCTTCCATAATGATCGAGAGAGTTGTTATCTTCGGTTGTTGTCTCCATAGATCGGTTTTGTCTCGCCATGTGGACTGCCGAGATTGCTTATTAGCCAATGATGATTGCTTGACAAGGATTATCTGTTGCCTTGTGCGATTGCATTTGCGAAGAGGGAGTGGGTCGTCTATTGACTTTTGACTTCGATCCTGCTTTATATCCGTTGAATTCTGGCAAGGCGGTACCAATTCCAGTCTGAACCTAAACGGCAGCGAGAGTACCGCATAGAGGCTTGGTGATTGCTGCACAGGTCTGCGTCAAAGTTGTCGAGCTCCTGTTGCAATAAATAGCAGAACTCCGGGACAAGTATCTGCAGTCTGGCTGGGCCGAGTGCATATTGGCAACACTCTCCTGGGAAAACAAGCGAGATGTCAACGGTAGTCCGGGGAACTACCAGACTGTGCATATCTACCATCCTACGCTCAGTGGCGTAACAGCACCCAACGGTGCTGGAGCGGCGCTTAACTAGCGACAACCATCATACGTTACGATTATTTGTAGAGCGAAGCGCCGACGTCTACCTTCAGGAGGAGAATGGCAGGGCAGCTTGGGAAGTAGCTTTTGATCTGAAGATGCTTGATGTTGCCGAGTGCCTTGACAAAGTCGCCACGGGGGAGCTAGACCCAGCGACCCGAGAGACTGTCATTTGTGGCTGCCTGTCTGACCATGGGTGCAACGCATAAGCCAATGGAATGCCTGCCATTACCACGGACATCACACCATCTAGAACTCGATCGTTCGTTGTAGCAGTGTCAAATAAAGCCGGTATCTGCATCCAGGCTAGTGGGATATGTCTGATTGGGGCTGAGAAGAGCAACACCTGATATTGATATTGTTCTCCTCGATCCCCCCCTAGGAAGAACCCGGCATGCCTGAGGTTTGAGGGGTTGCGGACGTGCATGAGCGGGAGCCACGCCACTGCTCTTAACGCATTATGCTCTACCGGGGCTATCTTAAATAGGAAGTAATAAACTCAATTTTTCTCGGCCGTGGCACCCAGCCGCTCCATTCTTGGCTCCGGACAGCGTAACCACGGGCCCAAGGGGACGGGCGGTCCATACTTCTGGCAACCTCTTTCGGACCCGACGCGTTTCTGGGTATCCATAACGGGCGCGTCTTGAATTTCACCGAGTCTCGCCAGTTAAAAGCCCCCGTTTCCTCCGAATCTGCAGGTCCTTGAGCCATGACGAAAGCGAGCTGCACTGCACTATTCACATTATCAAACCGGCCGTTGATAGCCATTACTCATCTATACATGTGCAAAATACAAATAATGTGGCCAATCATTTATCTTGCCCACCACTAAACACTCCAACCTGACCATGGCAGTTGAGCGCGGGCAATTCTGCTATGGTGGTGGGTGGTGCGACTGGAAATCAGTGCCATCAGGGACTTTGCTCTTGGTGCGATAAGCCTCTGATGCTCTTGTACAGGATAAAATGGTGGTGATACAGGTATATGAAAAATATCTTACGAGATACTGTATAGAAATATCGATAAATGATGCCGTCGCCCACATCGGCAAGCGTGGGATCGTCATCGGACCGGCCAGCTCCAGCCCACGGCGAACACCAGACAACAAACACGAGTGATCGACAGGGCGAGACTTGCCCATCCTGTCGCCCGAGTAATATCCCTCACTTTTGGCTAGGTACTCGAGACCCACGTGCTGCCCCATGGGGAGGCAGGTTTTCGCCTGACGAATCCGGGGGTTAATTTGGATAATCGGCGCTTCTATGCAGTTTTGCCGGGACTGTCCACATAACGGCCGCCTCGACGCCCCAGCAGCCCTAAGCTGGCAATATCCATGTGGCCATGCTTATGGGCAGCAAGAGGAATGATAAAACGACCAGTACAACAATATCGATTCGGATCTTGTTCTAACGACCGACTAGGAATGGCTCCATCGGCAGTCGGAAGAGCGCGGCCTGACTCTTGACGGCCGCCCGCGAACAAGTCCGGCACATCTCAGATCGCATGGTCGACATCATCTATCTGGCGATGACCAGTTCATCCGTGTGAGCTCCTTTAAAAAGATGGATGGCCTTCGTCCAAATCCGGACAGGCCTCGCGCTCGAACCTGGGAAGACTTCTGAAACCTGGGAAACCTTAAAGCCAACGGCCTGGGTAGGCGATCCCACCTTGCAAGCCCTTCCTCTTTCCCTCGTTTGGTCACTACGTCTGTATTTGCCTTTCCAAACCTCTCTGCGTCCCTGGGGAACTTGGGTCTCTCTCTCCCTCCCCACCATGCCTCTCGAAAAGTCCCAGGGCGGCGCCGCCAGGCGGCGAGACGGCGGTCAGGACCACGACGACGCAGAGAAGGGTCTGTACGACTACACGCACCGCCTGCCGGTGCTGCCGCCGCTCATTCATGTCGACGAGAAGAAGCCCTTCGAGATCGACACGAGCTTCATGTCTCCCATGTCGCCTGTCCACGAGGGCATCACGCCGTCGTCGAGCGTGCCCGTCCTCTCGCTCACGGCTGCAGTACCCGGCGGAGCCGACTCGGACAAGAAGGCCGCGTTACCGGCCCGACCCAAGCCCAGGATCAGCCGATTGATCCTGATGCAGCTCTGGTTCAACACCTACCGGAAGCTCTTCACGTTCGTGACCCTCTTCAACCTGACAGGGATCCTCCTGACGGCACTGGGCCGGTTCCCGTACGGCGAGACCCATCTTGGCGCGCTAGTGCTGGGCAACCTGCTGTGCGCTATCTTGTTCCGAAACGAGCTGTTCCTGCGGGTGCTCTACATGGTGGCCATCTATGGTCTCCGTGGTGTAAGCTTATTTCTTCCCCACGCAACCTCCTTTCGTTACATCAACGGCCCGCTGATCGAGGAAACCCATCTTGCATTTGCAGTGGGCCCCAGTGTGCGTCAAGCTGGCCGCCACATCGTTCCTGCAACACGTCGGAGGGATCCATAGCGGATGTGCCCTCTCCGGCGCTAGCTGGTTAGTGTTCAAGATCGTCGATATCATCCGGTACCGAGCGGTGCAGCACAGCTCCGTGATTGCCACTGGCATCGTCACGAACGTTTTTGTCATCATCTCTGTACTAAGCGCATTTCCGTGGGTCCGAAAGTGAGTATAATGGCGCAAGCTTGTTCTGCTCCGTCGTCTTGTTCCTGGCATTTGCCAAGTCACCGACTAACACCTGGCAACTAAACCTAGTTATCACCACAATGTCTTTGAGAAGCACCATCGGTTTATCGGCTGGTTGGGCCTGGCGGCGACCTGGGTGTTTGTCATTCTTGGGAACACCTACGACATCAAGACCGGAGAATGGCGGCACAACGCAAACACCCTGCTCAGCGCTCAGGAGCTGTGGTTCGCCGTCTTCATGACCATCTTGTATGACTCCCTCACCCCTGAATGGTTCACCTCTCTTGCTAATATGGTCTCAGTGTTCTGATCCCATGGGTCACCTTGCGTGAGGTCCCTGTGGAGGTTGAGATTGTACGTCATCCCGTCGAGTCTGTCTGATCCCCAAGCTGACAATTCACGCAGCCATCGCCCAAGGTCGCAGTGATCAAGTTCGAACGCGGCATGCAGCAAGGCCTGCTGAGTAGGATCAGCCGCACCTCGATCATGGAATACCATGCCTTTGGCATCATCAGCGAGGGGAGAAAGTCCCCGCACCACTACCTGATCTGCGGCGTCCAGGGCGACTTCACCAAGGAGCTCGTCGCCAACCCGCCCAAGACGCTGTGGACGCGAGAGCTCAAGTTCGCGGGCGTCGGCCACGCTTCGGCCATGTTCAAGAGGGGAATTCGCGTCTGCACGGGCACGGGGATTGGCGCGGCGCTGTCGACGTGCATCCAGAGCCCTAATTGGTTCCTCATCTGGATAGGCTCCGACCAAGAGCGGACTTTCGGCCCGACCATCACGGGCATGATCCACAAATACATCGAGCCCGAGAGGATGATCCTCTGGGACTCGAAGAAGAGGGGCGGCCGCCCGGACACGGTGCAGCTGCTCAAGGAGACGTGGGACAGCTTCGGCGCCGAGGTCATCTTCATCACGTCCAACATGCAGGGCAATGACGAGATGATGCAAGGCTGTACAGCAGGTAGGACTCGCACTTCTCTTCTATCATGGCGATCGTATGCTAATCTTAATCACCAATTAGCCGGCCTGCATGCCTTCGGCACGCTCTGGGACTTTTAAAGACCCAGGGCTTCTGGGGATAATATAACGCCGAGAAGGGCTGGTAGTATCGATGGGAGCCGAGACGATAGTAGCGAACAATCACGGAGGGGCTTTGGTTGGGATGGAGTTTCAGAGGCATTTGGGGCACTTAATTCATCATCATCATCATCATCCTCGTGGTTCCGAGGCAAATAAATTAGAAGCCCGAACAACTTAAAAATAAGTATGTACAATAAGCATAGCCCGGAGGATGAGAGGGGCAGATTCTTGATCTCCTCCCACCGTGATGGTGCTGGAGGGGCTTACAGAGCAGATAGCAACCATTTACTCGAAGAACTTGAAGCTGTAGCCCGAGTTGTCGTGGTCGCCGGGGGTGTTGCCACCACGGTGGTAGTTGGTCTTGCTCCACCAGACCCAGCTGCCGGTGAACCAGTCACGGTTCGACCAGCTGTAGGTCTCGCCCTTCTTGACGGCATGGAAGACGAAAGGAATCCTCGAGGTGCCTCCCTGGCTGTTCCTGATGTCACCGTTGGGCATCACAAAGGTATGGTGGCCGGGGCCATCGACCTGGACGGTGGCGTCCCAGCCGGACATCATCCGGTCCTGGTGAGAGCCGAAGAGGCATCCGTTGGACTTGTACCAATCCCAGACATTGGTGGGGTTACCGCCCTTCTTCAGACGAAGGTCAGCCAGGCAGTACTTGGAGCCCCAGCTGCCGTTGGCGGAGTAGACGATGTGCAGCTGGCCGTTGGGGTCGATGATGGCCTCTGGGCCCTCGTTGATGAGCGGGCTGTCGCCCTGCTCCCACGTCTCCTTGGGCTGGGAGATGATGAAGCGGCCGCCGGTGCTCTGGGTCGGGCTGCTCATCTTGCAGATGTACAGGTTCTGCATGCCGCCGCTTGTCTCGCCCGACCAGCCGGACCAGACGAACCATCGCTGGCCCTCAAAGATGAAGAGGGTGCCGTCGATGGCCCAGCGGTCATCGGGCAGGTTCACTTTGGTGTGGCTTGAGTAGGTTCCGTCAGGGGTGTCGGAGCTGATGGCGTACATGCGGTGGGCGGGGCCAGTGCCGGCGGCGAAATGGATCCACGTCTTGCCGCTGTCCATGGAGATCTCAGGGGCCCAGACCTCGCCCAGGTTGGTAGAGTCGGACCAGACCTTCTTCCGCTCGACACCATCGGCGCCGAGGCCGAGGAGGGAGGTGGCCTTGCGGACCCAGATGCCACCGCCGGCCGACTCGACCGAGAAGTAGTTGTCACCGACCTTGATGATGGAGGGGTCGGCGCCATCTCGGATCTTGGTGGCGGCAGTGGAGAAGTCGACTAGCAGGCAGAGCACGACCACGAGGGCCAGAAGAAGGCCGGCCGAGTGCCGCTTGAAAGAGGCCACAGGGGACAGCATGGCTATTGTCGTTGTTGTTGTCGTCGCCGGTGCAGTGAATGTCGAATGGGTGAACCCGGTGCTGCTGCTGGACCGATCCAATTCCTTTAGTTTTTGTCGCGAATCTTGTCGACTTAAATACCTGGATCTCGCGTCATCACCATATTACCCCAGTGTGTCTGTGGATCGACCACAGGGCGGATGGGTTTCTAATTTGGGACCCCGGCGGTGCCGCCAAGAGTCGGGAATCCTCCATCTTGGGCTCTTGGGCTCGGTGCAATCCATGCTTGAGTGATCCTGCAACGTTGCCAGCAAAATGAGGCACTGGAACAGAGACTAAAAGACGCCGTTAGAGGCAGTGCTGGAAGCTTCGCTGAGAGCCAGTCACTGCGGGATGTGGGATGAGCAGGAGACCTTCCTGCACGGGCAAGGATCAGCCCCTTGGCCTTCTGTCCTTCAATTCCGATGACATGTTCGAGCGCGAGCTGGTGCTGAAAAGACTGGACCAGAAGCGAGCAGAGTACAAGAAGCGAGTCTGTGCCGCACCCTAAGCAAGACATCCCACCACGAACCATTACCCCTATCTGGCTCTCTTGCCGCTTCACATTCGCCATCCCAGCGTCGACGCAGCATGTCCGAGAAATAAGCATCAACACCTAACCCACAATAGGATTCAAAAACGTTCATCACTGCCACCTGACCATCAAAATCAAACCCACTCTTCCACTTTGCGGGCGGTGGTGAAATGGCACAGTCATCCTTAGCTCCATTTGGACGCCGCATTGCAGATCACGCCATGGCAAGAAATCCCCTGTTTACTCTCTAGCGATAGAAAGAATGAAAGAAAGTCTTCATCCTGGCCTTTGCCCCCGAAGGAAGGCTGGCTGTATTGTAGATCATGCAATCGATGTCTCTGAGAAGGAAGGGCATCAGGATGTCTTCAATTCCCGAGATTGACGGCATTGCCGGACTGACGGGAACAGCCGTGGGTCGGCTTCGATCTAGCCAGTGCTCTCTTCCGGCCTGGAGGCGTTTCAGGACAGCACAAGCACAAGTAATTAATAGACTACAGTGGGCCATTCTCTACAGCAGTTGATGACGCGGGCCAATACGACCCAAAGACCACGACACGCTGTCACTCTGCTTCCACGCGCACGGAAAAGCACGTTGACAATAATTCATTGTCATCATTGAAGGCCGAGCTCATGCACTACTTCTTGACAAACCCCCGATTCCCATGCACTCGAGCGGCGGGTTACTCATGGTCTCTCCTGCCAAGCGTTACATTTCCTGACCGCGCTGATCACGGTCGCTTTACGGCGACTTTGGTCACGTCACCTCGAAGGACAGCTTGGTTTTCTAGCACGTTCACCAAGACGCGACGTCAGTCAAGGACGCCCATGGACATGCCCATTGGCTGATGTTTCGCTGTCAGCACTGAAGCTCGGATCTAATCGGGCGATAGCCGCACCTCCACCACCAGCTTTGTAAGGTCTTGAGCAGGTGCCGGACCCTACCTAGGCTCATCTGAGAGCGGTACCCCGCGTTCAAGATTGCCTTAAAACGAGCAAACACGGAGAAACCGTTCGGTGTTCTTGTTCGGAAAAGCCCACAAATGGGTCGGATTTGTATAAGCCAAGGTCCTTAATTTGAGTCGGGGATGTCACCTCCACGATCTCAACCATCTGGGAAGGATCAGATCGACTTTCCTGTATCGATATCCTTTGTGCAGGCCGGCATGTCAGACTCAAGGATGCGCCATGGGGGAACGAGTGTCGAAGTGAGCAGATGAGCAGATGTGATCAAGGTCAGAATTGGGACGGCATGACCTGCGATCTACTTAAGCTTCAAAAGACCAGAACAACTGCCTCCGCTCAATTTGTGATCTGAATACTTTCTCGCCTTGCCCTGTCGATCTCAGCACGCAGGTGGCGCGAGATGACGCCGTAGAGTTGCAGCGAGTGACAGCCCGGTGATCCGGGTTCAGGACGCGTTCGCGGGGAAGTTTGGGGTCGACTGTTTAAGTGGTTGCAGGAGGCTACACTCAATGGAGAAGTCTCCGCGCCTCCGAGGTCCGAAGTCAGAGCCTGGTCTTGTCCCCAGGTTCGCCACAATGTACCCTCATTCGAAAAAGGACGGTGGAATCATTGTGAGGACATGACGGTGAGTGGACGAAATGCCGCACCGGTGGCGGCGCCCAGGCAAGAGAACTTTGTTTTGGGTCGCTCTTGACAGCTATTCTGTCGCAGCTCCAACTGCTCGAGTCAACTTTGGTTTTGCTACCCACATTGAGCCTTCATCAGTATTTACCCTGAATCTGGTATTCAGTCAAAGCTTTAACACTTACGATGGCGCCAGGCCGAATATCACGACGCTGTGACTCTGAAACAATTGATTGAGGTCGATAAACCAAGGACAGTTGTTTTGACTGAAGAGGACTGAACGTTGTTTGGAACCCTCAAGAGTGTAATTAGACTGCCAGAGGTCCTGTTATGTTTCTTGAGAGGTCTTGTTGCACCCAATAGTCAACCAGCATTTGGAAACACTTTAGGGCCAAGAACAGCTTATCCTACTACTGAGAATACAGGAGTATATTTCCTATTCCTAATTTTCATGGAGCAAGTATATCCTGGAGTAGATTTAACGCGCTCTTTGTTGACCTTGTAGAGTAACTTTCTCCACAGTCAAAGCTGAAATGGCCAGACTGACAGTGGAGCGACTCCCGAACAAGGGAACAACATCGTAATGAAGCTTAAAAGTTATCCTTGCTTGATGGAGTCGACGCCTACAACGCCTACGACGCAAAGTCGATCGATATGGCGCAGAGTGAAATGGGAAACCCCAGTATATCTGATGATAGGACTCAGTGCTCCTCTCCAAAACGAATCCTCTGTCAGAGCTATGAAAACATGGGATGCCCATCTCACGCTCATCCTTCCTCTGGAAGAGGACTGCGTCTAGTGTAGGATGGCTGAGATCATAGCCACACGAGTTCCCGGTTCCGGCCATGATGGCAGATGGTGCCATCTCCGCCAGACTTTTGCGCGGAAAAACCTTGCGCATTCCAGCCTCTACTTGTCTGCCGGGTTCTCGGCGACAAAGTCCTCGATCCAAGTTCTTAGTGAGCATCCATGACTGGCAGCAATGCAAGCGCAAGAAGTATGCCCTCACAAGAAGATATTATAGGAAGCACGTCCAGTCGTAACCTCCTAGAGTATCGCGGCCGTCGCTGCTCTCATTGTCTCTCTGTGTTCCGGCATCCAAATGCGATCTCGGCGCCGCCGAGTACCCGTTTTCTTTGCCAGTGCCGCCACAAAATTCGGACCGCCTCTTTGGGCGCTTTGCCTGGATTGGGGCGGGATGCTGGGGCTGCCCCGCATTGTTGATAAAAGCTGTGTTTGAGTGACGTCCAAATCTCTACGAAGGGTGCGACTTGGCAGATTGTCTCTAGAATATGGAGCTTCATGAAGTGAAAAGGAGATGTATATGGATGGCTACATGAAATTTCAAACTGCATTGGAGTGTAATAAGGGATAGCAGACTGGACTGAAAAGCCTAGTCTTGGTAGAACAACACATTCAACATTGGGTTAATGTCCAGCAAATGCTGCTCGAATCTTCTGCGCGTGGCGAGATGCGCAAACAAATCCTAAGTCTCCGTGCTCTACATCTAGCACGGTGACGAGCACCGTCTACATCGGGTTCCGTCTCGCATGCTGAAACATTGTGTCTCTCTACTCCGAAGTCGATACTAGCACACTTCTTGACGATCGCGTGTCGCTTCGGGGAAGCACTACACCGAGCATTGGCGCGCTGTGCCATATCCGATGAGGAGATTTACTTCACGTGCTTAGAAAATTGGAGAATCCAATGCGGCTTTGTCTGTATTTAGTCGTGAGGATCTAGACTTGGCATAGCAGCAATGTGATTCGTTATCCTCCTATATCTCAACACTTCCCTGCATGTGCTGGAGCTCAACCCAACCTTCCCCCGCACGCATCATCGTCTCTTTCGGAAATCCATCATGACTCCCACGTACCCCCGTCCCGACTATCAACGTACGGCCCTGAATTGGACGACTTTGGACGGGCAGTGGGACATCGTGTTTGATGATAAGGACGCTGGCAGAGCCGAGTTCTGGCAGAGCAAAGGCATCCCGGCCGATTCCAAGCGTCAGATCCAAGTCCCTTTCGCTTTCCAAGCGCCTGCATCTGGTCTTGGCCTGAACGAAGTCCACGAGGTCCTCTGGTATGAGCGAAAGATTGCTGACATCCGGAGCGCCGAGGAGCTCGCCAAGGGCAACCGACTAGTCCTGCGATTCGGCGCCGTTGACTACAAGTGCTCAGCGTGGGTTGATGGCCACCTTGTTGGCTCCCACCGTGGCGGCCACGTATCATTCGATCTAGACGTCACGGATGCGATCGAGGCTGCTAGCGACAAAAACAACGCGACGTTGACGATCCGCGTAGAGGATTCGGCGTACGATCTTGCACAACCCCGTGGCAAGCAGTATTGGCGCGAGACTCCGGAGAGTATCTTTTATCATCCCACCAGCGGTATTTGGCTTTCGGTATGGCTCGAGAGTGTGCCGCAAATGCGCCTCGCGACGAGCAGTGAAGGCACGATCCTGCGATCTGACGATGTCAAGAACGCTCAGCTGCACGCCAGAGTTGCTGTGACCGGACGTCCTGTTGGATTTGGCTGCTCGGTGGAGATAGTATCGAGCATAGGCGGCCAGCAGGTCGGCAAGTCTGAGAAGAAAGAGTTGCCCAAGGACAAGGGTTTCGTCAACGTCGATGTTCCCATGACAGTGACTGATGTTGCTGGCCTCAAGAGCAAGGGGTTGCCTTTCAACGTCGACGGGGCTGTGTCCGAGAACGGCGTTGCCCTGTGGGCACCTGAGCATCCTCTCCTTTACGACCTGACTATCCGGCTATACGATTCCTCAGATACTCTCGTAGATGAGGTTCAGACCACTACGGGCATGCGCAGTATATCTTGGAACAACGGCGATAGTACGTTCCGCCTCAACGGCAAGCCTTACTTCCAGGCACTTGTTCTCGATCAGGGATACTGGCCTCGCACTGGCATGACTCCTCCTTCACCAGATGCCCTGAAAGCAGACATCGAAATGTCAATTGCAATGGGCTTCAATGGCTGCCGGAAGCACCAGAAGGTCGAAGACCCTCTCTTCCTCTACTGGTCTGATCGTCTCGGATATCTGGTTTGGGGTGAGATGGCCAGCGCCTACGAGTTCAATGACGATTACGTCGAGGCTTTCAATCAGGAGTGGCTAGAAGCAATGAAGAGAGATATCAACCACCCTTGTATTATCACTTGGACCATTGCCAACGAAAGCTGGGGATACGACAAGCTCAAGGACAACATCGAGCAGCGCAATCACCTACGCACACTCTACTATACGACCAAGTACGTCCCCAAAAAAATCGATCTAGAATGCCGCTGCTAATCCGTTTGTATCAGGACTCTTGATCCTTCTCGACCGATCAACGACAACTGTGGCTGGGAACACGTCATCACTGACCTGACCACTTTCCACGACTACGACGACCATGATGTGCTGGCAGAATCCTGCAAGAAGATGGAGGGTGGGATTTTGAACCTGAAACACGGTGGCCAGGCATGGCATCCGATTTTCCTTCCCAAGATAATGGACGGCTCCATCGAGGTAGACGCTCCTCCACAGTACAACCCTGGTCTCCCAGTCATATGCACAGAGTTCGGCGGCGTCAACATTGCCCCTGGGAAGTCCGAAGAGGCTGGAGAGAGAGACTGGGGATACACAACCGCCAGTGACCCCGAAGACTTGCTCTCACGCTTTGAGAAGCTGATCATGGCTGTCGTTCAGGGAGGCCTCATCTGCGGGCTTGTCTACACACAGCTGTAAGTGAAACTTGCAGCCTAGACACAACGAGATGGTGACTGACATGATTAATCTAGATGCGACGTCGAGCAAGAGGTCAATGGACTCTACTCTTTTGGCCGACACGCCAAGATTCCGGCTGCACGAGTAAAGGCCATCCTGGATGCCGCGCAAAAGTATTACTACGAGAAGGTGGCGCCGAAATAGAAGGACAAGCTGGGAGATACGTTCATGTTTCAGTACCACACTTGGGGTATTATCATGTGGGATGGAACAAATATCATCGGATATAAATCAATAGATTTCATAGAAGCCTGCTTGCCCATGCGTGTCCACACTGACACCCTCAATTTTCTCATGCATACCAGCCATTCGACATCATAAAGTCAGTGTCCTGCACATCAGCATTGATCCACGCAAACGAATTCTCGTCCAAGCCCCAGAAAGCATTCGAGAACTGTTGCTGCGGCAGCTCCGCCGGCGCGGTCAAGAACGGCGCCGCGATGTTTAGCCCGGGAGACACTGCCTCGTCCCCGTTGAGCGACAGCGTGCTGCCGCGCATCTTCTCCGGCGTGTGCTTCTCGGACAGCTTCGCTCGCAGGACCCGGAACGGCGCGAGCGGGTGTAGGATCACGTCGACCGACACCTGTGGGGCCGTGTGTGGGCGTCCCGACGTGTCGCTGTACGGTTGCGAGCCGTTGAGGTTCACGGCCGGGGAGGGGTTCGAGGTGGGTGCCAGGTCGACGACCACGGCGCTCCCGCCGGCGTCACTGCGCGTACCAGCACTGTGATGGGGGCTTGCCGTGTTGACCGGCGTGTCGACTGTCGACGGCCCTTCTTCAGCAGGGTTGGTACCGCCGCTGCGGGGGTCGAGTGTGCGGACGAGCTCCTCGGAGCAGGCAAGTGTCATACCCGCAGACGGATGCAGCTCGGTCATGAGTCGTAGATACTCCAAGTCTGTCTGGATGCTCTCTTCTACTGCAGCTGACTGCGTCTGGCGCTCTTTGTTCGTCATGATGTAGAGCTGATAGTAGAGCTTGGTGCGGATGGCTGTGTAGGCGTGAATCGAGGAGCCTGGCTCCGTCATTGATTTGGGAGCGTGCTCTATGGCAAGGCGAAAGACTTTGGTCATCTCACACGCGTGACGAAACCACCTCCGCTTGCCCTCGGCCAGAAACTCAGGGGTTGCAGTCATTGTCATGTTGTTGTGCCGTTTGGGGGGCAGCTGAAGTTCGGGAATCATGGCCCGGTAGAGATCACAGCCACATTGGTGGTAGCCTGTATGTATATCAAACAGGGCGGATAACTCTCCTTGTGACTTGCGGATGTAGATGATCTCTGGGGTCAAGCGAAGGTTCTGGGGCAGCGAAGCTCGCCACTGCTCAAGATCAGAAAGAAGTAGATTGTACTGCGACATGGGACCGCTAGGGTCTTCCTCCTGGACTCGCCTCTTGAGGTACCTGATCGTTCGTTCACGAATGACAAGTAGGTGTATGTAGTAAGCACGATACCCTCCAAGGAGCGGCCCGTTGCTAGTGATTACACCGAGGCCCAAGTGGTCCTGGTGTGCCAGCTGGCCGATTGGCTTCAAGAATGAAGTCATCCCTGCAGTCCTGTAGAAGAAGCCCTGTTCATCCGCGGGCATCTGGATCGACACATCCTCCTCCTCGAACATTTTGATAGGATCGAGGCCTCCTGAACAAGCAAAGTCCAGAATGTAGCAAGCCCACATCAAACGTCTTCTCGTTTCCTTTTCAGTCGCCGACAGGGCCGATGATCGACATTCATAGTCCTCGTCATACTCAACATTGAGTTGTAGGGCCTGGGCAAGGCGGCAAGCTAGGCTGCCCAAGATGAAGCATTGGCTGACCTCATCAACACGCGCGAAGTATTCGTGAAGCAAGACCAGGCACATGAGATTGTTGACACTGATCCTGTGTGCCTGGCTTCGCGTCATCACCAGTGCACACTGCGCCCAGGCCGCGCCTTGTGCTCGGATCTCGGGTGGCTGGTTGGTGGCCCTGCTGGCAAGGGCACACACGGTCATCAGGAGAGGATCTTTGTCATCGTTGCTGAGGAGGTAGTCCATGCGGAGCATGAATGATGGCTCATGAATAAAACCAAAGCAGCGCAGCGGAGATATCTCGTGGAAGAACACCTCCACCAAGCTGCGGATGAGGGCCTTATCATGAAAGTTCCTCAAAGTAGATAGGGGGCTCCCTTCAGCCTGGAGAGTCATCACAGCCGACGTGGCCGACGCTGTCACGGCAATGTTTGTGGGTGACATCGACTCGCTCGTCTTGACCTCGGTCTTGCCGCGATCATAGATGCATTCCTGCTTGCTTTGCTGGCACCGAGCGCAGGCCGGCCGGTCTCCACTGCACTTCTGGCGCCGAGACCGGCAGTAACGGCAGCTGGCAGCCGTCCTGAGGCGCGTAAATCCGGCCTGGTTCAGGTCGTGGCGCCGGGCGGCATCTCCTTGGAGCTGCCTCCGCTCCTTTTGGGACAGACTGGCGTTGTTGGACGAGACGCACTTCACGCCGAGGCGGGCACATCTGCCGCATGAGGAGCCTGTGGCATCGGGTCCGTTCCGGTCACAGCGCAGCTTCCGAGCGCGGCAAGTTAAGCACCCTGCCCGGGAGCGTGTCGCTTGTGTCGTTGCCGGTGTGGACCCGCCGGAAGAGTCATTCTTGCTATCAGAGTCGCCCATTGTCTCGACTGGAGGAAGATTGCGCGGATCAGAGCCCACGCGAGATACGAAAGAAGATGTGGATAACAATTAGGGCTCCAGGTTCGTGTATCGTGTATCGAGAACCGACGGTAAAGATGCGCGCGTATGCAAGTTATGTATGATTTTGGGCGTGCATCTCTGGGCTATAATAGACGATTCTCCTGGCTGTTGGGTTCTTGATCCCGCCTGACCGGTCGATTCAGCACGTCGAGAACCGCGAAAATAATGTGTTGCCCCTGAAGTCAGAAATTGACCTGTTCCTGGAAAAGACACTGCGTCTTTGCTGTGTCTGGCTTCATCTTTCGGCTCGTCGAAGCGACATCCGACAACACTGTGCTACTTTTATTACTCATGACGCACTGCTAGGCTGGCCTTTACCTGCTCAATCCGTCTTAGCGGCTGACAATCATACCACGAATGTCGCTTCGTCGGATGTCGCTTGAGCGGTTACCGCTAACTCCGGGCGATGATCCTGGGAATCGTGGTCATCATTCGTCTGGCCTGCCCAACTCCCTGAGCTTATCTTTATCCCATATCGCGTCGCTTAACCACCGCGGGTTATATGTTGTCCACAAATGAGTTGTCAGGTTGATGTCTAATTAGCGCCATGTCCAAGAGCGGTGTCAGGCTTCCACGCTGTGCTCTGCTAAGATCTCAGCAAAAGCCACCAATAACATCTTATTGGACAACTGTGCCTCCCTCAGGTGTTGTGGGATGAACCAAAGGATGACCGCAATACATAACAGCTGCCAAGCAGAAAATGCTTCTCTACATGCGTTTGAGGTATGACCTCATGTCTAGTTGCGAGAGCGGCGGCATTTGCTATGCAGGCCCCCTTTTCCCCATTTGAAGCAACCGTCTCCCTTACATGCTAAGTCGAAGAACTTCATGACAGTATCCTCCTGCACTTGGATATTGTGCGGCACCCCTGCTGCGCTGTATGCCTCGAACCAGCTATCGGGGCCATACACCGACTTTGTCCAGCCCTTGGCTGGAGTGTCCTCCGTGACCGAGCTGGGCGTGGTGCTCAAGCCCAAAACGGCCGTCCATTCCTTGACAGCCTCGTTGTAGTTGTTGTAGCTCAGCACCTCATCTGCTGTCCCATGGAATATTTGCAACTTTGGCCGCCAGCCGCTGTATCCCGGATACGCGGCCTCGACAATGGCTTTCCACTCCTCTGCCGTGTGCGACACCTTGCCGGTGGCACACGCATCGTTCCAATACCCGTACACACCGCTGTTGTTCCCAGGCGCAGCAAAGCAGCCAAACGGCACGCCCGCAAAAGCCGAGCCGGCGGCAAACATGTCGGGATAAGAGCCCATAAGAACATTTGTCATCATCGCGCCCGATGAGACCCCCGTCGCGAAGACACGGCCCTTATCCCCTCCGTACTTGTCCAGAGTCCAGCGCACCATGCTGGCAATGCCGAGGCTGTCGCCACCGCCGTTATGGGTCAGAGTCTCCCGGGACGACACATCCCAGCACTTGTCCGCCGTGTTGGGCGAGTCAGGGTATATGACGATGAAGCCGTATTTGTCGGCGAGCGTCGCAAACTGAGATCCGCGAAACGCGGCGTTGGCGTCGCCGTGGCACCAGTGAGGATCGACTAGGACGGGCGGGTGCGGAACGAGAGCGTCGGGGACGTAGATGTAGAAACCAACCTTTGTGGGATTGTAGCCGAAGGGCTCGGCGATTCTTTGAAGAGATGCACCGGAGATCACCGACACAAGCCACGGAATGTAGGTAACAGCCCTTCGAAGAGTCGCCATTTGAATACCAGGTATTTCACTAGGACTGTGAATCATTGATCAAATATGATCACCAGGAATAGAAGGTAAGGATCTCTCATTACATCTTATACTTCGAGCATTCCTTTATTGAGAAGAAAGGCGAACACATGAGATTAAAGGTTGCATCAATTGTCCGAATCGGCGGAGGTACGGGCTCCGCATGATACTTGTGGTTAACCTAGTTTTAATAGCCGCCTGCTGAGTGCCTCAACACGCGTGGAACTTCTCTCGAAGATCGTGGATAACCACCGTATAACTACCAACATGATTTGATTAAAGACTAGTGATACTAATTCTTGCGATCGAACATGTATTTACTACGATCAGACTTCTTTAGTGCGCGTGGTAGTCAATGATCTTTCCGCCTTCCTTCTCATTCTCAAGCCTCGCTGCAGTAGAGCTGGACCTCGATTTCTCATCCACTCCCTTAGTACTGAAAGCCGCTGCAATGGCAAGAGCGCCGAATGCAATGGCAACAAGGTAGACAAGTTTGTAGCCCTGCGTGTTGGCCTGCCGGACGGCCTCCTGCACAGCGGAAATGGTCGAGTTGGTGATGCCGGGGACCTTGCTGTAAGCTGCAGGGGTATTGGTCTTCGCGGCCGTGACGAGAGCAGGGAGGGACCCATTGAAGCCAGTCGCCTGGGCTGCGCCCTCGACTTCACCAGGGAGCAGGACCGCGAACCGGCTGGTCTGGATGGACGTGTAGATAGCCGTCGCAATGGCTCCACCAATGAGACGGAAGGTGCTGATCAGTCCGACTGCGACACCGATATCCGTCTGGTCATCGAGATGGAGACTGACCATGCCGAAGGAGAGAGGCGATGGCGGTAGGTTCACGGTCGCGACGAGGATGACGGTGGCAATGGCCTGAGCTTTGTCGTTGGTCCCGACTGACGCAAGAGAGCCAATCAAAGCGGTCTGGATCACCATCATGGTGATGAGTTGCCAGCGCTCGTGCTTGATCCAGGGCATCACACCAATGCAGTACCAACCGGCGATGATGGTACCGAACGAGATCATGTTGGCGTAAACACCACGGATAATGGGCTGGTTGGCAGGCACCCAGAGGAGTCCGGACTGGCGAGGCCAGATGCTACGGCGCGACTGAAGTCAGCAAAACAAGAACCCATCAAACTAGTGCCTATCGGTGCAGGAGACTTACACATTCATACTGTAGTAGAGCATACCAGCAACAAAGCATACGACGAGGAAACTCGTGAACCTATCACAACAGTTAGTTGTCACCAACTTGAGTCAAGTGCGTTGGAAAAGACTTACTTTCGCCACTGAACGAACAGATGAGGAGGCAGGATAGGACATGGAAGAGGAGCATATGCCTCCCAGAAGCCCAGAGCTACAAAGCAGACAAATCCAACCACGATGCAAGCAATGACATGCGCGCTCGACCAAGCATAGAGGCCGCCACCCCAGTTGAGACCGAGCAGGATGAGCAGGCAGCCTCCAGTGAAGAGCAACAGACCAACATAGTCGATCTCCTTGATCATCTGCATCTTGGACTTGTGGTCGGCCTGATGCTTGGTCTCAAACGTGGGTGGGTGGTAGAAGAAGTACAGCATAACGGCCGTGACGCACTCCCAGGCGAAGCACCACCAGTAGCATGTGCGCCATCCAGGCTTGGTGTAGGTGATGAAGACATAGCCGAGAATGGGAGAGATCGAGCTGAAGTGGTTGGCGAGGATCATGATACCTGAATCCGCATAAGTAACCAGATAAATATGTGCGATACATGTGCATTGGCTGGCTTACCAAGGGTCTTGAAGCGGTCCTTGTTGGGGACCAACTCTTGGGCGCAAGCAAAGCACATCTCTTGGAAGCCACCACCAACACCGAAAATGATGCCGCTGGCAATCATCTGGTTGATGCTCTGGCCTGTGGCTCCCACCAACGCGCCAACGGCAGCGGCACCAGCCCCGAAGAGGAGGAACCATCGTCGACCGGCGATATCGGAAAGACGACCGCCGATGGTAACGATGACGGCGGCACCCAAGTTCCAGCTGTATATGTTTGAGTCAATATTGTGATATTTCAAGACACAACAGAGCAGAACTCGGGGATGCAAACTCACGTTATAGCAATCCATGGGTATCGCGTGTCAGGCCCGAGGTCGGCGTTGATATAGGTCAAGACTGCTGCCGGCATGATGAGGGTGAAGAGGTAGCTTTCGTACATGAGGATCAGGGACTGCACAAGTCGTGTATTGTCAGAGACACATCATGATACCAAAGCAAGCTGCAAGCCACGGAGTGAGCATACCAGGACGGCCAGCTTTGTCTTGAGGGTGATCTTGCCCTCTTCCTCGGCGGGGATGCCAGTCTCGAGCTGTGAGCCAGAGTCATCGTGCTTCTCAACATGATCATGGTTGAAAGCCTCTGGCTTGTCTGCCACGGCAGCCATGGTTGGAGTCTTTCACCCGGAGGAGCAGATGATGGCCTAGAGAGAACAGAACTGCACGGAGAGCGTCGTGCGTGACAAATGGGAAACTACAGGAAGAACTCGGGCGTCGAGACACAGAATGCGAAGTGATCGACACGGAGACTGCATCGAGGATGTCAAAGCTCTTTAAGACCCCCCTGTCTTTCCTCTTCGTGTATGTATAGCCAGCGGCATTATGCAGGGTGATGGCAAAGACATTCCACCTACGATGCGAGTCTTCGCGGGGTGTGGCCCGGAATCGGTTTCCCAAGGCTGGGGTACGAGCTAGAGACTACTAGACCACGCCACAGTTCTTCCCCCTCCCCCAGTATGATTGCGGGTAAGTCTTAGGGCTGAAGCTTCGCATTTAAGACGTGTGGCTGCGAGGACGCCTAATGATTCACAAGCAAGACTCGCGAATCCACTCTGGGCTTGGATTGGTCACAAATCAGCCATGTTGATTGACAAAACCATCCACTGGCTCGCCGAAATTCGCCTAATGGAGATAAGCCTTTTTATTCCCTGTGGTCTGGTTCGCTTTTTGACTGGGCTGGATACTTTACTCCGCACCCGAGAGCAACTCTTGCGGGGTACATGCGGGAGCCGAGATCCCCTGTCGGGGCAGTTTATGCTTTTACGGACTTAAAGTGACTAAATTGACGCCCATACTAATCAAGACCAAGTCCAAGTCTTTTGACGGACACCGTATGGGTTGTGGGCAGACACATAGCTTTACTAGAACTTGAGTTTGCCCAAACATCACTAAGCTCTTCAAGCGTGCAAATTTGGACCACAGAAGGTCATTAGCACGCTCAATATGATTTACACCTCACCATTTGGGGACCTCAACGTGCCCACGGGCCTGTCGTTATCTCAGTTCATTGCGAGGAATAATCCCGATGATGTTTCGTCCGACCGAGTCATTGCTAGCGACTTTGACAACCCGGGCCGCTCCTTGACCTTTGGCGAGCTTCGCAAGCGCGCTGCCCAAGGCGCCGCCAGTCTGCGATATGCCTTCGGCATGGGCGAGGGAGATGTGGTGTGCATCTACGGCCAGAACTCAGTCAACTGGCTGCTCCTGTGCCACTGCGTGATGTGGGGTGGAGGGTGCTTCTGGTAGGTTTCATTGCAGGCTGCGTGTAATGTCATCCATGCCGAGGACTTGTGCTAATGGACACGCAGCGCTATCAACCCATTGGCGACACCCTATGAGCTGCAACACTACTTTGAGATAGCCCAGCCGACAATTATCGCCATGGACGGGGGCATGGTGCAGCGAGTCGAGCAAGCGCTGAAGACAGTGAAACTCTCGAGAACTCCGCGCATTGTCGTGATCGAAGGTTCGGACCATCAACAACACACAACGCTTCCGAAGGTAAGTGTGTTCAAAGGATATTTGTTTGAATGATCGTGTTCTCATCTGAGCAATTAGTTCCCCAAGGACTTTATCAGGTTTCAGGCCCGCTCTGTCGCTCCGTTTGACCTGTCCAAGCGAGATAATCGCAAAGTGGCCGTTGGAATGTGTTTCAGCTCGGGGACCTCAGGAAGACCCAAGGCTGTCGTGCTATCCCACTACAATCTCATTGCATATCTACTGTCAATGAGGATAACAAACCCTTTCATCCACAGTGCGCACATGCGAGAGGTGTTCTTCCCACCGTTTGCTCACATCTACGGGCTGGTCTCCGCGGTGCTTCTGTCATCCTACTGCGGCAGCTACATCGTCGCCATGAAGAACTTTGACTTCCTGGCGTACCTAAAGAGGTGTGCCGACATCAGGGCAACAGTGCTGAGACTTGTGCCTGCCCTGGCCGTGAGAATGACCAAAGACCCCGAGGTTCTGAAATTGGACCTGAAGAGCGTCCATACTCTGGCCGTCTCCGGAGCGTCGTTGTCTACTGAAACCGTCAAGGATCTGCAGAAGATTCTAGACCCCTCTGCATCGGTGCTTAATGGCTACGGTATGACTGAGGGGAGTATTTCAATGTTGAGGGAAACGCAAAGTCATCGCGCTGGTAGTTTGGGGAAGCCCGTCGCTGGCGTTTCCATCCGTGTTGTTGATGATGACTTCAACGATGTCCCAGAAGGACAAGACGGTGAGTGTCTGTTCAAGGGGCCGACGGTCTTCCTAGAATACAGGGGAAATCCGGAAGAGACTTCAAACACGTTCAAGGACGGCTGGCTACGCACAGGAGATATCGTGCGCGTAGACGAGGATGGGTATTTCTGGATGACGGGACGGAAGAAAGAGCTTATCAAGTACAAGGGCAACCAAGTGCCTCCTGCAGAGTTGGAGTCGGTTCTGCTCTCACATCCTCACGTCGACGAAGCTGGTGTCGTAGGGGTGTACGACGAAAAGCAAGAGACTGAGCTGCCGGTGGGCGCGGTCGTACTGGGCCCAGCTGTCAAGGAGGAGCACATCCACACCACCCTGGCTGACATCATGCGCCATGTTGACGAACGAGTTGCTCCGTACAAGCGTCTACGTGGCGGGCTATTCCATCTTCCAGCGCTCCCAAAGGGATCCACTGGTAAGTTGGTCAGGCGTGAAATTCCGGCCAAGCTGGCCGAGCATGCAAAGAAGCAAACATCACAGCCAAAGTTGTAGATAGAATTTTATAGAAACGGTTCAATACGATTTACTGAGAATGATTCAATGCTGCAGCAAAACGCCATGTACTGTGGTATGCTTTGCCCTAGCATCGGGCCTGCATCGGCTAACCGGTCCCGGAGGTGGAGAACGTCGTCACTAAGGCTATCCTACTCAAGAGCAATCCCCACGACGCCCTTCACATACTGTTCACGCTCACCCGTCCGACATAGTGACACCACTGGCACATCCTTGTCTGACTTCTGGCTGCGGATATCATAATGCAGCACGAGACCAATGATGTCAGGGACAGGGCCGCCGTCGCATATCTCGAGCAGCTCTTGGTAGATACCCAAGGGAGAGATACTGCCGACACATGGTATTGCATAGCGGTAAGTACCCCATATCGATGCCTCGATCCATCTTCATCCACTGCTAACATGGCGAAAGGCATGCACATTTGCTGCTTGCAACCAGGCCAAGTATGTAGCCGATGTATATCGCATTGCAATCAAGCCTCACCCATCGGACATCAAGTACCAACAGCATGTTCTCAAGAGGATCAAAGGTCAGAAGCATCAGCATATACCTTTGATGACGAAGTCTCTAACATACGTCCAGAGGCTCTACTTAAAACCAGCGTCATCTATGGGATTCCCAGAGTGATCAATGCATTCCGGGCACTGATCACGGCTATCCCTACGCCAGAAGCCAATGAGACTTCCTCCATGCGCAGCCACATAAAAGTTCCGGCCGAGTTGGATGAGAGAGGGCTGACTTATATGCGCAATATCTTTCGGGCAGACCTAGACCCTTTCCTCGAGACCATGGACAACTACTGGCCAGACCTTCGCACGCTCGTCGTGACAACCATCTACGGCTACTACCAGTCTGATGTGAGCATCTTGGGCCCCATCATAACAAGCCAGCTCAACATTGCCACCCTGATGACCATGGATGTCACTGCCGAAGTAGCTTGGCATATGCGCGGTCTGATCAGGAATGGGGGAACGCGGGAGCGGATCGACTATGCATTCGACATGGCTACGAGGATATGTGAGATCTGCGACTTGCGACTCAAGAACACCATGCCCAAGCCGGAGGATGTGATCAATCAGGAAAGACTCTTTGTACCAGACAAGCCTTTGCGGGCCAAGATATGATTCAACATGTCTTTCATGATCATTTGTTCTTCTTCTATATAGTTGAATTGTGAAAATGTGCTATGAGACCCTATTTAACAGTTCCAGCCGCCATCGATAGGGATGTTCGTCCCACTGATATACGTAGACTCATCGCTCAGCAGATAGGCGATCAGATGGGCGCACTCCTCCGCGGTGCCGATGCGCTTCAGCGCCGCCTGCTCGTGCTTCTCCTCGCCGGCCGGGGTCTCGCCGATTGCCCGCGCAGCGCGCGACATGGGAGTCTCAATACGGCCGCTATATATGTCTGTGTTAGCACATGCAGTCCCACAGCGGGTATCAGTGAATAAAGAGGAGAACCTACGGCTGGATGGCGTTGACCCGGACGCCCCTGTGGCCAATCTCCTTGGCCGCCGTCCGCGTCAGGCCCGTGACGGCGTGCTTGGACGCCGTGTAGGACCCGTTCTTTGCGCGGCCGGTGGCGCCCGCGATCGACGAGGCGTTGACGATGGACCCGCCGTCGGCGATGGCGTTCATCTGCGCCTTGAGGCAGTGCATCACGCCCGTCGCGTTGACGCCCATGACAAAGTCCCACTCCTCAAAGTCCTGCTCGGCGAGCGTCTTGACGCCGATGGACCGCGGGATCACGCCCGCGAGGTTGGCCGCGCCGTCGAGGCGGCCGAACCGCTCGACCGTCGCGGCCGTCCAGCCCTCGACCTGCTCGTAGTTGCGCACGTCGAGCGGGAAGACCATGACCTCGGCGCCGGGGTGCCTGCGCTCGATCTCGGCCTTGACCCTGTCGAGGCCCTCCTGCTGCAGGTCGGCGAGGGAGAGCTTGGCGCCCCGGGAGGCAAGGAAAAGCGCAGTGGCTTCGCCGATGCCAGAGGCCCCGCCGGTGAGGGCGACGACCTTGTTGGCAAAGTTCTGGTTCGACATGGTAGGTGATGTGTAGCTACTGGGGGCAGAACAGGGGAGACAGATGGATATTAGGTTCAGGTCAGACAATATAGGAAAGGAGCTCAGTCGCTTCAGAAAGCCAAGATGTCTAGCACGCACACTTGGAACTTACCCAAGCAGCGGGGGAAGTCGGGGATATTTGTCCCATGCGGAGATGGCGCGGCGTGGGGTAAGCAAAGCAGCTCAGGTTGCTTGACCATTAGTGTCTGTTGCGGGACAACGGGTTCCCGAGCCAGCCCACGGACGGAACTCGGTAGGACAGGTCTAGTCACGTAGCAAAGGTCTCTCTGGGCTGCGAAATATCTTGGCTGATATGCTTGTCTATTTTAGTGCGGCAATTGTTAACCGCTTTCGGACCTGCAATCCCTAGATCCTAGGCTGCCTATCTAGCTAGTATGATGGAAACCCGTGATATCATATCCTGCCGTTCTCCAGGAATTTGCGCGGGATTGGCACATATTTCGCTCTCAGATACTCGCACAAGTTCTTCGCCAGCGTGTCTAGTTTTGATCCCGAGTTGTACCCGCGGTCTAGGTGGTTCTTGAGCAGGAAGTGGACGGCGCGGATGTTGCCCATCTCAAATCTGTCAATGCGGCCGCCCTCATATTCCTCAGGGCCGAGGAGCTCCTTGATCTTCTCCATTGTCAAGAAGGACCTCAGCCAGTCCCACTGCTCCTGGTTGGGGACGAAGAACCCGACATTTGCATCTGAGGCCTTGTCACCTGAGCGGCCGAGGGCAACGTAGCCGAGAGGTGCATCTACAGTCTCACCGAAGGTCTCTAGAGGCACAGGGTCCTTGGTATTATAGGACTCTTGAAGGCCGTATTCCCTCATCTCCGAGGGAAGGGGGATATCTGTAGAGCTACGGTCCCCAAAGAGAAGATGGACGCGGTGATTGCAGATAGACTGCGGCACCAGCGTCGGGTAGTACTCAAAGTAGCTCTTTGCAGTAGACTGGCGCAAGTCGTTGGGGCGTGAAACACCCTATAAAGCACATCATTAGCTCAGCTTTGACGGAAGCCGTATAGGCAGGGCCTACTTACAGGACATGACTGCAAGACCGTCTCGTAGAGCTTCCTGCTAAATCCATCGGTGAGACTGGGGTCAAAGAGCGCAGCATCGCGCGCTTGAGCAAAGATGCGGAAGTCGACCGTAGCAATCTCTTGGTTTCTTGGGTTCTCCGGTGAGGTGCCATGCACATGAAACTTGATCATGGAGAACTTGCTCATAAGCTCCTCGCCAATGGCGTAGCGGGCTTGCTCCTCCATCCACTGGCACTTCTCCTCGATGTCCAGGCCGACGAGGTAAAAGTGCCATTCGGCCTGGAAGCCGCCCTGGGCAGTAATGCCGCAGCGGGTGGTGGGCGGTGGCGGCAGCCCCTTGATGTTGCTGACGTGGACAAGGTCCTCGCCCAGCTGTTCTGTCTTGATGTGGTGGATATCTGCTACGACATCCGAGTTGAAGTAGAGAGGGCCGGAGATCTCATACACGAGCTGCGAGGCCACCGTCTCCACATTGACGACGCCGTTGGTGTTCTTCTCCTTGAGAATGTCAAACTCGCCATTGGCATGGACTGCAGCGATGGGGAAGCCCAGGTTAAGGTGCTTCTTGGCCTTCATGAGGTCTTTGAAGCGGCTGTAGTAACCGCCCGTCGCAAACGCGGAACACTCGATGATATGTCCAGCGATCAAGGCGCTACCGAGCTCGTCGAGTTGGTTCGCATTCCATCCATGCCACCAGGCGGCCACGCCCATGGTCGGCGCTGCATCAGCGACACTACATGGTGCATTAGCTAGTTTCCAGGGTTGAAAAAGATTAAAGAGTCTAGACATACCGACCACAAATGACAATATCCGCCCCTTGGCGCAGGGCTTCCGCGATACCCATGCTACCCAGGTATGCTTGAGCACAGATGGGGTCGAATCCCCACTCTTGGAGAGTCTTGCCATCAGACATGTTCTTGAAGACATGCCCATGGGCGACCATCTTCTTGAAGGGCACGGTGACATCGTCACCCTCGACCCACGCAACCTTGAGGTCGAGCCCGGCCTTCTTGACCATGTTGTCGCACACCTCAGCCAGCAGCTTGGTATCACTGGCGCCGGCATTGACGGCCAGTTTCACGTCATTCTTGGCCAGGTTCTGGATAGCCGGCTCGAAGCACTGGAGGAAGGTGCTCGCGAACTGCGCCGTCTTCTTGCGCTCCTCCAGGGGCAGGTCGTCGCGGTCGAGGCCGTTCTGGATCTTGCGGGCCTTGCCCGCTCCGTAGCCCGTCATGACATTCTCCGAGAGCCAGTCGCCGACGATGGCATCCATCTCCGGATCGCTGGCGAGACGGTTGATGGCAGCGACGCGATCAGTGAAACCACCAGAGGCGCCGCCGATACGCACCGGGCGTCGGGGTTGGGGGGTAGAGGCCATCGTGATCGCGGGTGATGAGTTGAGTTTGAGTATGTGGGAAATTCAGCAGCTTAGCAAGTCATCACTCGGCGGCCCTTCTCGTTGGAATATGATAGAGAAGGGGGGGCAGATCTTGTCCAGTATCGATGATGATGCTTGGCGTCGTCTGGTGTTCCGTCCGATGAGCGCTTGCTGCTCCAGCGCCGGCCTTGCGGCTAATCGCCGGCTAGTTTGAGCATCTCTCGTACCGATATCGTCTCCTTGGGCAGTAGAGGCGCCGAGATCCGGGCGGTGGTCAATTGGGCATTGGCCAAGGCGCGTCGGCGTTGGAGAAGGCCGCCATTGTCATTGGGGAATTCCTTCAATACCCAGGTCCCCGCATCCACACTTTACCCTGCAGGCTTGGCGCTGCTCCAGCCGACCCCGCACCGGAGATCGATTTCCAGGTACCCACCACGAATGACGGGAGGCTTGTGGATGCAGACACACCCCCAGTGTAAGCAAGCCGGCAACTTGGTCCAGCAAAGTGTTGACCTGTCATGCCTTACCAGAGAGGAGGTTTTCGATAGAGCTGGCATATTGCAGAATAACGTGGGGATTCTTACATCTTCGCTCGATGCACAGACAATCCTATGCAGGCGAAACAGCGCATGCAGGGGACCAAAAGTCGGTTGTTGTCGTGGTGGTATCATAAATGCGATTCGTCTATCAGTTTCGCGATCTCCGGCCACTGCTCTCTGAATGCCTTGCCGACATTCCAGTTCTTCAGTTGTCGTATGTGCTCCTCGTAGACGGGATTGATGGTGGTCTCCTCCTCTCCGAGAGGACTGGACTTGGTGACGAGAAGGACGTGCGAATGCTCATACGGCCAGCTTATCGTGAAACTTGAGCTGTATGTGGCGGCGAAATCGTCGAGTGTTATCTCTGGGTGCTCTAGTATGAGATACTTGCGGACCTCGGGCCTGGGTGTGAGTTAGTACAAGTCTTTGTGCCATTGTGTGCCGGTCTTTGTGTAGAACGAACCAAGGTAACCTGTCTATCCAAGCAGCGTGATGATTCGAGAGCTGCGCTGGGATCGGCCGTAGCCATGGTGGTAGCAGCTCCCAGCTCTTCTTGTCAAGTAGAACCATCCACTTTCCATCACAAGTTAGCAGGACATCCCTTACGCCATCGTTGCGCTACTTGCATCACCTGCTTGGGGTGGAGATTTACCTTGAGGAGCGCTTGCATGACATAGTACACGGCAACCTGCTTTGGAAGCGTGTCGATCTCCAAATAGCTCCGAATAATGTCGCCGACAAGATTGCTGATATCATCACCTCCAGTTTTGTCCTTCTCGAGAAGAGAACCCAGATTGATCTTGGGCGAATACGAGAGAGCCTCGTTGGCGGCTTGTCCAGGCAATATGAAGGACCGACGCTCGAGCTTCGCCCTGATGAATCCCTGCAGGATCTGGTCGGCGAGGCAGGAAGGCGGAGAGTTGAGCGGAGGAAGCTCCCACGGAAGCTTTGGCCTCGCCGGCGGCGATTGGCCGGCCGCCAGCATTGCGCCGCCTGGAGCGACAGCGGCCGAGGGGCCTGGCGCCGCCCCCGGACTCACAGCCTGAGCACCTTGGCCATCGTTGCCCATCAGGCTGAGCTGGAGGGCCGCGTTCTGGGCTCGCAGGTGCGCGTTCTCCGTCTCCAGCATGCGGACGCGGGTGTCGAGCAGGCCGAGGTCGCGCGTGCGCTCGTCGAGGACCTGGCTGAGGAAGGCGACCTGCTCGGACAGGTTGGCGATGGTCCACTTTGTGCGGTCCCGCATGGCCTGCTGGGACTTGCGGTCGCGGGCCCGCTTGCGCTGCAGCTCGAGGGCCTTGGAGCTCATGCCGCCGGCCGAGGCGCTGTAGGAGCCCTCGGAGGACTCGGCGACAGACGCCGGGGAGGTGCCGGAGGTGGTGCTGTTGGCCAGGACGGGGACTGCACCGCCGCCCGAGATCGGCGACGGAGCAGTGTGTGGGCCCGGCGGAGGAGGCATGGGGTTTGGTTTGGGGGGGCCGAGCCGATGGGAGAACCCTCCGGTTTGTCGCTCTCAAGCCCCGTGAATCATTCAATTGCACTATGGCTCGACTGGCCCTTCGGCCGATCCTACTTTGAGAGCAGAAGGGGCATGGGGTTGGGTTTGTATGGATGGGGAATGATTCAGTAGGGGAGGAGGGGAGAAGTCCAAAGTGGAGTCACTTAACCTGGAAGGTTCCAAGGTTAATAAGGTTGTTCTCAGTGTTTCCAAGCACTCCAAGCACTAAAAGAGTGTGCCGACTACCGCCCGCGCCAGTGCTGAACCTCCGGCCCAGTGGTGCCACTGTGGTGCACAGAATCGAAGCTTTGGCTCCAGCGGTGGAGAGAGGATCAGGCATCCCAAAGGCTATTCTTTCGGTTGGAGCGAATCCAGGGCTAACGTTACGCGCTCCCCGAAGCCCTGCTGCCGGACAGGGCACGCCCTGGCAAACACACCCTCTTCTTCATCAACCCTTGCCAGCCAGCTCCAGCTGCTTTTTGATCCGCGCGCGGGAATACCCCGTCGGCGGCCATCCTGGCTGATGCATCCATGCTAACCCGGCCCTGTAAATACATGCAGACGGAGCCTGTACATTGCGACTCTTGTGGATTCTCAAGAGACATCATTCCATGGGTCACCCTGGCCGTGTCGAAACCGTCGCCGAAATCTAGAATACTACAGCATCCCTTCTGGTTCGACCTTTTGAGCTGCGCCGTCTCTAAACCCAACTGATTAATAGGCCTCATTAAAAGTGTACATATAGAACAATGTTTGACCATTGTGTGAGCCATCCATGTCTGGTCGCACCGGACGGTTATGCACAGGGCTCAGGGCTGACTGATCTTGGGGAAGGATTCTCCCACAGTTCCAGGGTCTACAGTGCTAATGTCCAGTAGAGCCACCCCCTAAGAACTTGCACTCAGCCACCAAGATCAAAACAAGGAGTGGTAACTAATGCCAGCCTGTCAGAGAGACAAGCATTTCACTGTTGCATCGGCGGAGATTACATTTGGCTGGATAGGTAGGTACATTATTCATTCTGTTGCATTCCGACAACTGTTTTCCTAGGTATCCCTGCACGGTACTTTCGTTATTGCTTCGTAACAAAACAGTGAGGCGTACAATATCCCAAATGTTCCCTCCCCCTGAGCTGAGCCTGCGGGCGGCGCGCCGCACTTAGTCTACTTACGCGGAAGCACCTCCGCGGTTCCCCGGCCACTCAAGCTCTTTCGTACGTACATGGCAATCTATCCCAGCTTGCGGGACATACCTAGTCCCTGCGCCATCGAAACACGAAAATCGAATCACGCAAAATGCCTCAATGTAACCAGACACCAACACCACTCTCCCTCTACGCACCCGCCTCGGCGGCCTTGCTCTGGGCCGGGTTGTGGCCCGGGTGGCCCTCGGCGCCCGTGTTGTGCATGCGGCGCTGCACCGTGTCGGTGAGGTACTTGCGCGAGTCCTTGGCCAGCAGGGCGCCCGCAAGGGCGAGGCCGCCGAAGCCCAGGGACGCGAGGTAGACGGTCTGGAAGGCCTTGGAGTAGGCCATGGGCATGGCGGCCGTGATGGCGGCCTTGAGCGCGTCGCTGATGCCCGGGAAGGTCGCCAGCTTGCCCGTCTTGGCCGCCGCCACGATGGCCGGGATCTTGTCCGCGGCGACGCCCTCGGCCTGGGCCAGCGGCGCGATGGCGGCGGGCAGGGTCGTGCCGAGCCGGTTGTTGAGGATGGTCGAGTAGACGGTGACGGCGATGGAGCCGCCCGCCGAGCGGATCGAGGCGAGCAGGCCGGCGGCCAGGCCGATGTCGGAAGGCTTGCAGTAGAGCGGCGCCAGGGTCAGGGCGAGCAGCTCGATGACGCCGACGAAGAAGGGGCCCAGGAGGGTCAGGGCGATGCCCAGGCCCTTCTTCTCGGGCGTCAGCGCGGCCAGGGCGCCGACGAAGCCGACCATGCCGCAGGCCGAGAAGATGATCCAGTACCGGTCGTTGCCGGCCCACTTGTACTTGATCAGCGCGCCGGCCAGGATCTGGCCCAGCGCGACGGCGCCGCCGACGGTGCACGACAGCCAGCCGGCGTAGGTGATGTCCTTGGTGAAGAGGGCCTGGATCTGCTGGGGCCACAGGAGCACGGCCGAGTAGTAGAACATCTGTGTGTGCGCGTGCAAGCGTCAGCAAGAAGAACATGAAAAAAAAAAACGAGAAACAACTTGGTCTTCCAACATGAAGAAAGACTTACACTGGCGACAGTGGCGCAAATGACCAAGCTCATGAAGCCGCGGTTGCGGAAGAACTGCACCGGGATGGCAGGGTAGGCGAGGTCCACGTAGGTCTCGTAGACAAAGAGGATGATCAGGAGAACGCAGCCGATGACCAGCGAGGAGATGACGGCGGCCGACTTCCAGGGGTAGATGACTCCGCCCCAGGAGACGCCCATGAGGGCCAGGGTCAGGCCGGCGATCCAGAGGAAGATGCCGACGTAGTCGAGCTGCTTCATGAGCTGCCGCTTGGTCTTGCGCTCGTGGAGCAGCTCAAAGGTGGGCGGGTGGTAGCCGAAGAAGAGCAGGACGATGGCGAGGGCGACGGTGATGATGTTGATGTAGTAGGTCCAGCGCCAGCCCATGCCCGGGTGGGACATCATCTTGCGGGCCATGATGGGGCCAAAGGTGGCGAAGGGGGCGTTGGTCAGGAAGATGAACGAGTTGACCATGCCACGGTACTTGTTGGGGACAAGCTCGCCGAGGGCGACGTTGAAGGACAGCTGGACGGTCTCGCCGAGGCCGTAGATGGCGCTGCCGACGATGAGGGTGTCGATGTTCTGGGCCACAGCACAGACGATGATGCCGATGAGGGCGACGGCATTGCCGCCGATGAAGAACCAGCGACGTCCGAACAGATCGGACAGACGGCCGAGAATGGTGTAGGTGAAGGACAGGGCGAGGGTACGGGCAATGTTCACCCATGACAGGTAATTGCTCGGGCCTAGGTGAGAAGATACCACGTTAGATCATCAGTGCCTCTTATATGAGAGATCGAGACAAGTTCAACTCACCAATATCCGCATTGATATATGTCAGCACATTGGTGGGCATGAGCAGGAAGATGTAGGCAGAAATGGCCGAGAGGCAGAAGCCCTAAATCATAGCAAAGATGCATGAGTATATGGTTTCTTCAACCCCACGAAGAACATTGGCTCATGTACTTACCGCTACGGCACAGATGAAGCGGAAGGAAGTAAAGTATCCAGGCGGCAGGTTGTCTCCCAGGGCTTCCGACCTGATGGACGAGGCATCATCCTCGTGCCCGGGGTGTGCGTGCTCGTACATCTTGACGCTGTTCTTGTCAAAGTTGGCCTGACCGGTGGACTCGTCCTGCCGGATCTCGGCGTTGGTGTTCTCTGGGGCCGCAGCCATGATGCTTCCGGGCGCACAGCGCTCACTCACGATAGGATGAAACTAAGGCTCGGAGAATTTGTGAAGAATCACCAAGGGGCGCTGGTCGACGGGATGGAAATCAACCTGGCGCAAATCGAGAGGGCTTGGGAGAAAAGAGAAGTCGAGGGTGTCGATCCCAAAGCTAGTCTTATACCCTGGAGGAGGGAGGGCAAGTCCAAAAGGCCAGGAGAAAGATGATCTGAGATGAGATGAAGAGAATTGGCTCAAGAGGGTGCGAGACTCGACGTTTATTAAAATACAGGGATAGGAGAATAGAGGCTTTTCTTCCTGTCCTCGACTCCTCGCCCATTTCAGAAAGCTCCGCATCAGCTAACCTGCACAGTCTCGGTAGCCACCACCACCACACATCCCGCACACACGCAGTATTCCCCCATGTCTGCACTGGCCTGACTGGCTTGCTTCTCCTGGGGCACTTTTTCCACCGCGGACTAGGGTATTCTTGGCATTCGGGCTAGTCGGAGAGAATGAACCCCCCGCAATGCTCCTTGGGCAAGTCGCTGAAATGTTCCAATGCGTCCCTGTGGGGTAATTAGAGTTAGCTTTGAAACGGCTGAATACTGCGTGGACTGATTAGCATTACGAGCGTCGGACGGCTTGCCCATTCGCAGGAGCCAGAGGACCCGGTACCTCCAAGAGACTGGGGCGTATTGCTGGGGTGAATTTGCTAAAAGGGGGGGGATCCGGGGTCTCCAAGTTGTGAAGGGATTGGCATGGTCCACAAGCCATTGCGGGTCCAGTCTCACCCCGAGAAGACCTTAGTGATTCAGCATGTCGGGGTCTGGCCCTGTTAGAGCGAGGCTCAGCTCCAGACATCCCGTCCAGCTGGTCCCCACGCCACTTTGTCTGTGCATACCGCATATGGATCGATACCGAAGGCTTCCTAGCTCGATATGTGAGTGTGACAGAAGGAACTCTGACAAGAAATGCTTCATCCCATATCCCGATCCATCATCACGAGCCTAGATGCTACCCATTTTTCTTGCTTCGGAAAAGCGGCTCCGCGGTGCTGGGTCTCAGTCATCTCATGAATGCTTTTCCATAAGGCGTATACCTTTATACCGATTACTTGGCGAACCCATCTGCGGTTCATGCATGGTGATAAAAGAAAACAAGTGTGAGCCATGTCCTGCATAGGAATAGAACAAGGCCTCGTCTCAATAAAGTAGCATACAAAGTTTGCCATCGGCGCCCTAGTTCAGAGACACGTGTGCTTCCCGCAAGCCGGCCAGGGTCAAGCAGCCAGAGGGCTTCTTGAGCACATGGCTGTTCATGCAGACTAGTTGTTGTGACTCGCCGCCATCTCCGTGGTAGAACATTTCCCTGCACGTGGCAAAAAGGGGTCTAAGGCAAGGGCGTGGCACCAAGAACACCAGGGGCCTACCACACTTCCCCCAAGCCCACGGTATCTTTCTCCCCAATTCCTGAGTTGAGCCATTCTAGTCTTGGCGAGTCTTCGGCTTCGCAACCCCGCATTGCACGGTAGTTTCGGATAGCATGGGGGGATCGGATCGGTGGTGTGACTAGTAGCTTTGAACCTTAGTTGTGTATAGTCCAGATGAGATCGCAGGCAAATGGATAGTAGGGAAACTAGGAAGCTGTCAGGTGCGTCGTTCCCGTGGGGAAGGGAGTGCATGTGCTTGTCGAGTCAGGAATCGACGGTTCTGGGCGTCTGTCTGAATCATTAACTAAATAACGGCACTCCTCACGAAGTCTTGGAGACTTTTCCTCTATACGAGCGCGTGCAATATCACTCGACCAAACTAGGCGTGAATAATGATTCATTTCTAGCATAAGCCTTTCCCCGCATTCCCCCATAGTCCCAATGCCAAGAGTCTTACACTTTTCGACTTGGCGAATAGTTCAATAATGTGACAAGCCATAGGCAACGCGAAACGCGAGATAGTTACACGATTCATGAAGACGATCAAGGACCAGGCCGGATCATAACCTGCTTCCCTTCCACCGGGGCTCCCTCTTCTCGGCAAAGGCCTTGAGGCCCTCGAGAATGTTCTCGCCCTTTTGCAACTCGGCAAACTCCTTCTCGAGCGTCCACTCGACCGCCCTCTCGACGCTGGCCGTCTCCCAGCCTTGCCGGAGACCGGCACGCGTGCAGATGATGGCGTCGGGACTGTGTTTCGCGATGGACTCTGCCAGCTTGACAGCCTCCTCCACAACCTTCTCCTTGGGCACGACCCTGTTGACGATCCCCCACTGATACATCTCCTGTGCAGTCACGTTGCGAGCCGACAGAGCAAACTCGGATGCGCGCTGCAGGCCAATCGTCCGGATAAGACGGGGGAGGGCACCGCCAATGGCGGCAATACCGCGCTTCACCTCGGGGAGGCCAAAGTACGCGTCCTCGGCGGCGACGACGAGGTCGCAGTTGACGACAAACTCGCAGCCGCCACCCATGGCCAAGCCGTTGACGGCGGCGATGACGGGCTTCTTTCCCAGCCGCCTGCTCAGAGGCTTGAACGCCGGAGCGTTGCCCATGCGCTTGCTCGGGTCGGCATCGTCCGACATGGAGTTGTTCCACTCCTTGAGGTCGGCGCCGGCCGAGAACGCACGTCCCGTGCCCGTGATGACGGCAACGCTCAGGTTGGGCTCGTCATCGAACCACTTCCATACCGAGTCCATCTCCCACTGTCCCGTCGTAGACATGGCATTGAGATCCCGTGGCCTGTCCATGCGCACGAGCAGGACTCTGGGCGCGGGGAAGGACAGCTTGAGAAAGGTAGGGGTGGGAGGGGGAGGTGTGGCTGTTGGCGCCATTGTGTATGTGTGTGTGTGTGTGTGTGTGTGTGTGTGTGTGTGTGTGTGTGTGTATGAACCCTTTGACTCGGTTGTGGTGATGGTCGATAGTCGTCTTCGGAGGGTATAGCACAAACCGCCAATAATACCCGATAAAGAAACCGCCCAGATATGTATCAAGACAAGCGAGATATCGAGACAATGAATGCAAAAGGCGAATACAGCACGGAATGCCGGAGTAATGTCGTGCGGAGGGCGGGCAGCAAGCCGAGAAAGATTGTCGTCTACACCTTGGAAAGATCGCGAAGAAATTCGACAACGATCCAAGTGATATGCTAAGACGTGAATGGCCACTACCGAAACTACCGCCAAGCTAATCGGTCCAGGCCGAGGCAGATCGTGGGTGTATGGCAATTTGGAGACACAGAGGCGAGAGATGTGCTGCAAGGTTCAGGGCAGCCAACACAAGCAAGCGAAACGTCCGTGGTTGGAGCAGGACTGAATCAGGAGAGGGATCAATTGGGCGGGCTGCACGACTCACTCGTTCCTCGGGCCCCTAAAACGCCGACTGGACCAACGGACGGAAGAGCTTGCGACTGGATGCAACGTGTTGGTTGCGTGCTAACAGGGATGGGCGCTGATCCCGAACCTCCTTGTTGGAGATCCTGGCTTACGGCTGGAGACACTGCTGGCAAGGATGGTGACTGGCTGAGGATCAAGCAATTCCTGGCGGAGAGGACATTGGAGGGTGAACAGGGGGAGTGGAAAGGGAATGCCAACAGCAACAGCCAACAGGGCAAGGGTCGGGGCAGCAAGTTGAGAGATGCCGGGTCGAGCTAATGATTCATCTGTCTCCATCCGCTGCGACATTAGCGATGGCTTCAAATCTCTTGGTTTCCCCGACCTTTTTCCCCGCCTCCCCTGGAGCCCCCGCCTTCTAACCCCGCACGCGAAGAGGAAGAAGAAGAAGATAGGAAGCTAATGCTCCAGAGATAGCCGTGGAATTGCCTTCGGCTTCGGCTGGTTCAACGGTTGTCTGCTACCTGAGCCAGATCCACGGGACACGCACGCACGCTTCTGTGCCCACACCAGACCCACGACTGAGCCAGCAGCAGTGCGTGTTGGGGATTGACAGCCGCGGTACGATTCCCTTACCTGGTAGCTCCAACCAGTGAGTGAACCCCAGACGTCGATGCTCGGCAAGCTCCTGTTGGCGCAAACTACCACAAAGGAAAAGAGGTGCATTGACTGGCCTGTCATTGATCTTTGCTGATTGGCATTCCAGATCGCTTAGAATTCGTGACACTCATTGCTTGCGCCTGAAGGCATTTGACAGATTCTCACACCTGCTGCCACAAGATCGCTGTGTCGCGGCAATCTCGATTGCTCAATTGCTTGCTGTCTTGCTCGACTGAACCTCTCGTCCACCGCATCCCATCCGACAGAACCTCTCCCTCCCCCACCAACAACATGTCTGTCAAGCGGACCAAGAACCCGGTCCCGGACTGGATCCAGGTCCCTCACCCGGAGATGCAGCACTGCCTCGTCTCCTTCCCGCGCAAGCACATCCTGCTCGTCACCATCAACCGCCCGCAGTACCGCAACTGCCTGCCCGTCACCGCCACCATCGAGCTCGGCCACCTGTGGAAGTGGTACGACTCGGAGCCCGAGCTGCGCTGCGCCGTCTTCACCGGCGCCGGCGACAAGGCCTTCTGCGCCGGCATGGACCTCAAGGAGCGCCACGACGTCCTGCTGACCGAGGAGGTCGCCCTCGAGTACCCCTCGGGCCAGTTCGGCGGCATGTCCAACCGCACGGGCAAGAAGCCCATCATCGTCGCCTGCAACGGCCACGCTCACGGTAACTACACCCTCGGCCAGACCCTCGCCGCCATCGCTACGCTCTTGTGCCCTTGTCCCTGACCGTTGCAAACAAAACAATTGAATAAAAAACAGGTGGCGGGATGGAGATGCTGCTCAACGCCGACGTCATCTTTGCCTCGCCCAACGCCGACTTCCGCCTGCCCGAGGTCATCCGCGGCGTCTCGGCCCTCGCCGGCGCCCTGCCCCGCGCCATGATGCTGTTCGGCAACCACCGGTGCATGGACATCATCCTGACCGGCCGCGTGCTGACCCTCAAGGAGGCCGTCGACTGGGGGTTCGTCAAGGAGGTCGTGCCCCTCGACCGGCTCGTCGACCGCGCCATCGAGTACGCCGCCGAGATCGCCGCCCTGGCCCCCGACAGCGTCATCATCTCGCGCCTCGCCGCCCGCGAGGCCTGGGAGGGCGCCGGCATCAGCCGCGCCACCATGCGCGGCCAGGAGCTCTGGGCCGAGAACATGCTCAAGAGCAAGAACGCCGAGGAGGGCCTGAGGGCGTACAAGGAGAAGAGGGACCCCAAGTGGTTCCCGTCGCACATCTAATCCTTTGATGATGTGTGTGTTTCAGGAAGGGGTGCCTCATGAGACAGATGTATTGATATTCTAGCGAAAAAAGATCCATGATACAGCAGTTGATTACATCCCAAATTGCCCAATGCATCGTTCCGACGCTATTGCAATCAACACCGCCACAAGTGAATTAATTTATTTCTCCTTCAAAAAAAGAAGATGCGCGTTTTTTTTTTTTCTCATTGATGCTGGGTAAGAGTACACAAACCCATCTACAGCTTGCTACCCGCGCTGGCCTGCAGGATCTTGCACTGGCCGTTGGACAGCGCCACCCGCCCGTCCTCGCGGACCACCGTCTCGAACATGACGACGTCGCAGCCCTTCTCGATGCCGACCTTCCACATGCGCGTCTCGAGCGTCTCGCCGGGGTACACGACGCTCTTGAACCGCGCCGTGAAGGCCTTGAACCGCGCCGGGTCCGACCCGCCGAGCTCCCGGAGGATGCCGTGCGCCGCGATGTTCCACGTGCCCAGCCCCTGCAGGATGTGGCCCTTGAAGCCCGCGCGCCGGCCGAACTCGTCGTCGGCGTGCATGGGGTTGTAGTCGCCGCAGAGGCGGTACAGCAGCGCCAGCTCGGGCGTCGTCCGGAAGACGTGTACCGCGTCCGGCGCGCGGTCCGGGATCCGGGGGCTCGGGCGCGAGGGGCCCCGCGGCCCGCCGTAGCCGCCCTGGCCCATGCCGAAGGCCGTCGAGGTCATGCGCACGTACACGGTGCCCGTCCTGACGTCGAGCAGCTCCTGCTCGGCCTCGAGGATCATGGAGCCGCCCTTGTCGTAGACGCCGAGCACCTTTTGGTGGATCTCGAGGTCCAGCCCGTCGGAGCTGACGGGCACCGGGTTGACGATCTCGATGCCGCGCTCGCCGTCGACGGAGCGCTGGGCGTCAAACGGCGGCGTGCCCGGCACGTCGGTGGGCGTGCACTTTTTGATGAAGTCGTAGACGTCCTGGTCGGTCGTCTTGAAGAACAGGTTGATGGGGAACGTGGGGAAGGCGGCGAACCGCGGGTGCAGCTCGTAGAGGAAGTGCCGCTCGTCGGCGGACACGCCTATCGCGTTGGCCTGCGGATTCATGGTCAGTGTCTGGGCATGGTGGCAGTGCGTCTGTCTGTGGGACGAGACTCACAAACAAGAGGACATCTCTCCTGTTGTAGCTGCACTTTACGGGAGGATACTTGAAGCCCGCAGCTTTCCTAAAGTCGACATTGTCATACCGCCCAGAGGCATTCTTGACCGGCTTGTCGCTGGCTTTGACAGGCATGTTGCGGATCACGGCCTGCTTCGTGAGTGAGATGGGAATGGGAGCAGTGTCTGTTTCCGCCAAATAGCAGAGAACTGTTGTGCAAGTAAATCTAAGCCGTGCTCTATGAATGCAAAAGTAGGTATGAACGCAAAAGGTATGAAAATGTTAATGCTCACAGGTGGGAATTGGAGAAGGAAGACTGGATAACTAGTCCAAAATCCGCCCGAGGTCCCATGAAGTTCCAGGCGGCATCCCTGCTGTAAAGTAGCGTCTGTGGGGATGACCAGCGCCTCGAGTTGGCGTCCATTACGGAGAAGGGTACCCCAAAACACCCCCCCCAATCACTCCACTGCTAGCATACCTCGGCCAAGTCTTGGAACCTTGAAGAGCCGACAGTTAACTACCTTACTTTTCAAACCCGGCTTGATCACTGCAGTTTTGCAGACGTCAAAGATGCGATTCGACAGCAATAGTGCCTCTTATCAGAGGCCTCGTCTGTAGAAGATTTTCAGGAAGAAATTAAATGAAAACCCTGTAAGGTGATACGTTTTACTTCAATCTAGATATGGTCCGTAATTCATAAATGATGTATGCCCAAACGCCCGGTCCGCACTCATACCAGCCATGTACCTATACGGCGACATCACAGCCTGGCCGCAGACCGGCCGGCCTTGGCCATGTTCTCCTTTCGCCGCTTTTGTTCGCTCTCCAACAGCTCGGCCGGCATGTCGACATGCCTCGCGCGCAGGTACTCGCCAAAGCTCTTGCCAAAGCCGTCGATCAGACTGCTGCTGCTGACGCCCTCCTGGAGGATGCCCTTGATCACAAAGTGCACCGCCCACAGCTCCGGGAACTCGCACCGCACAATCTCGTACTTGTCCCTCCAGTCCTCGCCGAGCAGCTCGGTGAGCTTGCGACTCGTCAGGTACGACTGCAGCCACGGCCAGGCCGACGCCTCGCGCACCCAGAAGCCCACGTTGGCGTTGCCGCCCTTGTCGCCGCTGCGGGCAAAGGCCAGGTCGCCGAGAGCGCGGCGGACGGTCCTGCCGGACTGCGCGAGGGCGCGGGGCTCGAAGCTCCGCTGCTTGGGCGCCGCGGGGGCGCACAGCTGCGCCGGCCGGGGCTCGACGAGGAACTGGATGCCCGTGTCGAGCATGTGGACCGTGAGGGGCACGCGCGTCTGGGGCACCAGCGCCGGGAAGTACTTGACGTACATCTTGGGCTCGAGGGTGCGCCAGTCCATGGCCACGGTGAGCCCGGCGTACCCGGTCATGCCGTTGTAGAAGACGGCCTGCTTGAGCTGCGTCAGGTGCTCCTTCTGCGGCGCCTGCGCAAAGATGCGGATCATGACGGTGCAGTCGGCCTGGTTCTTGGGGTTGGCGGGCGACGTGCCGTACCGCTCGACGCTGACGTGGCTGAACTGCTCAAGCTTGAGCCTCGACAGCACGCCCTCCCTCATCTGCTCAAACTTGAAGTCGGTGTCGAGGCCGGCGCAGAAGGTGCAGATCTCGGCCTGCCAGCCGCCCAAGAGGCAGACGGCGAGCTTGGTGGTGGGTGGAGGGGCGGAGCCGGTGACGCCCGTGAGCTTGACCCTGTCCTTGCCGACCTCCTCTAGCTTCATGTTCTCGATGTGCGCGATGACATCGGGGTTGAGATACCTGTCGCCCTGGATCTCATAGACAAGCTGGCCCTTGCAAGTGTCGATAGTGACGGCGCCATTGGTGCCCTCCGTCTTGGTGACAATGACGGTCCCGTCGGCCGAGATCTCGGCGATCGGGAAGCCCGGACGCAGCACATTCTTAATCTCGGGAGCACCACAGTAGTTTCCACCCGTGACGTAGGGGCCGCATTCGATCAGATGGCCGGCCATGAGACCGCCGGCGAGCTGATCATAGTCCTCCGGACCCCACCCATGCCACCACGAGGCAAGGCCCATGACGGGGCTGGCGTCGCAGCAGCGGCCGCAGATGACGATGTCGGCACCCTCCTTGAGAGCACGCACGACACCGGCCTGGCCCGTGTAGGCGTTGGCCGTCAGCATCGTCTTGACGTGCGCCTCGGTCAAGAACTCGTTCTCGTAGTCCAGGTGCCTGAGCGGGCCAAACTGCTCCTTCCTGACCTGCTCCGTGACGTTGTCGCCGTCCACCCAGGCGACGCGGACGTCCTTGATGCCGAGAGACTTGAAGTACTTGTCCGCGGCGACGGCCAGGCCCTTGGGGTTCAGCGCGCCGCCGTCGTGGACGACCTTGATCTTGTTCTTGGCGAGGAGCCGGGCGGCGTCGCCGTTGTGGTAGGCCAGCTGCTCGAGGAAGTTGCCCTCGTAGCCTGCCTCCGGCTTGGTCTGGAGGTCAATGGCACGCCATGCCAAGTTGAACTCGGCGAGGTAGTCTGCGGTGATGGCATCCACCTGGCCGGACTTTGCATGGGCGTAGAGCTGGTCCAGCCCATCGTTGATGGCACCGGAGCAGTTGCCTATGCGGATGGGACGTCGAGCCATGACTGCTGTGATCTTGTGGTTGATGGTGGTCTTAGGTAGGCGGGCCGGGGCTGGCTTCAAGACGATGGCATCTCTAGGCGCAGCGCTTCAAGTACAGACGTGCTCGATCACCATCCACACTCTCAGCACTTGGTGGTGACAATGCAATGACTGACCCTGCATACGGCACGATCCCAGTCTGGCGATACGGCAGGGCGTGAACGTACGGATGTCATGCCAGATTGGAAGCCCAGATCCAAACAACCCTCGGCTCCGTGCGGCCAACAAGTTGTTCGCATCAAGATACCCATCACTGGGCCTGAATGGATGGAGCCGACAGGAGGGGTTGGCGCTACTGTCTCCATGCTAACCGAGAACGAAGCTGTTCTCGTGCTAGGGGGGCGCCACATCCCCATCCTCGCCCCGTGGGAAAGGTTTCCCTGGCATGGGGAGGCCGCGTAACGCTAGAATGGCACGATGAATCATTGTTGAGCCCCGTAATGAGCCCCGGGGAGGCCAGATTTGGGCGCGGGGGAGTCGGGGTAACCTTACGTCCTGCCCCAGCAATGGTGGAGGCGGCGCATTCCCGCAAGCGCTCGAGAAAGACAGGCATCCCAGGACTGGTGCCAGGGTCGGAGAGAGCCTGACAGGACTTTTGCTGCAGGGTGGGCAAAGGACGGGACGAGGACTGAACCCTGAACGACCAACGACACACAGGGGTAGCTCCAGAGCTGCCTACCTCTTTTCTCTGTGCTAGTTCCTCTCCGCTCGCTGCTCCGGGCTTCACGGCTACAGGGTAACGGCATCCCGCGGTATTTTCTTCCTTCTCTCGGGTGCAGATGCGCACGCCGGCCTTCCGGACTCGAAAGGGCAAGTTCCATTGGGAACTCTAAGGGTTTTTGGGAGTGTCTAGTCTTACTGAGCACGGAGAGCTGTATGCGAATTTTCTTGAATTTTTAATTTGCCCCAGCTTCAGCTCAAGGACAAGACCGTGAAGCTCTACGATCCTATTTACACGCGCGACGACGGTCCGCAGCCAACTCGACCGCAATGAGGATCTACAGGGCAAAGACGATACACATCCCGCGAGATCAGAACCTCACTGAGCTCCTGCACTCGTCCGCGAACCCGGACCTCCCGGAGTCGCATCTCATTTCCAAGGACAGCCTCTCAAATCGCAGCATCACCATTGGCGAGCTGCGCGAACGCGCCGGCCGCATCGCAAAGGGCTTGCACGATGAGTTCCACCCGGTTGACCAGGCGCGCTGGGCCATCGCCCTGCCCAACAGCGTCGAGTACCTCGAGATGTTCCAGGCCATCCTCTGGACCGGCGGCGTCGGCTGCCCCATCAACCACGCCCTCAAAGCCTCAGAAATCGGACACGGCCTGGCTGTCTCTCAGCCGCACTACATCGTGACGTGGGGTCCGGCCGTCCCCGCCATCCTAGAGGCCGTCGACGTCGCGGCGAAAGACCTAGAGGCTGCAGGGGTCAAGTGGGCGCGGCCGCCGATCGTCACGGTGGTCGAGCGGAGGCCCGGCTTCAAGCACATCCCCGACGACATCTACGGCGCAGAACGCCTGCCCATTCCTCACTACCCCGACACCACGAAGCGCCTCGCCTCAATACACCTGTCCTCAGGCACCACGGGCAAGCCCAAGGGCGTCGAGCTGACGCACCACAACTTTGTCGCAAACTGCCACCAGCTGGTCGCGCATGATCCCGTGCAGTTCGGCCCGGCCAGCAGGACGGTCGCCTTCACGCCCTGGGCGCACATCGCCATGACGACGGGGCCCCTGTTCCTGGGCCCCTACACGGGCATGTTCCACCACGCCATGCCCGCCTACAACTTTGACAAGTTCGCCGAGCAGGCCGTCTCCAACCAGCAGACCAACTTCCAGGGCGTGCCCAGCGTGCTGCTGCAGATGCTCAACTCTGACAAGATCCCGTCCAAGTACAACTTTTCGGCCGCCAAGTGGATCATGGTCGGCGGCGCGCCGCTCAAGCAGGACCAGGTCGCCAAGCTGATGAGCAAGGCGCCCTGGAAGATGCGGCAGTGCTACGGCATGACCGAGGCGGCGGGCTACGTGGCCTTCCAGCGGGCGGACGAGGAGCTGCCCGACGGCGTCGCGGGCCAGCTGCTGCCCAACATCGAGGCCGTGCTCAAGAAGGAGGGCGGCACCGAGGACGTGCCCCTCGGCGGCGCCGGCGAGCTGTGGCTGCGCGGGCCCAACATCACGCGGGGCTACGCCTTCAACCCGGAGGCCAACAGGTCGGCCTTCCCCATGGAGGGCTGGTACAACACGGGCGACGTGTGCAAGATCGACGAGCAGGGGCGCGTCAGCATCGTCGGCCGGACCAAGGAGCTCATCAAGTACAAGGGCTTCCAGGTCGCGCCCGCCGAGCTCGAGGGCTACCTCAACTCGCACCCGCACGTGGCCGAGGGCGGCGTGGGCGCCACTTGGGACGAGAGCCAGCTCACCGAGCTGCCCACGGCCTGGGTCGTGCTCAAGGACCACATCCAGGGCGAGGAGGAGACCAGGAAGGCGCTCAAGGACATCCACGAAAACGTCGACGCGCAGGTCAGCGGCTACAAGAAGCTCAGGGGCGGCGTGTGGCACATCCCCGCGCTGCCCAAGAACCCGACGGGCAAGATCCTGAGGAAAAAGATGCAGGAGATGAGGGACGGCCTCACGTCACTGGAGAACAAGATCCTCTCCAAGCTGTAAATATGTGATTATGCTTCTTCTACTGTTTCTAGACGAGGGCATTCTTATCAATAGCCATCGAAGATCTCAATCTGGTGATACTGCCAAGACATCGACAAAACCTTTGTGTGTAGCTGGAAGTAAACACTTCTTTCCCGGTGCTCATCATTGGCCAGAGGGACGCTCGAGATGCAGAGTCATATTAGTGTAGGTCTCTGGTGTCTCCAGCAGAACCCACACCCACTGTTAGCGAGGGGGATGGTCAGGGAGGTCAACGTGAACGGAGAGGGCCACCCGATGTCTTGCTTACTCGGGTTCTATCCACTTGGCGTCCACCTCCGTGTCATGACAGTTTCCCCAAAGGTGACCTAAATTGGGGACACACCACACAAATTCTTTCAACTATGTGTTCATAGAACGAGCATCTCCTTTGGTTGAGACCTGTTTTCGTCAGCACTGGGTTTGCACACGTATGGGCATCGTATAAACGTCCCAGTTTCAAGTTATCAACTAATCCTTTCTGAAGCATTTTCACACTGGAAGTTGTCCAGAATCCGGGGCTTTCCCTCACTACCCCGCATGGCTTGGAGCTGGCAGAGCACACCCGGGACCCCACCTGGCCGGTTGGTGGTCGGAGGATCGGGATATAGTATAAGTCCTCCGCGCTCCACCTCGAGCTTCACAGCTTGGCCATTCGCTAGTTGTGTAGCTCGCGAACTTTCCCATCCGTCACTGTGGCAGCAAAAGCCGGTCTTGCATTCTATCACTGAGATATCCCCTCTTCTCAAGTCGCACATCACAACATCTCAGTCAACATGGGGTACATGCTTCTAGCTCAAGTGCCGTGCAAGGATGAACCGGCCAAGAAGGAGGTGTGCCATGCTCTGATCCGTACTAGTGTATGATTATACACGAGCCTGACATGTGTATATCTACAGATGATCGAGAAGTACATTGAGGAAGCAGTCTCTCTCCAGAAGAACTCACCCGGCTGTGAAAAGTTCGCCATCTTCACAAACCGGAACGACCCTAGCGACCTGACCGTGTACTCATTTGAGCAGTAGGCAAATCATAGCTTGGATATTGGCCATTCCGTTCTGGTACTGATCCTGGACACAGATTCACCGACAAGGCGGCTGCTGATGCGCACATGCAATCCGATGTGGTCAAACAGATGTTGAACTGGCTGGCGACGCGACAGCCGGTCGCAGGAGACATCAAGGTCTCCAAGCTCGAGGTAGGCGAGGGCTTCAGTGTCCCGACCCGAGCAGAAGCCGACACGCACGAGGATCCTTTCGTCGCCATGGGCGTCCTGGCCTACAAGGATGGCACCGTGCCCCAATCGATGCCCTACTGGAAGGACGTGGTTGCCATCTCGGCTGAGGAGGAGGGCACGCTTAGTTATGGCATCTATACGAATACGGAAGACAAGAACCAGGTTGTTGCATGGGAAGTCTACACCTCCAAGGAGTATCTGTACGACGTACACGCCAAGAGCGACGCTGTTCAGGCGAATGTCAAGAACACGGGACATCTACGTGAGGGTCTGAAGCACACCTTCCTGAAGAAGGTCGGGGGTTTCTTCAAGAAGTAACTAGACTTCATAGAGTTCAATACATGGAAAATGAATGAGACACTGGGCATCTGGGGCGTATCATTGCTATCGTGAATATTGACGTAGAGATCTCACATACAATAGTCCCTCAGCAACCACTCATCCTCCCTTAGGGCTAAAGGTCATTGCAATCCTCCTGGCACGACTCTCTGCTTACACCTGACATGACTTTCCGATCAACCCATGAGCTTTCTGCAGTGGTGTGTCTGCTCCTGGTCTCCGCTTCCACTCCTGGCCCGTCTGGCCAAGCAACAGCACCAGAACACCATCGTGATGTACAGACTAGCATGACACGACAGCGAGCCAAGGAACGACATCGGATCCCGAGGAGGACCCGGAGGGGCAGAGCCGCTATCGATAAGATTGACGATGGGAATTCGTGTGGGGTGCTGCACCCTGAGACACAGACGATGAATCATTAGCGCGTGGCGGCCACCCCCCTTCACTCTGCCATCGCGGCCATCCCATTAGTCTCTCGCGGGGCAGGCGGCTTGATTTGCCCCTCATCGTGGGGAGAATGGACAGCCTGCGGTGGTGTGTGAGGGCTACGCTGACCCGTCGCGCAATGCCGTCGTGCTGGGCAGCAGTCTGGACCAATGGCTATTGGACTGGCGATACGGGATGGTGGGCTGTCAGTAGGTCAGTAGAGGGTCCCAAGTCTGCGTTGGGCTTAGACAGATGGAAGTCCATCTCCGACGCTGACGAGGACACTTGTATATCATGTTTAAATATCCTCCTTTTTCTTTTCCCATCCTTTGAGTTTGTGATCCAGATCTTCTGTCCTCGTCTCATCCCATCCTCTTCCTCCTCTCTGGAAAGGTCTTGTGTTTCGTCTCGAGCCATCCTTTCTTCATCTCCCACACCATACATCACACACACATCTCCATCATGGGTTCCATTGGCGAGACGGTTACCAGCGTGCTTGGTGGCCACAAGCGACCCATCCGTGTCGCCGGGTGCTCCGGTGGTGAGTAGTACTCTTGAAATTGCATGCAGTAATGTTATCACACAGAAAATAAAGGCTAATGTGCATATCCCCACAGGTGTCTACGACCGCAAGCGTGCTATCCACGATGTGGCCAAGAACGAGGATGTCGATGTCATTACCGGCGACTGGATGTCCGAGTGCAACATGACTCTGCGCGGCTCCGACAAGCGGGACCGCCTGGCCAACAAGGCCATGTCCTCCGGCTCTACCGTCGTTGCCAAGGGATACGAGCCTTACTTCCTCGACGAGCTCGACCCTGCCATCCCCTGGCTCGCCAAGAAGGGCACCAAGATTGCCGTCAACGCCGGCGCTTCCGACGTGCACGGCCTGGCTGATGCCGTCAGGGAGCTCATCAAGAAGCACGGCGTCGACCTCAAGGTCGGTGTCGTTGACGGCGACGATGTCACCGACGTCGTTCTCGACCTCTACAAGAAGGGCGAGCCCTTCCTGAACCTGCCCGCCAACAAGGCCATCCAGGACTGGGGCTACGACCCCATCTGCGCCCAGTGCTACCTCGGTGGCACGGGTATCGCTACCTGCTTCGAGAACGGCGCCGACATTGTTCTGTGCGGCCGTGTCGCTGACGCGTCCGTCACCGTCGGCGCCGCCATGTGGTGGCACGGCTGGAGCCGTGACGACCTCAACCCCCTGGCCGGCGCCCTGATGATCGGACACGTCATCGAGTGCTCCAACTATGCCACCGGTGGTTACTACTCCGGCTTCAAGGACCTTGTCCCTAACGACACCGACATGGGCTACCCCATCGCCTCCATCGACCACAAGGGTGAGGGTGTCATCACCATGGAGAAGGGCCGTCACGGCCTGGTCAACACGGCCACCGTTGCCAGCCAGCTTCTGTACGAGATCCAGGGTCCCCTGTACTACAACTCTGATGTCACTGCCTCGATTGAGGACATGGTCATCAAGGAGATTGGCCCCAACCAAGTCTCCATCTCTGGTGCTAAGGGTCTGCCCGCGCCTGCTACGACCAAAGGTACGTCGATTCATCGCAGCGAACAGATATAGAACAAAAGAGATTGCTAACGCTTTGAAATAGTCGGTATCACTGCCAAGGGCGGCTGGCAAGCCGAGTTCCACTTCTACCTGACCGGTCTCGACATCGAGGAGAAGGCGGCCATGGTCGAGCGCCAGACCAAGGCGCTCATGGGCGAGCACCTGACGCGCTTCTCGTGCCTGCGCTTCCAGGTCGCCGGCGCCGTCCCCTCGGACCCCCAGTCCCAGGAGGAGGCCACGGTGGACATGCGCATCTTTGCGCAGTCCCGCGACCCGGAGATCCTGTCGGGCAACAACTTTGTCGACTCGGACCGCGGCTCCTTTGCCCGCTTCTGCATCGAGAACCTGCTGCAGGGCTACCCGGGAAGCACCATGGCCCCGGACATGCGCACCGCCATCGGCCGCCCCTTCTTCGAGTACTGGGTCTCGCTGCTGCCGCAGGAGCACGTCAAGGAGACGGCCCACCTGCCCGACGGCCGCGTGGTCGACATCCCCACGCCTCCCGTGCGCAAGACGTACGAGCGCGAGCAGCCCAGCTACGACACCAGCAGCCCCGTCGACCTGTCGCAGTACGGCCCCACGACGCGCGCGCCCCTGGGCTACGTCGTCATGGGCCGCTCCGGGGACAAGAGCTCCAACGCCAACCTGGGCCTCTTTGTGCGCCACGACGACGAGTGGGACTGGCTGCGCACGCTGCTCAGCACGCAGAAGCTGCGCGAGCTGCTCGGCAAGGACGACAAGGGCAAGCAGATCGACCGCTGCGAGTTCCCCAACATCCGCGCCGTGCACTTCCTGCTCAAGGACCACCTCGACCGCGGCTTCAACTCGACCTCGAGCTTCGACTCGCTCGGCAAGAACCTGTGCGAGTACATCCGCTCCAAGCACGTCGACATCCCCAACAAGTTCCTGGAGCGCGGCCGCATCTAAGCAGGCGGTGGTGGGGTGCGGATGGGGGAGGAAAGATGAAACAGTGGATGAAATGAAATGATCGTGATCCAAGAGGGCAGCTTGCTCGTCGGACACGAATGAAGCACTTGCATGGCATTTAATGGAGTTTGTATCGGTTTCTTCTCTTTAGGTAGTCTCCAAACAGATTGGATTGTTGTTCAATAAAACACGTACAACTGTCAAAACAAAGGAATCTCGGTGGGAGGACGCGATCGCATCTGCTCCGCCAGTCAATCACCCCCCGGTGTGGGTTGTCGTTCGGTGCGCCCGGCCGGATGCGCCGCCGTTGCCGCCCGTTCATTTCCGTTGACTGGTACTGGTACTGGTACTAGGAGGCGGTGAACCGATGGCGACCCCAGATGCGGTCTAAATCGTCTCATCACCACTGGCGAACATCATCAATCAAGGCTGGAGAAAGCGTGGTATGAGAGAGAGCGTGTGTGCGCCACGTCGGCGATTACCGCTGTGACCATTCCGAAACCCCCGCCCCTAGCCATCCGATTCGAAGCGTCAATGCCCATTCATTTTCAGGGTGTCACGCGACGCCACGAAAATCCCCCTTTCTTTCTCTCTTTCCCTTTCATCATCCAGCGTTTGTCAGCCAGGTGTCTCGATGTATCGTGCGGGAAAAGGCATTGCTCATCCTGATCTCTGACGCATATGCCAAACCATTGCCCGAAAAGGAATCTCCGCCTGCAACCTAGAGTGGTCCCGCTGTGCCGCCGCCGCCGCCCGCGTCAATCGCCCGACGAGTCAGGCACCTAGGAAAGCCCGGAAGCTCTTGGCATCTTATCACCGCACATTGAACTTGGCGGGTCTGCAACCTCCCTCCTCAACTCTATAAAGGGACGGCCGCCCGGCTGTCAATGGCAACAGCATAAAGCGGCGTCTTGCAAGCTCATCCCGCTCTTCATCACGTATTCTGGGACAAAAGAAACCGACCATGGCGGCGTCGATCGGCCACGGCGGCGCGTGGGCCAGTCACTTTGAAGGACGCGACCGGCGCGCCACCTCGCTGCCCGATATCGACTCCAAGCTCGGCCGCAAGCTCTCCGACACGCCCGCGCAGCTCTCCCGCGGCGTCGTCTTGTATATCCCGAGCCACCCGCCCGCCCTGCACCTACCGCTATACGATGTGGGCGCCGAGTACGCGCGTGCCATCCGCGGCGAGCCGGTCGGTGGAAGCAGGTACAAGATCAACCTGGCGTCCATGCAGAAGCCCTCCGGGGACGGCACCGGCATCGGCGAGGTCCGGTACCTCGTCGACTTTGAGCCCGGGTTAACCCTGGGCAGGGCGGCGGTGGAGCGCAGGCACATCGGAGTCGAGAGCGTTAGAGTGAACCTGTGAGTAGCATGACAGATCAGCAGCCAGCTTTGCAAACATTCGAAAATACGTGTGTGTACTAATGCAAGCAAAAAGGGCACTGCCGTCTGAGCCGGAGGATCCATTTACTGTCGAGAGGGAAACCACCGGGGTCAAGTGGACCATCGATAGCAGTTTTCCATTGCCTGACACTATCGCCGCTGGGATGGTCCATCGCGCACCATACTTCACTATATCGGCGCCGGCGGCCGAGCCACTGATCCCAATATCAGATAATGTGGTCCGTCGGCCAGCTCTGCAGTGGCAGATTCACCCGAGAGAGCACGGCAATCTGCGATACACCCTCGTCGACACTCGTCTGGCCCCGTCTCTTTCGGCGGTCGACGACGCGAATGACGCCGTGTACGCGATATACCACCACATAGGCCTCGGTGCCTCCTTGGCCCTCAATCACAGCGAAGGCGTCCTGCTGCTTCGGGAAGGCCTGAGCATGGAGGATGAGGCTGTCATCGTGGCGTCGCTTCTCGGTCTGCTGTGGCAGGTGCGAGGAATGCGTTTTCAGTACAAGAAGCTGAGGGCATTCATGGAAGAGGCTCGCAAAAAGGAAGACAAGAAGAAGGATGTGAAGAAGGACAAGAAGCAGCCGTTCCTGGGGAAGCTGTTTGGTAAAAGGGGGTCTGTTTGAGTGATCAGCCTGTCGGATTTTCTTACATATGATACCCTTTGCAATATGTTTCCAGTTTATTTCACTACTAAAGTTCCACTTTAATATATGTGCGATGGCAGAATGATATGTCTTCGGATGTTGAGGGTGCTTGGGACTTGCTAGATCTAAGACAGAAGTAGCATGACTCCTCTCCGGCTTTACAGAACTGAGCCCCTCTCCAGCATTCTCCTATCCAAACCGGCAAATCAGGGTACATCTTGTCAATGTCCATAATGAATGCTCCCGCCCAGCCATAGAATACAAACAAGTAAGCGTCTGCAGCGGTGAAAGATTGTCCCACTGCGAAGGGTGTCCAAGCGAAGGCAAATCTATTCTCTATCACCCGAAGTTCTGTTTAAGAGTCTTGAGCACCTTGAATCGGACGGCAGTGCGGAGATCCTGGTATTCATCAACCCTTTCCGGCCTGTCGAGCTCGCCAAATGCCTGATTATGCACCACTCCTCCGAGGTAGTTGAGCCACTCGTACACGCGGACATAACTCCAAGTCGTCTTGTCGAGGAATTTTCCATCAGGTGCGAGGCATGAACGTTCCGTCACGTTCGCTGGAGCCTCGGTGATGGTGTCTTCGCTTAGCTTTAGGATTGGGATTCGGCTTTTTGGGTAGAGGGCCTTGAACTCATCTGAGAAGCGCTCGCCTTTAGCTATACCGACGGCGGTAAGAGCGAGCCGGAATTCGAATCCTGCCTCGATAAGCAAAATATGCGGCACGATTGAACATGCCTAGAACGAGTACTAAAGCATCAATATAGGAGGTCTTGGAGCCATTTTGCCGAAATAGGGAGCTTAACTGCCCATATATGAAGAAGAGGCGATGAATGCAATATGCACGTTTTGAGTGAGGCTGAGATACTTTCGTCACATACAGTCGAACCTCAAGCAGGCCGTGGAAATGAGTCAAGAGCAGAGCGCATGCCGGCGGATGCCTCAGCTAGGCAGATCTCATGCCAATTTCGATACCACTATGTCTGCATACAGCTAGTTTGTTCAACTTGCTTGTGATCGAATGTCGACATTCCACACCACATATGTAATACAATATCTTCATTATCGTGGGTTGTCTGCCTACACCTCCCGTTCCTTAAGGAAGTGGAGGCGAAGCTCTAGGGTCTCTGAATTATCAACGGATTGAAGTAGTCTTTTGGCAAAGCTATTTCGAACTCGTGGAACAACAGAATAAGTGTCCGTTGCTCGCGACTCTTAGCCAATGAAAGCACCGTGGTGTCGACAGAGTTACGGCATATACCTGTCTATGCTGCTGTGTTGACTGTATTACCAATGAGGCAGGATTGAATCCTGGACCCAGCGTCGATACAATATCATTGGTGATCGTTGGGTATTTAGAGCGAATCGAGAGGTTTATATTGGGATATTTCGACCTCGTGCTCGAGCAGCTGCCGAATGAACATCGCCTACCCTCTAGCTGCCCAACTCAGCCAACCGACCTCCCACAACCAAAGCATCATGGCGGCTCTTGAACAATCTCCAAATTATATCCTACCCGCTCAAGACCCGAATAAAGCTTAGTTGACAACCAAGACTTCAACAGCCAACGAGAACACCAGTACCAGCTACCGAGTTCCGTATGATGATGAAATTCCCGGAAACGTCCACAAGGGATCGCAAGGAAAGCATGGCGCACTGTCCTTCATCCGTTTTGACTCCCTAGATATCTTGTCCCCTTGTGAAACGAAGGCTGGGAGTAGATGTGATGTGTGACTTGAATGTTGGCGCGACAAAGACATTCTCTCTCGCGACCTCAACAACTCTTATCAACCTCTCTGGAGAGCGATCGTCCTAACCTCTATAGTAACAGTATCGCTCCATGATGAGCTCGAATGAAATTCAGACGTGGATCAATCGGAATTCAGAGGCATGAGGGAAATTCAGCATTAAGATGTAATCTACCTAGAGCGTATACGATATCGAGTGTAAAGCCGTCGTGTTGCCAGTCCTTATTGTCAAATATCCAGCAGATTTGCTGGATGGTCCAGACTAGACGGAAAAAGTGCCTTACGCCGGAAGCCTTTGTCCGCGATGGCATGTCGCTGTTGGTGAACCGAATTCTGTGTGTTCTGTCAACGTGTGGAGCTGTCAAACTTGATCCAGCTTGCTATCCGCGCTCTCCGTTCAATCATATTTAATCCGGGTCCGTCGCCAGCGGAAGATCCTTATAAGCTTTCCATGCCATGCCTCGGCAGCGCAGTTGCAGGGAGCGGAGCACGGTGTCTTGCAAAGCTCCGTTCGCCGCCGGATGCCTCGGCGCTCTTTTATTCCCACTTGTCTGATGACGGCGCGCGCTAACGAGTCTAACAACAATCAGATCCAGGAATACCTTTGCCTGAGACCAGAGGTGACGGGCCCACAATCCGCGGACTTCAAGTGGCTCTAAAATATGGGCTGCTGTCAATGTTTTGAGACAGCTCTTCATGACATATGATCGTTTCTTGGACCGAGTCCTACGTCACTGCCATGTCATTACTGGCATGCATGCCATTGGGTAGGTACTTAGCTCAAGAGATTGATATCACATGCATGATACAAACACATGACCGGACTCCAGAAAGAGGTCAATGAGATGCGAGACCACGGGAGCAGAAGCAGAACGGACATGCTGGAAAGATTTGATTTGGGATCCGCCCAATTTGCATTTCCGTAGGTGAAATCTGTCTTGGTGCTCCGTTCGAGACACTCGCAAGACAAATTCAAGGGGATTCAACAGACGGACTGTGGCATATCCCGGCCGCTGACGGGTGGGTGCCCTGCAGCTTTCTGATCTGATTCAAGGTTGAATCGATAACCTTTTTGGGGGGTTCTGTGGCGGCCGCACGCTACGGCCGGCTAGCTCCAGTGGCTTGCCGGCCGCCACATGTGCCGAAGCGGTCGTTCCACACGCCTCCAGCTGGGAGGATGGTGGGTGATGCTCCATTTGCCTTCGATCTGCCACGCTCGAAAAAGATCTTTCCGGTACTGTCTGGACAAGTAGAGACTGATTCACAGCCGACAGAAACGCTGCTGGACAGATCAGCGAGTGCCCGACTGAGACAGCAATGCCGGGGTGTTGACCTCCAAGATATGCCCTGAACAGGGCATTTGAGGCGCCCTACATGATTGGGCCTCTTTTTGCGGGTTGGCGTTCAGACAGAAAGAAAGGGTCGCGTGCTTGCTGCCGACATTTCCGGGAGTGGGAACCTCAAGCTTTGACCGGCCTGCCAAGATTCACAGGATATAACTACTTGTACTTGTATGCGTGCCCAGATGCCCGACTGGGCAAATGGTCGACTTGTCGCATATGCAGCTGGGGCGGTCATCCATGGATGAAAGGCCTGTTTTTGATGGCTGTCCCCACCGCAAGCCACCCGTCGTCCACTCCCGCCCAACCTTAGACATCAGACACTTGGTCTCGTGCTCCGGTGCAACTGATCTTGTCGTTGGTGCGCGCTCGCGTGCCAATTGCAGAGGCCAGCCTCATCGGCCATTCATCAGAGGGCTTGGCTTGGGAAACGGGGGTGCATAACGGTACATGTCGGGTACGCTCGAGACCCGTCCATGGATTTGTGCATGTTCGTCCCTGTCGTTTCTTGGCCTTGCTGGCCCCTACTCTGTGCCGCAATCATTTTGCCGTTTGGCAAAGCTGCCGTTATCCTTTTCTAGACATATGGTGCGTCGTCATCCTTTTGTCGGTAGTGCTGCTGCTAAGTACGGTAGGGCAGGGGCCGTTCGGGCCAACCTCCTCGGCTTCCTTGGCCTTGCAACGTCCAAGCAATATGGCAGCCGACCTACCCGTCCGCCGCTGCTTGGCCTGACGGGGGCCCGCGTCGCCCTTGATGCATTGGTCTGAGCATGCCTGGCTTGTAGTACTCTCTCAGAGCTCCGTACGTGCTCTCGGTGTCGGGCTGGTCATCTTCTGCGCTGTATTTCATCTTGGTGCCTCTCGAGTAATCGGCCGCATGTGCCATCCTTCGTTTAGTCGGGGTCGCTGGTCCAGAAGAGCCCGTCGCCGACTGTCCGTCCCCACCACCGGCTCCAGTTGGGATGGTCCACGTCGGTCGGGGTGGTGGGCAGGCTGGCGAAGAGTACATTACCAGTAATTCATATTTCACACCATGCCCATCTTTCTGCGTTCCCGTACGACTCCTTAAGGGCTTGGCATCACCACCCTTACCCACTCATTTTGTGTCGGCCAAGTGCGTCGCTGCCAGTCCTCGCATTGACGGATGCATGCTGATGGGAGGGCCTTGTGCCCCGGGTGCTCAAGATGAAGCTGCCCAGAGAACATGGATTCGCCTTTGCTTGCTGATTCCCTATTTCCGATCGATCCGCATCTCTGGGTGGCCAGGTCCGTTTGCTCCGCAGGTAGTCCTGCCTCTCCATATCTAGTCGCCTTTCAGCAGACAACGTCCGAACTGTTTCCGGGCCTCCCATCTCGTGATTCTGCCTTTGTTAAATGTACTTCGCAAGCCGTCTTGTTCCTAGCTGGTGGCGAATCTGGCCAGGAACAATAAGCTTCTCTCCCAAGCAGCGGCCTCCTTCTGGGTTTTGTTCTTTGCTGTCTTTGCTGAATCGCTGAGATTGAGACACGCTCCCTCCGATTGACTGAATTCCACCTCCTCCCTCGAAGTAGTAGTGAGAACGATTTCGATAGGGAAGTGACGAAGCAGGTCGACTTGCCACCCGTCATCTGTGCCTGCCTAGCAGCTCATTTATATGCCACTTTGAGCTTAATCCAACGTCGCCAATATCGCACACCGTCACCCACGGTAGTCGCTACCAACACCCCCAAAAGCAAATCTGAAAGCTTGGACGAACCGTGCCCTCCTCTTGTGGATATCTGACCAGAATGGGCATCGGCGCCGTCGCAGAACCGCTGGTGGTTGTCACCTTGCTGTTCGGCGGCACCTGGTTCAACCGCAATTCATTCCAAGAGAGCGTCAAGACCGGCGACACCAGCCTGCTCGGTCGCTGGCGCAGTCCCAGTCCGAGCCATAATATCGATGCATCGCACAAGCGCTCAGATAGCCAGAGCCCCTCGGACTCGGGCGCGTCGACTCCTTCCGGGGATCTGCTCATGTCCATGGGCGCGTGGAGCAGCTCAGGGTCGGCGCTGCTATCTGGGGCCGATGGCGAGCCCAACCGCCGGTTGCGCATGCTCAGGTTCCTCGGTTTCAGGCGGCTCATGTCAACACCCAACACGCGGGTGTTTAGGGACCGAATGCTGAGTAGACTTCTGAGGAGGTTCCCCTTTCTGGTGGAGGCGTGGTACTGGGCGTTGCTGTACTGGGTAAGCAAGCCATCAACGGTCCGGGGCATCTGGGTGCCAGAGTTAACGCGTGTTCGATCATGCAGGTTTACCAGCTCGGTCGCGCTTTCACCGCTCTCACCCTCGTCGAGAGCACCGTCGATGTCGCTCGCAAACATGCGCTTCAGCTCATCCATGTCGAGCAGAGACTGAATATTTTTATCGAACTCCCCGTCCAGCAGTGGTTTCTCGGACACCCCACTGCCCTCCGCTGGATCAACCGGACGTATTCATACATCCACATCCCCGGCAGTATCCTGTTCCTCGTCGTCCTCTATTACTTGACCACAACTCGTCGACGCAAAGCCCTCGCCGCCAAGGTGAATGACGCCGGCGATTTAGAAGGCAGCATTGGTGCGAAATGGGAGTCGGCAGCTGGTCCGGCGTTGTACGAGGCCCGCAGGCGGACGATGGCCTTGTGCAATCTCATTGCTTTCGTCATCTTCACGTTTTGGCCATGTATGCCACCTCGTCTGCTGAGTGATCCCGAGTACCAAGGCGAGAATGCCGAAGAGGCCAAGAGCTACGGCTTCGTAGACACTGTGCACAGCGGTGCCGGTGAGAGCAGCGTGTGGACCACGAACCGGTTCTGTAACCAGTATGGTGAGTTGACTGCCCTCCTCTCCTTCATATCGGGCGCTGTGCACCTTGACACTGACTCAACTTTGATAGCTGCTATGCCCTCTCTGCACTTCGGCTATTCCCTCCTCATCGGCCTGACCATTGCCACCTTGCCTCTGCGTCCCGGCTCCGCCGCTTGGCGCCGCTTTGCTCTCGCTGTTGGCGGCATGTCATATCCTGCCCTGATCCTGACGGCCATCGTGGCGACAGCGAACCACTTCGTGCTCGATGCCGTTGCTGGTGCGATCGTCTGCGGTATCGCCTGGAATCTGAACGGCGTGCTGCTGAACCTGCTCGTGCTGGAAGACTACTTCCTCTGGGTAGTGCGGATCCACAAGCCCGTCCACTGGACGGATCCCGAAACGGCAGTCTATATCGACCGTGAGAATAACAGGGATTACGTCTGAGATCATAGCTTTGGAGTTATGCGCGGGGTAAAGAAGCGAAGTGACCTGATATGAATGGTGCTTCAAAGAGAGCGATAACAATAAACAGAACCCTTTGCAGAGAACAATGCTCTCGTACTGAAAGGAAGAACCAAGGAAAGGTCAAAGAACCGCAAGATTGAAGGAAACAGGGAATTCTTTCAATATACCCAAGGAGCGAACGAAACCAGGCTTACCATTCTTGTTCTACTTGCTCTCTCACTTCCAGAGGAAATCAGTTGAGCAGATATGCATGTATTTAATAGTAGAACTCCAAGATATTCTATCTTCATTTCAGGGCTTGCTCCTCGTTCCTCGGCCATAAGTAAACGACGGACGTTGTGCTGACTGACGCCGCATTAACCTGTTTCAAGCAAGGCGCCACGATTTGCGGCCCACACAACCCAGGCTGACATGGGTTCGGACCCGGTTGCTGTTGCCGCGGATCTCCGTATACGCTTCGGCGAATGAGCATCTCCAGGTCGTACATAATCCGAGTTCACCTCGTCGTATTGCACAAGAAAGAACAAAGTCACCAGCCTAGACAGTCTCATTGGAAACAAGACTGCCTGCCGCTTTTTGACCGTTTGTTTGTCACCTTTTCAATTCATACTGACCAGCCACGCGTCACCGTGTGTGGAGTCGGCTTTCTCTAGGTGCTGACAGGCAGCAGGATTACCAGGATCAGCTCCACGCACGCGCCGCCTACCGGCGTCGTGCCGGTCTCTTGAAAAGGCCGATTATGTCTGTTTTTAGGACTTTTGTCACCGGTACATTCGAGATGCATGAAAAAGGCCGTGTCCGCTTCTTCACACCATGATGAGGCGGTTTTGGTGAGGTGTGAGGGGGGAAAAGGTAATTGCTTGCTTCTTTCGCCTTAACTCTCTCGTTGTGAGCACGTAGAGATGACGGGATATCGAGTCTACCCAGGCAGCAAAATTCGACTATATACGTCTAAAGAAGTGCACCCTCCTCGAAGAGATACGATGAACTCTTCTTGCTAAGCTCGTGGTCCTCTGTCACGAAAGACGGCGTGTCATTGCGACCGCTTCGATTTTCACTTGAGGTCTTGACCAATACTACCTCAGAATGAGTCGTCGGTAACTTTCTGATTGGGGAGTTATTGACGTTTGATGAATGTGAATGACTGGAGAACATAGCAGATAGAGGTAGTATATTCAATATCATTGAGAGGTCAGATATTCACTCAGCTGCTTGTTCCATTGTCGCTAGGTCTATCGAGCAGTGTTTCGGGTCACTCTACTTATTCACTCGACTTGAGTCAAGTCTATCCTCGTCTCGGATGTCCTATCAGCTACATATTTCAGACTCGCAGCCTCCTTTTCAGTTTACCTCCAACGCCTCAACCAGGTTTGCTTCTCCCCGTCCACCTTGTCATCAATCTCCCCAACGCATTTCCTCAGCCCGCACAAGCCCAATTTCCGCCTCCTGCAGACGATAGTCCAGGACTCATTTTCATCTGAGAATCAGCTCGCCAAGTGCACCTCTGCTCCATCACGATCAACTACCTTCCGAGAACGAGGTTCGCAAGACAAATCTCATCCACCACGGACATCATCACGTTGCCAGCATGCCTGTAGAGCAGCAGTAAGTTGCCCTATACCCATACAACATCCGACTTCGACTTCTTGCACTTGCACAGCTCTAACCACTCTTGCTTTCGCCTATAGACTCACCGAAATCGAGCTCATCATGGACATTGTCCGTGGTATCGAGACACAGAAAGAAACTCTTGACCAGCTCAAGCAAGCCATCCCGGCGTCCATGTTCGTCGGAGAGGTCGCTCTGCTCGAGGACGCCGCAACCAAGGTTCTTTATAATGTCATCGACCGTCACCTCTCTGGCGTACGCCTCCTCACCGTCATCCAACTGACCGAGGTTCTCGACGCTATGAACTACGCGACGGCCAGGGTTTCACAGATCACGGCCATGCATCTCCAATTCGCGCGCAACAGCCAGCGGTCCATTGAGAAGAAGGAAGAGGCCCTGGAGCGCCAGAAGCAGGCTGACTTTCCCGAGGACCCTGATAATGAGAAGGGAGAGGTCATAGGCAAGGGTGAACTGGGACCATAAATTTAGGTCATGGCCGCCGACACGGCCGTGATCGAGAGAGTGCAAGAGACTCGAGCGATCTGACTTGTGGCTGCGGAGGAGTCCTAAGAGATCCAATGCCCTGCGAAGATTCTTTGAGCACTCAATGTGGTCTGGACACTATACTGCCTTTTGCTACACAGGCGATTATTTTGAGACACTGGAAATCTCAATACTCACGACATTCTCAATGTCAAGACTACTAGATTAGAAAGACAGTTCTCTCTTCCAGTTCTATGCTAAATTCTAAGTTTCTATGCTATATGGTACTACCGTAACATCACCCTACTCGTCGTCACCAAGGAACACCTTGATCGGCATCCAGCCATCTTGGACCACTTTGAAGCGCAGTTTTATGGCATCTATCTCCTTCATTTCTGCCTCCGTTAAACTCCAACCATCCAGATCGAAGTTCGAGTCGATTCGCTTTGGCGTTACGCTCTTGGGAATGATGCTCGTGCCGCGTTGTAGCCCCCACATTAGCCTGGTGAGAGCAATTTCGTTAGTCTTGTTTTGCTGCTCTGGGAAGATTCCATAGATACAACATACGCAACTTGTTGAGGAGACTTTTTGTGCGCCTTGGCAATTTTGATGAGTGTAGCCTCCTCCATTAGTGGGCCTGAATTGTTGATCGCTGAGCCGATAGTGCCACCGAGACATGAGTAAGCGGTGCAGTGGATGCCCTTAGATTTGCAGAAGTCGAGCAGCTTGGGTCTATATCTTCTAGTTAGTAGGTGCGGATCCGTGGAGAGCTGCGTTGCAGGAGATCAATACTCACGATGGGTTGGCAGGATGCAGCTATTTTCATGTTAACAATTGACTGATGCAACAACTATCAATGAAAATCACCTCAATCTGATTGACCGCTGGCACAACCTTGCATGATGGGTCGTTCAGAAGCTTCTCGAGATGGCTGATCTGGAAGTTGGATACGCCGATATTCTTGACCTTGCCAGTGTCGAGGAGTTTCTGCATCTCTTGCCTATGTACCGATATTAACTCTCCAACTTTCTAACGGGGAGAACGGCTGTTCCTACTCACCAAGTCTTGATATAGTCCCAATCTGGCAAGTGCTTGCTGGCATCGTTGGGGTCGGTTGAGCAGGGGAAATGGACGAGATACAAGTCTAGATAGTCGATATCCAAGTCGCTCAAGGACTTCTCGAAGCCCTCCATGACACGGCGGTGCCACGTGTTGTCGAGCTTCGTCGTCACCCAAATCTGGTCGCGAGGCACGCCCGACTCTCGAATACCTTGACCAACCTCCTTTTCGGTGCCGTAGTTGAGCGCGGTATCAATGTGCCTGTAACCATGCTGCAGTGCGTACTTGACTGCATCCTTGACCTCGTTGGGCTTGCCCTGCCATGTGCCCAGGCCAACGGCTGGTATGGAAGCACCGCTGTTCAGCTTGAAAGTGAGTTTGGTGTTTTGGGTCATTGTCGATAAGGTTGATAGATATCTGCGGGTGGGAAGACGTCCTAGCAGGCTGGACATTGGTGGTATTACACAAAAGGGAAGATAAGACTCTTGGGACAAGTCACAGCATCTAAGCCTTGGTTCGAGATGCTACTTATCACATACTCAGCTACCCCACAGACGGGGACAAGTTTGTTTGATTTCGGGCAAAATATTCCCCAATCGGTCAACTAGATGTACACGCACGCGTCTCAGCGTGTCTGTGATCTTGTCACCTGCAATGGGGGCCGAGATCCCGATCTCCAAATGCAAGATGCAGTCCTTCTAGGGCCCAGAGCTGGCACCTCCGTGAGAGGGTTGGGGCAAGACTGTCATATTCACTGGTGCCAATGAGATCGGCCAACTATCTGCTTTGCCTTGTGCAGTTGTTTTGTGAGGCGCTTCATCGCTTGATCTGGTACAATGCACTACGTATAATATCTGAAACATTGTCGTTGGACTCCTCGCTTTCAAACGGGCTAACACCACAGTGCTGGGCCGCAGGCTAGTAGGCCGATCCTTGGCCGTTTGCGTCAGGGCGGAGTCGGCGAACTCTCCTTTTGCTGAACCGAAAGCACGACAGGGTATCACAAGCGAAGCAAGATCGGCTAAAAGTCGAAGGCGAGTCAACTGTGTTCAAGGGTGGTTTATCTGTGGAGTTTCGTGATCCACCTTGACAGAGAAGTTAGCTGTTTATCCCCACCAGTTATCTGCGGAGTCGATCGGTCAAGAGCCTTCGAGTGATCGGTTAACCGCCCATTGCATGAACATCTCACTCCAAATGGGGTATGGCACCTCTTGGTAGCGCCCGGGGGCGGCGGCTAGTGTGCCCGGTTCCTTGGATAAGGCCTTCCCCAGATTACGGTACTTTCCACGCCCGAGTCTGAGGGGAGGCAACTCATGTCTCGAACAATTAACCTCCTCAAGAGTACACGGGATTCACATAAGACATGCAGAGCGGCCAGTCCTCCTTCGTCGCTGATTGTCTATGCTGAGCTCTTGAATCCATCATTGCTTCCAACCCCTTCTCGTTGACTCGGGACGCTGCGTGTTTGCAGAAATAGTAGAGATCATGGGTGTCAATTGGGCCCATTGGAAGAAGAAGCTTGAGTGGTGAGTCAACTGTTCCGTATGGATCCGCCGGACTCCACGTATGCTAACAGTTGGAGAACAGTCCTAAAGACGAGGATGCCTATTACGAGAACACGACCTGGTGCAACCGTGACCTGATTCCCATTCCGCCAGAGCGTCGAACATTTGGAGTCTGGTCGTACTTCGGTACGCAGTTCTCGATTTGATCGGTCGGACAAGCTTGGATTGGCTAATAACCCTTCGATAGGTTACTGGACGGTGTCCGGATCTTGTATCTCAGCATGGTCCACCGGTAGTACCTTACTTGCCTTCGGGCTCAGCCCTCAACAGGCTATTGGTGTTGTGGTAGGTCTAGAATTGAGCCATGCATCGGATGCCCACATGGGCGAACACGACAACTGACAGATTACCATCTAGATTCTGGGCGGTTTCCTGACTGGCCTTCTAGCCGTTGCTTGCGGTTGGATGGGCGAGGTTCACCATATTGGCTTCACTGTTGCCAGTCGCTTTTCTTGGGGCATGCGAGGATCCTATTGTGTGTTCCATCACCGGCTCTACGCATGCATTGACTCGAGCTAATTTTGTCCCCAAACAGTCCCTGTCATCCTTCGCATCTTTGTCTCCTGCATGTGGTTCGGTATGCAGGCATTCTGGGGTGGTCAGGCCACTCGCGTCATGTTCGGCGCCATCATCCCGGGCCTCGCGCACATGCCCAACTACTTCTCCGAAAGCTCACACCTGATGACCAACGACTTTATTGGTCTTGTCATCTGGATGTGTCTTTTCGTCCCGGGCGTTCTCATCCGGCCTGAAAAGTTGCAGATCCCCTTCGTCATCTGCTTCTTCTTCTTCGCCGGTACTTGCATTGGCTGTCTCGCCTGGTGAGGAGTCCAAGATGACAGTGCATGCTTAGCAAGCCACTAATAGCTAACGTGTGAACAGGAGTGTTTCTCAAGCTGGCGGGGCTGGTAAGATGTTCACAGAGCCTGGCTCGACTCCCAACGTCGGTTGGAGCTTTATGTTTGGCATCACGGCCATCCTCGGCGCTTGGGGCGCCGGTACTCTCGGACAGTCCGACTGGACTAGGTATGCCTCTCGCAGATTCGCCCCGACACTATCGCAGCTCGTTGCGGCTCCAATCACAATCGCCATTACGGCTATCATCGGCATCATTGTGACCAGCGCCGCCCGCGACGTCCTGGGTGGTGACGTTATTTGGAACCCTATCTATCTGCTTGCCGCCATCCAAGAGCACTACAGTTCGAGCTCGCGTGCGAGAGCCGGTGTGTTTTTTGCCAGCCTGGGATGTGTATCCTCTCAGTTCTCTGTAAGCCTCAACATCTTGCTTGAATAATGACGCATGCATGACTAACTACCCCGTCTCATAGATCTCTGTTGTCCTCAACTCAGTGTCCTGCGGTATGGACATGGCTGGTATCTGCCCAAAGTACATCAACATCCGGCGCGGTGGATATATCATGGCTGCTATTGGTATTGCTACACAGTAGGTTGAAACATGCAAAACTGCTTAGCAGTAGATAAAGATCGCTAATTACTTCCGCAGGCCCTGGCAACTCTTGAGCACGGCAACCAAGTTCTTGTCTGTGCTTAGTGGCTTCGGTGTCTTTATGGCTCCTGCGACGTAAGCACTCCCTTGGATCACTTTACCTGAACACGATTGCTGATGAAAAGCTCTAGTGGAGTGATGTTGGCAGACTACCATATCGTTCGCAAGGCTAAGCTCAAGGTCAACGAGCTGTACATCGGTGACAGCAGCTCCATCTACTGGTTCAGACAAGGCTTCAACTGGAGGGCCTTTGCCGCCTTCACAATCGGCATGTGGCCACTTCTACGTAAGTCAGGCTTGGTTTAACTCACTCGATAGGAATACTGCTAACAACAGACCACAGCTGGACTTGTCGGTACCGTCAATGCCTACGAAGGTCCTAGCTGGACTGGCTGGGTTCGACTCTACAACCTCACATTCCTCGTGGGTGTGGCCATGTCCTTCGTCTCGTTCTGGGCCCTGAGTTACTTCTTCCCTGTCTCTGGCCTAGGCCTCGAGGCACCGTTCGTGGAAGACGGTGTGATCCACGGCGCCACGGAGACGACGGAGAATGACTCACAGGCCGGAGAGAAGCAACCGCCTATGGAGGTCAGTGACAAGGTTTAATCTCTGGCCATCCGGCTTAGTTGGCTAAGACACGACACAGCCAGCTAGGAGACAGGCGCACGGTGTTTGAAAGGTACATTTTGAGGTGGCTTCAGATAGGAGGACTTTCAAGTTACTTGGGCTTTCAGTAGATAGAATACTAGACGCGCGAGTATCAAAATTGGGTCTTCAGACTGTGCTCGTCATCTCGTGTTCATTCTACATGAACTCTATTCCAGGTGACTACAAAGGGGCTACCACAATCGGAACGATTCTGCCGCAATATGACGACCTCAAGGCGAGTGCAATCAGGTCAGCGGCGTCGAGACTTGGGAAACATATCAGAAAGGGGCTCAGGAGGTGGCCAAATCCTAGACACCTCCATCCACCAACGCACAAGGAACATATAGCCAATTACACTTCCAGTACAAATGCGAAGACGAGCATCAATGAGAATAGATTTCCCTTTTCGCTGAATATCTAAATGTACAAAGAACTACCTAATAGGTAGCGTTGAGCCGCATAGAGATATACTCATGACTGTTGATTGGCTCGTACTTCTTGGGCCGGTCTGGGCCCCAGCAGCCGGGCAGGCAATCGATAGTCTTTTCCCTGTCCGCAGTCACAAAGTACGGGATCGAATAACGAGCACGGGTGATCTTTCCCTTACCCACACCACCCTGGTCATCGGTCAGGGGCGGCGCCCGCACCCTGTGCAGAGTGGACTTGAGCTCGTCATTGCTCCAGCGCTGCAGGAAATCACCAATGTTGACGACGATGGCTCCGGGTACGTACGGGGCCGGGTTGAACTTGCCCTTCTCATGGATGTCCTCGACCTCGAGGCCGCCGACCTGGTCCTGGAAGAGCATCGTCATGGTGCCAAAGTCGGTGTGGGCAGCGATGCGCTCCATCTTGCCACCGCGCAGCAGCTCCTCCTCCACGGGCGGGTAGTGCAGCAGGCGGACCTGGTTGTCGCCCTTTGTGTGGTACTCCCAGAAGAACTTCTCGTCGAGGCCCATGCCGATGGCGATGGCGCGCAGCAGCTGCAGCTCGAGCTGGTAGCCCGTCTCGTAGAACTTGTTGAAGAAGGCGCGAAAGCCGGGCAGGTCCTCCTCGGGCAGCCAGATGTTCTTCGTCTTCTCGTCCGTCTCGCGCCCGAGCTCAAAGGACTCCTTGAAGTCGGGCACCTTGCGCAGCTCGCCGATGCTCTGCTCGTCAAAGACCATCTGCACCACCTTTTCACGGCCGACGCCCGAGTATCCGCGGTGCCACCATCCGTACGGGGGGTGTGGTGCCTTGTCCTTTACGGCTTGGGGGAGGGCGAAGAATTTGGCGCTCTGGAGAAGGACGACGTCGTCAGTATTTATGTTCACGGTATGTTGAGATTGAAAAGGTAGAGATCCAGAGAGACATGCGACTCACCCATTGAAATGCCTCGTCGACTGTCTCTTGAGGAATGCCGTGGTTCTTGATGTAAGCAAACCCAACGTCCCTGAACGCCTCATAAACCTTCCTCCCCACCGCTGCGGCGTCCTCGGGATTCCCACTCCGCATCGGCGCAAAGTCGATAACGGGGATGGCAAGATCTTGCTCAGCAATACTGTCGGAGCCCATCTTTGCGGACCGTGTGATCTTTTGTATGCCTAAACTAGATCGCGTGTTGGACTCCCAATACTGCAGCTCGGGTGCGTAACTGAGGGGCTTGTATTTCAGGCCTGTCTTCGTTGTAAGTCAAAACGCGAGTCAACAATTCACTTCGACGCAACGGACGGCGAAGCCGGAATAGAAATATCACAGGCAGCGCCTCGACTAGCCGTCATTTCCTCTTCATCACAATCATCGTACCACACTGGGAGAGTTCATGGGATCGATCGCATCATCACCAAACGCGGGGAAGAAGATATTGGAGGGGACGCACTGGCTTTGGTTGACCGATCGGCCGATGGGGTGAAACTCGTAATGAGGGGACGGAATAGGTGAGATTGGTGCGGCCGCACTGCGTTGGGGTACCAATGGTTACGAACTGGGGCGGACAGCTGAAAGTAGCTACTTGCTTGCGATGCAAGTTCACCGACAAGTGGAGTACATGTTTCTCCTATCTTGATCGGCCAACTTGGTCCACATGCCCCCCTGTGAGGCCTGTGAGGGGATGACAGAAAAGACGGTCTCGCCTCGACGGGTTCAGGGCCAAACAGCTGTTATTCGAAACCCATTGCACCAGTCTCCAACTGTCCTGAACTCAAAAGGACTTCCACATGCGGGGAAGGGAACACTGCCGGCAGAACCCTTGCAGGGTTTGCGGGGGATGACCCATACGATGCAGGTGCTTATTCATGGATTCGACACTTCTGAGCAAATTATTACACGATGATATCCGCTGAGACCTGTAATCCTTGCATGGGGAATTACCCCAGCTTCCGTCCCTGGCCGAGCCGAGCATAACCTAGCCTCTGTCTGAGAACAAGACATATCACGCCCCGGCCCAAGCTGATTCTCCACTCTTTACTCGGCTGTCTGCGGGGAGACCGAGGCAGTCGAAGACCCTGTTCGCATGATCTGTGCCGCTTGTGAGAAGAAAGAGTCGATGCGCAGGGCGACGGGTCTCAGGAGGTGTATGGACACCTCGTCCGCCGCGGCACTAAGCCGCTGCAGTGAGTCGTGAAATCGTTCGAGCAGCTGAAAGGTGGCTTGGACTTGTTCCGGGTCTGGAGCCAGGAGGAAGAGATAGATCAAGAAGTTGCCGCACAGAATCAACTGTGACCGAGCCTCTGCACATGGTTAGAAATGTGATTAGCCTACTTGACCATGCAGCTTTGTCACATGGGTGTGGTGGGCCGAGTGTAAGCAACCCAGAGATGAGGAGACTTACGGTTCCCCCAAAAGGCATGTAGGCATTCCGGTGTGATATCTCCCATGAACATGGTAAATGGCGCAAAGGCCCTGATGGCCTCGTTGAAATGGCGTCGAAGACTCGAGTTTGGATCCCGCTTGGCCGCTTTTGTTACAGGACTCATGAGGGCCCGATAAAGCAGAGCCACGCCGGTGTAAAACGATAGATGGAGAGGTGCTTTGGCCTGTCAGCTTTAAGGGGAATATAGAAGGGTGGGTGTTTTTACATACCGTTGTTCAAGTGCGGCGAATTCAGAGTCGTCATCTCTAGAGTAACGCATCGTGGGAGTAGTGACTCCCAGTTATGTAGCTTTGTCTTGAAGCCAAGCAACGCCCCTTCCCTTGCCACCGGATCCTGCATCGTGTCTTGATACTTGACATCCGAACTATCTGATGTTAGATGATCACTCAATACTTTCTGGTTTATGCCGATGCTGGTATACATACTAGAAGTCTATGAGGAGTCTGTGCAGCATGAGGCTGAGAGTGGTGTATTCGTAAAAGCGAGCGCTCGTAGATATGTCTGGCCGCGTGCCCTCTTCATGAACCAGGTAGCTGAGCTCCGGCGGCACCTCCTCATCAAAGGCTATATCCTCCATTGTCAGGAGGGACGTCGTGAAGGAGTCAGTGTGTATGTGTGGTGGATTGCCGTGGCAAATAGAGGACCATACGTCAACGGCGAAAGCTGCCCACCAGAGCTTCCTGCGCATGGACTTCTCGTAGGGTGCAATGTTCCACACCATGGGGTCTCTATGCAGCCCAATCATCTGGGCGCAGGCCACCGCCTGCGCTGCCAGTGTCCAGACTCGTGGTGACTCGATCGTTGCATTTGCAGCCGGATTCTCGTGCATAAGCAGGAGACAGGCCTGCATCGTCCACAGGTCTGGCCCGTGCAACTCTCTTTGCAAACAGGCCAAGGCATCCTCGAAGAGCTCATGCTGATTGAACCCAAGAGTGTTCGTCATGCTCGGGTCGTGTTTCCAAAAGTTTGCGGCCAATCCATATACTGCACCACGCAGGGAAGCAGGGATCTTGGTCTTGTCCTCGGCATAGGCTCGAAGGAAGCGAGTTTTGGACAGTACGGGGTATACTGGATGCACGTGTTTGAAGTATAACCGCACCAGGTTATCACCGTGGCCGTCGACGGTGGCCTCCATGCGGTCAGAGGCTGCATCCTTGGCAATGATGTCAAGCGGAGCGAACTCGTCATGCAGGATGGTGAAGTGGACTGGAGGCTGGTTGGTGACAATGTCCCCGGCGCAGAGCTGTATGATGTCGGCGTCGACGCGGTTCACCTCGTTCATAACCACGGATCTGAAGGATGACAGGAGCTCGGGATCTTGCTCGCCTGATAGCCCCATCGAGTGAGCGGTGAGATTCGGTCCATCCTCGAGCGTGTGGACTGTAGTACGGCGCCTATGATTTCGGCCGCTGTTGGCAGGTAGTGCCGCAATGGCATTGTCCGGGCTGGCAATGGCAGGCGGAGTCTCTAGTGACTCGTCATTGTTGATAGTCCATGGCGGCGACAAGGTTGCGGCTGTCAGCTCGACAACGGGCCGGACGGGACTGAGGTTGGACAACACGGGAAGTTCGGCAGTCAGAGGAGGCGGGGCATGGATGGCAACCTCAATACCAATGTCTACATCCGGCTCAGCTTCCAGAGGGCTGGACTCCGTGGGCGACGAGTCGTCTTCTTGAGCTGCTTTCTTAGGTGGTCCTGGATCAGACGTTGCTTTGCACTCGAGACCTTTCCCACGACAGAAGCGACCTGGACGTTGGCATCCTGATGTCAGTACTTGTGGTCGGCCTCGAGGGCGGGAGTATTCTCACAAGGTGGCTTGGTATCAATAATACATGCCGTCTTACGCCTTCGGCAAGTGTCGCAAGGACGGCTCTTGCGGCTTCTCCACTGCCGCGCCCGACCAAACTCGGACTGGATCCGGAATCGCCGCCGCTTCGACGGGGGCTGCTCGATCGGGCTGGTATCCATTTCTTTTCTCGAGTCCGCGTTCAGCCTCGGTGGGTGTTTCAATTGCCGCCACGGGAACAGGAAGTTGATCGATCTGGGCTCAAGAACCAACCAGAGTGTGCCTATCTACACGCTTACCTACTGGGAATGGGAGGGGGTGAGATTGGCCGATAGGTTAAAAATCACCGCCCGGGCAGGTGAGACTGTCTGGGGAATTAAACAGGACCAAGACTTTGCCCGACCACCACCTTGCCTCACCCCAGTGGATATTTGCGGGGATCACACCCCAAAGCTCCCTGCTCTTAATCCGGGACTACTCCGTAAAAGGGAGCGGTTAGATGGGGCAGAGATAATGACTCCCCAAAACGAGGAATACTCCGCAGATAAGGGCCCCTACAAGTACATTGTTGGAGAAAAGGAGAGGGTCCCGTCGGCTTTATTGTCCTTGAACCGAGTACTACGTGCTTAGGGCCTGGCAAAATGATTATCCCTGGTCTCCTTGTATGCACCAGTGGCCGAGTCGCCTGTCTCATTCACACTCGACATCTCCTGTCCGGTCACTTCCTTTCCCAAGCCAATCGCTGCTTCGCGATCTCAAGTGCTTGAATAACTCGTCTGCAGAGTCGAAAGAGTGGCTGGTCTTCAAGGAGACATAGCCATCCAGGCGCAGGTAGTAGGCAGGGAACATTAAGCCATGACGCTCGTGCTGGTGCTCATGTCCTTTTCCTACGTCCTCCACCCTACAGCATAATTACCTAGTCTACATCAGGAATCGCACCAAGTTTTGGCTTTAACTCCAAGCAACCAAGTAAAGGCTGCTCAGAACTCCACAAGGCTGAGGCAGTCAGCTTGGTCTTGTCAGGTAAGATGCATGTAAGTCAAGTGACCAATCGCAGACACCTTCCCCAAGCTTAGCTTTGAGGCTCGTTGTTTTTAAAAACCCCTGGCACACCTCCCTGTCATGCCCGTTTTACTCCGTAGTCCTTACAAGAGCTAAGGAGCCCGTGTTCCTGAGCGTGAGCTTTCACACATCTTTGTGATGGGAGAACCACGTCGGCAGCAGCGGTATCCTCCTGATTGAAGCTTTGACAAGCGGAGGCCGGATGTTCGGCTCTGGCCTCGATCTGCTCACCGAGTCCATTATCAAATTGCGTGGCACAGCGAAGCATCCTCGCCAGCCGGGCACCCGAGGCAGGACTCGCAATCTACTCGACAGCTTCCCTCTGCGTCGTCACTCTTACGGTGCTGTGTGCTCGTCGCTGCGGGGTCAGACGGTGCGACCAGGGGTGCTGGAGCTGCAGTGCTACGCAAGATGGCCATTTTCCCATCCGCTCGGGCTTGGCATCCGCGAGACAGGGCCTGTCCCACTCGTCTGCAATATACTTTTGTTTACCGTGCCGCGCCTAGGAAACAAGTGAGCTGACTGCAGGTGTCCATCTACATACACGACTGTGCTGGCTGGCCAAGCCGAATCCCCGCCCCGTCCGTCAGCGAATGACGTTGACGGTGCTTGGACTCCCCAAAGGCATGAGAGCGATCCCATCCGCTCTATCGACCTGCCGAATCCGGTGCTCATTGCCAAGCTCAGGCAAACGCCGGAAGCAGGCTTGGCTTTGTTGATGCAATTGCTTTTGCAGTCCTCCTGCCGGCCGTCCGTCTGTGTCGCCGCAGGAGAGACTTGGTTTTTCGTGGACCCGGGGCCCCTGCTATCCCGTCAATCTGGCCTGCAATCAACGGACGCAATTGTGTGCCACTCGCACGCGTCCCGCATCCCATCACGACAGCATGCAAATCTCACCTGCTTATTTCAGCCATTGTATGCGTCTGCTACCATCCAAGCGGGGCGCAATGACGATCGCAGGCCCAGATAAATAAGCTCCTCCGCCCAGGTCGATATCGACACAGCTTCAGCACTGGCCTGCCTAATTCCTTCCGTCCAGCGTCAAACGCAGGTACAGCATTTCCGCTCAGTGTCAATCAATTGGGAATTCCAAACGTTGTACGCGTCATGAAGAGCCTCAACTTGCTGGCTGCAGCGGCAGCGTCGGCTCTACTGCCAGCTGTTGATGCCATCACCCCGAGGGAGATGCTCGCTGCGAATCGCTACTCGGTAGCGCTACCGGATCCGTCGGGAGTGAGTGGCGCTCTGATATCCATTTATCGTTGACATGTGGTCCTCTAGATGTTAACATTCGAGTAGGAATTCGCATTCTTCACGGCCACCAACTACTCGTGGGCCACGCACAAGACCTCTACTAGCTGGAAGCGCATCGAGCTCAAGACCAAGAAGGCCATCACCACTTGGCACACAGGTGGCGGCATCTCCGAGCTGGTCTTCATCCAGAATGACCCTCACAACATCCTGTACCTCAATAGCTCCAACGCCGAGGACAATGGCGGTGTGAGCTTGTACTACGGCCCGTCAAGCTCGCCCAAGAGCGCCAAGCTTGTTGCTTCTCTGCCCGCCCCGTACTCGGGCCTCAAGGCCTCGCGCACTGCTTCGGGTGACATTCATTTCCTCGTCTATACCAAGGCGTGGCCCAATGGCACGGCATACAACGAGCAGCTGTCCGCCACCCCTCTCTCCACTGCCCGGATTTACTCGTCCATTTACGTGCGCCACTGGGTATGTCTCTTATGCGACCCTGTCGCGCTACTCTTTTGCTCATGGGTTGTAGGACTACTACCTCGACGAGAAGAAAAATGCGGTGTTTGGCGGTGTACTCAAAGTCAGCAACGGCACCGCCGTTCTAAAGGGCAACCTGACCAACTACGTGACGGGGATTGGCAATATTACCAAGGCCGAGAGTCCTCTGGACCTTAATGATCAGGGCGACTATGACCTCTCTCCGGACGGGACCAAGGTTGTTTTCATCAGCAAGGATATCGACCTCCCGCTCGCCAATTACACAAGCAGCCAGCTCTGGTATGTGCCATTCGATGGCACGGCCAAGGATGCTGTTCGCATCAACCCCCGTGGTGGAACTAAGTACCCAGAGCAGCAGGGTGCTTCCTCCGCCCCCAAGTTCTCTCCGGACAGCAAGTCCGTGGGCTGGGTCCAGCAGAATGGTATCTCCTACGAGTCGGATCGCAACATCATCTACGTAGCCAAGGCTGAGAAGGGAAGCTTCGATGTCACTGCTCTCGCTACTAAATGGGACCGCGGTCCGGACCACCTCGAGTGGTCGCGTGACTCCAAGACCCTTTTCGCTTCGGCCACTGACTTGGGCCGTGGGCGCATCTTCCCTGTGCCGCTGGACTCAGAGGAGACTTTCCAGCCCAAGAACATCACTAACGAAGGCGTGGTCTCGAGTTATTTCGTGCTTCCAGGTGATAGAATTCTCATCTCCGACTCGAAGATCTGGTCTAGCCGAGACATCTACTCGGTAATCCCTGACGGCAAGGAGGTGATTTCGCATTTTCAAGCCAACACGGCCGATGAGGAGCTCGCCGGTCTCGGCCCTCAGGATGTGTCCGAATTCTATTACTCGACCAACACATCCGAGATCAAGCAGCAATCCTGGATTGTCTACCCTAAAGGGTTCGACAAGTCGAAGAAGTATCCACTCGCTTTTATCTCCCATGGCGGGCCCCAGGGTAATCACGCAAACAGCTGGAGTACTCGGTGGAACTTCAAGGTCTGGGCCGATCAAGGCTATGTTGTCATCGCTCCGAACCCGACTGCTTCCACGGGCTGGGGCCAGAACCTCACCGATTCCGTCCAGGGCCGCTGGGGTAGCTACCCTTACTGGGATCTCGTCCATGCCTGGCAATATGTGCGTGACAACCTTGACTATGTCGATACAGATAACGGCATTGAGGCTGGCGCCTCCTTTGGTGGTTACATGACAAACTGGTAAGTTACACAGGGCCGCTGTAAGTCGATGTGAAATCGTGCTGATAGGTTTTGCGATGCAGGATGCAAGGTCATGAGATGGGCCGCTGGTTCAAGGCCCTCGTCACCCACGATGGCAGCACCTCGACCCTCAACCAATTCGCCAGTGAGGAGCTGTGGTTCATGGACCACGACTTCAACGGCACCTTCACGCCCAAGGCTTTCCAGCCGGGCTCTCCCTACTACGACTGGAACCCGATGCTGTACATTGACAACTTTGCCACGCCGCACTTTGTCATTCACAACGACAAGGACTACCGCCTACCCGTCGCCGAGGGCATCCTGCTCTTCAACGTGCTGCAGACCAAGGGCGTACCCAGCAAGTTCCTGAACTTTCCCGACGAGAACCACTTGGTGCTGAACCGCGAGAACAGCCTCGTGTGGCACACGGAGATCTTCAAGTGGATCAATTACTACAGCGGCATCAGCAATGCCACGAGCCCTTACTAAGGACTTCTTGGCTTTTGTTGACAGCCGACAAATAATGAACCGTTCATAATCTAAATAGTAATTGTCAATGACTCCACAATACTACCATGCATCCCAGTTGCTTCTCTAGATAGGCTACTTGATGGGGTGGCCTCACCCATGTCTATCAACCTACCCTCACTGCTCATCCTTGCAATTAAAGTATACAGAATCAATGTCGAATGACTACCCAATACTAAAGACCTACAAGCCAAAGAACAACGCCTTTGATGTTAGGTATTGAGGAATTCGTGAGTCTGGGGAGCTGCACTGCCATGGAGGTTCGGAAACACGATACTTGTAGTGAACGACCCAGCCTCTCACGATGGAACAAACTTTTTGTCATCCAGATCACTACGCGTTCGTTCGACAAGGAGGGACTGATCGAGGCTAAACAGATCGTAGAACAATTCGTCAATTTGCATTGATCACAGCAGCTCGGATAGTTTTCTTGCAGTCTAGCTGTCTTCAATAACACCCCGCATCTCGGCTGGTTCGATGGCGTCCAAAAGAACTCTTGGCGAGTGTCCTGTTTGCCTAGAATTATTCAAGGTCACCAGACGAGAGACGAGAGCTGAATAAGGGCTGCATCAGATTGAGGCTTGGCTTCGAGCTGATCGTATGCAAGCTGAAACACCCCGACTCAAGCAGTTCGGGCGGTTTTGCTTCGGCCCCTTTTGACGTGCAACACTGTATCTTGCTAGCTCAGCTTTTGACCATTCACAAATATTTCACTGGACGTACACTCTGAATGCTCAACTATATATAGAGCCTAGATATAGATAGAGATGCTGCATTCTTTTCGATAACTCTAACCATCCTCAAGTTCATCATATTGCCCAATATGCAGCTCAAACTGACCCTCTTTTCTGCCCTTGCAGCTCTCGCTGCTGCCCAGGACGTCAGCAAGATTCCCGACTGCTCGGTAAGATGAACTTTAGATGAAATGACATGCACATTCGCTAACCCTGAATTATCCTATAGCTCAATTGCTTCGTCGATAACTTTCCTCTAAGCGGATGCAAAGACTTGGTGGATTTCAAGTGCAGTTGCGCCGCGTATGTCCATATGCACGTCACAAAATGTATCCTCTCCACTAATACAACCTTTCCAGCCCTAAGGCGTACCAGGACGCCATGGCTAATTGCATCGTCGGCCATTGTGATAACGATGGCATGTAAGTAGTTATCCACGAAACCGCTCTGACTATGTCCAATGGATGTTGACTTTACAATCGTAGCGTCGCTACGGTCAATTGGGTTTCGGCCACCTGCGCCAGCGTCGGCGTTCCATGGCCATAAAAGTATTCACAGGGTGCGAAGTCCTGCAGGATAGGTAGTTTGGCCAGTTCAGAAACGTTTGTATCTCGCAAGAAACCGGTGGTGTACACGAGACCGGCAGGCAAAATCAAGGGAGACCGCTCTTGAAGACAGTTAGAGGACTAGCCATCTTACATCAGCAATGCAAGTCTTTTTACCATTAAACTATATCCAAATTGTTCGTGCGCTTTGTGTCATTGTTGTCAAGCCGACCAAACAGCTAGACCAGACCTAGCGTGCCCGGAATAGCCGTACAAAACCAGTAGTGCTGGAGATTGTCTGATCAGTCTTGAGGAGAAGCAGAGTTGGTCGGAACTCTCCGGGATCGCCCTGCTTGAGGAGAGTCTGAATGCTTAACTTGATGAAAGCTAATCAACACACCACTCAAGGAGTCGCGTTCATCTATGATAGTACCTGCATGACCTCTCCCGCAGCCCTCTCTCCTGCCAGCACTGCGCCCTCAAGATACCCATAAAAGTGCGTGGCCGTGTCCGTACCGGCCCAGTGCACTCTGTTCACGGGCTTCCGCATCCATTCCCCATGTAATGTCCACATACCAGGCGCGGGATTTGCCATGGGACAGCCCATGGCCCATTCCTCCTCAATCATAGAATGAAAGAAGGTCTCCTCTGGCTCAAGTGCCTCCTTACCGAATGCAAGTGCGAATTCTCCCAGAGCAATGCGACGCCGCTCTTCTTCTGAAAGCGTGAGGAAGTGACGCGCCGTGTTCGCCGCAACGAAGCCCATCAACTTGGCCGGTGATCCCGACGGGGGAGTCGCGTCGAACATTACGGCCATGGTTCCTCCGGGATTCGTACATTCGCCACGCAGACCCTTAGCACGCCAAAATGCAGTCTTGTAGCTCGCGAAGAACTTGGCGTACGCGCCCATGGGCATATGCTGCAGCAGGGTCTGCTTCTCGGTGGGAAGGCTGGGCTCGAAGCGTATCTTGAAAATCAGTGGTGGGGGAACCGCCATGATGGCTCGTTTGGCTCGGTAGGCCCCTTTGGTCGTACCGATTTGCACACCACTATCGTCTTGAACAACCCTCTCCACGGGCTCTGAGAGGTGAACAATATCATCTCCGAGATGATGCTTGATCTTATCCGCAATTGCCTGCCCGCCGCCTTGCATCATCTCATGCTGGGCGCCGTTTCGCGTGTTCAAAGCCCAAGTCATACAGATAGATGATTTGAAGAAGAACATGGCGTGGAGCATCGAATAGCAGCTCGGGTCCTGGCCGATCGTCGACTCTAGCGCCACTTCCATCATCTGTCGGCCTCCCTTGGTCCACAGCTTCTTGTTGTACCACTCCCGCATCGTTACCCTGTCCAGCTCGGCCGCGCGCGGTGTGCGCCACGGCTGGTCGAGGTCCACCGTCGCGGAGAGCGACTCAAAGGCGCTTATCGCACGACCCAGCTCGAGCACCTCCCAGGGCCGCGTCGGCGGGATCAGCCCCTTGTAGGTCTTGGACGCGCCGCGGTAGCACAGCACCAGCTTGCCATCGGTGGGCATCGCGGATCGGCTGACGTCGTATTCCTCGGCCAGCGCTCGCATGCGCGCGTGCTTGTCGCCGAGGAAGGACGCACCGCAGTCCCAATAGGAGCCATCGTCGCGCCGTAGCGTCTTGGCCCGGCCGCCGACGCGGTCGCGCGCCTCGAGCAGGAGAACGGATTTCCCGGCAGCCTGGAGGGTCTTGGCGGCTGCCAGGCCCGAGTAGCCAGCACCGACGATGATGCAGTCGTACACTTGCGGCCGTTTGTCGTTCATAGTCTGGTTCTACTCTTGCTTTTTGAAAAGGGGTTTTAACAAGAGCTTTGCTCAAAGAGATTGGGCGATTCTGACAGGATTGGGAAAAGCTGTTGTCGAGCTGCTGACTCTTTAATGAATCCCAGCCAATCCGATCCGCGGACTCCGGCTTCCTTGGCGCAGCCCTTCGTTTCCTCATTCGTTTTCTCCCGCATCGGATAGTGAACATATTTATCTTTGTTTATGGTGGGAGAGTAGACTTGGTAGTGTTTGGCAAGCTCTCCCGGCACAAATGAAGGTAGACCGGCCAGGTAGACTTCCGAGGTAGAGAGGCCGACAGTTCCACAGCACGCCTCGGCCCGCGACAGGACGTTCGTATTGAATGTCACCCTACGCACCCGCTTTCACTGTGCGCCTCTTATGCAGCCAATCAATGTGATCTTGATTCATTGGACGAGACATTAAAAAGAACCAAAACCGGGTCAATGGAGATATGTTTATTCTTTTCCTCCCCGTCCTTTTCGGCGGTATTGCCTCACTCGAATCTCCTCACATACACTTCGCAGCCACCGTCTTTCCCAAATGACGGTATTCAAGCCACTTTTCAAGCTACCATTGGAGATTAGACAGCTTATTTGGCACTTTACTTTGCCAGAAGACATACAGAAAATATGTATCGTTAAGAAGGAGATGCTCAACGAATTTGGACGAGATCCCGATACGCTCGAGCCCATGATTGTTCATACAGCCTTCCCCTTAGCAATGCACGTCTCACGCGAATCCCGTCATTATGTTCGGAATCACAGCGATGTCCAGTTTCGATACGAGCCGGCAGCAGGCTTCAGTGTGCCCTTTCGCCCTTTCCGACCAGAGCTGGACATTCACTACTGGGGAAAGGATGTAAACATATGGATCATATGTGGACCGTTATACAGAGGATATTACGATTACTGGATTCGCCAGGTTCGCCATGTCGCCATGTCGCCATACCATCCACGTGTGCCTTTCAGGGGAACTTCATGTCACAATGTCTGGTCTTACACTGTGACCAAATCGAGACCTTGACTCTGGTATTCGCCGATTCGACGAACAATAACATCACGAATGACTAATTTGAAGAACCCAAAAGGCGATCCAAGCTTCATAGCATCCCCGTATCCAGCGACATGCAAGTTGAGATCACTGGGGCAGTGGCGATCCCGAAAATCTTGTAAGCTTGGAAATTTCTATCGATGTCTTTCGGAGCGAGCTTGACGAAGGCGCTGATTCGGTTTCGAGAATGTCACGACTTGAAGAGTTTCGATGCAAGGTCTGAGATGCTGAGAGTGCTCCTTCGAGCGACCGGAGTGCCGGGCTGCGACTTTTGTTGAGTGGACTGGCAAAGGTTGGAAAGAGCTGTGCGGTGAACGAAAGCCGCCGAGAAGCCCAAGGCTTCCAGGAGAATGGGATCTCTAATAAATATATCACTTAGGTATGTTGTAGATGTACACATGGATGTATATTTACTAATACACGTGCATGTTATGCATTTTCAATGTCATGTAGGTATGAATCATCAGAAACCTGTTCGGTACAATCACTACCAGGCTGACCTTCCAAAGTTTCCTTGGTACTTTACCCATGCATAGCCGGATTGTAGATGGACAACCAGCTGCTTTGCCGTAGGAATCATAGCTGGCTATATATAGTCTTAGCACCAAGTATACGACCAAGTACAATCCCGATGCTGGCCAGGTGATACAGGTAGGCATGATAGGATAGCCAGCCTTCGTTCGACGTTCGCCGTTCTGTTTCACAAACAGGAAGCAATGAATCCAAAGCAATGTCGTGTTCATCTAGCACAATCCTGCCTCTCCCACCTATTCTCCAACCTCCCTACACCAAAGGCGTTCTCAAACAACCCGATCTGAGAACTTCAGTGTGGCTCAATAGACCCTAAACAGCCCACCTTTTGTCTAATTCAGGTGAGAGATTCTCGATCACCACCTCGTCCCTACTTCGACCATGATGACAACATCGATATTTGAGGACCCTGCGTTGCACGAGAAGATAAGTATCCCAGGCCAGCACGACGGGCCAAGCGACGGAGGCCAGTATGCAGGCCAAAAGACAGACAGTGGCCGTCACGCGCGAATCTCGTATCTGCGGCCGGTGCGAGCGAATCTTTTTATTGAGCCGGTATGCGTACACGATCCATGCGCCGACGTAGGTGGCGGCGAGAAAGGCAAGGACTGTTGTGACGGCAAGGAAGGCCTCGTGATTCATCCTCGAACCAATATGCTCGAGGGGGTTGGCGGACGAGTCCGGAACTGAGCTTTGAGAGTGGGCTTGCATGGCGACAGGGCTAGTGGTCATCTTTTAGCGGAGAAGTGGCAGAGAAGTCGAGACAGAAGGAAGAGACAACACACTTACAGTTCAGCATGGAGTACTGAAGTTGTGTCCTGAGTGAACCATATTTCCATGGAAGGAGGAGAAATATAGGTAGGTACTATGTTGACTGTTTGAAAATTGGATAATATGTTCCTCCTTTGTGAACCACAATTTGAGGGCTCGATAGTGTGGCTTAGACGACCGACTGACCTCGGTGAACCAAACTCCGAACCCACTGTCCGGAGCTACCTGCCTCTGTGGCGCAGAACCAAACTTTGCCATCAGGGCCACATGGAGTCGTACATAAATAACCAGTCCTCCCAGTAGCTGTCATATCTGCCGACAAGACAGCTTCTGCCATCGCCATCGCGACCGACCCTCCAAGGTCGGGTGTATAGACCTCCCGTCTTCAGATGTCTCTTCAGTGCTACACTCATGCTGAAAGAGCTTGGGCTTACGCCCACAAAGTAACTGCTTCCCAAAAGGACTATATAATCGACAAGCGCCTGTTGGTCCCAGCTTAACGATCGTAGAAGCTGCAGATCATCCTTCTGGAACTCGAAGAGCTCGTTCTTGGTGACTACGCGCATGCGATACTGAGAGCGGGCTTTTGCCTTGAACTTCGAGGCCTCGGTAGAATTCCCAGTCGCAAGATAGACAGTCTTGTGCCCTCGCTTGTCTCCTTCTCTCAAGTATGCCATACTTTGATTCTTAAAGTCAGGCCATCCCTTCAGAGCATCATGCTCTGTCCTGAGGTGAGCCCCAAGGTACTCGCCTTGTCCACCGGTGGCAAGGCGGCGCGTGGCAAGCACTGCCCTGGTACCCATGTCCAGTAGATCTTGGCGGAACCTTAAAATGGTGCCAAAAGAGTTGGCAAATTCGGGACCGTCTTTCCACACTGGCCACTCCCACTGTACGCCCCAGTTGAGTCGGACAAGGCGCGGGTGGGCAGTGCTCAGGGGATGAATTTTGAACCGTGAAGCCGTCTCCTCGAGCCAATCCCGGAAACGTGGCCCAAACATATCCGTGTGTCGGTTCAGATCCCTTCGGTCACAGCCACCTCGAAGTCCGTAGTGCTTAGGGGTGACCATCTCAGGTCTGGTATTCTTGAGATTTGGCACATCGTCGACAGTGTTATAAATGGTGATCTGGGGGCAGCTGGTAGTGAGAACGTCTCGGAAATGAGTCTCATTGAAGAAATAACTGAAGGGCCTATATCCCTTGAAGAGCTCTGCGAGGTCAGAATCGGACCTTGTCTCGATCTGTGGCATCACGAGCCCTGTGGCCCCAGCCTCGATTGCGTAGCGCAAGCATGTCAGAATGAAGTTGCGGATATTCCCTATGCCGCCCGAGTTGTTGTCACACATGAAAACAAGACCTGGCATCGATGTCGCCTCACTACATACTCTTGTCAGCGGCCATGGTCTGAAGGCCGGGTCTGGAGCAGAGAGGTCGATGCTGTGCTTGGCTGGTCGCCCGATGATGTTAGGGTACCATTGTTGAAAATCATCTTGATGCCGATGATGATGGGCCCATAGAGTGGTGAGACAGATGCAACATATCAGAAGGAGAAGTTTTCCCCAACGAGACGAGACGATGGGTAGAGAAGATAAACGCGATGCTAGAATCCTCGGTATGCCTTTCATCATGCTTCAGGTTCTAAGATTCTTGGAATGAGTGCCAAAGCCGACAGCTTAAAGAGGCTGTAAATCGAGAAATGAAGCACTCACAGAAGATCAATTCGCCGACATGAGAGTGCATTAGGCCACTTCATTGATGTTTCAACAGCGGCAGATAGAGTAATTACGGAAGGTTGACCTCCGTGTCTGGTCTTGTCAGACGAGGAGCCTGAAGGGAGCACTCATGACTGGATGATTGAGTGCATTTGGCTTCGAAGTGAGGTAAAAAAAAATTAATGCAAGCATCATTATGGCGAAGTCAATCTTCAGCTGCGTTTCCTGTTGACCATGCAGGGTTGCTTGAGTATAATGCCTACTTACTTTACCTGGTGTTGACACAAGTAATAAAAGAATGGTGACGTGAATAAATTTATGTGAATTGTTTATGCGCTGCACTAAAGTTATCCGATATTTCATAATATAGTACCTGATGCATGTGATTGATGCTGGTGCTTATCAGTCTTATCGATAACCCCGCCCACCAAAAATTCTTTGGAGCAAAATTTTGGGCGCATTGGCATCGCCAACCCCGCTAACAGTGGCCTCACTTACCGCAGTCACTATCAAACTTCTCTCGCTCTCTTTCTCTCCTGATTCAACCGCAAACAGGCGCATATTGTGTATTCCAAACATGTCAAAGCGTGCAGCCGCCCCAGAGAATGGGGGAGCTCCCCTCAAGGGAGGTGACCGCCCCGACGCCATGGACGTCGACGACAACAAGATGGCCGAGATGGGCGAGTTTGAGGATGAGTTCGAAGATGAGTTCGAGAGCGAAGACGAGATCTTCGAGGCTGGTGTTGACGGGCGGCCCGATGCAGAGCGCGAGGCTGAGGAGAAGAGTAAGATCCCTCCAATGCGCTCGCCAAGCTTGACAACCACACAGTACTAACGTGCGACAATCGAAGGTGCGATGGATGTTGACAGCGGCCCTGGCACATTCATTGTCGGCCGAACGAAGCTCGAGCCTGGCCAAGTACTCGCCCCCGACCCGAGCACGTACGAGATGCTACACAACCTGAGTACCCCCTGGCCCTGCCTTTCCTTCGACATTGTCCGCGACAGCCTAGGAGACAACCGCAAAGTCTACCCTGCCACCATGTACACCGTCTCCGGCACTCAGGCGGAGAACGCCAAAGCTTCCGAGAATCAATTAATGGTCATGAAGTTCAGCGGCCTGAGCAGGATGGACAGAGACGATGCATCTGAGTCTGGAGATGACGATGACGACGAAGATGCCGACCCCATCCTCGAGTCCAAGAGCATACCCCTCAATTCGACCACCAACAGGATACGATCGCACCAAACTCCCGCACAAGAGGCTGGAAAGCCGGGGACTACGCTGACCGCGACTATGACCGAGTCGACCAATGTCTTCATCCACGACATCACCCCCCATCTCTCGTCTTTCGACAACCCTGGCACCATGATCACACCTCAACAAAACAAGCCGCTGTGCACTATCCGCGCGCACAAATCGGAAGGATACGGTGTAGACTGGTCGCCTCTTCACCCAGCGGGCAAGCTGCTGACTGGTGACAACGATGGCCTCATCTACGTTACGACTCGCACCGACGGGGGCGGCTTTGTTACAGACACTCGGCCCTTCCAAGGACACACAAGCAGCGTGGAGGAGATCCAGTGGAGCCCCTCCGAGGCATCGGTGTTTGCATCTGCCTCAAGCGACGGTACCATCCGCGTGTGGGACGTCAGGAGCAAGAGCCGAAAGCCCGCTATTACGATGCAGGTCAGCAACACAGATGTCAACGTCATGAGCTGGTCGAAGCAGACGACCCACCTGCTGGCATCGGGTGCCGATGATGGAGAATGGGGCGTCTGGGACCTGCGACAGTGGAAGCCTAGCACCACGGGTGGTGCCTCCAAGTCGAGCCCAATCGCCAGCTTCAACTACCACAAGGAGCAAATCACCAGCGTCGAGTGGCACCCGACCGATGACAGCATCGTTGCCGTTGCAGCAGGCGACAACACCGTCACACTGTGGGATCTGGCTGTCGAGCTGGATGACGAGGAGAGCAAGGATACGGCCGGCGTCAAGGATGTGCCACCCCAGCTGCTGTTCGTGCACTACCATTCCAACGCCAAGGAGTTGCACTGGCACCCCCAGATTCCTGGTGTGCTGGTTGCTACTGGTGACGAGTTCAGTGTCTTCCGCACCATCAGCGTTTAATCTTCATCTTTCTCTTTCTGAGCTCATTGTTCATAGACATTTTTTGCAAGCTAGGCAAGGTTGGGCAAAAGCGATACCATTCTTCAATATGCTACAAGAGTCAAAGTCCCTTAGCTAGGCGGTGACCAAGGCCTCGTGAGAGCCTTTTGTGTTAGGTTGTTTGCATCCTGTGACCCATCCTTAGCGAGTGTGGCACAAGAAGTCGCCTCTTGGATTCTATCCTCTTGGTTTTGCCCAACATCACACAGCACTCGAGTCCTATGCTTGGGTTTGTCAGACTTCTAGACGAATTGCAGGCGGGAGGATATACCGCCGGATCCTGATGTGGCCTTGACTTCCATGGCGACATATAGATGCTTTAGGTGCGAGGCTTCCCACTCCTTCTAGTTTTACTCGACTCAACCTGAGACAAGCTCGATACACTAAACTCTCTGCACCCCTCGCAGCAGCTGCAGAACACAACATGTCTCGCAAACGGTGGTGCCTACTACTCTCCTCCCTCTTGCCAATTCCTCACGCATCTACTTCTGGACTTCACGTCGAAGGGTTCTTTGCAGGGGTGAATCCGATCCAGGTCAACGGGGTCTACAAATCATTGTGAGGGGATACACTCGGCGTATGAGGGAAACGAAAAGGCTGACAAGCGATACACAGCGTCGAGTTCAGTATCCGTCCCATCGGCTCGCCTGCCAACGCATCTGTCTCATGCTTCAACTGGGCTGACACACCCGATAAAAGGATCGGATCTCTGGCAGATGCGTCTTGCGCCGAAAACACGTGGGTCAGTTTCGCTTTCCAGCTCGTGACTGATGAGGGCGATCCTGTGCCACCGCAGTCTACGGATGCCGTCGGCGCTGGCTACAACCTAGATGTGTTGTGGAGAGATTCACCTGGAGATATGTCTGGAACACAATTTATATCCTTGGATGAAATAGTGTGGGCCCAGGCAGAGGGACAGAGTGTACAAGTATATGCCGGGCTTCATGAGTTTATGATTTGACGACCCAAGGATGATCAGAAAAGACAATAGCAAGAGACAATGGAGTGATCTCGGTGAAGAGATGCTCAAGTACCTGCAAGCGTTCTTCCATCTTGTCTACCTTCAGTACCTTTCAGTGTCGTTGCCACCCTCCTAGACATTGGCCTCCGACCCTCCATAGGAATGAATCTGCTCAACATGTCAGCCCTTGACGTTCAACCAGCTGTAGTAGCTTGTGTATTACTCACTGTCTGATCAGCACACCCATCCGGGGTCTGGTACAAGTACGCGCCGGTGTTGACAAACAGCTGTTGGTCCCCACACACATACCAAGCCGCTAGGTTCGGCCGCTTGATGTCGGGCGTGCTCCACGTCAGTGTGTCCCCCTGGAAGGCGAAAGTGCCGTACGGGTTCTCGGTCGCGTTGAACCAGGTCGTCAGCCGCCGCTGCGTCTTGTCGGTCGGGTTCTCGACGTTCATGTAGAGAGGCGCCACTCCCTCGCCGCGGTTCAGCACGAGCTGGCCCGAGATGACGTTGAGCTGCGCCGCATGTGTGTTTTGGCCCAGGTACGCAAAGGACCCGGGCTGTGCGGGTGCCCCCGTAGGACGGGCTTGCAGGTACGAGTGGTAGTTGGGCTCTGCGACAGCGCGGATCCAATACCAATTCGGGAGGAGGGTGGACGGGGTGCCGGGTCCGCTGCCGCCGACTGGGTTGCTGGTGGCGGTGGCGATGGTCGTCAGAGTCGTGGGCTTGCCGGGCGGCGCGGTGGTCTTGACCGAGGTAGACTGCAGTGTTGTTTGGACTGGGACGGAGGTCGTTGTCGCTGGCGAGCCACCTGGAGTGCACTGAGCATACCACTGACTGCACATGGTTATCAATTAGGTGCACTTGAAACCTTTGATGATCAAAGAGACCTACTTCTGAGTTGAGCAGGTGTATCCTGGTCCACAGACCGTCGGTCCACTGTAGCCGTTGCCACCACCTGGTCAGAAAGATCGAGACGTTAGCAAATAAATGAGCGACTATTCGCCAAGAACTCACACTGTCCCCATGCCTGCACAGTACCCTGTGCAGTCGCGGCTGCCAGCAGCATAGAAGCTGTCAAGGATGTCTGGAAACGCATGGTGGCCAGTTCGGATGTGCAATGGCTGTAGACATCTGGATTTTCGAGTTCTGGGCAGCAAAGAAAGTTATACAATAATGCCTTGCTTCGCTAGTCTATCCAGACATATGCACGACGGGAAATCTGGCCGAGATGAAAACTGCATGAGGCTTGAAGCAACTGTGCGGTCCGTGGCAAACACGGTAAGGGGAACATCGCCAAATGTTTCCCCGAGAACGGCCCGGGCTGGTGTGAAATAGCTATGACAGACCTTAGTTGCTCTGCAGACAGGATGCACATGAGCAATATATCAACCCCTGCATGGTGCGCGTTGTAACCGGGATCAATGGCACCGAGAACCCGGAAACCGACGGGCCATCCCACCTTGGCGGAACGTCCCCTCCGAAAGGTTAGCAGCACAACGGGTTATCATGACCGCGCCTCAGTATAATGCTGTCAAATGATATTTGATTTTCTCCGAAGTCCATTGTTCTTTCTCCATCAAGAGCATGACCGCAGATGCTCTAGCTGCCTCCAAATGCTGCTCCTTCTGGCCCGACCTTCCATGTCCGCACTGAACAAAGATGAAACCCTCTATTTCCATGGGAAACTCTTCGGTCAGCTTACATCCTGAGTATAGAATAGATAGATGGTAAGAGTCTGTACCTTCGAAGTCCTGCCGGTGGCTGGCCCCCTTCCTTTGCTTGATGTCGTGCTCAATGCCTCACTCGCACCGACGTAGATGGTAGTCCTCGTGTCTCATGGCTACTGCTTTGGCGCTACCCAAGCGATTTGTCCGTCGGCAAACTGAACCCATTGGCCAGGACGTCCCGGGGGTGGCGGCACGACACGTCCATAGTCTCCAGGCGGCCGGAGAGCCCAGTGAGTGGTAGGAGTGACTGCCACGGGGACGAACTGCACGTGGGCTGCCTGGACAGGCTGAGCGACAAGAACGGGCTGTACTCGCTGCGCCTGCTGTACCAGCTGTACCTGCTGGAGAGGCGGCGCGACTGGGCAAATCATTGGTGGATTGCCCGGATAGTAGACGTACGAGGGGTTGAGTACTTGATAGACGGGCTGTCCAGACATGATGAGCGTTTTATCGATGCCTTGTTCGTGTGTCTATTGGTTGGAGATCAAGAAAGGTATTTAATAAGTTCTGAGAGGAGACTGACAGACTTTAGGGTTTCAAAAGCCAATCGCCAGCCACTGCGGCAGATAGAGTCACACGCTTATCGAGGGGCCCAGCGCTCCCAGACACAACAAACGAATAAGTGATTCACTTGAAGTTTTATAGATGGCAGTTCTTGCTAACTTCAGTGATGGACGTGTTCATCGCAATATAATTGCAGTGTGGGAACCACGTCAATCTGTGATATAGAGCAAAACTAGGGTTTACTATCTCCTTGAGTCAACAGTTCCAAGTATCGGAAAACAATACATTGCGTCCGTATGGCTTTGTTGTGCCGATAAAGCCTTTCTGCCCAGCCGGGTTATGCGCAGCCAAGGCTCTAGCATCGGGTTCCTAACGAAATTGGACAGGCCTGTTTTCCCGTGACGAGAGCACATCACTCAGTCCTGCCAAGTTTTTGCTATCGGGAGATGCATGGAAGCTGGTGGCTGGCTGTATGCACCTTGCCAATCGCGGTAATGCTGATAGGATCATTGACAAAGCAAGTTAGTCTCGACCTTTAATGTGCGCAGATGCAATGCTTGCGACTTTGTCAGAAGAGGAATAGGCCCAAAGGAGGAAAACGTGGGGATGCGGCTCTGTTACGACTGAGCTTCAATGTTCTCTGTGTAAAGCATTGAGGCTCCAGGCATCTTTCAGGCTAGATGGTCATGCTCCCTCCTTCTGCTCTCTGAGTACTTTGTCCCGGGACTTCTCTCCTGAGCTCCAGCGTCAATCGCATCGCCCACAGCATGCCGACAGTTTAGTGCTGCAAAATGTGGCGTTCCGGAGACTAGGACCAGTCCTCATCAAGGCTGGCCAGGAAATTCAACATATATTGAGCGCGGCCATTCTACAAGGCATTCCAAAAGGAATGTCGGATTCGTGGGGACGGACGGAAGGGCAGAGAGGCGCATTGTGACGTGTGGCCTCCTGTGGTGTGTTGTGACAACCGGTGTCGCTCAACCGTGGGAAGAGGGATGGGCTGTCCATATCGCCTGTGTATGTGTTGCAGCATCTCCCCCAGACGATGCATCCAAAGCTTCCCCGAAGACAAGGGTTCATGTCCGTCACTGCCCACGTCAAATTTCTCTCGCGCGCGGGCCGGCTTTGGCAGGAAGGTACGGGTGAATTCACACCTTCCACATTCCGCCGCCCTTCCCGCCAAAATAGCCCCGCCGATGCGACCCACGCCTTTGTCGGACGAGCCCCGACGAGGCAAATATTTTCGACACCGCCGGCACAGACTGCCCCTTGGCCTCTCATCAATCCTCCCTCCCTTGCCCGCCTCCAGTCATCAAGCTATTCGCCACTCGTCCAGTTCCTTTGCCACAAGTGTTCTACATCAGCTGTATCGGCTCAGGCAAGATCAAGAGTCTCTACGCGAACATCGACGCCGGCACTTCTCTCGGTCATCCTGCAAGATGCCTCTCAAACAAGCTACTCTTCCATCCGACGAGCTGGCCAAGAGCCTCGTCGAGCAAGCCGCTTCGACCCAGGAGCCTCAGTACCTCGTCGTCTACGCCAGCCTGGTCAGGGGCAAGAGCTGGTGTCCCGACTGTCAGGATGCGGAACCGTTCGTGAACAAGAAGTTTGCGGGCAAGGATGCCCAGCTCATCTATGCTGGAAGCGTGTCCGAGTGAGTGACCTTGTCTAGCTTAGGACCGAAGCCCTATTGAGACGAATCCATCCGAGTCACAAGAGTCGGCATGCTGACGAGAACGGCCAGGTGGAGGAACCCAAGCAATCAGTGGCGACAGGAGCCCTTCAACGTCACGAACCTTCCCACCATCATCAAGGTCACTAGCAATGGAGTAAGTTCGGTATTCTGTCGAGACTCTCGGTGGCTTCGTCGATGCTGATCATGTGTAGAAATGGCATAAACTGGTCGAGTCGGATGTCTACAACCAGAAGAAGCTGGATGCTTTCGTGAACTGAGACAGGAAGTAATTTGGTCTCCACCCCGCTGTATCATGTCATTCCTATTGTTTTTTCGATCAACTCCCGTCGATACTGAAATGGAAGCCACCTTGATGGACAGATATGATCAGAGCTAATACAAGCATTGGTCTACTATTACCTCTCAGAATACATGTTCACCATGTTAAACTGACTACTTGTACTCAAGGCGGATCAGAACAACCATGTGGCGTTTCAACACTTTAACAGAGCATGCGAGCCTTGTTGCTCATGTCGAATCTGCGAGAGGATGGGTGCCGCATGGAATAGGTTCATAGCCCAGCAACGAGCATGGCGATGACAGGTGCAACGACAGCCACAACGATCACACCAAACACTCCTGACAGTCCTGATGACATTTTTAGGCCTTCTGGCATGGCTTGCCATGCAGTAAGCCGGCCCGCGATCGATCACGAAAATCACTCGCTCCCATGACACTTTTGGGCTGAGGATTCAATCAGCACTAATGCGGCAGCGAAGAAGGTAATCTGCGAAAGCGACAGGGGTTTGGACAGCGCCAATGCATGCATGGTGGATATTATGCAATGAAAATTGGGGGCCATTTGCGATCGTCGACCGCCAGGACTACATAAGCCATGCCTTTCTTTCCTGTTCAGCTCGGCACTCTCGCCCTTTTCCGCTTTCTTGGCGACCGATCTTGCTCCGTCTACTCTCCTTTCGCCACAACAAGATGCAATCCTACGGTGACGATGATCCCGCGCTGCGACCGATCCAGCGGCGGGAGACCACGCCAGCCCGGCTGACGGGGCAGCCAATGCCGCCATTAAGACAGCCGACGGGCTCCTTCGCACGCCACGTACCAGCACCGCATCAATTGCCTCAGGCCGGCACGTATGAAGGGTCGAGGGCTCCTGTATACTATGCACCATACTACTACGGTGGAGCCCCGCAGGGCATGCCCATGTACTACCCTTCACCACCTCTGCATTACATCGACGTGAGGCCCCAACAGGCCGTGCACGAGCCCAGCCTCATGGGTTACTCTACAGCAGCCATGCCAGGTTTGCCACTCTCCTCGATTGACAGCAGTCGGGCACACGTTCGGCGATCACGCTCTCGTTCCCGCTCTCGGTCACGCTCCCGTCGACGTCGCAGATCTCCGCCCAGGTCCAGGTCCAGGTCCAAGTCCAGGTCTAGGAGCAGTTCCGCACATGTTGGACGGGCTGCCTTGCCCAGTGACTACGGCCGGGAGAGAAGCAGGACGCCATCGCCAGAGCCGGTGAGGAGGCACCGTCGCAGCCGTCACGACTCTGATGAGGAGAGTGATGTGCCGATTCGCCTCGTCAGGCGTTCACGGACGTACTACCCAGAACCCGATGATTATGAGGGTTCTTCGTCTACTGCTTACTCATTCACGCCGTCACGCATGTCGCGCGCCACCTCGGCACAGCCTAGCACCAACACCGATGATGAGCCGTCTGATAAGGATGAGGATGAAGCCAATGCCGTCAGCGGTGGTGGTGCGCGAAAGGAAGCAGACCGCTCGCTGCGCTTATCCCATGTTTTCGAGTCACAGTACAGTGGCGATTACATGCTGGGTGGCTCTCATGGCGCGAGACTGGCTGCGGTACAGAGCAGCAGGTTAAAGATCCAGGGCCTGTTCCGCTGGTTGTGGGTTACGATCCAACTCTGATAGCTCATACAGGGAGCTGACGTGAGAATTATAGACATATCAAGAGAGCCTTGTTGAGCTTTGAAGATTTCTCGGTAAGCCAGTCCAACATCGGCTCGTCTCTTGCAGAAGACTTGAGTCTGATCGTCAACATTAGAATGAAGCCACACGCATTCCGGACCTGACGGTCGCCGAACAGAAGGGCATTCGAGATATATTAGCCCGCGTGCAGCGTAAGTATGTCAAGAATGTCCAGACAGCCAATGGAAGAAGTGTTCGCCATATGGAGCCAGCATGCATACAGCACCTGCTTCCAGCCGACGGAACCTCCAAGGCTCTTGGGTCTGCTCGACGCACGGTGACTTGGGTATGCCTGCCATACTTCACGCTCGAACAGTACTCAGGACTACAAGCAGTTGCTGAGAACTCATCCGATTTCCCGATTGAGACGTTGTCACAAGCCAAATTCTCGAGAGCTGGCAAGGAACGGGATATGCTCCAAGCTGTCTGCCAAATGAAGGACACACCAGCAGGGCTGTGTTTCCATATCGCGCAGATATGGTGTCTCATAATCGACAATTGTAAGAGTTTGCGCCAATCTGACTAATTGATCTGTATGCTGAATGACGCAGCATTCCTACTCACTTACAGTCGTATGCCTGAGGATGCTCTGCGTGGAGATTTGGTTGCCTTGTCTCTGTCGTCTGTCCAGGAGATATCGAGTGCCAAGTCTCGGGCAATCATTGCTGTTTCCTACCGAAAAACAGTCTTGTGGTCAATTCCGGTTGACGAATGCCAGACATGGCTCGTAAGTTTCATCTATCAACGTTTGACAGAGGATGGCTTAAATCGATGCGATACTTACGACTATCCAGGATTTCCTTTCGCATTTTCGGGAATTTTGGCCTAGGCGCCTTCAGTTCTTCCGTCGCAAACGCCCAGTGACAGCAGAGGATTGGCCGAGGGTCTGGAATACGGCCAGGCATGTTACCGATAAGATCACGCTTGAGATGCGTATCGGGTTGGTGTTTATCAACTCAACAATCAAAGTGCTCTGGCTAATCTGCCTGTCAGGAGGTCTCCTTTGCCGCCGCCAGGTGGGATTTTGGTCTGCAAGACTGACGAGGGAGTGGAAGATATTGCTGCTCCAAAGTCGGAGCCGTCGCACGCCAAACCACAGCCGCCGAAGGACGCGCCAGGACCCAGTCTGAAGCCCGGGCACGAGGACCCAAAGGGCATATCACCCAAATCAGGATCATCTTCAGTGTCGTTCATGCCCATCTTCTCGTGCCTAGTGGGTGTCACTCATCCGGATTATCATACGATCGACGAGGAAGCTTTAGACGACCACCTCCGCGAAGTTGAGGATTTCTTGCTTTCCCAGACAAGGTTCAGCGACCAACGTGCGTACACAGCCTGTCCCGAGGCTACTCGAGATCTGCTGTACAAGCATCTCGACAGGGAGGGCGCTGAGCTAGCACAGCGGAAGGATAGTGATCGCGAAAGGCAGCACAATTACGAAACACGGCTGGCTATATTCAATGCCGCTGATCTGGTCTTCAATTTCTTCTTCCCTCCACGAGTTGATGTTCCTACGATAGGAAAATTCTGGGGAGCATTGACAGCTGTCATCACGGTAAGTCAATTCGGTTGAGGTGCAAAACAGGTTACTTAACTGACACAACAAGAACGGAAAATCTCTTTCATCCACTGATGGGGACGGCTTTCGACAAATCGCCCGCCTTTCGATCCCAATCTACACTATTCGGGCCCTTCGTTCAGAACTGAGGACTCTCTGCGTCGAGATGCAGACTTTCCAGGAGATCTTCAGCCAGTCCAGCCGAGCAGAGCGTTCCAAGCTCGCCGTGCCCAAGGAGATGATCGAGGGCTGGATTCATCTCCTTATGGGACTCGTCCACCTAGCCAACGAAACCGACAAGAGCGACCGACTCCTTGAAGATGCCAAGACTCTCATTCGCAGCGGTATGGCTATTGTGGTAAACTCCCTCTCCGAGAAGTCATTGATAAACAATTCTATCGTCTTGCCTCTGGAGCTGTTGTCTTTGGTCAGTTTGAAGCTGCTACAAGACATCACCTTAGGAAAGCCGGATATCAGCGAGTGTTACTCCGCCTCCCTCGAGACAATGGTAGGTTGTCACCAAGTTGGTATCATAGTCTTGATTTCCAAGTTAACCTACTGGTATAGGAAGCGGCTATTGCATCAAAACCATCCGATCGATCCCGAGAGTATCGTATTAACCTCTTAACAGAAGAGATCTCGACGGTCCAACGCGTTCTCAACGCCCAGTCGTTCGTCTTTCAGCAGCTCTTGAACTTCACGCACGAAATTGGTCCAGGAGAAAGCCCTGATCAGCTAGATGTTCCGCCACCCGCCACTCAGTATATCACGCCAGTAGCACGGCATGAATCCAGGGAGAGTGCTGAAACAATGTACTATCGATCTCGAGAGTCCACTCGGACGAGGATAGCGCCAGATTACTATCGAGACTATCGAGACGATTACTACCGAGAAGGACCGAGCGATGCCTATACGCGTCACTATCCGTCACCATCACATGCGAGGGATAGATCTTACTCGCATGATAGAGACGCGGTCGTTGGGTATTACGATGAGACGCCATACATCGCGTCGGTGCCTGTTGATTTCAAGCTGGCCTCGACGGATCCGGGCGGCTATCGCGTTCTTCTGTTGAATGAGTGCCTGCGATTTTTGGCCGGACGAAAGAGAGACATCTCCGGTTTTCGTGGCTGGGCGTCTTTCCTCGAGAAAGTGGTATGTTGGAACCTTGCCTCTGCATTTGTCCCTCCGGAGCACCTATCGGTTCTTGAATGCCCTGCTAACGCCTCCCGACAGAACCGCAACAAAATCGATACAACCAAGGACCGGCATGACAACGCCATCTACGCCTTCACCATCGTGACCATCATCTTCCTGCCTCTCAGCGCTGTCGCCAGCATCTTCGGTATGAACACGCGCGACGTGCGCGATATGGACTACGACCAGTGGGTTTACTGGGCGGCAGCCATCCCCGTGTCCGTCGTCGTCATCTTCCTGGGCCTGCTGTGGACCGGCGAGCTGGGCAACATTGTGCGCTGGATTCAGTCGTTCGGTATCCGCCAGCAGGGCTACCGGTCTCTTCCGGACGACCTTTACTCAGACTACTACAGGACGTCGCCTCCCCCGCCTCCGCCGGTGCCTGTGCCCTATCCAGAGGATGTTATTGTCGTGCGTGAGCGGGACTACCTTTGACAGAGATTCAAAAAGGGGTGTGTAGTTTATATAATTTGTGCCGAAGACGTCATTAGATTGAAACGAATGGGCGGCTGCGATTGCTCTTAACAACTCCAAGAAACACTACCAAGATGGAGGGGTGCGGATGTGAGGCTGGTCGCTAATGGTGAGGCCTACCTCCGGCTAATTTCGGACCATGCAGGGGCAGTGTCCCAAACTGGCAGGTGGTTGAACAGCGAGCATGGGGCAAATTTGCTGATAACGGACGCATCTCACTCCCTCGTTGCGTTTCTGAGCCTCCACCCAGACGGCGGATCGGCACAAACGACGTAGAGTTGTGGACTCAGAAGCAAGTGAGAATCATTCAATCCCTATCATATGTGCCTCGAACCTTGCTTTACTTTCCTGGGCTCGCACAAGATAAGAGCTGATTTTGGCTTGCTAGGGTATTGCTTGGTGGGCGTGCACTACCAGCTCCTGGCAAGGTGCCCAAAGACGAAATGAACAGCTCGACGCTCGCAGCCGGCTGCGACGATGCAGCATTCGGCCCCATCATCCACGGCTGTCGGCAGGACTTTGACTTCACTCTTGCCTTTGAACAATACTTCTTCAGTGTTGCTCCATCTGCCGTGCTCCTCTTGACGGCACCCATTCGCATCGCCCTCCTGCGTCGCCAGCCTGCCAAAGTCACAGGAGCCGGACTGAGATTGACCAAAGTGGTATGTCTCGATAGCTATATTAGGCATCTGATTGTGGCGCACTCAAATGACCTATTCCCCCGGAGGCATCATTGTCATGAGGCGGAAAGATCTCTGACCATTGTTCACGATGCCCCAGTCCGTCTGCGCAGCGTGGGCATGTCTCCAGCTGGCTCTCCTCGTCTTGTGCGCCTCTCAGCAACATGTACAAGGGTCTCGCCATACAACCCTTGCCGCCGTCGCCGTTTCGCTTGCTGCAAGCCTCGCTCTCGTACCTCTTTCACATATCGAGCACGTTCGGTCCCTTAGGCCCTCTCTTCTCGTCAATGCATATCTCCTGATAAATATTCTACTTGACGTCGCTATCATCAGGACCTTGTGGCTAATGCCCACTACTAATCATGCCATTCGATCCATATTCACAGCTAGCTTTGCTACCAAGGTCGTTCTCTTTGTCCTCGAGGCCGTGGAAAAGCGCAGATTCTTTCTCCCCCCGTACCAGAAGCGAAGCCCAGAGGAATCCAGCGGCCTTCTCAGCCAAGGTCTGTTGTGGTGGCTGAATGATCTCATCTTCTTCGGCGCCCGCCATCTTCTTAAGCCAGAGCGACTGTATCCTATCACGGCCGATATGTCTTCCGAGAAGCTGAGCGCCCGCTTTTGGGCAATCATGACAGACAGTGAGGGTCTCGTTCCCTTTATGCGTTCGCCACGGCGCTAACCGACATATCATCTACTCCGTACAGATGACCAGAATCACATAAGACCAGGACTCAAGAAAGCGCTCTTCCGGCTGCTCTGGTGGCCTATCCTCCTTCCAATTCTTCCTCGGCTAGCTCTCCTCACTTTCACCTTGTGCCAACCACTGCTCATACGTCGACTGTTGGTTTACCTCGCCGATCCCACCGAGAGACAAGATGCCAGACTCGGCTACGCATTGATTGGTGCTGCCGGCATCATTTATGTCAGCATGGCAGTGCGTGATCCCCCCCTTGCCCCAGATGAACGTACCTGACCAAGAGAACCCCAAAGGTATCTGCAGCAATTTACTGGCACCGACATTATCGTTTCATGGCTATGATCCGAGGCACGCTGACAACAGCCGTTTACCGAAAGGCGATGAGCATAAGATCTACAGCAGCAAGCAATGCCAAGACAGTAACACTGATGAGTGCAGACTGCGAACGCATTACCAGGGGCTTGATGGACTTGCACGAGCTGTGGGCTAATATCGCCCAAGTTGCTATCGCAACCTACCTAATCGAAACACAGGTTGGTGTCGCCTGTGTGGCACCCATTGCGGTGACGTTGGGTGAATCAATTCTCTTCGATGGGGATCTCAAGTTGGAGTGCTGACACAGTTTTAGTGACGACGGGTTTGACCGGCTATGCGGCCCAATTTATGCCGGGTTTTCAAGTTCAGTGGCTCGAGCAACTTGAGTCTCGGATAGGTAAGTCGTAGGGGAAGACGTATTGTTCCCGATGTCTATTTCTCACGACCTGCACTAGGTGTTACTTCTTCAATCATTGGTTCATTCAAGGCGATCAAGATTACGAACCTTGCGAACAAGGCGTTGACCTTACTACATAAATTACGCGAAGATGAGCTTGCAGCTGCTGCCAAGTTCAGATACATCACATTGATCACAGCGACAATTGGTATGTTGATCCTGGCTAGTGGTTCGTGGCAAACTGCTGACCCTGGTTGAAGCGGTCATCCCGCAACTTATCTCACCAGTCATCACCTTCGCAGTTTTCATCTCGGTCTCAAGGAACAAGACGAGTAGTCTCGATCCTGCTCGCATGTTCACATCACTATCTCTCTTGCTATTGGTAGCAGAACCACTCTTCAGTCTGTTCAGTGGTCTGATGGACTTCATGACGGCTATCGGTTCTCTGGGGCGGATAGAAAAGTTCTTGCTCACTCCAGATCAGATGGACAAAAGAAAACTGCAGTCACTCCAGACTCGATTGTCTTCTGAGGACAGGACGTCTCTCGGTGCTGCACAATCTCCGCAGCAAGCTCTACACCCACATTCTAGGACGGACGATGTTCATATCGATGTACAGAACGGCAGCTTCGGCTGGACCGAGGAGGGCGAGTCAATTTTACGGAAATTGAACTTTACCGTCAAAGCGGGAGAAATTGTTTTCGTGATGGGGCCCGTGGCCTGCGGCAAGTCGACACTGATGAAGGGACTTTTGGGTGAAACGCCTTGCTTGGAAGGGGAGGTAGCGGTTGCACATCCCGAAATTGCATTCTGTGATCAGTCCCCCTGGATTACGGTAAGTCCGTCCAATTGTATCCGTGCGAGCTGTCGTGCTAACCTTCCAGAACGGCTCGATCCGATCCAACATTACCTTCTCGTCTCCACTTGATGCCGCCTTGTATGACATGGTCATTCATTGCTGTGATCTGGCATTTGATATTGCAACACTAGCTCAGGGCGATGCAACAGTCATTGGCAGCAAAGGCTTCTCACTCAGCGCAGGTCAAAGGCAACGAGTGGTGAGGACTACTCGGTATATGCTATGTATTGAATTAAGGGCTGACAGGCAGTAGGCCCTCGCTCGTGCGGTATACTCGCGCAAAAAGATTGCTTTGTTGGACGACGTGTTCAGCCAGCTAGATGCAAGCACACAGACCAAGATCGCCAGCCGTCTGCTCGGGCCGGAAGGCCTCTATCGGCGTTGGGGAACAACGGTCATTCTGACAACTACTTCGGGTCAGTAGCAATTGGCTTCATTTGTCGAGGGGTCTGCGTTTCGAGGCTCACGTACTTTCAGACATATTTTCGTCGCTCGCCGACAATATCATCATCCTGAATCAGTCTGGAGAAATTGCTCAACAAGGAAATCATACAGCCCTTGGACTAGAAGACGGTAGTGTCTACAGGCAATCTCGCCAGTCAAATGATGAGATTGGGGCCGCAGCTTCCCTGGACAATGATTCTCCAGCAAAGGCGGCGACTGGAGAAAAGGAGAAGCAAGGTAATAATGTAGAAAACACGACTAGCGAAGCACGAGTGAAGCCGCCCAGGACAGACTTTTCCGTTTACCGATACTACTTCTCAACGGTCAGCTCGAAGAAGGCCGTCGTATTTGTCGTTTTCCAAATCTGCCTGGCATTCTTGTCCTCTTTTCCCTGTAAGCAATCATTTCCAATTCTTCTTCTCGCGCATGTGAATTGACGTGGCATGATCAGTTGTTTGGTTGAAATGGTGGTCCGATAGCAACACAGACGTCCGCGACAGTCGGACAGGGTACTACATTGGTGTCTACTCTGCTATGCAAGGTGCAGCACTGGTTGCATCCGGGTTGGTAACATGGTGAGTAAGACAATAAAACGCTGCCAGGGACACGCGTTGATTAACTTGGATGTGCGAAGGTGGACGTTGAATGTACTGGCAGTCACCACGGGCTTTCAACTTCATGCGACTCTGGCGAAGACACTCATGCGGTATGTGCTTCCCATGCAAATTAACCTTGGATCTGGTTACTGATGGTGACAAAAGTGCTACACTGAAATTGGTCGGTACCACCGAAGGTGGCGGCATATTGAACCGGTTCACACAAGATATCCAGCTGGCTGATGTCCAGCTTCCTCTTGCGCTTCAAGTTGTTGTGACCAGTACGTATCAGACTCATCAATGCATTTACAGCCAAAAGCATTAACTAAAGTAATTGTGTATAGACCTCTTAATCGGCATAGCGCAAGCCGGTTTGATTGCTTCAGCATCGGCGTGGATTGCTGTCAGCTATCCGTTTTTAGTTGCCGTGTTCTTTATCATCCCCAAGTACTATGTCCGCACAGCACGACAGATCAGAACATTGGATCTGGAACAAAAGGCTCCGTTATAGTCAGTAGTTCTGTACTATTCTCATCCCTAGGCTTTCTACTGACTTCTCGTTAGCGCTCAATTTCTCGAGACTCTGGAAGGTATGACCAGCATCCGAGCCTTTTCATGGCAAGGTTCGTCTTTTGGGAAGAACTACGAACTAGTCGACCAGTCCCAAAAACCGTTCTATCTCATGTACGTGATCCAGAAATGGTTAAGTCTGGTCCTTGATATGGCCATTGCTGGCCTGGCTGTTCTCGTCGTTGGCGTTGCCGTGGCACTGCGTGATACAGTGTCGGCTGGATTCACAGGTGTCTCGCTCACTCAAATTGTCTCGTTCACTTCTTACCTCAAGATGATGATTCTTTTTTGGGCTCAGCTTCAGACCGCGATGGCTGCAGTGGAAAGGATCCACCGTTTCAGTCGAGACACTGAGGAAGAGTCCTGTCCGGACCCGGCATACCAGCCTCTTCCTGAGTGGCCAGCGAGGGGCGAAGTCCGTATTCAAGGCCTCTCTGCCCGATACAAGTAAGCAGCCCATGCCCCCTGAATCCCTCCCGCGTAGAACAGCGACTTATGCAGCGTGATAGAGATGACTCCCAGAGTACTGTTCTGAGTGATGTCAACCTCGAGATCGGTGCAGGAGAGAAAGTGTGTATTTGTGGCCGCACGGGAAGGTGAGCTATTGAATACCTTGATCTGTATGTGCGACAGAAGTTGACAGTGCATCACAGTGGCAAGAGCTCCCTGGTCCTCATACTACTTCGCCTACTTGATCCCTTCGAAGGCACCATCACCATTGATGGGATCGACATTGTCTCTCTCTCTCGCGACCTGGTTCGGGCGCGCATCATTGGAGTTGCAGAAGAGCCCTTCTTCTTCCCAGGCACTGTCCGCCAGAATATGGATCCGTACGGTGAGGTTGCAGACGACGCCATGGTACAAGCACTAGTCGATATGAGCTTGTGGCGCATCTTTGAGACCCATGGTCTCGATACAAAACTGGACAAGGAGATGATGAGCCATGGTCAGCGGCAGTTATTCAATATCGCTCGAGCGTTGCTGAGGAGTGGGAATTTGGTAGTATTTGATGAGGTTACCAGCAGGTTTGTTTTGCCCATCACCAAGTCTCAGCCAACCGGCATGCTGACCTGTTTCATGTTTCAGTCTGGACAAGGACGCAGAAGCGGTCGTCAACCGCGTCATTCAGACACGCCTGAAGTATCATACGGTCATTTCTGTCGTGCATAAGCTGGAGTTTGCACTTCTCTTTGATAAGGTGATTGTCATGGACCAGGGCCATGTCGTGGAATTCGGTGCTCCCGCCATTCTCATGGAGGGCGAGTCAAAATTTCGCAAGTTATATGAGTCTCAGAGACCCGTCTCTGATTAGACGTTATGGATATGCTTCATTAGTATCTTATTTTGCTAAATCCTCCTAGTTTGAGTAGCATGGCTGATCTTCTTGAAACCAACTGGCTTGCTTCTCCTTGAACTGTTCTTCAAAACATGGCCAATTGTACGGATAACGACTAAGCCAGAAACACAATGACCATCCGCATGAAGTTTTAGGTCCCAAACCCATTTCATGATTCCCATCACACCTTATCTAAGCACAAATTTCCGTAACTCCGCTCGACCCTGTCCGGAATATCTTAAGTCCTAATATCGTCCCAGCGCCGGAAAAACAATTTCTTTCCTGATTCAAGCAAGAACAAGTCGTCAGGGAAGCCCCAGACTGCTTGCTAGATCCCAAGAAAAATCATAGTCGGCGTGGCCACCGAGCTCTGCGAAAGTAGACTCGTCCGCGCCAAGACGCCCGAGGAAAGGCGAAAGCAAGAAGGGGAGGCCGCCGGGGGCCGGTGTGACCGGCGACGGGGCACGTGAGGTCAGGACCGAGTTGTGAAAGGGGGCTCGCTTCCGCATCTGGCCTGGCACGACTTCAGGATACGTATCGTAGTAGTCTGTCTGTTGTGTGATTGTGTAGGGAGAAGCAATGGGTCCGTCAAGGGCACGGATCTGTGTGCCGCTGAGGAACTGGTCTATGGATGATGCCATGACTGCCGCGGGTTGGTAGTTACGAGACATGATGCCCAGAACCTGGCGAAGATAGACAATATCTGCCTTGATGAGTCGTCTCATCTCTGGCGATGCCCTCGACCTTGGGTTTGAAGAATGCTGCTGCAAGAGGACTTCGCCCATCAATGAGGACGCCGCTATCCCAGCATGCTGTACGGCCGTGCCAAAGGCCTGGGCCGGGTCGAAACGACTGCTGTAGTGTTGAAGCACTGCGACAGTCCGTCTTGCAGAGTCAGCACACACCGAGCGGCTGAGGGCGATGAAATGTGATCGGATAGGAGCGTCGCTGTCAGTGCCGGCACCGTTGTCGGTCGTGCTTGAAGGATCGAATTCGCGTGTTGGAGGGGATGCAGTGACTGGGGTAGACGCCAAGGGGTCGCAATATGGGACGAATGGGCGATGAAGGAGGATCAGTGAGGTGTGGTAAGCGGTGCTGGTCATTCAAGTCAGCAAGCAACACTGCCCGAAACCAAAATGGAGTTGGAACATACTGGAGCAAGAAATATGAAGGAGGCATCGTCGACTGCTTCTCAGATGGCCACTTCAAGTCTTCAGGTAGCCCCGAGTACCATGACTTGAGCTCCTGACCCATGGCCACCATTTTGAAGTAAGCTTCTGTGGAAGATGCGGAAGCCGATTGATGTTCTGGGGTCGAGGTTGGGGGAGGAGGTCTTGGCGCTTCCGAACACAATCGGCTAACGAGCTCCATCAGTCGCAAAAGAGCCTCGTAGATGCGTGTTCCAATCTTCTTCTCATGACCAGACGGTCGACACGCCGCAAGGCGGCCAAAGTCAAAGGACAGGCAGGCAGTCGAGATATCTGATGTCTTGAGATTCGTAGGACGGCCGAGATATAAGGACCAGGATCTATGTAGGGTCCCGTGAGCAACTACGTATGGCTTCCCTTCAGTAGCAACACTCACTTGTCAGTTACGAGGCTCGCCCACAGAGTCATATGCCTGATTTGCGTCTCCCGTTCGGTTAGCTTCAGCAGGCTCGGGTCTGCATGTAGGCCAGTATCGAAGATCATGCGGAATGACATCCCCGTGTAGATCCAACCGGTATCGTCTCGACCACTGTAAAATTCCATGTCTCCCAGAAGCTGGTAGGCCTGTATCGCGGGGATCCCGCCTGGCCTGTCCATCTCTAGCTTCGCCATGGCCCGTGCTTTCTCATGCAAGGTAGAGATGGCCCCATTCCCCTGGCCAGCTACAGTCAGACGCTGAATATCCACCCGCGATTTGTCCGCGTAACGGAAGCCAATTGCCAGCATCACCATGTGGAGGAATGTCGAGTAGAATTGGGTGCCTCCACGATCCTGATCATTATAGAAAGCGTCAAAATGCACCAAGTGCACGACCGAGTTGTGGCATGCCCAGAATAGATCCATCAGGTAATTGTGAGTTTCGGGCAGGACATCGCGGGCAATCAGGCAGATCGGCCAATGGGTTTCGCGGCGCTCTCCTCCAGCTACCGTCACTGGCCCAGCACTTCCCCGAGGGTTACTTAAGGGGGTACACATCCCGTTCGTAGCGCCTCCATATTCCCCAGATAGGACATTCATGTTCGCCGTGGGGCCGAAGTATCGGGTTCGTCCTGTCGTCATGTCAAATCGCATAGGCAGGGGGATAATTCTTCGGATAAGGGTCGAGACCTCCTCAGTATCGAAACCCCTGTCGGGCTGCTCAGGCGAGGAGTCAGCGTCTGTGGAGACCACTATGGTACCGGGGTCCGGCTCAGTGGTGAAGGACACAGCATCGTATGGTGGCGGCTGGTCTCCGTGGTTCGAGGCAGAAGTCATTTCGATGCCAAATGAGTTGACCGCCGCAGCGCGCTCGGCCTCGTTCTGGGCTTCTTGTTCGCCCAGCCTTTGCTCGAGAACCTGGATGCGCTGAGAGAGAACACTGGCGACTGCTTTGGCCGAGGCACGACTATTGATGGCATATTAGACTCAGCCTTTCCGGATGGAAGTACACACAAGAAGTTTTGCGAACCTTTTTCGCCCATCCTTCTCGTCGAAGATGCAGTCATGGCCATTGTCTCGGCAATGAGAACAGATCCTAGTTTCAGAGTCGACGAGACACTTACACACGCGACCGATGTTAGTAAGCGGCCCATGCAGCACAACATTCATACTATATTCCAACTCACTCTTATGCGGCCCTTGCGGCAAGCTGTGCAAGCTGCACTGGCACGGTTGCGATGCCTGGCTGGGATCCTGGACTCTGACGAACGAGCCATCTTGATCGGAAGAGTCACGGACAAGGATAGAAGGGGAATTTCACGATCATGATGACGTGGGACGACGAAGGATAGCCCCAACGACGCTGGAGATATACCTACTGGGATTCGAAGAGCACAAAGGGACGGTCAACGTATATGAGGGCTGTTGATATGTAGCTCTACAAGTAGTCATCGAAATGGGGCCTTCACTAATCAACCCCGGAGCCGGTTCCCCCTCCACTTTGTTCTTAAGATCGCGTAATGTCGCCCCTAGGCGAGCCTAGATGCACAACCATCAAAGGCCCTAGCTTCCCCAGGCGTTCCGAGACTCCGAGATTCCGTCCACCAAGTTTCCACTCCACCACTCCACGAACGGCCCATGGGCAAAATCACCCCCGTGAAATCTGCTAGCCCCTAGAATCGGCCCCACACGAGGAACTTGTTTGAGATATTCACCCATTTGGCACGCTGAAGAGGGGTTGAGACGCATGGTCATTTTGGGGGTTCAAGGCAAGTGGCGAGGTAATAGCAGGTCCCAGGTCTACCAGATGCTCGCACACATCCTTACCCAGTGTGTCACACGTACTCCTAGAATCGAACTCTCTAGAAATGGCTCCGGAGGAAGAAGGAGGACTTTGTGAGTGTGACTCGTCAACAAGACTTGGCAGGTTCTCCTCTCAGCGGGGACATAGATCGGACACCGTCCCAACTCGCCTGCTTCGAATGCCGGGGATCTTGAAGTGCTCAACCTTGCCTCCCCTGTGCTCTTCATCCAGCACTTCTTTGATACTGTCAAAAGATATGATGGTTCGCTGCCAGCACCATTCATCATCGTGCCGCATATAGAACATTGAAGCCTACATTGACATTCGCCTGACGAGTCGCCGGGCTGACCACCAACAATCCAGACCAGAGGACTGCATGTCGTAGGATCATACGAATACAGATTGGCCAGGACATTCATGTCATCATTAGCTCCACTGGTCGCGGGGATATTCCACTGCATTGCTGCACAGCAGCACACATGACCCACTCGATGCGGTTCCTCGGGCTGGGGGAGTTGACTCAAGGGGTATCTCGTCACTCTGATTGGTGTTGATCGTTCCCGCGAGTCCAGCCAGGACGCCCTTGGACACCGTGATCCATGCACCCCATATTGAACCCTGGGACATCCAGCATCGCCCCTGAGATAAGATCCCTGTTCTTGGTCTGAACAAACACTCGCAAGCGTCGAGTTGCTGCATCTTGGTTCCGCGGGCCCGTTAGCCTTTGATACCTTGAACGCATGCGCCAAGATCGCGAGTTACACCAGACGCACCAGCTATGCGCACAGGGCGCGCTTGAAGCCGCTGCGTCGCTATGCAGTTGTTGGTGCTCGGAAAACGCTGTCCGGACGAGACAAGCCAGAGCTAAGAGCTGATGTGGGGGTCTTGGTGTGGGGGCCAGGCTTGCATGATTGATTTCTCCCTTGAGAAATCAAGAGTCTCACCGACATTCACTGGGACCGTGGCCACTACGCCCGAGGGCGTATTACAGTCTCGCGGCTTAATACACTGATAGCCCCTCTGCACATCAAATGGAGCATGAGAATAACAGACATAATGCGGTATAATATGTTTTCACTAACCAGTTACATCATCCCGTTCAAATTGCAGACGCTTATTATATACCACTTGTTACCTTGAGCCTTCTCACTGCATTTTCACTTGTCACTTAATAAAGATTTGCGCCAAAGGATACACCAACCCAGCAAATTAAATATAATTTTGTTCAGCGCGTAAACACCAAGAGAATTGCCCCTTATGTTGCAGACGAGCTAAATACCATAATTATATTATGGACTTATTTAGAGCCCTATATTCCGTCAGTCCGCTGGTATTCAAGGTTGAGAGATTGACTTCAGCCATATTGATCCCAGGCGCAAAGCCAACCCCCATCAAGGTTGGGTTGCGTGTCTCGCGGAATTTTTGTATATCTGACGCTTCCTCCTTTACAACTAGGACAATAAAATATACTGAAGGCGGCTGGTTCTACTGAGCATCAAAACTCTGATGAAGTGCGAGGATATTTATATGGACAAAATGAGATGTCAAGCCGTGATATCCTTGCATTGCTTTGTTCGATACTCGGGTACAGGACCAGGATGACTAGTCATTGACCACTCGGCCTGCTTTTGTTCAGACTGTTCAATGTGGACCAAACCCATCTGAGGTATCTCAACCGTACACCGTATCCACGAATGGAGTAGTCAAGATGATCGCAACACCTGGCTCATTAACATAGCTTGGTGCGGAGATATGCGGAGTAAAGACACACCCGTGACAAGCCATCCCGGATATTGGAAGCGAGCTTCTTCCCGATCCAGGCTAGCCCCCCAACCCGTGGCTCAGAATCAAGGGCCACTGGTTGCCAGGCTCTTCCAGATCTGTTCCGCTCCAATATTGACTAGATAATTTCATCTGAAATCCAGGGATATGTGTATGCTCTGGTCGTACCTACCAAGGTTGTATTGATAAAGAAGTTTTGTGCCTCCCAACTGTTGTCATACCTATCCAAGAGCATCTCCACCATCATCAACAGTGAGATCATTTCCACAAACACGTCACCCAGGATGATGAACACAGAGCCTCTGATCCGCGTCACTGTCATGGTGAAGCGAAGGAAGGGCATGACGGAGGAGGAGTTCGACAAGTATTGGGTTAACAACCACGGTCCTTTAGCCGCACCATGGCTGATGCGCCGCGGTATCCTAAGATATGTCCAGGTCAGTACAGAGCCTTTCAGCAAAAACAAGTCAAGTCTAACAGCATACCTAGTACCACACTACCTCCAAGCATCGAAACCTAGCAAGGAAGATGTCCGAAGCCTTTGGCCGTCCCATCTTGGACTACGACGGGTCTGCTGACTTTTATGTGCGTAAATACGAGGATTTCGAGGCGGCCTTCTTGGATCCGGAGTACAAGGAGAGGATCCGCCCGGACGAAGAAAAGTTGATTGATATGGACGCCATCGCCGTGACTGTGGGCGTTGAGTATGTGGCAATCGACGATGGCAAGATCATGGAGCACCATCTTAGAGAATTCTAGTTCTTTGGATCATGTATGATGTTATACGGAAGTCACATAATCACTCTATCACACACCCGAGATAAACCCGCTTTACCCTTGCTCAGCCCATACTCCTCAAAGATCCTCCTGGAACTCCCAGACTCAAATATTCAATCCTCATTTATCATTTACATCAACCAGGATCTTGACGTGACTGTCTTTGTCATGGATCAAAGTCTTGATGCCATCTTCAACCAGATTCTCTAATTTGATCTTTCGTGTGATCATGCCCTTTGGGTTGATGGCGCCTAAGTTGCTGTCAGTAGTCATTTCCCAAAGTGTCCAACCAACCGTTCGAACTGACCTGTCCTCAAGTTTTCAATAACAGCTTCATAGTCCTCCTTTTGGTACCCGAGAACAGATTTATAGGAACTCTCTTTCCATGTGATCCAGTTGGGGTTGAAGGGGATCTCCTTCTCCCAGATTGCCACATTGACAACTGTTCCCTTCACCTTGACAATCTCACATGCGCTCTTGATACTGTAAATGGCAGTCAGACTAGGCATCTCAAGAGAGTAACCGGATTCGGCTCACCTCGCAGGGACACCTGCGCAGTCGAACACGGCATCGGCTCCTCGCCCGTCACTGACACGCATTACCACTTCGTTGAGGTTGTCTTTTATCGGATTGACGATCTCGGTAGCCCCGAACTCGCGGGCAAAATTCTGCCTAGAGGCTGCAATCTCGGACACGATGATGTTGTGCACATTCTTGGCCTTCAGACAGAGGATGGTCGCCAAGCCGATCGGACCGCCGCCCATGACGACAACGACCGCCTCGGGTCCGAGCCCCGGGGCCGCCGTGATGGCATGCCACCCTACGGACAAGGGCTCGACAAGAGCGCCCGTCTCGAGCGTCAAGTTTTCTGGAAGCTTGAAGACATGTGTGGCGCTTACACACACGGAGTCGCTGAGGCCGCCGCCGCCGCCGCTCAGGCCGACAAAGCCGCCATCATGGCAGACGTTAAGCGCGCCGTCGTGGCAGGCGGCACAGTGGCCACAGAAGATGGTCGGCTGGACGGCACAGTGCTGGCCGACCTCGAACCCCTTGACGTCGGGGCTGACCTCGGTGATAACGCCCGAGAATTCGTGGCCGAGGGTGACGGGGATGGTCTCGTGAGTGACGGGATGCGGGTGCTCAGGGCAAAAGTTGGGGCCGCCCAGGTATTCGTGTAGGTCGGTTCCACAGATGCCGACAAAGGCGGGTGCGATCTACGACCCCGCGCGGGGAGAGGTTAGCTGGGGTCCGGAGATGTCTGGAGATCAATTTTCTCCTGTCGAACCTTGACTTGTCCTGGCTTTATGGACGGCGAAGGGATTTGCTCGATCCGGATATCCTCCTTGCCGTAGTATCTAGCAGCTCTCATCATGCTGACGTATATTGCTCTAGGGAGCGATGCTCTTGGTGTTGGTCGTCGAGAGGGATTGACGACCAGACTGTCGCGCTAGTAGACGTGATGGCGAACGTAAGGGATGGGGAGCGGGCAAGATACGTGGGAACAGAGGGTGTCCAGGTATGCTTCGTCGGTTTTGCTGCAATGTTGCAGTTAGGTTTTGGATGATATGAAGATGTGTCCAGCTTGCATGTGAGCTTATATGTCCCAACGATCGATCACACCACACACTAGCATCTGCAATCGGGAACAGCGGGCAACAACTGCGCGACATTCGGGCGACCCCGACACTAGCAGTGAGGATCCTATCACCTGACGCTATTCCAGGGTCCACCTGTGAGTATCTCAGGCTAACAGCCAACACTTGTTGTGTTGCAGAATTCGATCCTTGCTTGTGTTCAGGTGGTATATCAAGCTCTACTGGAACTATTTTCGGTCCAAGTGATGATAGATTCTGCCTTGTATGCAGTATTTCAACTCTTTTGATCAGCTTGTAGCAATAGGTTGGCGGGGACTTCTCGTTAAGCACAAGACTTCCCTCAGACGGCTTCACACTGATCCACAATCGGATCGGTGGACTGTGCCTTTTATTAGTAGCATCTCACAGTCATAGGCTACTTCTGGTAACTAACACTATACACCTTCCATGCACTTTCTTGGCTCGAGATGTAAATCTGGCCGTTCCTGACGCCAAGGTACTTTCCGTTCTCCTTCTGCAGCGAATAGCCGTTACCGTTGCCCATGTACTTGATGGTGTACAGCTGGGCACCCCTCTCCGACTTGTCTAGCGAAGTGTGGCTAGACATCCACTTGCCGTCGACCGCGCTGTTGAGGTGGTAAGTGCCCTCGCTCCCCTTGCCGCCGTCAACGGGCGCGCCGCCCTTGGCGTGGATGACCCAGCGCTGCGTCTTCGACTCATGCTTGGCTGTGGCGGCAGTGAGCACGATATCGCGGGCGTCATTTCCTGGGTTGGTGATGGCGAACCCGTCTTGCTCAAAGACGAGCCAGCGGCCCTCCGTCAAGTAGCCTAGAACCTCTTTGAAGCCTTCTTCAACAAGCGTAGACATGTCCATATGGGCGTTCTCTTTTCCATAAGGAGGCATAGGCTTCGGGTCGAAGCCGAAGACGTCCATGCATCGCTCCATGCCGTCCCATTTACCATCCTTGTCCTGGGAAGGCTTGGGCATGATTGGAAGGGCGGGTATAGAGTAGTCGGGCTAATCGAAGGGGCGATCAGCAACAGAATCGTTCCTCGTGGCAGAGAAAAGCAGCGACTTACGTGCTCAAAGTCAAATGCGTGGACAAAGTTGGCCATGTGCTCGCGACGCCAAGGAGGCATCTCCTTGGTGCGAATGTCAAAGCCGAATTCCTTGAGCCACTCCTCTGTTGACACGATTAGCTGATCAGGGTGACCCTGTTAAGGGTTGACGGAACGCACCAACGAACAAAAGCTGGCTGACATGGTCAACGTGCTCGGTGAACACTTTCTGGCCCCGAGTCCAGGGAGAGATGATGTGCATAGGAACGCGGAAGCCTTGAAAGAGCCTAGGGGTTAGAGCGAGGCCATATCGGTGACAGGAAGCCATCAACAAACCAGGTCCAGTGTAGACGTAACCAGAGTTGCCGAATGGATCGTTCATCCATTCAGCAGCGGTACCCTCAGGGCTGTGAAACGGGATGACGTGGTCTAGGCAAGTTAAGGGTTACTGCCAACGTCCCAACAGAGGCATTATATAATATGCTCACCTCCCCAGCCACCAGTTTCTGGAAAGAATATTAGCTCTTGGTAGATACATGGTGTTGTAAAGGAGCTGTCTGGAACGCACCATCGTACATGATGAACAAAACGGTATCGTTAGCCGACTCCCCGCGGGTGACAGCGTTGACCACCTGCTGCTGCAACCAGGCACCATCCTTGGGCATGTATGGGTTGTGCTCGGACAAGGCAGCGGGACCAATGATCCACGAAACAAGGGGCAGATCGCCGTTCATAGCGTCATCATAGAATTTCTGTAGGCCAGGGTAAGAATTACCCTTGATGGTCAGGTTGCTGTCAGGGCCAGCATTCATGTACTGGGTAAAATCCGCCAGAACATCATCTCCGTAATTGTCTCTATCCTGGTACACTTGCCAGGATACACCGGCTTCCTCGAGGTATTCGGGAAAGGTCTTCCACGAGAAAGGGTAGCACCCCAGACCAGGGCCGACTTCACATCCCGGAGTGCCGTTGTTATCCAGCACAGTACCACCTTGATCGGGAGTGGTCGGTCCGCCAGGGGCGTTGATCGTGCCGGTCATCCATTGGACACGATTAGGTTCAGTGGCACCGATGACGCCCTCCTGGTACATATCACAGAGGGTGTATGACTCGGACAGAGCAAATTGGAAGGGGATATCGCTCCTCTTCAGGTATGCCCAACTCATCCAAGTGTCTGCACACATAGTAAATCAGCACATTAGCTCTTCTGTGCTTCCATGTGATGCTGTACATACTGTTGGTTGCCCACAAGTTGTTTAGTCCATTGTTGAGAGTGGCATGGTTAGCTTGCCAGCTGTTAGAGCCGGCGCCACTGCATTGCATCACCTTTCGAAAGACATCAGACATGATCTTGCACCACGTGCAGGAGACTTCAAACCCAGTGACAGACTTACATCAACCCAATCACCTCCCTTGTACGGAAGGTACCACATGCTCAGCTGACGGTCAGCCTCTGGCGTGCTGTTGGTATAGATTATGTCACCCGTCTTGTTGACAAAGTAATCTGGTACAAGTCTGGATGATGATGCTAAGCTTAATACGTGATAATGGCAAAGAAAGGCTTTAGGCTCACTGCTGGAACACCGTACGGCCATCAGGGTTAACCTGACTTATGTTAGACTGGGTTCGCCGTCTCTTTCACTCCATCTGTTCACCTGAAGATTGGCATCCATGAAGCCGCGGACACCAGCCATGGTCCCATAGTACTGAGCAACGGTCTGTCAGTAGAAATTCTATTCAAGGATTGAAGCTTCACCAACATGATCAAAGGCTCGATTTTCCTGCATGAACATGACGACATGCTTGACGTCTTTCAAGGGCCCGGCCCCTCCAGTGGCAAACAATGCCGATAGAGCGGCAGCGGTGGAAACCTGGCCACGCATCTTTGATGGCGGAATGCAGTCGACCTGGAGCGTTGAGACAACGGAGCTAAGGGCACAAGGCCAGAGAGGTAACGCTTTGGTGATCCGGGGCTTGCGTCTCTCAAACTTGATTTACAACTCTCAGTCGGGGAGATGTAACATTATTTAAATACAAGGCATGGTAGTATGCACCCGGATCTCATGACAAAACGCGTTCTGCCGCCGGAGTATGTACATGTACAGACTCCGCTGCGGACTTCGTCCCGACCCAAGTTCAGCACGGGTCTCAAGGCGATATCAATATGTCGTACCTTATTCGTCCGAATTGTACAGAAGAATCCTTCGGGTTTACCTTGTTGCTGAGATAGATACTAAATGTCAAGCTAAACCTGCTTGGAGATTGATGAGGATCTCCCAAGAGAGCACCATTCACCCGTTTGACAGGGGCAGCCATGTCAGTGCATCTCATCGGATATGCACAATCCAGGGGTTCCCAAGCTTTGGGCATTATGAAGGAGAGGTGTGCTCGTCACATGGACTTGCGAAGGCTTATGCAAGACCTGTGTGAGTAGCATTTCCTCCACCACAACACCTTCTTCGATGCAATTTCCTTCATTTCCGTTCGCCAGTCATTCTCAGCGAGTCAAAGAGCCCACGCGGTCGTGAAATGCGGGGACATTAGACAACCCACACCTTTATTCCCGCATTGGTAGCAGTCATCATTGGGTGTTGAACCAGGTTTTGTCGTACCGGGATGCGGCCCCCCAGCTGTGCGAAGTAATATGATGGTTTGACAAGCTCTTATCAATGGCGAGCGTTCCCGGAGATATCTCTCAATTTATGAAACATGCATTTCGTTCCCACCTGAGATGCCTGTGCCGTTGAAGCTAGTCCTAGATGGATCACACCGCCGTTGGTCTCGAGATGGGCAAGGGGCAGAGAGCACCCCGTACATGCGTCTTTGCTATAAGTGCTCCTATTGGCTTCGAATCGTAGGAGCGTTTGTTCGGGATATGTTATCGTTGCTGGCTGTTTGTTGAAGTGCGGTTCAATCTCCTCGAAACAGCAATCTGCGGCAAGAATGCCCAAGCAACTTGATTCCGGCAAGCACCGGGGGCGACTTTTCTGGCTTTTGAATGGCGGTCTGCTCTCATCGGCTTTCGTTTTGTTCTTTATATACTTCTTCGAGCCACTTTCGTTTAAAAGAGGACTGCTTCGTTCACGGTTTCCCGTCGAGTCCACGAGAAATACACGGCTCTTTAACGCCCAGCTCAGACCGGAAGCTCACGAAAGCAGAGAGAACACCACGATTCAACTAGATTGGACAGTCACGAAAGGCCTCAGATATCCCGATGGAGTGGGCAAGTGGGTCTACCAGGTGAACGGTGAGCGTCCTCCGCTTCTTTGCATCCCACCCGTCGATCTCTCTCGGAACTCGGCTGACAAAGTGTCTCCAGGCCAGTTTCCATGCCCCAGTATTGAGGCCAGAGCAGGGGATACTATTGTCATCGATGTCCACAATCAATTATCGGACGAGGGACTAGCACTCCATTTCCATGGGCTGCGTATGGAAGGTAACGACCAATACACAATCCCAGATGCCGATGTCCAGATTCGCCTCTATCAATTACTCCACAGAAACATAGCGGAAGCGCGTTCTGACCTCTTACTAATGCGTCGTCCCTTTTTCCAGGCGCAAACCACATGGACGGCGTGGTCGGCATCACTCAGCGTGCCATCGCTTCCGGTGAAAGCTTCACCTACTCTTTCCGCATCAGCCCAGCCCAGGCGGGTACCTTTTGGTGAGGACTCGGAACCCTGGACTTACCGGGATGTCGCTTTGGCAGGATACTTTGCTGCATAGCCTGCATATCCCTGCTGCCCACGTGTGCACCACTAACAAGATATCCTCTCTTGTAGGTGGCATTCTCATGCAGAGTTTCAACGTGCCGACGGTCTATACGGTGCCTTCATCGTGCATGCGCCTAAGGCAAGCGGCGAAGCACTTGGTTCGATGTCTGGCTGCGGCGCAGAGTATGACGAAGACTCGGTCCTCCTGATCGGCGATTGGTACCACTCGCCAGCCCAAGAGGTGCAGGAAAATTACGATAGCTACACACATTGGGGTCTTGAGCCAGCTCCGGACTCGCTACTCATCAATGGTGTCGGCCTTTTTAACTGTCCCAGGCTTCCACACTGGAGGAAGGTTGAATGTATGTCCACGACGACACCAGGCCTGGCCCCACGTGGGAGTACTTCACGTCTGCGAATCGTCAATGTTGGGTAAGTCTATTGCCGCAAAGCATGCAGCTGCGTTGGATTGAGAACACAGGCCATACTGACAACAGGACGGTGTACATCTTAGCGCCATGTCAGGATTCAGTTTTCACATACCTAGAGCTAGAATCACAGTGCTGACAGTCGACGGCGGCAATGCCGTGGCACCACAGAACCAGACATGGTCGGCTGTAGGCACCGTACATCCTGGTGAGAGAGTGGATCTTCTTGTGGAATGGATGGACGCGGACGCATTCGAAATCATCCTAGATCGAGAGTATATTCTGCCAGTTCTCTTGCATGTTACACTGTGTCTGACAGATTTCTTAGATACTACCGGTCAAAAAATCTCGCATTGACACCTGAGCAAGCTTTTCCAGTGATTCGGGCGGATGAAATACAGGGCGGCCGACAAAGTCGAGCCACGACCCGCTCTCCAAATCCAACTGCACTGGACCTCGTCGAGCTTACCGGCGTACAGCTATCCGGGGGAGCCCTAGGTGGAGACAGACCAGATCATATTGTGCAAATATACACAAAGATTGAACTACTAGCACATCTTGAGAACAGGCCGAGAGGTTATATCAACCATACATATTGGATACCACAGGAGGATGACCCTTTGATTAGCACTCCGAGGAAACAATGGAATGAGCATCAACAGGTGCCATTTATCCCCCTGGCCAAGAAGAAAGACACGTGGGTTGATCTTGTTATCAACAATGTTGATGAGCTTGGTCACCCTTTCCATCTTGTGAGTCGCTACAGGTGACAGCCAAGTGCTCCCGAGTTGTCTTTCTTCCTTGACTGACACATCAATCAATGCAGCATGGGTACGAGTTCTACATCGTTTCCTCGTTTCACCCGAAGGAACACCTAGGCTGGAATGCATATAACGCATATGACGAGCGCAAAGGGCCTCCTGGAGGTGCCTATAACCTCAAGAGCCCGTTGAAAAAAGACACCGTGTTTGTGCCGGCTGCCGGATATGTAGTGCTACGGTTCAATGCCGACAATCCTGGACTCTGGTTCCTGCACTGCCATATCCTTTGGCACCAAGGGGTCGGTATGGCCATGACACTGGAAGTTGAAAAGTCAAATGATACCCTTCAATAATTTTTTCTTTCGAGAGCCGATCAAGAGCTCAAATCTGACAGGAGATTACTTCCGCGTTCTGACCTCCCATCTTGTTTCCCGCCTTATAATTTCGCCTTGTCTCCATGCTTGATCCTTTGAACCTTCTGCACGAGCTGTACAACGTCCTCAGCACAGCCGTAAGATCCCTGATACCCCCAGCCGGCATGTCCGTAATTATGTATAATCCAGGTGTCGGAGTCGAGCTTCTCCTCCTCAATGCGGGCTCCTCCTTCCCGGTAAGGGCGCAGGCCCACAGCATGTCGGATGACACTCAGACCACCGACGCCTTTGCCACCAGCAATCTCGGGATACTTCTTGACTATACGGTCCATGATCCGATTAGCAATGTTCAGATCCGGTTGCGATTCCCAGTTCCCGATATCATAAGTTCCCCCAAGGATAGAACCGCCACCCGCAGCTCGCGTCATGGCGTAGCACAAATCCGCATTCTCATCGTCATCGTTTCCACTAGTGACAAACATCGGGACTTCATTACGAACAAGTACCACCTGCCCCCTTGCGGGCCTCATCTTGGTGTCTTGAACGTCCTCTAATTTGAGAGCACCGAGCCCTGTGGAGTTGACAATGATGGTCGCAGGCTTGCCGGTGTGACTGAGTCCCCTGGCTTCCTTGATGTGCGACAGAACGCCTCGTTTCAAGACGGCACCATTCTTCAGAAGCTGGCCGACCAGCCATTGAAGGTAGATGGCCGTGTTGATGCAGACACTAGAGTATTCTGAAGCTGAATCATAGCCCTCGGGTACTTCGTCCTGGCGGAGGTCCCTGTAGTCCTCGAAAATTTCGCGGAACCAAGGGTTGGGATCGAAGATGCCCGCGGGGAGAGCCGAAGCATCCTTACGACGCCTGAATATTTGACACTCTACAGAGAGTCAGTGAAACTAGACTTGCATCACTCAGTGGGACTTTGCTCACTTTGAAAATGAATGCCGGCTTCGGGTACTTGCTCGCACAGCCGCTTCATCTCTTTCCATGTGACAGTCTCCCATTTGCTGTCTTCTTTTGTTGCCATACTGGCAATCAGGTTGTCAGCGTTGGAGCGAGACGAGCTGCTAGGCAGATAGACAACCTAGACTTACGGAAGTACGTTTGCACCGGCAAAGGGCGAGGCATACTCGACATCATAGTCGCCGGGCATATGCTTGGCAACGACAGTGACGGTGTTGGGCTTGTCGCGGGATAGCAAGAGCGCAGCTGTCAGGCCAATTACGCCCGCTCTGGGAACGACATCAGTATCCCAAGATTGGAAAGCAGGCTGAATTGTTTGTTTACCCTACGACCACAACCGTCTCGCCCATCGTGATCCTTGCCCTATGCTTTGCGTTGTGTATTGGTCCCGACGAGGTCGATGACAGGAGTGTTGGACACTCCGAGGTCGGGTTTGAAGCTATTGATGCCAGGCCTTCAATCACTATAAGAAGTTAAATGCTCTCCGCGCAATTGGCCAGTTAGATAAGCTCTTCCAAATATTGGCTAGGAGGGGCGACCCGCACAGGTGCGTGGTGCAGGCAGTTATCGTCGGCTACGAAACCCTCAATGCTGAGACTGAAGGCTCGGCGCCCTTATTTATGGCCGATATCTTGGGATGTGGCCTTACCATCGTGCTATTGCGGATAACAACAGCTCATTCATTGTTGACCCATGTCAAAAAATCAAGGGTTTGGAACAGCGATGTCGAGATTAATGGCACGATGCCGGAACTTCATCTGTGATCCCTGATTAGAACCTAGCTATTTCGTCCTGTTACAATATTGTACAAGACAGTCGAGCTTATCGAGAAATAGCAACGACATTTATACGCATTCACCAACCTTTCTTGGCTATGGTACCTGCTAAATATAGATTAGCATAGGCATACAACATCTCTACTGTCGACAACAAGCGGCTCTATATCAACTATTCATGGTCTGGAGGACTTCACACAGTACCAGCCGGCGAAGCGAGCATTACTTCGTGGGCTCTAAATTAACCCCCGGCGCTTTCTCCAAGGGGAGAGATACCCTAAGTCTCTTGTGCGTAAACACCACACCTTGTGCTCCGTTCGCGGTGGGCGGGGAGGTTAGCCGCCTCCAATTAGCCGACCAAGCCTAGCCGACCAGCAAAGGGGCTCGCTCGATCATGCTGTGGAATCCGGAGTGCCCCATTCCCATACATTGATTCTGCCATTGCCATTCGTCTTTTCATTCTTTTCCCTGCTTCAGGCCGCCATGCAATTCATGAGGCCCGGCCCAGAGCCACCTCGGACATACTTCCTCTTCATACGAGGAACCGACTCAACTGGTTATTGTGGAGCAGGTCGAACAAATCGACTCGCCTCTCGTGATAACGCTGCAGAGTGAAGACATATTTGAGGGACTCGTACGCCCTGCGGAAGTTCTCTCCCTCCTCGGCCAGGCGCTGGTACCTCTCCATGATCCAGGCACGATGCAGTGCATCATCTGACTCAAGTGCAGCTACGAACAAGGGCCAGCCTATTCTTGTGAATGAGGAATCGCCCTCGTCAATGTACATCTGGTGCGCAATGTTGAGAATGCGCCCAAGAGCAACGCTCTGCCGTCTGTTGAGCGATGTCCCCCTACGGATGATGCGGAAGTAGCAAAGGACAGACGCGTGATAGTGGGCGACGATGCCACGGACGTTGATGATGAACGTGCGATGTGGACTTGACGGGTCCAGCTGCAGGGTATGCGCCAGGCCAATCAGCTCCGCGTACCGATCTGTGATCATGCCCATAATACGGACCACCTTTTGGCGGGCAACCTCGAACGCCTGGGAACCCGAATCTCGAAGCCCGACGAGTTTTGACAGGAGGAAGCGAACCTGCCCTGTGTTTCCGAACAGGTAGAAGGTTGCTCGGCTGTGTAGGTCGTCCAGCAGACGCTCCTGTGGATGGTTCCAATCCTCGGTCAGCTTACAGTTGGCATGCCTGTGGAGGGCATCAAAGCCTTCGACTAATGAGGTCTCCTCGTCCTCGGCGATGCCGACCATGGCCTGGCTGAGCATCTCGTTGAACAAGCCGCCAAATCCATTCAGAGCAGCAGCCCCGTCTCTAAACGCGATCCAGACCACCATGCGGCACGCAAACCCCGAGATGAGCCAGTCATCGTGATTCACTATGGGCTGAGGGCTCGCCCCCTGGTCAATCCCCCAGAATTGGTCGGCGTTGTTCTCCAGAATGTTCCGTAGATTGTGGAGCCTGCCCTGGATGAAGGAAGCAGCACCGCTCAGATGCGCACTCAAACCTGCCCCGGAGCCGTCTCCGAATCGTTGCTCGTAGTGTATCATCAGCCAGAGCGTCGCGAGGATGTGGTCCAGCTCTACCGTGCCGCCCCTGTCCTGTGCCGTTGCCAGTGCGAGGAGGTGGAGGGACGCTCCATAGTGCTCTACAGCTCGAACTTTCTGTGCTTCAGGGTCGATTGTGATGGTTTGGTGCTTGTAGGCCAGATGATGGCCACCCATGGCGCAGACCATGTGGAGGAGCATCTCGTCGTTCTGCGCCATCTTCCAGATGGTGGCAGCTACCGACAGCTCTGGTGGTTTTCTGTCGGCCGAGGGCCCCACAACGAAGCGAAAGTTGTGGATGGCATCGTAGTCTGCGGGCTCGAGAATCACAGCGCAGGCGTCGGAGACCCAGGGTCGGCCGGCACTCACGGCTGCGGGGGGAACACTCGGGGATGTCAGGGCACCGCCAGGGATGGATCTCGGGACCGACCCCAGAATCGAGCCCGGGGTGGTGCCGGCAGTGGAAAGTGGGGAGCGGTGGGCAGTCAAGGGCTCGGAGCTGGCGTCGCTGTGAAGGGCAGGGCGAGGTGCCTGGTGCTGCTGCTGCTGCTGCGACTTCTGTGGAGGAGCACGCCTTCGGGGGTAGGGTTTGCGTGCGCGGGGCTCGTAGTCGCAGACGCGGCCAAGACGGACGCAACGGCGGCACTGGGGTCGCTCCTCGTCGCATTTGACCTTCTTTTCTCTGCAGGTCCAGCACCCGGAGCGGGAGCGCGAGTGGGACGGTGTGGAGGCATCCTTGTCGGCCGCATCAGACGAGCTGGTCCGGGGAGCAGCCGGGATTGAGTCGGTGTCCAGCTCCATCGCTGATGGATGGTTGGCTGGCTGGCTGGCAAGTCTGAATTGACGACAGCCGATCCAACTTGGCGACGACCTGACCTGAGCACTGGGGGCCCTGGTTCGTCTCCTCTCAGTGGGCGGGACGAGAGGTGAGTCAGGGCCCAGGTGGATTCAAGAGAAGGGAGGCGTGCCCTAATGAAATAGCCGGTCGGCTGCTGGCCGCCCAACAATCAGCCCTGATAGGTTGATAGCGATTTGTTGGCTAGCCGGCCATGCCGCAGCTGGTCCCGAGCTAGGGAGGGAGAGGAGAGCATGATAAGCGCCGAAGTGTCTTTACTCGATCGGGACATCAGATCGACCTTGAGGTGGGCTCAGGTCTCGCGATAGTGATACAATACAGAGACTGGAAGGCCATCAAATCAGCATCATTGTTGTTGCGCATGCGCCGGGTCGATATGCATATCATAGTCTTCACGATGGAATAAAACCGTCAGTTCTATCACGGACGAAGATATGCATTCAGCCATCCAAGGCTATGATTAACCAGCGAATCTGGTGTCTATATCGTATGTATGTGTAGGTCATAACATCATGATGCAGCACAAGACTGCTCTTCTTCACCGTCACTTGATCTCACTCCCGGCCCTCCACGTCTCATCCCGCACATGCTTGAGGAAAGGCAGCAGCGCCGTGCCGCCCGTGCCTGTGAGCTCCGCCTGCGCGCCCTTTTGCCTCGCCAGGGCGCTCGATGCGCTCGCCAGGTTCTCCGCCCCCGGCCGGCCGGGTCCGTTGCGCCCCTGCCGCGCCGGCAGGATGATGAAGCGCGCCACGAGGTTGAGGTGCCTATTGCGGAACTCGGTCAGCGCCGCCGTGGCGCCCTTGTACGCCACCCGCAGGCGTGCCTCTTCAGGCGAGATGGCCTCGCCGTCGTTGCCTTCCCTATCCGCGATCTGCGCGACGTAGTTGCGGATGCTGCCGAGGCGGGGCAGGTGCTCGAGGAACCGACGGTGCGGGCCGGGCATGTAGCCACGGACCTCCTCATGGTAGCTCACTTCTTCCTTCTTGCCCGTAGGGCTTTGTCTTGTGGCAGGTTTGTGCTCCACGCCGAGCACCTCGTCAAAGAACTGGATGAGCGAGCTCTGTCCGTTGGATCCGCCGCGCAGCTCGGTCCACTTGCCCTTACCGTCTCCCTCGTCGAAGAATACACCCCGAGGCAGGCCCGCAGCGGACATGTTCTTGGTGCCAGCCAGGAAGGGGCGAATATCGTGGTAGAATACCATGGGGTCACAGCGCTCGTGCATGCGGTCGAGCATGTCGCCAATGGTACGGAAACGCTCCGGAAGCCACTCGAGGGCGGCGGACACAGAGTCTAGGTCACGAACACGCAGGGCTTCTAGGGCTCGGAGCATCTTTGAGATGACCTGGGCGCCCTGGCACTCCATAGCCACGGACACCATATAGAACCATGACTCGTCCTCAGTCCCAGTAAATGTGAGTAGGGCTTTGAGAGACTCGACATCTTCAAAGCTGGAGGACGGTGAGGCAAAATTCCACAGAGCGAGTCCGGCATAGGTCGCGACGGGTGGAAGTTCGAGATGCGAGGATATCTTGAGCAGAGGAACGGTGATGGCAGGTGGGAGAATCTGAAGTTGAACATGTCAGTCAGCCGGTGCTGTCGGTGACAGGTGGCCCAGGGATGTTATGTCGACACATACCTCCGCTGCCTTTTGGCCTCCCCAGATATACCCATGGGTGAGAAAAGTCAAGATAACATATGCTCTCCTCCAGTCTTCTTCACTACGTAAGTTGTCCACCGAGAGCACGGGGAGGAGGTCGACCTCGCAGCGGATGCGTTCTTCCTGGATCAAGAGAGGCAGTCTATAGGCTAGCCTCTCCCATGGCGCGTAGTAGGAGTCCGAAAGACGTTTTGAGGGAGCTGACTTGGGGAGAAAGCCATTCTCTGTAACGGCAAACTCTTTCGTAATAGCCTCGTCGATGACAGGGCTTATTGTTGGAGTGATCACCGCGTGAGGAGACATTGTGACAGAGTTGAAGTTGAAAAGGTTCAGAATTCACAGGAAAGACGAGGCTCTGAGTAGACTGCAATGCCAAAGTTACAAAAGACACTTTCTAGAGACTTCATCCATAGTTCATTAATACAGCTGAGAGCAGATTAAGGAAGTTTCTATGCTGTGCGAGCCCGGATGATACGGATGGCGGAAGCTCGAGCACGGAACCTTGGTAACGGATGCAACCACCCAAGAGTGGGCCTCGTCCCATTACCTCATATCTAGCCTCCTCGCGGCGATGAACTCTAGCTTGTGACCATATCCAACTTCATTCAGACATTTGCCCGCCAGGTTTGTTGATGTTAGCGTGGCGGGTGATGATGAATTGTGGAAACAAAAGTACGGCTAGTGGCGGATGAGAGCGGATGTTAGCGGAACCTCGGAAGACGGAAGCGCGAGATGAAGACGGAACTTAGGATGTTCTGCTAGTCCCACACGGAAGACGCATCACCATCCGCTCCCGTGACGTAGAACCAGCTACAAAGTGAGGGAAAGTTCCCCCTCACTGGTTTGGGATGCTCATGAAAGCAAAGAAGCTCGAACCAGCATCTGGCCATTTCTCAGCCCCAGAGAGACAATCCCAGAAGATATCATACGAGCATGGAGTTCACACAATATGTCGAGCAGCTGAGGGCCGGCCAACAGGTTCAGTTCCCTCCCAAAGCTCACACTCTCGACTACGCCAGGTCGCTCGACGCACAAGATCCTATCAAGCTGCGGGACCAATACATCATCCCCACTCAGGCGTCGCTGAAGAAGAAGGCTCTTGACGGCAAGATACCGTGTAAGGGGCACCTTGCGTCACTACTCGTAAGCATTAATCGTTCATTAGCTCACATGACCAAACAGCTATTGCCAATGGCCACGCCAACGGCCTGACTGATGGCCTTGCCAATGGGGACGCAAAGCATGAGGATGAGGATTCTACGCCGGGTGTCTACTTTTGCGGGAACTCCCTAGGTCTGCAGGCCAAGGCTGTCCGGCAACACATCGACGCCCAGCTTGAGACGTGGGCGTCGATCGCTGTGCATGGGCACTTCAACAAGCTGGAGAACTCGCCGCTGGCCTGCTGGCAGGACATGGCCGCCGATTGCGCCGCCCACTTTGCGGACATTGTCGGCGCGTCGCCAGAGGAGATCGTCGTCATGAACACGCTGACGGTCAACCTACACCTGCTGATGGCGAGCTTCTACCGGCCGACGGAGAAAAGGCACAAGATCATCCTGGAGTGGAAGCCCTTCCCCAGCGACTGGTACGCGATCGAGTCGCACATCCGCTGGCACGGCCTGGACCCGGCGCGGTCGATGGTGCCGCTGCACCCGGACAACGAGGCCGGAGGTGACGCGTACATCTCGACAGAGCGGGTCCTGGCGGCCATCGACGAGCACGCCGAGGAGACGGCGCTGATCATGCTGCCGGGCCTGCAGTACTACAGCGGCCAGCTGTTCGACATGCCGCGCATCACGGCGCACGCCCGGTCCAAGGGCATCGTGGTCGGGTGGGATCTGGCGCACGCGGCGGGCAACGTGGAGCTGCGCTTGCACGACTGGGACGTCGACTTTGCGGCGTGGTGCACCTACAAGTACCTCAACGCCGGCCCAGGCGCCATCGCGGGCGCCTTTGTGCACGAGCGCCACGGCAAGGTGGTGCCGGCGGCGGACGGCAAGGGCTTCGAGTTCCGCGACCGGCTGTCCGGGTGGTACGGCAACGACAAGACGTCGCGGTTCAACATGGCCAAGGAGTTCCAGCCGACGCCCGGCGCGGGCGGGTTCCAGCTGTCGAACCCTTCGGCGGTCGACCTGGCGTCGCTGCGGGGCGCGCTGAGCGTGTTTGAGAAGACGAGCATCTCGAAGCTGCGGAGCAAGTCCCTGGTGTTGACGGCCTACGCAGAGTACCTGCTAGACAGGATACTGGAAGAGGACAGACAGAACGGAGCGGAGGCGTCGTTCAAGGTGCTGACGCCGCGGAACCCGATGGAGAGGGGCGCGCAGCTGAGCGTGCTGCTCAAGGCGGGCCTGCTGGACAAGGTGGTGGACACGCTGGCCGAGGCGGGCGTGGTCTGCGACAAGCGCAAGCCCGATGTGATCCGGGTGGCGCCGGTGCCCATGTACAACACGTTCGAGGACGTGTGGCGGTGCATCGAGGCCATCAAGAAGGGCGCGAGGGCGTGATAGATGGCGGATAATGCATGAAGTAGATGCTCACGGCTATGATAATAATGAATCATCAAAAGAGCACTGGAGTTCAAGCGGTTCCCCCTCCGTCCACCGCGTCATGCCACAACCATGCGTGACCGTCGCCTTTGATTGAGGCCTAGACCCTGGCAAATACGACTTTTGAGTCCTCCAGCGCAGCTCGAGCAGTTTGGCTGCAGGAGTGAGGCTGCTTCAATTGATGTTTTGACCAGTCGCGGAGTCCGCAGAATCCGGGAGAATACGCTTATTCGGGTGCCCAGGTATGCAAAGTGGAGATCCCTGGTGAAAATGATGGATGACACCACCCGGGCCATCAGCTTTCCGGGGCCGTCTTTGGCCTTGGCTCTTCTTTTACCGTTCAGGGTGGCGTCTCTGTGTGGTCCGTGCCGCAGCCGCAAATTACCATAAAACTCTATCCCTCTAACCTCACTTCATGTCGTCTTCGATTCACCCAAACCTCACGCGCTCCACCTTTTGATTGGAAATTCATTTCTGACTAGAGGTCAATTTCAAGCAATGGCTCCTGGCAGACCCAAGTACGAGTTTGGCGGGCCGTAAGTCCTTCATCCCTCATCCATCGACCAGACCAAAACAAAGACCCCGGCCATGCTAACCCGCCACCCCCTTTATATCACAGGCCTGGTGCTACGGCCATCGTCTTTGGCTTGCCCATCCTTCTGCACTTCTTCTCATTCGCCTGCAATGACCAGTCCGGATGCCCGGTGCCGTCGCTGCTGCACCCCTCAACACTGACGTGGGAGCAGCTCAAGGCCGAGATCGGCTGGCCAGCCGGTGGCATCCGTGACTTCTTTAGCCCTCACGTCTTTGGCACGACCATTCTCTACTACCTCTTCAGCTTGGTTCTGTGGCGGTTCCTGCCAGCTCAGGAGGTCTGTGGTACCAAGCTCAAGAAGCATGGCCGCCCGCTCAACTACCGCTTCAATGGTGAGTCGTCTCCCACCGTAGGACCGTAGGGGGGGGGTTTCCAGCAGTATCAATGATGCTGATACTGTCCCGTCAGCATTCTCCAGCACACTCGTCCACCTGGCCGTCTGCGCTGTAGGCACGTATCTGCAGGGTGCCGACTTTGTTGTCTGGACCTACATCGCAGACAACTACAGGCAGCTGCTGACGGCCAACATTGTCTTTGGCTATCTCTTGTCCATATATTGCTATGTCACCTCATTCAGCGTCGACACAAACTACCCCAACAAGGACATGCGTGAGCTCGCCGATGGCGGCCACACCGGCAGCTTCATTTACGATTTCTACATCGGCCGCGAGCTGAACCCGCGTATCACGCTGCCCATCTTTGGTGAGATCGATATCAAGACCTGGTTCGAGATGAGGCCTGGTCTGACGGGCTGGCTGCTGCTTGATTTGGCCTTCATTGCCAAGCAATACCGCAACTACGGCTTTGTCTCGGACAGCATTATTCTCACCGCCTGCATGCAGGGCTACTACGTCCTCGAGGGTCAGTACATGGAGGCCGGCGTCCTGACCATGATGGACATCACTACGGATGGCTTGGGCTTTATGCTGTCCTTTGGCGACATCGTCTGGGTGCCCTTCCTTTATTCGACCCAGTGCCGCTACCTGTCCACCTACCCGCTGCATCTCGGCGTTCCCGGCTTCGCGGCCATTATTTCCGTGTTTTCCCTGGGCCTGTTCATTTTCCGCTCCGCCAACTCGCAGAAGAACCGCTTCCGCACGCAGCCCGACCACCCGTCCGTCAGGAATATGACCTACATCCAGACCAAGCGCGGCACTCGCCTGCTCACCCAGGGCTGGTGGGGCATGTCCCGCCACATCAATTACTTTGGCGACTGGCTGCAGGCCTCGCCCTTCAGCCTGCCGACGGGCCTCGCCGGCTACACCATCCTGCCCGCCTCCGCCGCCGCCGTGGCCGGCGAGGGCTTCAGGATGCTCGACGGCCGCCAGGTCATCCAGGGCGAGGCGAGAGGCTTCGGCGTCTTCTTCACCTACTTTTACGTCCTATACTTTGCCATCCTGCTCATCCACCGCGAGGGCAGAGACGATGCCATGTGCGCCAAGAAGTACGGCGAGGACTGGGACAAGTACAAGAAGACAGTGCGCTGGAAGATCTTGCCGTACGTCTACTAGATCGCATAGAGTCAGGCTCCACCAGCTACTGTGGCCTCGTGTATGTCTCTCGTGATCACCTGCACCCAGCGCCGACAGGGAAGCTGTAAGAGAAGACATAAAGAATCAAGTCAATAGGGGACTTGAAATTTTGCGAGGTCACGGATTGTGCGCAAGATCAAATCCATAGACCTACATTGTAATTAATGACGAGAAACAAGACCAATGCTTTCCAACTAGCGAGGCACGCGCAATGGGCCGGCCACAGTGCCAAATGTGCTGACTACTGACTGAATAGATCAGTCTAGACCTACGCGGCAGCTTTTCTAGGACTTGATAGTATTGTGTTGCAATGCCTTGCATATGTGCGTCACAGTCGCAGCTTGCCAGCCTTTTGAGGCATTTTGTTGAAGTTCCCTCCGGCGCAACTGAAGGCGGGCTGGACATTCTGTAACGTTTCGACTTCCCCCTGCTCTGGAGTTATAAGGCCTTGCGACAATAATGCTTCCACGTACGACCATAGATGGTAGAGAACTCGGGATCCCGTCCGCTCTCCCATAGATAAGCTGCCAATCGCCGGAGTAGTAGTTGGGTCGGTGACGACCAGCGAATGCCTGGTGTTGTACGTTCTTTTTCTCCTTTTTGGCCAAACCCCCTTCTTTTTGCTATGTGTATCGCTTTATTGTTCTCAGTAGTAGTAATTACCTAGGTGGTGTTTGGTATGTTTGATATTGGGACCTTGTTGTTTCCATAAGCTATAGTTCTGAGATGCAGACGCTCTGTAGAATCGTCCAGACTGCACTCCTGAGCAGACCGGGCTGGGTCTCTAACCGTGAACGTTGATTCATCACGTCGAACCAAGTACGGGGCATTTATTAAGTAGCTGAATGCGTCAAAGTCTTGTACAACATGCAGTGCATTGTGAATGCACCAATCCCAGCAATTCTTCGGACCTCCGGAGCCGCCATTTCAGCCTCTTTATCCGTTTGTCACTACTTTTCTCCAACAGCATCTACTACTACTTCTGCGATTCAACAACAACAAAACCAAAAACGTCGTAGATAATCAAGCCTCAAGATGCTCACTATCCTCATATCCGGAGCAGGCATATCCGGTCTCAGCGCGGCCATCGCCCTTCGTCGCGCCGGCCACCGCGTCACGCTCCTCGAGCGGTCTCGTCTAGCAAACGAGCTTGGCGCCGCCATCCATATTCCGCCCAACGCATCTCGGGCGCTCCTGGCATGGGGATTCGACCCGCTGCGCTCCAAGGCCGTGCGTACACGTCGCCTACGCCGGTTCGACGGCGTCACGCTCGAGCCTCTTGGCCGGGACGGTGAAGATCACAGCAGGATAGAGGAGAAGTATGGTGCGCCCTGGTTTCTATTGCACAGAGTTGACTTGCACGACGAGTTGAGGAGGCTGGCAGAGGGCATTGAAGGGAACGGCTTGCCGGTCCAGGTGCGGACGGGATGTGAGGTTGTAGGATACGTGAGTTTTGTTTTGACCTTCTGAGATCTCAAGTATATGTGTGGACTTACAAGGAAGTCGGCGCAGAATCCAGATGCTCCGTCGTTGACTCTGGCCGATGGAACTGTGATGAATGCTGACATCGTCATCGCCGCGGATGGCGTGCATTCACTGGCCGTCGAAGCTGTACTGAGTCAGCCGAACCCTGCTGTGCCATCTTCAAAAATGGACAATGACAACTTTTGTTACCGATTCTTGATTCCTGCGGCAGAAATCGAGGCTGACCCGGAGACCCAGTTTTGGAACGACAACTCGGATGGAGTGAATAGGTTTCTAGTTGGAAAGGGGAAGAGGATTGTGTCGTATCCATGCCGAAAGTACGTCTTTTATATTTGAGGACATTTCCGAGTTAACTGTCTGCGCTGGAGGCTAAAATTACAGTAGTAACGAACAACACAACTTCGTCGCCATCTTCCACCACGAGAACCCTTCGATGAGTAAAGAAGGTCGGTAGTTGACGTATGCCGCACAGCCAATTGCCTCGAACTCTAACTCTGTAAGCTTTGCAGACTGGCAGGCCACACTCCCAAAAGCAGAGCTTTTGAGCCGTTTCTCCGACTTCCACCCTAGTATAGTCGCTATTCTCAAGTATGTCGTGACTTCTTTAATCCCAACTAGGCAGTTGTGCAAGACTCTGCGTACGATCACCATCACAGGAAAGCCAACGAACCAAGTCAACACCCTCTACTCTACCGCCCGCCCATACACTCATACTACCGCCAACGGATGGCGCTCGTGGGTGATGCTGCACATCCCATGCTCCCTCACCAAGGCCAAGGGGGAGCCCAGGCTGTCCAGGACGGCGTTTGTCTCGGCATTCTCCTCTCTGATGATCCGAAGGACCCAGGTATCATTATGTCTAGGCTAGAACTGTACGACCGTATCCGCCGCCCTAGGGCCAGCGTCGTGACGATCTTTAGCAACGCCGGACAAGATGAAGCCCACAAGGTGCGCGAAGAGGTATATAAGTACTTGGGCGATGAGGCAATACCGCGTGAGTCTTGTGCCATGCATGAGTGCCGCCATCAGTACGTTGACTGACAATGCAACAGAGAGCCCCTCAGAGTTCCATGACTACAACTTTTCATATGATGTGATACAGGATTCTATTCGGTGGATGAGGAAGGAGGTCAACCGTGACTTTGAACTAAGAAATGGGTTCTTGCATGAGGGCTAGCTCAACTATGAGGGTGTCTTGCAAGAACATAAGAGTTAGAGACTTTATGGCTCCCAATACGAGACGGTGAATCTAATGCCCGGAAAGGCTACTGGGCAGTGATATTCTACAGCACAGGAATAGTAATGAACGAAAATACAGAATATTCAGCGACTAAGACGGCCAAGCGTCCCAACGAGATAAATCAAAAATCACAGAAGCTGTCCTGCAGCTCTCAGCCCGAACTCTTCATAACCAAGGACCACGCTACTCCGCCGCAGCATATAACCCACCCACCCAAGAAAGCTCCTCCCCGTCCCCCTCGCCCCAGCCAAGCACCCCCATGCCCCGTCCCACGAACCCCCAGAGCTCCTCCCCCGTGCCGCCCTCCTCCGGATCCAAGACCTGGAACCCGAACCCGTCCGTCGCGGCCGCCACAAAGGCCAGCACGAGGGCGACCCAGCCGCTCGCCGCGGCGGCGTCGAGGCTCCCGCCGCCCTGGCGGAACTCGACGGTGCCCCGCCCGCCGGGCAGCATGCCGGAAAAGTCCCACTTGTAGACCTTGCCCCGGACAAAGTCGTGCTTCTTCCCGTGGGCCCGGCCGTACGTCGACGCCGCGGGGAACATGTTGAGCGCGTGGACCACGCCCCGCGCCTCGCCCGGGTCGGCGGCGGCGTGATCGAGCAGGGCAAGACAGTCGGCCAGTCCGTAGCTCCGGAGGCTCGGGCTGGCGCGGCTGGACTGGCACCAGTAGGTTCCCGAGGCGCGACGGTCTCGGGGGGCCAGGGCATCGATGGCAGGCTCAAAATAGAGGGCGGCCTTGGCGACGGCGGCTAGCTCTAGGGCGGAGAGTGGCGTGGGCAGGCCCGAGATGTGGACGTGGGTGCTGCAGTGGTTCGAAGGATGGATGGTGAAGCCCGAGTCGTAGAGCGTGGCGAAAATGGCGTGCAGGTCGCCGGCCCAGTACCAGTCTGCTGGGTAGACAGGGGAGACCAGCTCGATGCCCCCTGACCAGGATGTGTGTCAGTAACATATGTACCTCTAGACCAAAGATGGAGACTCCAAGTGTTGGTGATCTATGACAGTAGTTTGGGCATGGGAGAGGATATATTGTACATAGGTTCTTGGCCGGCTGGTTAGGAATAGTGATCTCCTGAACCAACGACCACTCGGCATAGTTCTCTGCCGATTTCTCATTGCCCTCATTGACGTGGCAGTGGATGCCGGCCTTGAGCAGCTTCTTGCAGAGGTCTTTCGCGAGGGCTTTCCACGCGGTATAAGTCTTCTTCTTGCAACCAAGAAGAAGCTCAATCTCAACGCCGAATCGGAAGGGAGCTTGGCTTGCCATGTCTCAAGGAGGAGTGTCTGTAGGTAGTGGTGTCTGAGATGAAGAAGAAGGCAGGAAAGAAGAGCAGCAGAGTCACTAGGAGTTCTCTTCCGATATGGGAAAAGGGGCTCAAGAGACTATGAAACGACGAAGCATGGCACTAGGACGATCTGGCTCAGGACACTCCACAATGCTCCTGGGGTCTTTATACCTCACCGCTTCTCCTGAGCTTGATATCAAAAGTGATAGCATACTCGACGTGAAACGTAGTGTAGAGCTTCAAGGTCGGCCCCCTTGGTGGTCTTGGGCCTAGCAAAGCGCGTATCCGGCGAGTGAAAGCTTGAGAGGCTCCATGACACTTCGCTTTGTCCTGACTCTTCCTTCTCCCTCGTGCTTGAAAGGGGAACCAGGGGTTTCAAACCCACCTTTCAGCTTTCAGATTCCGGTCCTCCTGGAGCCATCTGACGGCCGGCGAGACGCTGGGCCATATCACACTAGGATCGGGGTCAGACTGTCCGACCAACCATCCCCTCGTTCTCTACTCTGACAAGCAGCAAGCAATGCACGATCACAGACGGCGTCTCGCCCATCGTGACCCGGCGCCACCGAGGCCAAACATCGACAAGGCTGCCGACCTATACGGAGCTGGCCCTTGGCTCCGATGTCATGTCATTTGTGACAGCAGCTAACCGCGACAACAGGCTAAAGAAGCAGGGAACAAGCTCTCTGATCCTGGCTTTGGGGAGGAGGGGACGACAAGATCCTGGCGCCAGACGGGGCGTCCGTTACGAGGAGCACACTGACTCTAAAATAGCGATATGATGTACAGAGAGAGAGGGGTCTGGTTCGGGACGTATCAAGGCAACCATCTGCTTGAGGAGCATACAGACTCGCGTCTTGGAAGGCAAGTAGCATGACAAGGATTGCGGAAATGCAGAATCAGAAATAGCAACATCAGGATGCCCCCCCGTACAGAACGCTTCTTCATGCGATCGACCGGTGGTGATGGAAGTGTAAGTTTGTCCAGACTCGCGAGAGCCCGGGATGGCGAGCCAATGGGACTCCCCTGTCGCGCCCGCTTGGGGGACCAAACATGGGTCGCACCGAGGCCGGTGTCAGAGCCGCATGCATCCGATCTAGCGTGCCTGAACCAAGTTGTTGGGAGGACTGGCGCATTACCCGCAGGCTGCCCCCTCAATGTTTCCTCGAAACAGTGCATCAGCGTCATTGGCCAGATCAAGGGACTGGGCTGGTTAGGTCTTGGGTTTGGGGGCGCACAAGGAACACGCCACCTATGAGAGCGAGGGTGTTCCTGGAGGGGAAGACAAGCATCCATGGATGGTATAGTGATGAGGTGTATGGAGCAGACTAAGCGCCGAGACACAGGAAGAAGCTGGGCGGCCTCGTCATACGCAACGAGAGGGGAGAGAGGGGGACGAGCATCGGCTTTGCCCGGACAGCGGGCAGTCCGTCCACCCCGCCAGGCAAGACACGACGAGAGAAGAAGCATGGCGAAGGAGCGGCGAGCATAGTGCATGAGCTCGCTAATCGAAAGAAGAAGCGCCAAAAACGAACGTATTGGCATCCTGGTTTCTGTAGCCGCCACTAGAGGAGGCAGGACAAGACGGACGCGAAGATCGTTGCCGTTGCGGCGCCATGGATCAGTGGGTAGCCCAAGCTTAGATGTGCAAATATAGCCCTCCACCATCGTTGCCTCCTCGTTTCGAAACAGACCAGGCGAGGAGTCAGGAGGCGGAGGAGCTCGAGCTTGCCGCCGAGACGAGTTTGTCCTTTGAGTGCGTGCCATGGGACCGAGGTGAGGACGACACAATGCCTGTGCCCAAGATGATCCGGGCCCGCCACCGTCTTGAGGATGACACCTTGGACACCCTCCCCTCTCGCCCCCCCCAGCTGGCTGAGAAAACGAAAGATGACTCCGGGAATGACGCAGCTTGCTCGTGACAGAAAAACGGGGATCCTAGAGATCTAGAGAAACAGCTCTAGAGGCATTGATAGAGTGGGGGAAAAGCCGCCTTTGGAAAGATCAGGGTCGTTTCGTTTGCTGGGGAGGCACTCAGGTGATTCACATCGGCTGCGGGGTGCTAAATCTGGTCGCTGTATGTGCTGCCAAGACAGCCCGGGCAGCTTCAGGAACTGGATTGAACCTACACTTGCACCAGCTTCTTCTCAAACAGAGAGTCTCAGACCCCCAAGATACATATATTATGTATGCAAAGCCAGCCAAACACGGAACTACGTGGGTGGTATCTCAACATCAAGACAAGAAAAGGAGCCGCCGCATCTCCAGACGAATGCTATGCAAATGTACCCTTTCCTCCACAACATCCAAAGGAAACTCCCGGCAAATGGACAAACCCACCCCTTTTCACAAGACCAGGGATGATGCCCGCCGCCATGCATAGATGCACACATTATAATGTATACCGCGCCCTTCCCGAGCCCTCTATAAACTCCCCGTCCCTCACCCAGCCAATCCATCCATCCATCCATCCATCCATCCATCAATCAATCGTCGACGACCTTGCCACACCGGCCACACACCAACCTCTGCCGAGCCGAGCCCTCCAGGCGACGGGCCTTGAACTTCCTGCCCCCGCACTTGGCGCATCGCATGTCCTCCTCCTCGCCATCGGGTCCGGCCTCCGACGCCTCCTCGCTCGTCAGCTCCGAGCTCAGGCGGCTGACGATCGAGTTCCCGCGCGACCCGCCCGAGAGCGGTGACCGGCCGCGGTGCCTGGTGCCCCCGTGCGGCGAAAGGTGGCGCCCGTCGTCATCGTCCGTTGTGGCGTGCGATACCGCCGCGGCCGAGGACCGCCGTCGGCCGCCGTTCTCGGCCGCGGCATCCATGGATACCGAGTCGCCGCGCGACAGGGGCGAGGGCTTCCCGAACAGCGAGCCTGCGGCGGATTTGCGCCGGGAGCCACCGCCCGCGTCGTCGGCCGCGCCGGGTGATGTTTCGCCCTCGCGCGCTTCGCTCGAGGACCGGCCATTTTGCTTGCTGGCGTCTGGCGGCGCCCCAGAGATCGACGCCCGGAGACCTGCGATGCCTTTCCACCGGTTCAGGTTCCAGAATGAGTAGCTGGCACCCGCGGGGTCGAGCCTCAGGTGGTCTTCCTCCGCGTCGTCCACATCCGCAGGCCGGAACGAGAAGCTCGGCGTCGGCGGGTGTGTCGGCTCGTCTTCTATACCCTTATCCTTATCCCTCTTGCCCGACGTCTTATTCACACCATCATAGCTCATCTTCCTCTCTTTACTCCCCCCCGCATCTGTAGCATTGCTCCTCCGCCCCGCTTCGGGGCTAGCCTTCTTGTTCGCGTCTATGCTGTTCTTCTTCTTCTTCTGGATGCTCTCTCGATCTTCATGCGATCTCTCCTCCTTAGTCAGGCTGAGGTGGCTGAATGTGCCCGAGAGAGGACTCATGGGGTCGCTTTTGATATTGAATTGCGAAGCGAGTGGTGAGCTGCGCGCCATGTTACCGGCGCTGGCAGACATGGGCATCCCGGACCTGGCGCCTTTGCCGGGGGAGAGCGATCTCTCACTGCGTGTCGGCGTCACCATGGACACCGGCCGGCTCTGGCCGCCGTGGCTGACAATGCCCTGTCGCCAGGAGAGAATGCGATCATGACCACCGAGTTGCGGCGTGCTCGTCGCGCTCGGCGGGCCAGATACCACGCCTGGGAAGCCGACAGGAGGCTGGGACAGCGACCCGCGGCGCGAGTGCGGGACGCTGCCCTGGCTCGTGCGAGTGATGATGGAGGCGCTGCGGCCGATGAGACCAGAGCCGCCCATGCGGCGGCTGAAGGTAGAGCCCGTCTCCCACGTCTCGTGTTTCCGTTTGGCCCAGGCGCAGTCCTGCCGGAATACCTTGATGATTCCCATGTCGTCCGTCGTCACGAGGATATTGCCGTCGTAGTGAGTCGATCGGGCGATGTACGCGGGTGACTCCTCGGGTTTCTTGACAGTCGGCGGCGGCTGCGCGCTCGTCTCAGCAGCGCCATGATTCAAGTCTTCCGAGGGCTGGGAAGTCGTCGTCTCTTCGACCGACATGAGAGTCACGGGAGGTGGATTGCAGAGATCATAAATCGGATCACCAGAGCTTCCAAGGAGTTGACGCGACTTTGTTGGGGCGAACACGGCCGTCGTGACCACGTCGCTATGGGCGTTGAAGTATTCACACGGCTTCTTGTCCCTGTTCTCCGACTCGGTACTGCTTGTGTTCCATATAAAGGCTTTGCGATCTTCACTGCCACAGATGATGTAGGCGCCGTCGTCGCTGAAGCTCGCGAAAAGCTGGCTACACGTGTGCTCGTGGCCTTTGAGCTTCATCTCCAGCGTCTTGTCTCGCAGACTGTAGACGCGGATGCGAGAGTCTGTCGATGTGATTAGCAGCTTGACGTCGCCCTCGCGCCGGCCTTTGCTGGGCTCTTGCAAGGTCTGGATGCCCGTGATCTTGCTGCCCTTGGCATTCTTGCCTCGCGACGACCGGACATGCACTTGCGCTTGCAGTTTGAGACCCTCTGTCTCGAAAAAGGTGCACACGCCGCTCAGCTGGCCTGCGATCGCCGTTTTGCCATCTGGGGAAAAGGCTACTGCGGTGATCAAGTCTGTAAGCTGCGCCGAGTACGCAACAGATTTGTCGGGTATGCTCCACAACCGCAAGGCTGCGTCGAGGCTGCCCGCCAGAAAGAACCGATCGTCTGTCGGATGGAAAGCGACCTTGCTGACGAGCTCCTTGTGCTTAAAGGTACACAAACACTCATTGCGGCTCATGTGCCACAGGCGTACCGTCTTATCCATCGAGGTAGACAGCAGAAAGTTGTTCTTGCTCCAGCTGATGTCGAGCACCTCGCCGGTGTGGCCCTCAAATTCGCATATCGGCTTCTCCCTGAAGACCGGCGCGCTAAGCCTCTCCCCAGTCGTCGTTCCGCTGGCCGCCTCCTCTTCTTCGTGTGCCCGCCGCTCCTCGTGGGTGGTGATGACGGCCCATATCCTAACAACCTTGTCTCGGCCAGCAACAGCAAAGTATTTGCCATCCTTGCTGAACTCTGACGCCCATATGGCGCCACCCGTCTCGGCCCTCTTCCTCCCTCCACCGGGTACTGATACGGTGACTACCGGATAACTGTCGTTGAGTTCGGTGGCGGTCTTTGGTGGCCGTGTGCCGACAAGCTCTTGAGCCAGGAACATGCGGTCGAATTCCTTGTGCTTCTTATTGTGGGCTTTGATCTTGATGTAGCGCGGAGGTTCCTTGTGGATGGGGATGTAGCCGCCGCCTGCGCCCGAATTGGCGAAGACGAGGGCATTGACACCCTCCATGCGCTGTTCACTAACTTCTGATTCGTCGTCGTCGTCATCTCTCCTCTTGCTGCCGCGCATGCTCAGGCGGCTGAGGAACGAGCCCGTCTTCCTAGAGTGCAATTGTCAGCCTCCACACTTGACACAGGTTCGGAGTTCAAGCCTTCCGGTGGTACAACGTACTTCTTATCTCGGCCAGCATCCGTAATGGGGGTGTTGAACTTGGTCGAGAGGTCGGAGCTTGGCCTGGGTAGACCATCGGTGGCGAGGGGGCTTTCAGGTCGAGGTTGATTTCGTAGTCGAGAGGGTATGGAGTGGTCGGTGTTTGTCCTCAGGAAGATGTGCTACAGATGAAGCGCACAAGGCTCATGTCAGCTTCGCTGCCCAGCGGAACAAGAGGTTGACCAATTGGAACCGTGACGAATGGGCGCCTCGTTTTGGGCCTTGCCAAACCATTTCCGTGGGGTAATATGCACAAAAGAGAGGCGCCGGTATGTGGCATACTAGTCTTACCTGAGACAGCGGATCGATGGCAGTGCTGTTGGCTGGAGAAGGAGCTGACGGGGGAGGTGTAGCTCGGGCGACTGCGGAACCCCTGAGACTGTCGTCGGCATCCTTGAGGGAAGCCGTGTTGGCACGGACGAGCTTAGACGGCGTCTTCTTGCCGGCAGGGATCGGCGCGGCTACCGGCGCGGAAATACTGTTGCCTGCTGCGATCAAACGTTGTCGTCAGCGCATGAGATCTCCCGACCTGTTAGTTCGGACTCGCAGGAGCAAGCGGCGCGGACCAGGGCGCAGCAAGACGGAGGTCTCGCGAGCCAGATCTCGCTCGCTGGGAGACCATTGGTCAATGGCATGCCAAGCCCGCGGGCCGGGCAGTTGTCGCGGCCTTTCTCAGATGCAGGAGAACACGATGTATACAAGGATGTTGGGAGGGGGAGGAGGTTTGGTGTTGTTTGGCTTATCCTGCTGCCTGAGGAACTCCACCGCTTGGCTTTGGTTCTGGCGACTCGGGCGGCGACAAAGGAAAGGATCAGCTGTGCATACCGTTGGGCTCGGACCGCGTAGGGGATCTTGTGGTCCTACTACCAGCCGAGGAAAGAGCAGGACGGTGGTCAGAGGCAGAGGCGGCCGGGGCAGAGGGAGTTGATGTATTGGCCTCGAGGGAGGACTTTTCTTCCTGGAGGACCGACATGGTCCATCATGCGCCCCCGAGGCTCATTCCCCCACGCTCCGTCGGCTGGCGGTGAAAATCGGATAAAAATAGGCAGGCGGGGGCGTGAGGCAGGGCAGTCGGGACTTGGAATCGCGACTGTATGGACGAGCGGCGGTCGAGACGGGGCTTGCTTGCAGGTCGAGGGTGAAAGCCGGGATGGATGGAGCTCAGGTGCGCACGCACTGAGTCGGATGCGCCGAGGAGCGCGCGGGAAAAAGAGGAAAGCACTCCAATACAAAGAGCAACCTTGTCCCTGTCGCGCGGTAGTACGGCACGACCAATCGAGTAGTCGGGGGGAGGGGCGGTGAACTGACGAGAGCCGACCGCGATGCTTGGGGTCCGAGGGATCCGAAAGGTCCGTCAGTCGTGGTGATGCGCGCGCGGGCGCGAAATACGGCGGGCAAGGCGGCGGTGGTTGTGGATGCGAATGCGATAGTGCATGCGATTTTGGCAGGCTGGGCGTGTGATGGCAGCTTCGGGGTTGTTAGGTCGTCGATTAGCTGTCGACTAGTGGCAGCGCTAAGAAAGCATCCATGCATCTCTGCCCACGGGACGGATGCCAGATCATATGGTAGGTACTGGAGGTACCTAGGCTCCTAGGTAGGTAAGCTCGTAAGGTAGGTACCTAGGTAGGCGAGGTAGGGTGGATGGGAATGCGAACAAAGCGATACCGACTTCACCTACTTTGCCTAAGTAGCTTGAGGTCGAGCTAGCTCTCTCGTCTCGCAAAGAGGTGATGCGAGATATACGGAGTGATGGATGAATAGAGGCGACGAGGCGTATCTCCATACCTATGTCTCTCTCGTCCATTGTGTCATGCATGGCCCTCGGCGAACTCAGATCCCTCTCCTCCTCCTCCTTCAGAGTTCCATCATGGCCCTGTTCTCCAACCCGGTTACATCATAGCCATCATCGACACTAATCAGAGCTTAAAGCTCCAGCCAAGCAATGGTCGATCACTGCATCCGAGGTACCGACTAGTACCCGGTGCCAGCTTCCCGTCGTGCCCACCAAAGTCCGTCCATTCATTCAAACACACTTCAGTTACCCAACTACTTACGTAGAGACCAAGCCCAATCCCCGGTCGCTTATCCATTCGTCTGGGTACCCGTCCAATGTACGCTCGAACAAATGCTGGAGCGTGACAGGGATCGTCAACCTGTTGTGAGCGATCAGTATCCATATGTCGAAAACGCCTGGCGTTCCGTGTGTGCCTGGCTCCGAATCACCACCAGCCAGCCAGCCTTCGCCAGCGGACCCGGCCTGCATCCGGCTCGGACGGAGACGCAAATTCCCCGACCGCTCGGTTCCATTCATGTCCCGACCAGGCATCTCTTTAAGCGCTGATAATGCGAGATCCCTACGCGAATGCATTCCGAAATTCGCCTAGGTACGCAGAAGAGCTTGCCTTGGGCACCTAGTTACTGCCAGACATTATGTTCTCTCCCTCGAAACGGGCTCCAGTGGAGCTTGCGTTATCAATTGCCCGCGGCCTCTGTTACCTTTGTCGCGCATATTTGAATGGTCGTCTGAATCATCGTGGGAATCGTGACACTCGCGCATAGGCTACTGAACATGGACAGCATTTCAGATTATCGAGGCCCCCCCAGTGTCTCCTTCCGCGCCGCCACCTCCTTCGTCGTCTTCGTCTTCATCCTCGTCTAGGTCTACTATCGGGTACGTCAATATCGCCGCGATGCCGCCCAATGCGTCTAGCCGTTGTCCGCTCTCGTGATCGCTGCTCAGCACTCGAGCCTCCCCTCCGTCCTCCTTGACCTTGTCCACGAGCGCGACATATCTTCTGCGCGTTGCGATGTCCTGGCTGCGGAACAGCGAGTTGTTGACGAGCAACACTCCGCCGCCTCTGCCCACGGCACCCTCCTGCACCGCCTTCTCCACGGGCTTGGTGCCGTACCACGCCCGCCCGTCGTCTTTCCGTATCCGCTCGAAGAAGTCGTCCATGAATCGCGTCTCGTTGCTGAACTTCTTGTCCTTGAGCAGCGCCGCCACCTCGGGGCTCTTGAGCACTTCGTTCAGGGAGTGCAGGTGACCGGAGCTCGAGTGTACCACCACTGCATCCTTGGCTATGCGCCGTAGCATCTTGTCCGCCTTGCGCGCGCCCTCTTCGCCGATCCACTTCTTGAAGTCCTGTGCCACAAAGCCGGGGCTCGCGAGCAGCAGCATGCGCGGCTCGTTGAAGTCGATGGACCGAAGCAACGTGGACAGCGTTTTGTCGTAGAACCTGCGCATCCCCGAGTCCTGGTCCGACGCCGCCGACCGCTTTTTCGGCACACTGCTCTCCACCCGCTGCTTGAGCAGCGTCTGGAAATCCGTAATCAGGCAGATGTTGGCCAACCCCTCCTGCATGACCACGGCGGCCACAGCGCCGTCCTTGTCCTGCGCGAGCGCATCCCGCAACGTCTCGAGGGCCACGCTGTCCCATCCGTACTTCTTCCACAGCGTAAATGTCCGATTGAGCTCGAGGTCGAGCGTGTGGTGCTGCCCGACACTGACAAATGAATTCTCGTTGATGACCTGGCCCGAGACATGCAGCGCCGATGCGCCCGGGTCGAAGAAGGTGGAGACGACTCTGATGGTGAGCTCAGTGTGGACGCGCTGAGAGGTCGAGGAACCGGTCGCTGTCTCGCGGACGACCTTGCGGACGGCGTGAGCCTTGAGGATATCTTCGGGTTGGATCAGGTTGTTGGCGTGCCACTGTTTGCGGCCGGGGGCCATAGGGGTCAGTCTGTTGATGCAGCATTGCGAGTGGGGAGAGAGGCGTGAAAGGCTTTACCATGTCCTCTGGCTCCGTGGGGAGCAGAGTGACGCCCGCCTCATCGTCAATGCTTCCCAGGCCATTGACGGATTTGGACCCGGGCAGCAACATTCTGGGCGGTAAGTTCTCTTCGGTCGTGGAAGGGTTCAGATAGCTCAGGGTGTGTTGTAGCTGCTTTCCAATGCCCGCGGGTGAGAAGCTGGAACGACGGGGGTTTTGCAGCTCAGTGCCCGCCGGTTGGGAAGAATATGCGGATCAAACGAGAATGCGGTTTTCTGTTCCTGTTTCTGTCGCAAGGACGATTCGAAAGGTATTGCAATAGTGCCGGGGTGTACTGTCGATGATGTGCCTCCCTCTCTCTGAGTCCAGTGGTTTGGCGGGGTCTATGGGTCCTTTCAGAGGGGTTAAAATGGGTGGAGAACGTGCTCGAGGAAGACCGGGCCAACTGCCAAGCCAAGGTTTGCATCGGGCGACAGATCCATCCATGGATTTAAACCTACTCCGTACATATACTCAGTGCTTGAGGTGGTTGGTACACAATAGATCAGAGCACCAGGCTAGATAGCAATCCATATAGTTTCCCAATTTCTCTTCCCACTGCCTCTGATCTCCATAGATTCTACGATGGGGCTTAGTAATGAGAATGAGAGTGTGTGTGTGCGGTAGCTGTGAGTGAGCCTCACGGTATCGAGTATTCTTGGCGACACATCATTACAATGCAATCATTCTTAGACAGCATGACCCGATTCCACAAGCTCGGTCTGGACTATTCGATTGGGTAAACGCGACGTAGGACGGTCGGCTCCGGCTCTTCATCCTCTCCCCTCAAGCATCATCCTGGTTAACTCGAGCAGCATCATATCTGTTCAGGGAACCATAACTGTCTGTATCAAGAAAGAAACCTCCGCTGTGCCACGAAACAGTTTCCAGCCTTGGTTTCTTTTTGGAGAAAGTGCTAAGAATCTGATATGTATTGCAAATATCCTCCAAGCTTGGCAATCGGGACGCCACTGCTGGAGCCTGCTTGCAACCTCGCAAATCCTCGTTCTCAATAGGCAATGTTATTGCTCTAATATACCTAGGTAATCTTTCAGGAATTGTTTCCGTTCTGCAATGGCCTGTGAAGCTAATCTTCAGCCTATCCATTGTATTCTTAACTAGAAAGTCCTGTAGAGACTGGAGGTGTGAGCTCTCCTTCGACCCGATACAAACATTGACTGTTCAATCCCGTGAGATTGGATTGTGTTTTATTAACAATATTTACTCTTATTCAAGAAAAGCCTGCGGTCCATTCAGAGACTAGTTGGTGTGCTCCAACAACGACCCTGTTGATCGAGTATATCTGCTCAGGGCAAGCATTACCCATATTGACTCAGGGTTCGAGTCGGCTATACATATACTTACATTCAACGACAGCTCCAAAGATTCAAACTTCTTGACGAGCCAGGAATGGCATGCAGCGTAGGAAGGCGTTGTCGATGCCACGAGGTGAGTCTGCAATGAAACCTCGCTTTCGCCCGTGTGACCATCCGAAATGAGGGAAGGCTGCATGTATACTCCCAGCAGTATCTCTCTCAAGTGGACAGAAATATGAATAGACCGAACTGGCTGCAAGATGCGCATAGACTCAGTCCGCAAAGCGGCATGGACAACCGCTTTACACACATAATCTCGAGGCAAGTTGCCAAGGGCGACACATCACCTTCGCCAACACCTGCCTCTACATCCTATCGCCTGGGATCTCGTGACTGCCCAACAACTGTAGGGACGGTGATTATGCATGGAGATGATGGTCTCCAAGGATCTCAAGCGGGCTGACTCGATACACCCCAAACAGGTATCGTACGGACTTGCCTACGGGTTGGTTCAGCAGCTCTAGGTTTGGAGAACGTGGGGCATCTTGTGTTTTTAGCGAGGGGAAGATGGGACTTTGACCAAGTTAATATGGAGCTAAGGATCGGCCACCAACCGTTGGCCGCCGACTTGGTTAATTATTCATCAGGCCGTCAAGGTGGCACGTTTGACTTTCCTGCCATCCCCATAAAGCCATCGTTCCCATACGAGAGACTTGGACGGTGCCCGATAACTCTTAAAGAACCAGAGCATCCCTCTTTAGTGCTACTCAGAATGACGGCCACCACCTTCAACCTCCAGTCCAAGTTCAAGCTCAACAGTGGATACGAAATCCCGCTGCTCGGCTTTGGTGTGAGTTCTTTTTGCCCTGCCCACTGCCGCTGATCTATCCTGGCCCAGTATGCTGACAATGTGTCGTAGGTCTATCAGACGTGAGGAGTTCCTCCACGGCCTGTGTTTGACCAGTACCTCGGGCTGACTTGGAGTGATTTGCAGCCCGCCTGAACAGACCAAAGAATGCTGCGATGAGGCGTTGAAGATCGGCTACCGTCACGTATGAACCACCCCGCCGCCCCGGTGTCGGCCTCGAGCGTTTCGCAGATCCCGGAAAACTAACCAAGCCGCCGCTTCCAGATCGATTCGGCTGCCTCGTATGGCAACGAGGCTGGCTGCGCCGAGTCTATCCGTGCCTCCGGCATCCCGCGCTCCGAGATCTTCCTGACCTCCAAGGTGCCCTGGAAGAGCGTCAACTACGAGGCGGCCAAGGCGCAGGTCGATAAGACCCTCGCCGAGACGGGTCTCGAGTATATCGACCTGATCCTGCTGCACGCCCCATACGGCGGCTCCGGCAACCGCAAGGGCGCGTGGCGCGCGCTCGTCGAGGCGGTTGAGGCGGGCAAGGTGCGCAGCATCGGCGTTTCCAACTACGGAGTGCACCACCTCGACGAGCTGGAGCAGCACATCAAGGAGCTCGAGGAGGAGCGTGGCGGCAGGGGCAAGGGCGGCGTGCTGTCAGTCGGCCAGTGGGAGATGCACCCTTGGTGCGCGCGCAACGATATTGGCGAGTGGTGCAAGAAGCGCGGCGTCGCCGTTGAGGCGTACAGCCCGCTCGTGCAGGGCAAGCGCTGGGGGGACAAGTCGCTCAAGTCGCTGGCGGACAAGTACGGCGTGTCCGAGGCGCAGGTGCTGATCCGCTGGAGTCTGCAGAAGGGCTACGTGCCGCTGCCCAAAAGTGTCACGCCGAAGCGCATTGCAGACAACGCGGCCGTGTACGGCTTCAGCCTGACTGCGGACGAGATGAAGCAGCTCGAGACGGACGAGTATAGCCCTGTTTGCTGGGACCCGTGCTCGACCCCTCTTGATAACCCCCGTGAGGCTTAAGGAGGGGCTCTCGATTGTGTCGATGGAAAAGCACAACACATTTTTCCTTGATAGGTAACTCTCGTTCTAAAGCTATGACTCGGGTTATCTTGAACCAGGTACCCTTCTACTTCGATACCTAGACGAATAAAGTTGACATGAGAGAAGGTCAATAGCATCTTTAAGATGTCGTTCTGATGCAAGCCACCCATGGTGATGCCATGTAAGATATGTGGACTGACTGGCGACAAGTGACAAGGGACTTTTCTATTCAAGCTGTATTAGAGATGTTATCCATACTCATATAGGGAAATGCAAGGTAGTCTAAATACTTGGCTGGGTCATGCACTGCTGTCAAAGACCCTTGGCAGTGCGAGACAACAAGTCTCCATCAACTACCTAGTCCAATTCGCCGTGCTTGGTATTCTGCTCAAAATACTGGGACACTGCAGTAATCGTGTCGACTCTCCTCTTGGATGCTTTTGGGGTACATTATGCTGAACACGCCCCGTTCTACGTACAACCGCTCCATGCTAGAATGCCCAGGAAGATGTTTGTTCACAGCTAGATTGGCGAGTCTTCGAGGACACCACCGACAGACTTGATACCTAGTTTACTGCGGTAATAAAGGGGCAGATCCAAGGTGCCCTGCGTTCAGATGTGAATATCTGACAGTCTGGGACACACCATCCCCTGAAGGGGAGGGGTGGGGCATCAGGCCCAAATAGGGGCGAGAAAGCGATAAACGAAAGGCTTCAAAACCACCCTTACTCACAGAACCTTGCATTCTCATCGCTGGAACAGACTGTTCCCGAGCGCAACGGAGAGGCTGTGTCAAGTCTTTTGGTCAGATCTCTTGGGTGAGTCAAGGGGTTTATCGCACTGGCTGGTAAGCGGTGCAGCAGGGCAGATCCTCACACGCGTCACGACCGGGGACAATGCTTCGCTCCAATCTTAAAGTCTTCTAACCATTCCATTGATGGGCGGGTCGTCCCACAGCGGCCCGTAGCGATCGCAAGCGCTGGAAAAGAATACACAATGGGTCCCCCAGCCCGCTAAAACAATCTGTAGCGCTAAATTGTACTTGTAGTTACCTAGTGCTTCCACTAAAAAGCGGACTTCTTGTTTGGGTCCATCCATCCATTCGTTCATGAATTCCTACCTCCAGCAGGTGGACTGCGCAGAATGTCAGCTGAACAGCAAAACCTGGCGACGCGAAAGATGGTCCTTCCAGAAAATGCCGCGATCGGAACATTGAGCCGACTCGATGGCGAATGTCGACCGATCATCAGCACACTCACCGGCATACCGAGCTACTGAACCGGAAGCTCGCTCATGGATCATTCAACGGTCGTCCATATCTGTCTGGCTTCCACCGAGAATGAATCGGCCATTCCGACACTAGAGTAGCCAAAAGCGCCCTCAAACCTCAAGCCCTGCCCTCGATGGTCTTGAGCCATCCTTGCTGGGTACGGACAGGGATTCCCTCGCCAAGGGTCGTCCCAAATCTACGAACACACACACACATTGACAACAGCTCCAGGGCACGTGTATGCGACACATTCTTCCAGACTGTGCCGCGAGCGCGGAGACGTGTTGGCTTCCAACATTGGTATTGGCTTGATGGCACCTTCACATTGGGCCGCTACGAGGGGGGAAGATGGCATGTCCCATGTCTTTCGATTTTCGGCATCCAGGATTCATCGTGGAAATTGAGGTCAGCAATAACTAGCGCTTGGAGGGCTGCGTACGTACTCCGTAATGTGGTAATGTGTCAATGGCTGTGCCCCAACTGCCGCAGGGCCTCGACCTCGACAATCCCATCCGAATCCCATGCAACCTCGAAACTGGGTTGGCAACGCCCCTTGACGCTGTCGGTTCTCGACTGTCTACTTGTACTTGTACTTGTTTACGAAGCAGATTCGCCAGGTCAGGCCGGTGTCCCGGCCGGTTGGGAAGAGCTGGCCACCTTCGCGACGTCGCCGATCATTTCCCTCTGGGAGCAGGGCAGGAAGCGGAGAGGGGTGAGTTGCTGGTCTTGCTGTCGCACCCATCACCACCTCCCCGGCTCCCAACCAGGTCCCTGACTTGCGCGAAATAACTCCAAGTAGCTGGGCTACCACTACGGGCAACAAGTCAGTCCTCGTAGTGGTAGCATGCTGCTCAGCACGGGTGACTTGGATGTGTCTTGTCGTCCTCCAACCCTGCAGGCGCTAATCCTCTTCCTCCTGGTCACACTGCAGGACCGGGGGGGACTCCAGGACGATCTAGGTTCCCATCCTGCATCGCGGGGCTTGAGCCCGGTCACTTCTTTATTGGCCATAAAGCTCTCTTCTTCTCGTCGATGACTCCAGAAAATCTTTTCCCTCCCGCACAGCTTCGGCCTCGTGACCCCCTAGCGTCGTCGAATGAGCACGTCCGTTCACTTTGTCGCTTTCTCCTCCACAGATCCTTCCGTGACGAGTCTCATTCAGGCAAGCAAAACGCATCGATTGAAATGAAGAAACCGGGACTTCCGGCCAGAACAACCCTCCAATTCATCACGACCGGGCACAAGTCTGCCGAGAACGGCGGCGTTCCGCGTTACTGAAAACAAGGCGACGCCAACAGCAGCAGATATCTTTTCATAATGACCGGCACTGCCTAAAGCAGCACACGCAGAGTTCAATCTAGGGCCGGCCCTGCTTGCATGAGTCCTTGGGTAATGCACCCCGCAGTATCCTTGCCTGAATGGTGGTGTGGCTCGCTCCAGTCGTCGCCAAACGGATCTGCAGGATGAGCAAAAGCCATTGCCACCAAGCTCGTCGGTGGTCCCTCGCACATTCTTACTACAAGTACTTTGTAATCAACTGTGCATCGTGTCGGCCGGCTCCGAGACTGCGCTGGCCGAGCAGCCCTACTGCGACAAACTCACGTCCCTCCCTACTGGCTGTGCTCGCCCACCTGCACCCTGTCCGGGGTTGAGTTTTTTCTCCAGCTTTTGGGGCACCAGAACCTGGTCAGAGGCGCAGCATCATCTCCCCGTTGGTGTGCGTCGAAGGTCGCACCGCGGTCTTAAGCGACTTCAATGATCATAGCAAACTCGATTTCCAAGAAGGTTTCCACCCCGGAGTGGAGCACCAGAATGCTGAGGGGGGTGATGGGCAAACAGGTCAGGGACAGGGCAAGCCTCCGGCAACCTCTCGCCTGAGGGCTTGGCTCATGGGTACGCATCCCCTTCGCGCCTCTAGAGGGGGGACTTGTCCATGCCCATAGCCGTTTCTCGTTGCTGAGCTGGGCCTAAGTCTGGCAGGGAACCCCTGACCCTGCACAAGTGTGCATGTGTTCGCGTAGGTACGGAATAGTTCACTGAAGTGCAAACGGAACATGGTTTGCGACGAAAAAGCAATACGGCAAAGACTCGTTCTCTCGTTTTCGGCTGTCAAAAGTGCCTCGCCTTGTCAGCGTCACTCGCCACTCATCAGATATCACATTTCCGTACGGTTCCTGTGACAGCATGCGTTGAAACCGGTCTGGACTGGCCAATCTGTACATGGTCCCCAGAACCATCAACCTGGCCTGGTTTCATCTCCCCCTCAATGTTTTGATCTTACGCCGTCGAGGTTGCAGTCCAACCTCACGACAACATTGTCGCCACTAAGCCACTCTGAACCCAGTCACTCTCTCGGCTGGCCTCGGTTCCTCCTTCGTCCCTGGCTTCTTCGGGACACTGTTTTGTCGTGACTTAATGTCTCTCCTGCACTGGGCTCCTCCCTCTCGACTTGTATTTCTCGCTCTGCACTTGTTGCTTTTGCACCTTGTTCCCCGCCGGAGCAACTCTACACAGAACTGCCAAGCAGGCGCCGCAAGCCGATGCAGATGCAAGTGTACCAGCCGGGACTGATCCTCCAGGTCATGGTCTCGTGCTTCTCCGCCTCACGGACCCTCTGGCCATTCAGAGCTGCATGGCTGGTCGCCCACACCCTGGTTCATACCCCTGCTGTCCACTACCAGCACGCCGGAATCCCTGCGCTTTGCTGCAGACCCCATTTTCTCAGATGATGCATCCGGGAGTCCTTTGAATGTCTGCTCGTCTCAACTTCCTCGTTGTTGCAGTTTACCCTATTCCAGTTAGCTCTACTCTGTCCTTCGAATGGCCTGGCCATCATCTGCTCTTGTGCCCAACCTCGAGTGGCCTTTCATTTCCTTTACGACTGTTGTCTTTCGAAGCTGGCTTTCCGCCTCTCACATGAACCGGCTTTGCCTGATATAAGTGCCATCCTCTCCGGCTGCAGCGGGATTTGCACGACGGACACACGAAGCTGCAGCTCCTCCTGCCCTTTCGCCGCCAGACCTTCATCCTTCTCCGCTCCTTTGTGACTACCGAGCTGCTCTCTCCGCATTTGCCATCGCACCTCTCGCCTACCGTTCTGAGCCTAGTTTCTTCCTCTGCTGCATCTTCCTCCCAAGAGAAAGTGGCTGCTCGGGGGGGGGGCTGAATCTGGTGCGTGTCTGAGCGTCTGTCCTCGCTTTTAACCCGTGCGGGCCTCATCATCGCCCTCCACATTGCGCAACGACGCTTCCCACATCGCTTTCCCAACCCCGTGGTACTGGATTTATTTTACCCCCACGCTGTTGTGCCCATCATCTGCTGCATAGGAACAGAATTCTTTCTGGCCTGCGTTTGTCTCGGACATGCCAGGGTGCTTTGCGTCTGCATCACTGTGTACCCGTCACAACGTTTTGAGCTCTCGAAGCTCTGCTACCCGTCGATCCTAGATCGCTTGTGGATTACACCTTTCCCAACAAGAAGCACACGGCAGCGATAGGCTAGCCCTGTTGTTTTTCGCGCGTTCAGTCACTCCATCACTATGAATGCAATCCCTTGCCAGCTTGTTTCATCGCCATATGCCAGTCTCAGGCTCCCGTTGGGGCTCAACAACCACACGAGAAGTCTGTCAGTCTTTGCCTAAGAGCAAGTTGGGTCCATTAAACTCGGGATACTCTACAGGTACAGTGGTGCTGGGGAACCGTGTCTAATCTGACGCTTGGGTCTCGCAATCATTCTTTCTGAGAAGCTTGCCCCTGGCCGCATCGATGGAGGTTATGGTCATGACAATCGACGTATTGTCGCATGGCGCCCTTGAATGCCTGGTTCCTCGTCTACACCATAATAAACACCTCACACCCGGTGCTCTTGAAACGAGCACCACCGCTGCTGCGGTCCCGCACGGGGGCTCCGACTTTCCACGTTCGTTGAACGAGGGAATGGATGTGCATGTTTCCAACACCAAGCCACATCTCCTCGCAACAGTCACAGCAGAAACAGAAGCCGACCATGCACCGATAGCACGAGCGTGTCTATCGGCAGGCACGCCGCTACAAGGCCCTGCACCGACCAAAATCAAACCCGACTTAGGGTCTGATCAATGTCCCCTGTCGACCTTCACGTTCAGCCAAGATGCTCCAGTCAGAAGCACTCCCTTCCACTTCCCCTCCAAGATCCCCCCATTGCGTCGACAGGGCGTCAAGCGCCGACGGCCCAGCACGGATGTGGATGGGCCCAACACGGCCTGTTTGTCGTGTAAGAAGCGCCGTCTCCGCCTCGACCTCATCACCTCGCGGCTGTCCCGCCCCTTCTCCTTGCCTGCAACGCACATCCTCAACCGCGAGGCCGCTGCGGCTGGAGACAAGCGCTTCCTCAAGCTCGCTGCCATCATGGCGGCTCGGCGCATCGCGGGGAGCGGGCCGCAGGGGCAGCTTCACTCGCCGGACCAGCCGGGCCCCAGCGAGATGCTCAGACGCGCAGCCATCATCAACCGCTTCCGGCTGAGGGTGTACCGGCACGCCGCGGCGCGCGGCGACTCGGGCGTGGCGCAGGTTGCGGGCAGCGCAAGCTTGCTGCAGCTCAGTCAGGGGCTGGGTGTGGTCAGTGGGGCACGGTTCCCCGGCCACCACGGGCCGCCCGGGTCGGTAGTGCCGAACATACTCCCTCTGCTCCCTGCCCTGCCGCCGAGCGGGAGTCCGCACCCCTTATCGAAAGCCGCGGCTGCCAGATCCCCGTCTCCATCAAGGTTAACAGCAACGGCGATCACCACGATGACGGCGACGACAGCGACAACGATGATGGCAGCCTCGACCCCGCCGATACCAGCCCGGGAGAGGGAGCTGGACGCCGAGGAGGCGGAGGACCGAGATAACGGGTGTGCCTTCCCGGGGTCCGAGTGGCTCGAGTGTCGGTACCATGATGATGACGAGGAGGAGGAGAGGGACGGCACCGAAGTGTATGCCGACTTCGGGGTGATCTTTGGGGGTGGCAGCGACGCTGACAGCGACGAGGAGTACCAGGACTACATGGATGATCTGGACGGAATTCCCTGGAGTGTGAGGTAATGTGAGCGGGCTGTGGACTCTGGGACGGGGTTTTTTTTTTTTCCTGAATTCGGTCATGGAAGTGCTTCTTTGCAATGGCCAGTGCAAACCGGGCAGGATGGGGTCCCGGGAAAGGTAAGTCTGGTCGTTTTTGTTTGCATGTTTGGGATGGGTGATTCTTGCTGGAGCGTTATGGCCATCTGGTTGTACGACTGTCACAAAAAGGGGCTTGGTAGAGAAGGGGGGAGAGAATGAAGCCGCTGATCTCAACAGGAGCCTCGTGACGGACGGACGGACGAACGGACGAGATGGATGAAGTCCACGGCATAAAATTAGTGCATGGGTGGTCTGGCCCTGGCCCCCCAGGTTGGAGCATTTTCGAAAAGAAAAAGCAACAATTGCCTTGTACTTGGTACATGACCCACTTGTCAGCCCCGAAAACCATGGTGTTGAGTTTGCCTGCTGCTTCTATGAATTGCTCCCCGGCTCGATGTCCACCAGCACTGAGGGTTCACATAGTTCCAGCGCCTGCAAATGCATCTGCTGTGAGTCACCCATGATCAATGGGCATGGGAATAATGAGACACTGACCAGCTTGATTATCTCCATATATAGAATGCATCTAACTTGACCTTCACTTCACAACCCTTGGCCTCGGTCACTGCTCTTCATGGTTGTTGGAAAAAGATCACGTGGAGTCGCTCCCCGCACCTGTCATCCCAGAACCGGCACCGCGTCTAGGCGCGTCATTCACTGAATCTAAAATTTGGGTGGTGCCCAAAGTCAACAAAAGCAAAAAAAAAAAAACAGGCATTCTTTGAACAATCCCTGCAGCCACACACTTCCTCCACCCTCATACCGACCCTTGCACGCCCTTGCTTCTCTGGTCAATAAGTTACCAAGGCGCTCTTACAAGTGTACACCTTCCAATGCGGACCGAGCGATCAAGGATCGAACAGCGACCTCAACTACCTGCTCCCCACCATCGACAATCGCTCACGCTGCAATGAAGCCGCAACCATGCCGCCGATACAGACCACCTTTGAGCTGGTCCCCAACGGGCCTGCAGCCATGTTGAGTGGCGGTGGAAATACCAATTCCAACCCTCCGGTTTCCAAACCGCCCATGACCAGCAAGCAGGCCAAGAAACTCCACAAACAGGCAACCAGTGGCAAGCGCCTGACCAAGATCGAGGAGAGGGCCCTGCTGCTGGAGATCAAGAAAGAAGAGGAGCAAGCAAAAGCTGCTAGGAAAGCCAAGGCAGCACGTGAGCGGAAGAAAGAGAAAGAGGAGGCCGTCAAAGCAGAAAAGAAACGGCGGGGAGAGCCGATCGTCAATGTCCGCCCCAGCCAGGGTATGATCTCGGGCTTCGTCCGGCGGGCCAAGCAGGAGAAGCCGGCTACTGAGGACAAGGCTGCGGGGAATTTTCAGGATAGTGGCACTGGTTCGGCCGTTGCCGGTTCGATGGAAGATCTGATTTCAGGCTCTGAACCATCCGAAATCAAGGTCGGTGAACCACAGAGCGACATTGCCCGGGAAGAGGCCAAGGACCCTGCTCGACCACACATTGCGCCTTCTGAAACCAGTACAGCAGTAGATGTGGTAGGCAGCTCAGCACCCTCCTTTCTCCCATCTATTGTGACTAGGCCATCGGAGAACTTTGCGCAACAACGAAGCCGTTCACCGGAACTGGGCATCATGAGGCCACCGCCTGCACGAACACCGTTCCAGGAAATGCCGGTAAATGCGCCACAGAGATCAGCTACAAGCGAAGGTCTGGACTTCAAGCGCGATCTTATTATGAAGCCTGGAGCCATGAGGCCACCTCCAGTGCCTCGATGCAAGCTTCCATCCGGGCCAATCTCGGACCTCGGGTCGCCTTCCAAACAGGGAAGGCCTCAAACTCAGAGACATGCATCTCTAGGGAAACCTTCTTCGGCCATTGATAAAAAGCCAAGAGCGGTCAAGACTGAGTTCGCTTTGCCATCCAGCACCCAGATGCTCTTCCTCGATGATATGGCCGATCTTTTCCCGTCGTCATCGCAGCAGGCTTTGGAACTGATCGAGGACGATTCCTCTTTATCCAGGCCTCCTCCAAGCAGCAGCAGCGTAGTTGCGAAGGCCGGGTCTCATCCACCCACGGTAGTCCCTTCTCCTCCCACTCCTCGGGTCCATGGCAATGACTCGTTTGATGAACTCCCTTTCTTCTCAACTCAAGACTTCGTCCTCTCGTCACAGGAGGTCAGGGAGCTCGAGAAACCTATCTCCACGTCGAGAGACCAGGTTGGCGTGTCCGACAAGGCGCCAACACGACTGAGCCCAATCTGCGAGGAGGAAGGCTCAGGCCATGAAGGTACTAGCTCTGGTCCTCACTCTCAACAAACGCCAAAGAGCAGTCAGAAGCGGTTGCGTCCTTGTTCTTCGCCTTCAGTTTCAGAGTCGCCTGCTCTTCCCTCACAAGTGGGCCGCGACTCGCAAATGGCCGAGCTTGGTGCAAGAACTGGGCAGTCCCCTTCATCAAAGTCGCCACCTAGGAAACGTTTCTTCACGTCAAGTGGCAGCGAAGCCGTCTACTTGGCCATGGAGAAGAGCCGGCAGACTTACCAGAGGGAGCAGAGGGAGCGGGAGCTCGCGCGGCAGGCCGGGCAGGCGAGGCAGAGGCAGCGCCCAGCGCAGCGGCTTCAGGCGCACAAATATCAGCAGAAAGGAAGCCACGTTGCGTCGTCGGCAATGAGCAGGGCGACGCGACCTCCTCTGAACGAGACACAGCAGCGCAATACTGTTTCTCCTCGAAGCGCAAAGCCGATTGAGCCAAGCGCAGCAGAGTCGGTCCCCCAAGCTGGGGCGGTGTCTGTTCAGAGCAACTCCGCCTCCCAAGAGACCGACTACGGAGATTTCGATCTGGAAGACTGCAGTGCTCTGCTGGATGGCATCACCGAGGAGGATCTCATGATTGACGACAATGATTTATGACCAAGGTAGACTTTTTGGACACTGCATATCAACGGCATTGGGTGTAACTGGCACAGCATAGATACCAGGCGTGTAGCATATTAATTAGCGAATGCATGAGTTACCAGAAGACTCTATCTCCTCACCGCAGGCAAACATAACTAGATCACTTCTTGGATGGATTGCACGAACTTCTCGTTCTAGACATACGTATCATAGTAAGCAAGTTCATAACCCTCGATAATGGGGAGAATGAATAGTGTTGACTATGCACCGTAAATTTTGTAGGCATTTACCTCTACACTCAGCAACCCTCAGCTTCCCTCAACAAGACCTGACTGGTCACACTTTGCTGACTGCACAAAGTCAAGCCACTGGCAACTCCAGCCCCTACTCCCTGAGGTCTCCCTCACTGAAATCTACTCGTCCATGTCCAGGTCCTTGATCCACAGAAGCACGGCCCAGTTGGCTACGGCCACGATGCTCAAGATCCACAGCGGAAGTGCGACGAAGTTGTGGCCAAGGCCCCAGCCGAGCATCGCGCCCCCGACTGTCGGGCCCATGATGCGGGCAGAGCTGGCGATGCTCGAGGACAGACCGTGCACTGTGCCCAGGAGTGTCGGGCTCGGCGCGCAATCATTGACCAACATCATGGTCGCCGGGGTGACAAAAGTCCGCGAGGTGACGAGCAGGACGAGTACTGCCGAGAGACTCGTCCAGACGAGGGCCGTGTTGTCGGCCGGCAGCAGAACCAGGTAAGGCAGCAGACAGTACGCGACGATACTGAGGGGCAGAAAGACCAGGTATGACTTCCTGGCTCCAAGACGTCCGCTGAGGAGCGGGTAGAGCAACACTTGCAGGGGGATGCCGATCATGCCGATCGTGGTGTTTGCCAAGCCGATACTCTTGCTCGACAATCCCAGGCCGCCGCTGAAGCGAAAAGGCAAGTCGAAACTGCGGCTGTCCTCCTTGGGAGTCGGAAGCAGGGTGAAAAAGATGGTGCTGAACGCTGAGACGTGCATCGCCAGGAGAAAGCGCTGAAATAGGCTCAGGCAGACGTTGAGAGTAAAGATGGCCCGGAAGGGAGTGCTGGGCTTGGCTTCCGGCTCGGCCGCCCGGGCGTCTTCTTCGTCGCCAATGAGGTGCGAGTCACGGGGGGTAGCCGGGTCGTCACGAGGAATGGCCTCGTAAGCGACATCAGGCTCTGAAGACCCCTTAAACAGGCGCACAATCGCCCTCCCGAGTTGACGGCCGGGGTCTGGCTGGTGCCGCAGCTCGGGGTGCGTCTCGTCGAGGCCGAGAATGATCAACATGGCTGACATGACCAGGAAAATAGCCGAGGCTATATTGGGCAGAGCATACGGGAACTTGGCCATCCATTGCACGCCGTCAGCACCCCCAACGAAGGATCCCGGTCCGAAGATGTTGGACATCGAGTGTATAGGATCAGCCAGGAAGCCGCTGAGTAGCGGACCGATGATGACGCCTACATTGAAGCACATGGGGAGGAGCAAAAACGCCCTCGATTGAAACCTTTGGAGGGCTCGTCAGCACTTGACAAGGGATGCTTCTGGGTCAGTCTTGGTGTCTCGACTGTACGTACCGCCGCTCAACAACGACTTCGGAGACCATGGTCCTAAGAACAACAATGTTTCCATTGAGGGCACCGACGAGGAATCGGAAGAAGAAAGCAAGGGAAAGAGACCTCGAGAAACCCATCCCCAGGGCGGATATGGCAGATCCAAACAGACCGATCAGCAAGACACGCTTGCGGCCGAGGAGCGGGCTGTCGGCGGCGAATCCCCACCACATGGAAGTGATGCACTGGGCAGCGGCAAAGGTGGCCGTGAGCAATCCATACTGTTTGGCAATCTCAGAGGCAGGCAGGTCCGGGTTGAACCACTTCAGCTGATAGAAGAGGTACGATGTCAGCGACCTCTCGCTCAGGGGCTCGGCAAGGCGGGCCAGGACAATGACAGCCAACTGTCCTTTCTTGGGAAGCGATGCCCAAGTGACCGGTTTGGGTTTTGGCTGGTCACGCAGGCTTGTGTAAGACGCCAAACCCTCGCTCTGGGGTGCGAGCAGAGGTGTCGCCTCCACAGAGGCGGTCGATTTGTGCGGCCCAGGAGACGAGGGGCGCCTCATGACGGTCGTCTCTCTGCTTTTGTTTTCTTGTGGTTAGTGAATGCGTCCACGTAGGAGATCACTCGAGTCTGTGCAGGGTCCAGAAGTCTCAGGGGAAGAATGAGGACATACCAAACATTGGGACAAGAGGTCTTCTTAAGTGACGAGAGGGACCCCTTCGACAGCGGCGGCATCGGGTGTGCGTCGAGATAATAGTCACCCTCTGTACCTATTCGAGCTTCGAGCTTGACGACCCACACCAACCTTTTCTCCCCGAGCACCTCATGTGGGTGGGCCTTCGGGGAGTTCGACAACGCTCGACGCTGCCCCCGGCCGGCGTGCATTCTCCTCTGGTTTGATTACAAACCCGTTCCCAAAACGAGTCTGGCGCAGAGCATCCAGTCCGGAGCTGTCGTCTCCCTTGCCTCCACCGGCAAGACGGAGATGCATGTGCCTGTGAGGTGGAGTTGCTTCAGGAGGCTGATGCACACCCTCCTTATTTTGACGAGAGCCAAGCCAAGGAGCCGGTGCCCACCCCCAACGACCACCTGGGAGATATCTAGGTCTTGAACAAGCAAGGTTGCTGGCTCGGTCCAAGGCCCCCTCTGGCTCACGAGATCCGATACCAGGCCGTGCACAGCAAAATCCAAGAGAAGTGATGTTGTCCTCGCCAAACTATTCTTGCTCCTACATAGTCTCGGCAGATCCAATATACGGTAGACCCGAGTCGCTAATAACGAGTCTCGGCAGTTCCCAGAAGCACTGACTGGAAGGCAGATGGGGACATGGAGAGCATTGGTGCAGTCGAGTTTGGGCTTCCGTCGGAGAGGACTCATGGCAGGTCCGGGTCTAGTCCAGACAAGTCGAACTGCACGGCATTATCACATGGTCCCTACAGCCTAGGATCCTCTTGTATATGCCGAACCATGCTCTTCCTTGCCGGGAGAGACTCTGTCGCCATCTTTGGAAAACCGACGAGCTACCTAGCCCAGTTCCGTTTATACTACTCGAGGTCAACGACATTCAGCAGGTGCCTATGCGAAAGCCGATTGCTGCTGCCCGTGTCGCACATCTGAACTCGAACCCTTTCAACGCGATTGAGTAGAATTGCCGCTGATACTTATGGTATTCGAGGCTGGTCAATTCCCGTGGTGTTGCCTGGAGGCCAGCCTGACTCGACTTTGCCCTGACAATCTATTCATTGCCTGAAGATCTCCCCTTGACTACATTTTGGATGCCCTCGTGAAAATGCACTTGTCTAATATATGACTGTATTCAAGCCTTGGTAATGATCCGAGTCAATTGCATTGGAAACAAATGTTTGCCGAGGCTCAGATGAGCCCAGAGTCGGTCAGTTTGAACACAAGACATGCTCAACTTTCCTTCACTCTGCTACCGCTTTGTCTGCAATGTGTCTGATCACTAAGAAATGGTCACAATGTACGAACAGGATGTTTGGAGGTAACGAATTCCTGTCATAAAGGAGACAAAGCTCTGTGGCATCAAACTATAGTGTCGTTTGCTCAATTACCCGCCAGCCCTTTCCTGGCTCTCCTGCCCAGATACGTGATGCGTGGTATTTGAGGATACTGCTGCCACAATACTGCTGTGCTAATTCTTGTCATGTACTACTAACAGCATCACTGCTCAAGATGGAGGAAGGACGCGACTCTCTCAGCGAGGAGGAGAGCACTGTCAGGTGCCCGCCAAACTCTCCAATCCCTCCTCATCTTTCAGACATATCGTTGCCGCCCCTGAGGCCCTCACCACACCTCCGCAGAGTTGAAAGTCTCTTGAATCTGGCAAAGGCGGACTATCATTCGTCCTGCAGGCGATCAATGCCCATGGAGGTAGAACTAGCTCACTGGCACGGCGCATCAAGGCTTGACGTCGCGGCTGAGAACTCAGCAACCACTTCGAAAGCCGCTTCATCCCGTCGATTTATCCCACGGAGTTCTCTCGATACCAACATCGGCCATACATTCCGTACGGAAGCCAGCTCCTCGTCCGCGCTGCCAACCCCAAGCCAGCCAGCTCAACACGAGATCGTTGCGGCCGGCAGTCCACACACCAAGACGCAATGCGATGCAACGTTCAGGCAGTGGAGGTTCGAATTTGGACGATTCATTACCGAGTACGACAAGTACATGCGCAAGTCATCCAATACGCTCGACCTGCCAGAAGTAAGGGAATTGGAGGTGCTGCTTCCGGTACTGACGGAGTTTGGGAACATTGGGCTGCGGTACTGGTTCGACCACCTGAGGCTGGAAGACGAGGCGCATCTGGAAAATGGAGGAATAATGTGGGAAAAGAGCGTCGCACCCTCTGCTGAAGATGACATACCGGGCACTGACAACGTCGAGAGCTGCACCCTGAATGACGGTGTCGATGCGACCTATGATCCCCAGGGGAAAGGCAAAGAGGTGGTGAGACCACCAGAAGTCAACATTGTCGCTCACGACGGGGTCGACCGAAAGGACTGGGCGGTGGAAGCCGAACGCAAAGCTCGCCGCCTGGCTTCAAAGTTCTCGTCGCCCGACCCGTCACCGAGCCGTGGGCAGGAGAAGAGCACGCCACTTACCTTGGAGCAGCTCGAAGCTCTCATAACAGCCTTCTCGGAAGCCCGCGTCTTCACACGCAAGCTTGGCATAACCCTGAGCAAGGTCCGGCACCAGCAGGCACAGCACCCGCGCGCGTACCTCCTTCGCGAGGGCGTCACCTTTGCCCAGCTGCTCGCCGCGTCCGACAGCAGCAGCGCATCCCAGTTCTCGCCGGGGAGCCCACGGCCTCCATCTCGACAGGTCTATGATCCCTCTCCGCCACGATGCAGCGGCAGCGGCAGCTTCAGCTACCCCAAGTATGCTCGCTACGCTCGCCTGCTGCCCGAGGATATATCCGCCCTCCAGAACACACTCATGAGCCACTGCCCCCTCGCAGGGGCAGCTCTGGGACTCGATCTGGCCCGGGACCAGTATTCACTGTTCTACGAAAGCATCGACGCCGAGACGCAGGAGCGCTACATCGATGTCCTGGCCCCAGACCCATGGCATATGTCGGGTGCGCTACCGGTGCCCCCTGGCAGCCCCGACGGGTGTGTCCCAGCAACTGGAATCCAAGGTGTGCGTGGCAGAGGTGAAGCTCAGCAGCCATCGACAAGGATGAAGAATCACATGGACAGCGACGACGACGACAACAAGAAAGAGTCTGCGAAGCAGGCAACGGCCAAAGAACCCCTCGCGGCGGCACTGTCGGCCCTCTGGGCCTCGGCACGGCTCTCGCTCATCAACAAGGCCTGGAGGGCAGGATTCGTGCGCGACGGCGACGCACGGCGCAAGTTCGGCAAGCTCCGGCGGCGGATGGAGGTGCTGGCAGACACGTCTCACAGCACTTCGTATCCCAGGATCGTGGCGGAGAAGGCGAAGACGATGGAGGAGGCGGCCTCACGAGCTGAGGTCAAGGGGGCGGGAGGTCGCGACGGCATGGTGCTGCTGTCGCTTGTGGATACAGAGTGTAGGGAGGCGCTGGGGTGGTGAGCTCGCGCGAACCGGGTCCAGCGTCAGGTTTGAGAAGGGAAAACGAGGGACGCTCGAGAGCATGGAGGCGGAACATCTCGGGTGAAAGATGTACGGGCAAAGAGCCGGCAGCAGGGTCTTGGTGAGAGACATTCAAAGGGATAGAGAGGGTGCATCGTTGCGGTGCCTGCCTGGCAGGCGAACTCAGAGACCTACCTACTTGTAGGTACTTACCAATACATCCCATTGACTGTAGTTGTGTAATAGGAAGAGACGTGCAGCAGCCGAGCAGCTCTAGGTCCGAGAAACACAAATCATTCTTGCTGCATCTGACGCATCCCCACAAAGATCACCACCATCAGCACTGCTTTGCGCCTCGGATTTGATGTCAATGTCCTAGAATTCATGGTGGAAAAGTATCCGCTACACGCTAGACAATGCTACACATGCGAAGCTCCTTTTCCGTTCCAGGACGAGAAGGAAGTCCTCTTCCCATCCCTCACACATGCCCACAGGAGAATAGCAACACCCAACCCGCAAAACGCCCTGTGCCCTAGGGATGTATGCCCCCATCCGTGATTCGATGCCCTGCCTCCGACTCCAATCCGGCCACTCGGGTGGCAGTGAAAAACAAACGCCGTCTAAATGCAAGTGTACGTGCTGTGGATGCCGGGTGCGAGCTGTCATCTCGTGTCCTGAACACGTCCGTGTCCTGCCTTTCGTGCCAAGTTGGAAATCCCCCAAGAATGTGCCGTCTCCACGGTCGGTGAGACTGCGAGATGACGAGGAATGAACCCTCTGGTCGAAAATGCGAGAAACATCTTGTCCGGTCCTGGGTATGGTCCTTCCTTGCTCTCTATCACCTTGAAAATGCCTGCGCTACAGCAAGAAGAAAAAACAAACAAACAGGATGGCCTGGTGGAGATACAAAAGGTTGCAGAAAACCACAGCTTTCTCGCTTCTCTCTCCCCTCTTGCTGCAATGCTGGGCGAGCCGGGCGGAAATCGGCCTCACAGGAAGATTCCCACCCAATGCTTCTTTGTCGAGACATCGGAGTCGCAGTCCTCGACAGCGCAAAGGACTTGGTTGGGTTTGGCACCAGGTCGGAAGCCGACCTTGGGCAAGGCCTCGGGCGCCTTGGCCTTCTTGGGTGGGATGCAGTTGCGGCGGTTCTCGTAACAGCGACGGCAGTAAACCTAATGTTTTTATCAGCATCAGGTGGTGAAACATGTGATCACAGAATCACAGACAAGAGGAGGGGGGGGAGCTTACGTGACCACATGCAGGCACAGCCCAAAAGTGATGCTCTTCTCTATCTTTCTTGGTGCGTGCCTTCTTGGAAGGGGGACCATCCTCGTTGTTCTCCTCGGGATCGTACTTCAACTCCTCGTCGCAGCTAGGGCAAATGACGACCGTGTCGGGACCGGTGTCGCGCGTGAAGCCTTCACGAGGCGGCGGCGGCGGCACATGCGGGGGCTTGGGAGGCTGCGCATGATGGTGGTTGTTGCCAAAGCCGAGGGCTTGGTAGTCGAAATGGACAGGGTTGCCTGCGAGAGGGTTGTCCATGGCTGCTGCAAATGGGCCTTGTTGATGGCCGATAATTTGCACTTCGATATCTGGTGGGTTGTTGGCTCGTCTGCGTTCGGAATTTGAGCGGGGTAGGAGGTTGAAAAGGCGACCAAACGGGCTGCCAAAGGGACTGAGGTTGCCAAAAGGCAGCTCGTTGTTCAGGCGAGCAAACACGCCCATGATTGCCACCTCGGTGTCCACAGCAGCATCGCGTAGGGCGGCATCCTGAGCTCGACGCGGGCGGGGTTGCGAGGGGTTCCTAGCCTCGTCTGGTGAATCCTCGGTGAGATCAATGAAGTCAGCCGGCACCGCACCTGGACCTCCTGCACCCGCGCCTGCGCCTGCACCGGAACCTGCACCGGAACCTGCACCTGCGCCGGAACCGCCTGCTCCCAATATGCTACCGTCACTGCGGGTGAAAGCCGGAGTCTGTCTTCGCTGCGACGCCTGCCTCCGGGGGTTTCGAGAGCCTGTGGCGGCGGCCGATGCCGCCGCTGCCTGGCCAGGTCGAGGCAGAGGCCTCTGGCTCTGGACGGGACTGTCAGGCTCGTCGGTCAGATCGATGACGGTTTGTCTGCCGGGGGCGTCCTGGATGGGCTGCCACGGCCGGCGCGGCTGCGCGACCTCCATCTCGACGAGTTCGTCGTCGATGAACTGGTCGTGGTTCCGCCTCCTCGCGGTGGCTCTCCGTTCATCCATCGACTGGCGAAGGCGACCGGCCAAGTCCTGCTCTCCACTCCTGTCCGCTTGCGATCCCGTCCTGGCAGTCTGGCCGGTCACACGCCCATCGAAGTGCTGGTCGATCCGCCGCCGAAGAGAGTCGAGGCGCGGGGAGTTGCGTCCGGGAGAGGAGGAGATGAGAGAGTTGGTGACGCGCTGAAGGCGCAGGAAGTGCTGGTCGAGCGGGTCTTCGGGAAAGGGCTGTGGGTGGAGAGGAGGGAGTCCAGAGGCGGGGTCCTGGCTCTCGAGAACCGGGTCGGACTGCCGATGGGAGGACGAGGGGTCCCTCCGGCTCTGGTGATGTCTCTGGGTTTGGCTTGACCGCGAGGGGGCCGAGAAGGAGGAGGAAGAGGTGCGCGGCGAGGCGAGGGAAGCGTCGTCGGTCTGGCTGTCGTCGGTGCCCGACGGCTCTCCAAAGAGTTCTCGGGCCAGATCGTCGTCCTCGTCCTCGTCGTCCTCGCCGTCGTCGTCGTCGAGGTAGTAGGAGGCGAAGGGGTCGTCCAAATCGTCGTCGTCGTAGTCTTGGTGGTCTTCGTAGTCTTCGTAGTCTTCAAAATCCTGGTCGAGGCCCTCGTAGAAGAGGGCGGGGTTCTGGAGAAAGGCCTCGTGGGGGATGTTGGACGACTGCTCGAGGAATTCTAGGTCCGAGAGATCCATTTCTTCCAAGTCGCCGCCCGCCTGACCATGGGCTCTCCTTCTTATTGAATCGCTCTATTTTTTGGGCCGGCAGGGACGTGGCGATTGGCTTCTCCCGTGTGGGGAGGGGCGAACAAAGAGTGGATTCCCAGTGAAGCAGGCCTGGTTCGTGCGTTGCTGCTGCGCTATTGTTGCTGCGCTATTGTTGCGGTGTCGTCGACAAGGTGAGGACGTGGTGATGCGGTGATGTCGGGCCCCCAAAAAAGAAAAGCCGCGGGGAAAGTGAATCGAAAGTCAGCCCTGCCCAGGCTGACGTCGGGGTCGGGGAGGATGGTGAGGGCGAGTCGATGCAGGAAGGGAAGGGAAGAAGAGGAGAGAGCCGGCAGCCCGGACCAGCCTTCTGGAGATTTGATGCAGCGGGAGAGCGAGCACATTCTATCGCACCGAGTCTGACCTCACTCAGCTCGGCCCAGCTTTTGCCGTTGGCATCATTAGCATTCGCGCTGGCTGGCGTTGGCGCTGGCCCTTTCGGCGTTAAGACTCGGGAGCGTATTCGGGCTTGTCCAACCAGAGCGAATGGGGTGAATGCACGCCTCGGCCATCAACCATCCATCAATCACAGTAGGTATCCCACACATCCCACACATCCCATGATCCATACCCAAAATGCCACTCAACCTGCGCGACACTACTAAACCCCGACAAAGCATTTCGACTCCGAGCAGGAATCGCCACCAGCTCAAGAACACCCAGAGACACAGCCATGACATGACTGATCCATACAATACAATACAATACAATACAATACAATACAATACAATGCAATGCAACACAACACAATAAGGTCCGGGCCCGGCCAGTGTGACCAACAAGTCCAAGTTGCCATTGTGCTGGATCAAGGAAAAACACATTATTCTACATTATTCTTGAAAACATCACTGTTTGCACAATACAAACTACCTGCTTCTCGTTCCTATGGCCACGCGCTGCTCCTGTATTCTCCTCTCCCCTCCCCTCAATCCCGCCCGCTTCTTTCAAGACGCAGAGCCCCTATATGAGTTGCCTGCCGATGAACCAGCAATGATATGGATCCCACTCCAAAAAGGAAAAAAAAAAAAAAAAATCATCATGTCCTTGACGCCAGAGCAAAGAACCCGCAGACCATTTTCTTTTCTTTGATCTCGCCTCTACTCCTTGACACCCAGTATCGAAACAACGCCCTCCGAGCTGACAGAGACCAGCTTCTTCGCTTCGGCACCCCACCTCACGCTCACTCCGGGCGTGGCGCTGGCCACGGGCTGCGTCCACTTCTTGGAGCTCTTGGCGTACTGCTGCACCGTGATCCCTGCCGGCCCGACCGTGGCCAGGTACTGTCCTGTGTAGTCCCAGTCCAGAGCGACTACCGAGCTGCCCGTGTCCAACACCTTGGCCGTGGCCGCCGCGCCCTCCTTGCGCAGGTCCAAGATGGTCACCGTCGACTGGCCCTTGGCCGTTGCTGCAATCCAGTACCCGTTCTCCGAGAAGGTAAGTGCCTGGATGGGAGCACCCAGGTCGAAGCTGGTCGCTTGCTCTCCCGTCTTGGTCAGGAATCCCCGGATCTCGCCAGAGACAGTGCCCACCGCCAAGAAGTGGCCATCTGGGTGGAATTTGCAAGTCGTGAGTGCTACAAAGAACGCAGCGTCAGTACCAATCCAAACATATAGACACAGAGACACAGAGAGAGAGAGGGAGGGAGGGAGGGAGGGAGGGAGAGACAGAGAGAGCAGAAAAGTCCCTTACAGGAGTCGGTGTACACGCGAGAGACGCGCTTCAGAGTAGAGAGATCGTAGAGGACAAAGCTCTTGTCGGAACCGACAGAGGCAAGAAGGTCGCCGCACGGGTGCAGTGCCAGTCCCGTCGCGGGGCCGGCATGTTCAGAAAAGGAGGCAATCTCGCTGCCGTTCTCGTAGATCTTGACCGAGCCCTTGGATGTGGCAAAAATGACCCGGCTACCAGTCCACAGAGTGTCGGTGATGGGCTCATTGACCTTGAGCGACCGCTCCACCTTGGCTGCCTCGACCGAGAAGATGGCTACGTCGCCCTGCAGACCGCTGATCGCGGCATAATCACCCTCGAGGCCGATTGAGGACGCCTGCTGGACGGGGCTGTCCTCGGAAGCAACCTTGTCAAAGGCAGCGATCTCGTCGGCGGATACCCAGCCCTCGGGCACCGGTCTCTTCTTGCGCGACTTGGAGAGGCTGCGCGCGCGCAAGCCGAGTCAGCATGTCACCAGTAGGTCGACTCGAATCATGGAAGGGACCAACCTCTGATGTGTCTCGTCCACCTTGTTGGCCAGGTCCTCTGGCAAGCCCTCGTTGTCGATGGCCATAGCATCGCCGTTGGCAGCAGTGCCACCAGACACGGTGACCTTGGACAGCGAGTCGCGCGCCTCGTCTCGCTCCTTGGTGAGGCGGGCAATCACGCGCACGGCGGCATCATGCTGGTACAGCGCAGTGGCAAGCTCCTCCCGGGTCCGCGCCAGCTGTTCCTGCAGGTTGTACGTCTCGAGAGCCAGTGCGTCCCACTCGTTCTGGAAGGCAGCCAGCAGGGCCGGAATGGAGGTCAGGGTCGGCGGCCGCGGTCGCACGATGCGAGCAGTCTTGACTGGCAACAGATCCTCGATGTCGAGCTCGTCCTCGGTGCCGGGCTCTTTTCCATGCTCTTCGATGTATTTCTCGATCAGTCGCTTCTCGTAGACGGTACCTGGTCGAGGGCCCCGGAGGCCAAAGTCAGTCTGCTGGAAATGCAATTGGCCCTTCAGGACGGGAACAATGCTACCTGTCTTTTTGGAGACGACGGGCTCCTCAGGGGCCTCCCCTGAAATGGCGCACAACATGGCGGATGATGTGACGGGCGTGGGAAGGGTGAATATGCTACCTAGGAGTTCCAAGGTCTGTGATCGAGTCGAACTTTTTCCAACCGCGTCCAGGTCCCCAGGCTGGCAGAGACCATGTGGTGCACGGGCCACTTTGTGTTTTCCAGACGCAGTGACTGATGTACCTAAGGAGACTAACTAAGCTCAGCTAAGGTAAGGTACCTAGATACCTCGAAGAAGGTCGAGTCAACATTGAATAAATACGCACACTGATAAGATAAGGAGATAAGCTGGTAAGCATCAACCACCAGACATTTAGTCCTTGAAATGATCGTCACTGTGAATCGTCTTAAAGGCTTGTGATACGGATATCAATCAGCGATCAGCTTGCCGTATCTCGAACCGTTTCTAAGGGCTGTCGGCTTTTTCCAGTCCAGCAATAATGGCGGCACCAATGCCAATGCCATCTTCCCTGCCGGACATAGCAAGCCTCTCTTCCTTGGCCGACTCGACTCTTGGCGACGCCCTCGATCTCCTCTTCGAGCCGACTCGCGACTTGCATGCCCTCGCCATACCCACCATGCGCTCCATCACCTTCACCTCCTATCCTGAGCTCATCGACACCATCCGCGACCAGCTGCTTACCATCCAGAGCGCGGTCCATTCGGACCCCACAGCCAGGCAGCCCCTGCTCAACATACTCGGGTCCCATCCCCGGCTGGGCCAGAAGAAGGTAGAGAGTGCGCAGAGTGCGGCGGAGCAGGCCCAGCTAAGGAGCGGCCGTGCCGGGGCCGGCGAAGAAGACGAACTTGCGAGGGTCAACGAAGAGTACGAAGAAAGATTCCCGGGGCTAAGGTATGTGGTGTTTGTGAATGGCAGAGGGAGGGATGAGATTATGCGGAACATGCGGGAGAGAATCGATAGGGGGGACGTCGTACTGGAGGAGCGTGAGGCAATCGAGGTAGGTGCATGGCCCCTGGACCGTCCTGTGGACCGCGAGACATTCATGGCCGGCCAGCTGATACACGTTGCAGGCCATGTGCGATATTGCCAAGGATCGTGCACGAAAGCTCCAGGCACCCGTGATCCCCTAAGTTGATTGATTGCCCAGGCCGTGTTGGCGTGAGCCAGTAGTATCCCCAGAGGCCCAAGCCGAGAAGCATCACCCTCCTGATAGTCGTGACTGCTCCGTCCCCTACCGGTCGGCCCTAAAGTCTCTAAAGAGGCACACAACCTTCAAGGTTACTAATGGTCACTATGTTACACGCTGCATTGCTCCGACTAGTCTGCAGAGATTAGGGACGTGTGATCGTTTGACAAATGGACTAGTTGGCAGGAGACACTTCAAAGACGGTCTTGCCGATGCCGCCTTTGCCTCTGTAAGACAGCATGCATGCCTCTCTGACCTTTTCGATATCTTCGAGGCTGACCCTTGTCCCTACCAACGGCAACAACTTCCCCTCCTCTGCAAAACCTGAGAGTGCCGTGAGATCCTCCCCGTTCGGCTTGAGGAACCAGTACATGTAGGTCACGCTCCAGCGCCAGGCGCGCAGTCTGCGCAGCGCATCCATGGTGTCTAGCAAGAGCCGCCCGAGGAGTGGGACGTGGGGGTTGTCGGGTCGTTGCATAACGCTGGCACTTTGCAGTGTTGCAGAAGAAGGGGTGGTAGAGATGGATACGATGAGACCAGTAGATGGAACCATGAGCGAGAGAAATTGCATGGCCTGGCCTGTCGTGTCAAACAGGAGATCGACCGAGCGTGGCGCAATGACCTTGGTTGGGCTGTCTTTGGTGTAGTCGATGACTATCCGGTCCGGCGTCAGTCAGGCACAGGCCTTGGGGTTTCAAGAAGTCGACTTACCTTGGTCAACTACCCCCTCTCCCAGAAGCTCGGCGACTTTGGCAACCTTCGAGGTCGAAACTGTCGTAATTACTTTACCTGCACGGAAGACATTCTTGGCCAACTGGCAGGCATAGGCGCCAGTGCCGCTAACTTTGCAACGTCATCAGCTTCTTTATTCTTACAGCCTGGAAGAGTCAGAGGATGGGGTGGCGGGAGAGGGGAAACTCACGTCCAGCGGGCACGAAGACTGTCTTTCCCTCCAGGCCGCCCTGATACTGCCTCAGCACTTGTAGAGCGGTGACACCGGCCAGGGGCAAGGATGCTGCCTCGGTAAAGGAGAGGTTCCGGGGCTTGAAAGCGATGTATGACTCTGGGCACACGACATACTCGCTCCACGAGCCTGAACATATTGATGCCGAGTCAGCTAGATTCTTCTTACATGATGCACAACAACCAATGATCGGGATAGTGTCGCCATGCAGAAGGGCTCTTCATGGAAGGCGGAGCCTCTTACCTCGCCCGACCTCAGGTAGCCGCACAAAAACCTCGTCGCCGGCCTTGAAGCGGGTCACTTGCCCTCCAATGGCTTCGACGATACCGGCAGCGTCATATCCAATCTTGTACGGGAATCTGGACGTGGCAAGTCAAGTCAGATGGTGTCTGGACCAGGCTGAAACAGGAGAATGTTCAAGAGGCGCCTGCTCACCTTTCCGGCATGGCCAATTTGAATGCGCCAGCTGCCTTCTTCACATCCACTGGGTTGATGCTGGCCGCGAGGACTCGAATCATGACATCCGCCTCGCCACTGATCACCGGTCGCGGCAGCTTGGACAGCTCATAGCCAGAAGGGTCTGTGAATGCTGGCGCAGTAACGGCCAACATGTCTGTAGCCATGGCGATACGTGAGCTAAGTATATGAGATGGGGGCTGGAAATTGTTCACGAATATATACGGAGTAGCATTTCAGCTCACCGGTACTTTACTGCCTTAACATTACAGTACCAGTCAATCGACTGGCAGCTCCAGTCGTGGCAAACACCGGCCGAGGTACGGGACAAATTCTAGGCACCAGGTACTGCCAAAGGAAAGAAAGCGAGGTCCAAACCAATGCGGCCCGTTTTGGTGCAGAAGCGGGGAGGCGCATCGGCGGCAGCTGGACTGGATGATCCACCGGCCGGCGTCGGCCAGAAGGTCGTGCCGACGGGACCGGGGACCAAGTGGATTAATCGACCGGGTCGATATCAACTAGTCTCGCGGCCTGCCGAGCGGCCATTGTCATATGAGGGAGACAAAAGTAAAAGGTGAACAACAGCTTTGCCCAGAATCAAGGCCAGGAACGGAAAAGAGGGTGCAGCATGTTCATTGGCTGTTCTGAAAACCCTCCCGCCCCCAATTTCCTTTCCAAGACATCACTCGTCAAAGTGACGCTATCATGCATGAGATAAGATGTGCATGTCAGCACCCAGCAGCAGTGCATGGCCGCTTGAAGCGGGTTCCAAGCCAAGGCCAAAAGACAGCTTGAAGGCGACCTGCTTCTGTGCAAAGTTCTTATTGCAAGCTTGTGCCCCCTCTCCCGTGTAAGATGATGGCCTCTTCGCTGTCCTTTCTCACCCATCCCCCCCAAACCAAGCAGCCTCCTGACTTCCTCGTTGCTATTCCCTCGCGTATCTCAATACTACCTATACTCTTTACGACAGCACGCAGGTTTGATTGATTGATTGGCCCACTGAGTAGTTTACTATTGCTCAATTGCCTGCAATGCCGCTTCTCAGGCTACGGGACGGAGCCGAGCTCTTCTATAAGGACTGGGGTAACCCCGAGGGGGCTATCGTCACCTTCTCGCACGGGTGGCCCCTCAGCAGCGACAACTGGGAGAACCAGATGGCATTCTTGGGTGAGCAGGGCTTCCGCTGCATAGCCCACGATCGGCGAGGCCATGGACGGTCGACACAGACGTGGCATGGCAATGACATGGACACCTTTGTCGATGATCTCAAGGAGCTGTTCGAGCACCTCGACATCAAGGATGCCGTCATGGTAGGCCACTCCCACGGTGGCGGAGAAGTCACTCGCTTTCTTGGCAAGCATGGCACCGGCCGCGTCAGGAAAGCCGTCCTTGTCGGTGCTGTGCCGCCTCTGATGCTCAAGACGGCTGCCAATCCCGAGGGCACGGACAAGGCCGTGTTCGACTCTTTCCGCGACGCCATGCGGAGGGACCGCGCTCAGTTCTTCCTCGACGTGGCCACTGGACCCTTTTACAACTTCAATCGGGAGGGTGCGCCCCGTAGCGAGGGTCAAATTCGCAGCTGGTGGCAGCAAGGCATGAATACAAGCTTCAAGACGGCCTACGACTGCATCAAGGATTTTTCAGAGACTGACTTTACCGATGATCTGAAAAAAATCAATATCCCGGTCCTGGTCCTTCATGGCGATGACGACCAAGTTGTCCCCTTTGGAGCTTCCGGTGAAAAGTCCGCGAAGCTGCTGCCCCAGGGCAAGCTCAAGATCTACGGAGGAGGGTCGCACGCCATCCACAATATCAACGTCGACGAGGTCAACGCTGACCTGCTGGATTTTGTACGCTCTTAAGGGGTCGTCACCAAGAGAGATTCACTCTCTGGGCCGAGGGCGTTGAATCATAATACGGCCGAACAGGACGTTGGCATTCCTATTTGTTCTTCTACTTTCTTGCGGGTTCGAGTCACCGGTGAGAGACACTTTGACTATTCCATCCATTCATGAGCCATCTCAAGAAAAGAGAAAGAAAAAGAAGCGGGGGACAAAGCGATCAACATTTTGATGCTTTTACGTCGTCGCCGGCCTGTTGACGGTACAACTGGCCTTTTCTGCCTGAGTTTGTTAATACAATCTATCTCCAGAGTATCCTCTGTGCGCCCTTTTGTTACCACCAGTGTCCTGTTTGAAAGGACGTAATTCAACGGCCGTTCGGCTGAGTCTCGTTTAGCCAAGGGGTGGAGGTGGCCCAGAAAATGATATTCACCCCCAAGCAGTTGACCGCGTAGTTCTGAAACTCTTCTTTGGTGAACTGCTTGCCAGTCTGGGGATTCGGGTTCTCGGTAGCGTTCAGATCTGGCTCCTGGACTGCCACCACTGTAAACGGAACCTTGTCGTGGTAGGCAGTGAGGTAAGGGTACGAGTTGTGTTCTTGGCCAGGCTTCAACGCTGATCGCCGTCTCGGCAAGGTTGACGCCGTAGATTTCGCCGTCAGGCTCGTTTGCCATGGCGTTCAGCAAGGCCTGAAAACGCCGTCGCACATGTTTGTTCCACTGCGCTACGGCATACCCACTCGGCTGGAAGTCAGCCTCACAGTTCGTACCGTCGCATTGGGGCACGCTTCCATTGTCGTAGAGCGGTGTGTGCAAATAATTCGGCACCGGATTTGAATTGACGTAGAAGGTTCGGTCCTGTATCTGCACCCACAACTTTTTGCCCTTGGATCGCGCAGCGGCCAGATTCTCGCGGATCTCGGAAAAGTCGTAGCGGTTTTGAGGATTCTCCGTCTCTTTCCACCGGTAGAGGGTCTGTATACCGACGATGTCGGGCCGATCGAGGAATGGAGTAGCCTCGCTGAAGTCGCTGGCATATATCCAATTCTCCGGGCTTCTGCATCCAGCTGCATAGCTGCTGTTCCCGTGGGACATTTCGTCACGGCATTGGTCGTACTTGGCGTGGCAGATCTTTATATACCTCTCTGCATCGACCTGGCCGTCAAGGGCCCCGGTATTGAGAGGAGGATCGAGTGGCGATACGCCTGCATAGGTGGCCGGAGTGAGAAGAGAGATAGCAAGGACGAGGCGAGAGGTCAGCACCATTTTGACCAAGGCGGAACAGGGCGAGCACGCGTGAAATTGCTGGCCAAGAATGCAAACGCCACGGATGGAGATCCTTTTAAAGACCATCGGACTCTCCCATGGGGGAATAGACAGCCGCCTAATAAACATCCGCACCTCCACTTCCGCGGCAGCAAATACGAGTCAGGAAACGAGGGCTGCAGTGCAAAAGGGCTTACTTCTACCTCAGGTGCTGTGCTATACGGCCTGCCATCCACTCACCTCGTACAGGTCAGAGCCAAATGGAGCTTGATGGACTCTGCATGGCAAGCGGTTTCCCTCATCCAGTTGGTGGCATTCTACTAGAAGGCTCGCTCGTATGGACCTACTTGCAAACGGACCAGTACATGCTGCATTGGATCATGGCTGACGTGGAGCTGGAGGTCACACATCAGACATGTTGTGTGGCCATATCGGCAAGGACATGGACGAGAAGACCCCCAGTATTCGCTTTGCCAACCTCATTCATTGAAGCACTCAACTGAAAAAAATATGGAAGAGAAAAGATTCCGAGAGCGAAGTCTAATGGATGGCAGGCTGCCATCATGCCAAACTTAGATCCAGTCTGGTACAGGCTTAGCTCCCGCAGTCCGAGGCTCACCCTGGAATTATCAACATGCGGCTGGAGAATGTGCGGAGACGCTGTTTTGAAGTGGGCAGTTGACAACAACGGGCTTGGCAGATCAGAGAGTACCATCTCGCGCTGAGCGCAAACATCCCTTTACCGGATCCCGGGTAAACTGGGATGTAAAGGACTTAATGGCTGATGGATTAGATTGAGGATATCGTGGTTGAGTTCAGAAAGTGATAGTGGAATTGTATTTGAGTACACGGAAAGTTGTCAGAAGGGGCTGGTCCACTAAGGACAACCCCAGGGCAAATTTAGTATGTGGAGCTGTCTCTGCCCAACCACACCGCCCTTTAGGGCCACCCCAAAGGGCCGGCGGCCCCCTGGCGGCCTTCCCCTTTTCTCTCTTAGAATTAGACACCTCAATAAATAGAATTTGATTGATCTGACCCTTAGTTGATAGTTATAAGTCTGGTTAATGTCTGATTGAGTAGATTAGAGTAGGCCTACCTATCTAGAGCAACTATTATAAGATTTAGACTATAGAGTTATAGATTCCTATAGTTAAATTTAGTAAGGAGTGGCTAGAACCCTCTAGAATATAATAACAACCTAATTAATCTTCTATTTAAACTAGAGTACTACTTAATCAACCCTCTTAATTATTTAACTGTAATATTATAGCTAAGGAGGACCTAGATAATAATTAGGTAATGATTCTTACTAATAAAGCAGACTAGAATATATAGTATTTATATATCTATCTTAAAGCTATAGATAATAAAATCTAGAAGTATATTAATCTAAATAGAGATTAGACTCTAAAGCCTCTTAGAGATTATCTAAGACCTCCTTCTATTCTCTTAATAATACTCTAAGAGGAATAATTAGTAATAGTATATCTAGAGTTTAGGATAAGAAAGAACTTCTTTAATATAGAGTTAGATAAATAGAAGGTTCTAAATATAGTATATAAGAAGAAGAATAAAAAGCTAATTAAGATAAATAAGCTTATCTATTAAATAGCTAAGTAGTATATAGCTCTATTTAATAAGTTATTAGAAGAATAATAGTAAGTAATTATATAGATCTCTAATAGGATAGGAGTAATTAGGCAACTATTAAGAGTTAGATTAATATAGATAAGGCTGATAATATTAAAGAAATATCTTAAGCTATTAGGCTTTAAAGTAAGAGTATAAGCTTAAGCTTAATACTAATAAGCTAGACAACCATCTAGATCTATTAGTCTATTAGCTTGGATTAAATAATAGGAATAAGCCCTATAATATATTAAGAATATTAATATTAGTAATATTTAAGATAACTAACCTATAGAGGACTTTCTTATTATTATTAGTAGTATTAATAAAGTTAGTAGTATCTTTACCTAGACCTATATAAACACTCTTAACCAGAAAGAGTTGATTCTAAATAGCTATATACTTACTTACTAGCTTTAATAATAGCTTATAGTAATAATAATAGTTAAGGGATTAGCTAAGAGATTATTTAATATAATAATAGAACCTACCTATAGGTTAATAGAGTAACTAATACTATAAGATAAGGCTTCTAATAGTAAGAGACCTACCTATTCTTATAGGATAAAGTATAATAAGAACTAGTATTAGGTCCTCTATCTAGAGAAGAAGCTAGCCTATATACTATCCTTTATCTAGAGAAAGCTAGAAAGGGTGCTATAGAAGATTATAGAGATAGATTAGCTATAGAAGTAATATTAGAACTTAATTAAAGTAATTAAGGAGTTATTAGTAAAGCTATTACCAGCTAATTAGAGATCTGATAAGGCTAGGTAAATTAGAAGTGCCTATATCTAGATAATTTTAGTTAAGAAGGCCTCTTAGAGAGTCTTCTTAAATATTATAGCAAGCTCCTTTATCACTATAATATACCTATTAAAGGATAACTTTATTTATAATACTAATACTACCTATTATATTATTAACTTAAAGAAGAAGCTTATTAAGGGTATATATCAACCAGTAACTAGTGTTATTAATATAGGCAATACTATAATACTATACTATAGTATAGGAGAGGTGATAATAGAGGTCAATACCTCTATTAGCCTAGCCTGCTTTAAGCTAAAGAATATTATTATTATTAAAGGCTTCTATATCAATCTAGTCTTCTATAGAGTAATAAGAGAGGTAGGATACTAATAGAATGATGATAACTATAGTATTATTAAGAGTTCTATATTAGAACTAGTAGTCTTTTTAACTAAATAAATTAAGGGTCATACTATAATTAACTTCTATTAAAGTTAAGGATAGGCTAATAAATAGTAACTAAATAAAGCTGCTAATATAGTCTTATTATAAAAGCCTAGCTTAGAAAGTAAGACGAGGTATAATATCTAGTATAGGAGAATAAGACATCTTAATAATAAAGTTCTAGGCTACTTATCTACTAATACTAAAGAAGTTATAATTATTAGTAAGTCTAATCAGCCTTACTAAGTATATGTTAAAGCTAAGGCAAAGTAATAAGTCTTAAGAAGGCTAAGTAATTAACCAGTAGAATACCTATTTAGTTGAATCTATCTAGATCTCTTTATAATACTAGACTGCCTTAATAGTTTAATAGTAGTCCTAATTATTAAAGATGAATTCTCAGGCTTAAAAGTCATATACTCTCTACTAGATAAGAAGAAGTACACTCTTCTTAAAACTTTTTATAACTACTACAGCCTAGTAGACTGGTAATAGAGTCTCTAGGTCTAATAAGGTTGTAGTAATAATGAACTAGCTCTTAATACTAATGTTATTAAGGAGTGGAAATAATATAAAGAAATTATATAGGAACTATTACTAATATATATATATTAACCTAATAGCTATACTAAGTAATCTAGAGGGATGATATAGATAAAGGCTAATATAATACTGTTTAATATTGGTCTATTAACCAACCTAGCTAGTAAGGCCTATAAAGTAGTGACCTACCTTTATAATAGATCCTCTTATTAAGCTAATAGCTAGAAGTTATTAGAAGAGATCATTAAATAGTAGTGCTAGAAGAATAGGTACTGAATCCTAGGCAGCTTGAATCAGCTAGACCTTAGCTATATTAAAGAGTATGGTTTAAAGGTATATTGTCTTAAAGATAAATATTATAATACTATAATCTTAACTAAGGCTAAATATCAACCCTATATTAAGATTAGATATCTTATTAGCTATAAAGATATAAATATTTAATAGATCTAGATCCCTAAGAAGAGGAAGGTTGTCCTATTAAGGGATATAACCTTTAAAGAAGGGTCCTTCTTTAAAAAGAAGAATTATAATAGATCTAGAGAGAGATTAGCCATATTCATACTATTAGTAGAGGTCTATAAGCTACTAAAATTAATAGAGCTAGAGCCTAAAGAGACTGATAATAAGATTATCAGCCTCTCTAGTCTAATAAATAGACTGTTTAAAGCTATTAGAGAGAGAGATTAGTTCTAACAGGCTGAAGTAATTAAAAAGGCCGGCTTAACATAAGAGAGGCTTAAAGAGATCATTATCACCTACCTAACTTCTTACTAAAGTAAAGAGCTAGTCTAAGAACTAGCCATAATAGGATTAATAGAGGGCTCTAAATCTACAACCTCTAGTCTAATGACTTTAGAAACTTTATTAGAGGGAGAGAATAGTATTCTAAAGATACTAGAAAATTTTCAGAAAGATTCCTTAAGTTCTATACTGATTAGACAATCAGCTTAAAATCATAAGCTAATAGACTATAGACAGCAGTTAAGAGAGTAAGAGGAGCTCTTTAGAAGGTAATAGTAAGTAGTTAATAGGATGATCCTAAGGGACTGCTATGGTGTTAATATAGTCTATACTAGCTTCTAAGCTAAAGTAGTCCCTATTAAATAAGAGCCTTAATAGCCACTTTAACTATACTAAAATAATCTATTACTAGAGTTAAGAAATATTAAGAAGGCTATTAATAGCCTCTATAGCTAATACTAGCTTAAGACTATATAGAAAGAGGTTAAGAATATCTAAGATAATAGGATATTAGAGATAGTAAACTATTATAAAGCTAAGAGCTAGATAGTTATATTATTAAAGTAGGTATTTACCTATAAGTTTAATAGTAAAGAGTATATTAAGAGATTTAAGGCCAGGATCTATATTTAAGGAGACTAATAGCTACTAAATAATTAGGATATCTATACTACTATATTAGCAGGAAGGTTTTTCTAAATCCTTATAGCTACTACTATAAGATTTAGGCTTAAGGTAAAGTAGTTAGATATAATTAATGCCTTTACTAATACCTACCTTAATAAGGAGATATTTATAGAACTTCTACCGCACTTTAAATAGACCGGCAAGATCACTTATTTAATTAGAGTACTATACAGCCTATAGATATCGCTACTGCTATAGCA